ATCTTGGCAACTACTCGAGTACTACTCGAGTACTACTCGAGTAGTACTCGAGTAGTTCAGATTTCTTCGAGTCGAGTACTACTCGAGTAATTACTCGAGTAGTACTCGCAACGAGTAGTACTCGGGCAACACTGGACTAAAAGAAGCCTTTGATATGTTCTTAATGCGTAAGTTAATATGAGAAAAATCCTACGACACGAGATTGGTATAACCAAGGCACTATGACATAACATTTGTTTTATTGTTCTTCTTTTGATATGGATACTTTTATTGACACAAAGCAACGCATTATTTCTCGAGAAAACATGCGAAGTTAAGTGCTGTACATTTACTTTCATGGCCATAGGCAACCGACAGCAGCCTTTTGAAATGTCTGTAAGTCTATGCTTGGCGCCTTAAAAAAATGACGGGACTAAAAGATAGAAAGGATATTCGGAGGACTACACTCCAGAGTTAGCTACTTTTCATTGCGGTCACATTAGCCACTCCACATAAGCTTACCTAGCTACACCCCCGGTAACATTACACGGCTCACTGGTCACGAAGAAAGTGTATCTCTTCGTCGCTTCGCAATGTTTCGATAGCGCCTCAAGGTGGAAAAGCTCTCCAATCGGCATCCCCCAGCCACCAAGCAAGACCTCATGCAGAAAGTAATCCTTCTGCGGAGGATAGCATTCGAAGGAAGGAGCATCGCCTCCAGCCTACACACTAGAATATTAGCACCAACCATGATTTCATAATATAACCAATCAAAGCCAACTATCAAAGAACATACCGCAGCAAAATGATTATCCCATAAGAACTCCAACATCTCCTCGCTCTGCTCTAATCCACTGAGCTGTGGTGGGCCCTCCCTCAATGCATGGAACCTCTTCTTCTCCTCATCGAGCTCTTCAAACGCAGCGAACCACCCCGACCTTATAAGCAAAATATCACCGCGCCTAAACTCAGTACCCTGGAACGCCGCCACCTCCTTCAGCTGCCCCAAAGTAATCGAGCCCGTTGCAAATGGGTTGTAATCCGGCGACCCGCCCGTCTCTTTCCTCCATCTGTGGAAATCAAGCAATACTCCCCTTCCAACAATCCCCTTCTCGGCCATATTATGTATCCCCAACTTATCCCCCGCTCCCTCTCCCACAATCTCTTGTTCTGTAGTGCCATTATAAAACAGCCTCTCCTTCTGGTACCCAAAGTGCCGTAGCCCATCCCACTGCGAGCTACACTGTGAGTTAAAGCTCCAGGTATCGTCACACACAACGCGAGGCGGAGCTTTCATGTAGACCTCGTGGTGGAAGGCGGCTCGGGCAAAAAATGGCGGGCAGAAGGAGCCGCGGGGAGTGTTCAAAGACCAATTTAGGGAGATGCGGTGGCCAGTGATGATGTTTTCGCGGGCGGCAAGGGCGACGAGGGGGGAGGTGAGTAGGTTGAGGGTGCCGAGTTCGTCGGAGGGGCCCCAGAGGCCCCAGGCTGAGTGGCGCGGGTGAGAAGGGGAGAGTGGGAGGGCGGAGAAGGGGGGAATATCTTTGAGGTTTCCATTTTGGGCTGCCATTGTAGAGGAAATAAAAAACTCAATGATATAAGTATTGCTAAATATTACTCCGTGTTGCTGATTTGGTTTGTGGAATTGTTTTGATTTTAGAAACCCTTCAATGAGGGGTAACCCGAGGAAGCCATGTGGGCTGTGGCAGCTTTCACAACATGCCCCTCAACCCATCCATGTTACCCCACGGGGAGATACGATTTGGTCGGATCCTCGACGATATTTCCGCAGCAATCCGAAGATACAACCGTACAACGCCCGTCGCCGGTAATAACATGTACTCTCTTGGCGCTTCTCCATGTTTTGTCCAAGAACCCCGCATTATGGGGGTATTCGGGTGTACTAGTGCAAGATTGGAGAATTACTACTTGGCCGTTCCGTGGCAATACTCCGAACATTGGGGAAGTCAAAAGGTTCCCTTTGCCGAAAATAACCTCCTTCTTCATACATTATGGGTACCTTTTCATTTTCCTTTTCCCGCTTTGAAGTAGAGTTCATTTATAGCCTAGGGGTGCCGTCCATCTCGAAACAAAATCTGACGGATACTATTCTTCACACCTAAGAACGAATTGTTACAACAAACCGCTACAATGCCAGGCCTACAAAGAATCAAAACTGAGTTGACCGACTTGCTCGGCATCAAGCATCCAATTCTCCTTGCTGGTACCTTTCCTCTTATCCTCCCTTCATCCCCGTCACGACCCACTAACCTGATTTCCAGGAATGGCACGGACATCCTCCGGTCTCCTCGCCGCCGCCGTTTCCAACGCTGGCGGCTGTGGTGTAGTAGGCGGCCTGAACTATACCCCAGAACAACTATTCTCCATCCTCAATGACCTCAAGGCAAACCTAAATGACCCTTCCCTTCCTTTTGGTGTGGATCTCGCCCTTCCTAAAATCGGCGCTGGCGCTCGAAAGACCAACCACGATTATACCCACGGACAGCTCGATGCTCTTATTGACGTCACCATCAATAGTGGGGCAAAGCTATTCGTGTGCGCTGTGGGAGTCCCACCCAAACATATCGTGGATAAATTGCATGCGAATGGCATTCTGGTTATGAATATGGTGGGTGCCCCGAAGCATGCGAGGTATGCGCTTGAGGCAGGGGCAGATATGGTTTGCGCCCAAGGTGGCGAGGGGGGTGGGCACACTGGGGCGATCGCGACGAGCATTTTAATCCCGGCCGTCGTGGACGCGGTGCAAGGCTACAAATCTCCCATGACGGGCTGTACGCCACTGGTGATAGCCGCTGGCGGAATACGCGACGGGCGCTCTCTGGCTGCGGCCCTGATGATGGGTGCAGCCGGCGTATGGGTCGGCACGCGCTTTGTGGCATCTGTGGAGGCGGGATGCTCGGAGGTGCACAAAGTCGAAGTTACGACTGCGACGTTTGACGACACAGTGCGAACGCTTGTGGTGAGTGGGCGGCCGATGCGGGTTAAGGCAAACGAGTACATCAAGGCGTGGGAGAGGCAGCCGGAGAAGATTTTAGAGCTTACGCAGGCCGGAATTGTGCCGTATGAGAAGGATGTTGAAGACGGAGTGGAGGCCGACAGGCCATTTTTGATGGGGCAAGTTGCCGCGGTGATTGGAGAGATCGAGCCGGCAGGGAAGATTGTGGAGGATATGGTCGATGGGGCTGTTAAGATGCTGTCGAAAGGATCAAAGTTCATAGGGCTTGGGGCGCGGTTGTAATTTCTAGCAGTTAGAAGAAAATAAGCCAAGCTATATAAGTGAAGGAAGTTGGGGAGTATTTAAACGAAGCACTCTGGTTAGTTTATTGCAAATAGATAGATTGTTGGATGCTCAAATTACACAGAAACTACCAAAAACAGGACGCCTAGTTGCTAAATCCCATATTCGTGGCAGCACCTCCCGACATAAAATCTTCTCGCCAAAACAGGAGAAAAATGACCCCTCGCTTAGTATTTACTCCTATCTTCCTCCCTTAAAAACCCGCCCTCATATCTTCTCCCTCCCCACTCTCCAGTATACTTCCTCCAAGATACATCCCAAACTGACTCTCCACATTCAGCAGCCCTTTTAACATATCCCATCGAATATCGCTTGAGTCAAAGTTAAGATAATCGGGCGACGGTCCGCCCTCCTCGCAGACCGCAGGAGCATCGGTATTTATCCCGGCGATGTCGTTGTTGTGACTGAGGTCATACATACTAGAATTGACGCAGACAGTTGGCGGGGATAAGTGTAAGAGAGGTACGGCAGTGGAGTGGACGAACGGAGTAAGGTTTGTCAGGAGTAGTTGGTGTTCTGGGGTTGAGCTGTATGCGTCAGGCTGATGTGCTGAAAGTGGCGGCGATGGTGCATGGTCTGTACCCTCCCATGGTGCCTCTAGGTTAAAACTGAGCGTGTCGGCGAGAACGTGCAGAACTTCGAGGGACTTCTCTGCAGAAATGTGCCCCTTAGCAGCAGCCCGGAGCCCGCGCCACAGTATTATGATATGCTGTGCGAGGGTGGCAGTCTGGGAGTCGGTAGCGTTATTACCATCAGCATTATGCATGACGTCTTCGGGGAGCGTCGAGCGCAACCGGTACGCAAGCAATAGTACGATGCTAGCACGGACAATATGCGTGCAAACCATGTCATTACAGCGGTGTGAGAAGACGTCTTCCCAATTCTCTGTGCGGGCCACGCGCTGCATAATACTTGCGGTGAGGGTGGCAATCTCGATGCTTTTCTTAAGGCAGAAGCTGCGCATGGCCCCGGAGAGGGTGCTATCCGTGAAATGGCGGCTGAAGAGGGCAAGGCGGGCCTGTTGGCCGACAAAGACGAGTTTGAGAGTTGATGGCTCAATGGCCGAGGTTTCGGACGGGTCGCAGAGGCCACCAGGGTACTTCTGCCAGCACGCAAAGAGTTGAGCGTCAATCCTCTTCATGGTTTCCATGTCACTGTCTTCGTAGTGCGAGAGAGCGCCAAACTGGATGATAGCGTCAAGATTGATGACGACGGAGATGGAGGCGCGGAAAAAGTCGAACGATTCTGATGCCGTCGTGCCCTTGTTATCAATTTCATTCGGTAGATCCACGTCGCAGTCTTCGTCTAGGAGCGAAACGGGTCGCCCACATGTCAGGGCAACGACACGGTCCACTATATAGGCGCCCCAGAAGAGGCGGTTTCGCGACTCGATTTCAACGTTAAAGAGTTGATGCGGCGATGGCCGCTTGTGGAGGCCGAGGTCCTGTATTATGCGCGAGGTGATGCCTGTGATGACCCAACAGGGGCTCGGGAGAGAGGCACCCATCAAATAGACACTCATAAGAAGGCTGATAATTGCATCGTCCAACGTGTAGCGTGCCTTGATCAGCCCTCTGCCATGATATTTTCGGGCGGCCTCAAAGAACTCCCATCCATTCTTCATCTGACGACCGCTATTGTGTCGGACTTCGGCTAAATCAGACATTTGTGCGCCAACAGCCCAAACCATCATAAGGATGGAGAAGTCGGCCACAATCTGGTCATGCTCGTAGTGTACAGGAGACCCCGTGTAAATGCGCTGGAACTTTATGAGGATCGAAGGCCAGTACAACATGGGTGTATGTGCTTGGACACTGTTTCTGTACACCTCCAGCAGCTTAGCTCCGAGGGGCTGCGGTGGTAGCTGTGACCGCAACTCTGCTGATAAATTTGACTGCACAGCATCCTGACGGATCGTCTCCAAAGAAGGGCTCCACAACGCCCTTGATGATGGGAGTTCGTATCCTAGCTGTTGCACATATTCACGTACATTGTCTAGGAAGACCATTTCAGACGTTGCGCCAAAGAAGTGATGCGCCTTCTTCCCATCACCTGTGACATAGGACTGTAGACTCGAGGTGCCGTGGGTGGAGCGTCGCCTTCTCCGTAAACGGTCCGTATCTATGATCTCAGATGCAGATCCGCTGTCTGAAAGCACATCGGCCGTTCTCTTTGTTCCAGTAATAGAGCAACTTGGTGTCGGCACTCGAGTTTGAGACCCCTGGCGGGTATGGTTACTTTGGGATCCCGTTCCATTCACGCGTGCCGCACCCGGAATATTTTCAACTCGCTCTGATACTTTCTTTAAAGTCTGTTCAAGCTCACGAAGGCGCATCCTAATAGGCACGACATAAATACATGGTCTCCCAAGGGATGTTGAAACATGGATTTGAAAAGAACGAGCCATACTTACTCAGAAATCGCACTTGGTCCAGTGGATCTTGAAGCATCCGCCACCTCACACACAATGCCCGCAGAGACACACGAAGAGCATTGTCCTGTCCGTGACGTGTCACACTAGATACGAAAGAATCAGTCAACGTTAAGTCCCTTAGGATACCAATCGGCCATTTTCTTGGATGAAAGTTAAAACCTATGACTTTGCACATACCTTAGTTTTCCTAGTCCGGCACGCGTTACATGCTCTGCTCTCGCGCTGCCTCCTAAAAGGGCGCCTGAAGCGTGGTTGCTGGTTTTCTTCTGTACTTGGCAATCGAACAGCAGCTGAGACAGCACTAGGGGCAGCAGAAGGAGCATCAGACGGATCGTCAGTAGAGCGAAGATTCGGCACCAAGATTTCTGCCGCCATAGCCGGTTCTTGAGGTCTTATGGTAGAAATTCTGCGTCTTGGGCACCCACATGGAAACCAGAGGTGTCCTAGTGTTGAATGAATCGAAACGGGGATGTGGATTTGGCAGGGAAACGATGAAGTTAGTGACTGCGGAAGGAGACTTCATCTACCGAATATGAAGGCAAAGTTAGTTGTAAGGTCATGACATTATTACAGTGAGGTCGAAGACTCAACAGAGCAAGATGCAGGGAAGACGGCTAGTTCTCTAGGGCGTCATACAAAATCTGGGGTCAAAAAGTGGGGAAGGTATCCTGTAAACGATGCATACGAAGTAATACTGTAAGTGAACTAAGATAAATGCGTCCACTAACTTTGGCTACTATTAACAATCTGCGTGATGTTATTAGTAAAGAAGGAATTAAGTCTAGAGCAAACCAAGAGCCTCTGAAATCCCATATTTTCGGATATAAATATACCCTTCTTTGGACGCCGCCCTTTTAAATGTGTTCCGGCCCGGCCTATTCGCGAATGTGACATATTCGTAGTGGTTTGGCCGAAACAATGTTAATTGTATGAAACAGGGGGCAAGGTGTCACAACAGCAAGGATAACATAGCTAATAGATTAGTAGTTAAAAATCTGCTGCTTTTCAACTCGTGCGTATGATTATACTATGTATATGAATACTTACATAGGCCTTATTTTTCAGCATGATAGTGCTCTTGGCCATTAGGCACATCAGACCTATGACCGACTACAAGAGCTTGGAATACCATGGATAAGATGGCCTGCTTCCTCACCAGACATGGGCCCAATTGAGGTTATAAGATTTTATGAAGGATTGGCTACAGAATAGGTATCATCCTAACGACCATAGGAGTTGCCATTGACGCGTGTAAAGGAGCACCTCTAGGGTGGGTTATGGAACTACTCTCGTAGGAGTCAAAGAGGAAGCGGTGTCAGACATTCATTGACGCACAAGGTGACGAGAGGAAGTACTGGATCAGGGCGGCACTTCCAAACCTACACAGTGAATGAACGTATATTACCCCTGTTAAGACTAAGTCCTGTTTTTATTTTCCTCTTTAATGGAGGTACAATGGCGGAACGGTTGTTCTATCCGGGGGGCGCTAATTCCATATATGGTCGAGACTGGTGAGCAAGGTCCACGGCATTATGAAATTTAGCTGGGTATGTGGAAATAAAAAAGTTGCCTTGCCGACATCCGCGGATTATCATCCGTGGTAATACTTCGGGAGATTAGTCAGCAAGGAATACTAGCACGGGCTTTCCAAGAGACAAACGTCGCCATGGTCGACTTGTTCCATCAACCTAGTGAGTATTGCTTCTGAATAGGCCTCTGACTGACATATGGAACTTGTTATAGAAATGCCTGATATTGTGAAGCTATCAAGCATTTGCGTCTGAAGATTCTTAAGGAGCGAAGAACCAATGTTATTAGCCTTCCTAGCCTGGTTATGATACGTATTTGGAACTCCAAGCCACATGCTCTCCCCCAAATGAGCATAAAAGCGTGAACAAAACCGCAATAACTTGTACTCCAATTCTCTATGTTGTGTACCGGAATTGCGGGTTCTAAGAAAATAGTTAGCCTCGATCTACAAAGCCGAATTGGCCAAGGAGAGAGAAGGTGACCGACCTTCCTGTCAGTGAGATCATCCTCATATGCATGGTCAAAGCCTTCTGGAATACCAGCCTCGTCACGAATATCGTTATCCCGAACTGCGAGATACCAGTATATGGCAATCAGAGCCATGGTCGCCAGAGCCGTCGCGAGCACGCCGATGAAGGCAGGAGCGTATGCGGGTGCATCTTGCGGCTTGAAGAGCCTAAGACGTGGTTAATATATGTTGGATTGTTAGATAAATTTGAGAGAGGTAGGACCCACAATGGCCCAATGAGATTCCCAACACAATAGCCGATGAAGACACCAGCAGCGTTCAACGTCCTCTTCGTATAACCAGCGCTATTTGCCATGACTACACCGAGGAGGACCGCATAAGTGCCTCCTAAAGAAGCAATGATATACGCGGCGAAGAGAAGCCCACCCTTGTTGCTTCGCGGAAGCTGCCACTGCAATATACACGAGACAACTGTTGGTACTTGACAACATAACATAATAATACATCTCTTGTTCTTGAACTTGTAGGCGGCAAAAGCGGCAGCGAGCTCAATGCAACCCGTGATAAATCCAGCTGGAATGGTAAGCAGTAGAGTGTTCAGCGGATTCAAACCAAAGTTTTGCACTATAATTGGCGTGAACGTCGAGTATGGTCCGTTCCCGACCATCATCAGCAGCGCGATAAAGAAGTGCAGCCAAAAGCGGACGTCAAGTAGGGTCTCCATGACCTGCTCGCCCTTCCAGTGGGTATTACGCACCCCGGTATTATTCTCCTGCATGCGCGCCACGGCGATATACCGCTCACGGGGTGTGAAACCTCTTGCTCGGATAGGATCGGGAGGGAGAAAGAAGTATACTACTACAGCCCATATGATCGTGATGGCGCCGGCGACAAGGTACATGTACTTCCACGGGCTCAGCGAACCCTTGATCTGTCCAAGGCCGTAGTTGATTAAGGGTGAGACGACGCCGGCATAGCCCGTGCAACAGAACCACGCGCCCATGCGTAGTGCTTGCTCCTGCTTGCGGTACCAACCGCCGACGACGATCATGAAGATAGGGGAGACACCACCCTCGAGCAAGCCGAGGAGGAAGCGCTGCGCCCAGAGACCTTGGTGATTGGTACATGCGGCGGTGGCCATGAGGCAGATGCCCCATACAAATATTAGGCCAGCGGCAACGCGTTCAATCGGGTACTTCTGTGCAAGTAGGGAGCAGGGATAAGAGCCGAATAGGAAGCCGATATAGAGGATTGCAGAGCTGAAACTGTCTATGTTGGTGCTTCGTTAGTCTTGGAAGACTCGCGACGTACTAAGGAGTAATAAGAGGAGGAAGCTTACATCGATTTCCGACGTTGAGATCTAGGTCAGTTCTGATGCCGAAGATGGCCTTGGAGATGTCAGTTTTCATATACCACGAACTAGATTTTAAATCCTAACTGACTGCTTGCGAGAGCATGGCTTTATCATAATACTGTAAGCCATATCTGTTATCCTCAGTCAGCACAAGTTTAAACTGGTGTTTTGAAGAGTTTATTTTAATAGTACTTACGTGAAACACAAAATGGGAAGGAGCTGCCAGTCCAGTTTCCGGAGAAGCCTTTTTTCCTCCTCAGGGGACCATGCATCATCTCCGTGCTCCTGAGCAAGGACTTTTATGGCCTCATCGTTGTAAACAGTGTCGGCTGACGTGATCTTCAAGGAGTTAATCACTGCTTGGTCCGCTGCGATGTGGGTTGCAGATAAGGTCTTCTCGATGTCCTCTTTGTGGGTTGCAGATGAGGTCTTCTCGACGTCCTCCGTTTCGGAAACCATTGTTGCGTCCAAGTTTGTTTCCAACTAGAACACAGTATGTGAGAGTATGTGAGATAGTATAGAAGAAAGAAAGGGGTCGTGAGTGATCTCTAGCAATGTGGAAAACTATTGCACTGATAATCCGGAGTAGAGTTCTAGATCTGGGTCTCCCAGGTTGTTTTAAACTCCTAGCACTGCTAAGGAATGCGGGGAAGTTTCCATGGAATTATTCCCCACCTCCACTATGTCCCCGGACTATAGCCCATCCCCACGGGACAGCTCCTTCCCCGCAGCTACCCCAGACCAGTAATCGTATTGCCAAGAATCTCCCCAGATTATGAGAGTCTGTGCTGAAATGATGAAAGGCTAGTAACCGCCAAAGTCGGGATATCCACGGAATTCCGGGGAATTTGGTAAATTCGTAGCTATGTATGTGGCGTTCCATGGCAAGTTTGAGATTGCTCCGTGAAGTGGTCCACGGGTGAGCATCCGCGGCTGTTGCCCAAAAGAATCCTGAACTCATGAACTCCTGAACTCCAAAACATCACATCACCAGTCGTACAAGCCATTCATGCGTCCGGATTTTTAATCCAACATCCTGTAACTGGTCGGCTAGATGAAATTTTGAGCTGTTAATACATACCCATGAGCATACTTTATCTTCTGCACACTTTATTATCTGCACTTTGTTTCTGCACACTTTATTATCTGCACTTTGTTCCTGCAGTCTACCGAACTTTTTGTTCTCGGTGTTCTTCTTCCGATTGTCTAGAAGAGATGGAACGATGGTTCAACTCCGTAATGAAACTCCCAGTGGCATCATAACTCTCCTCCCTTCCTAAAAGAAGGAAACCAAAAACAACAAAAATGCTTCTTCTTCCGATTTTAATACACAGTTTCAAGAATCTAATTGATTTAGCTACGGTTTACCTTACAAAAAAAACCTGTGATCCTCTATGGTGTTTAGAAGACTGGGTGACTCGTGAGCCGTGTTCTTATATCAAGAATTCTAAATGATGATCTAGAACCAAAGGAAGTAAAGTTTAAGTCTTCTTGGAGAGATCATGTCTATATTTACCCAAGTACAGGCCGCTTTTTACAAATTATCTCACGGTATATAACGATCTAGGTAAGGTAGTTAAGTACTCTCTTCTTCGGCCGACGCTTTTCATTGTATTCAGTGACCCTGTTGCACGTTAGTTGCTACGATACTTCTAGAGAACCTTTCCTGTAAATTAGCATATTTATCTATTCACTTTAAACATTTGTAGCACGGCATAATATGTCGTGCGTTACGAATTGCAAGGGCCGGCTCATCGAACATCCTTTCCTTGGAACAACAGGTAGATACATCATGTATTCTAGTGACATTCAAGAGAGTTAATAATCGTGCGGCATGTACTCCGTATATGTAGATTTATGAAAGTAAAAGCTATGTATGAGAAAAAACGAGGCAATGTAGTGTCGAGGTAATAACTCAACCTTAGAGCTCCTCAAGGCGCCCGTTCTTACCCTCATAGGGCCTCCCTGCCTCTCCCTCTGCAGCAACCGCGGCAACAACGACTCTCTCTTGGGGGGGGCTTTTTCTTAAAACTTTCTCTGTCGAGCTCTTCTTCTTCTGCACATAATCCCTCAAATACTCGTCATCTAAGTAAAACGTCACATCATCTTCTGGACTGAACTCTTCTTTCGTAAACCCATTTCCGAGGTATCCCCACCGATTCCCACTCACATACTCAATTTCATAATCCTCATACTTCGGTTCCGCCATGTGGTCGAAAAACGCTAATCGGCTCCCTGGCCACATCACCAGCGGGCCATCTGTGGTTCCCTGCTTGAACCAACTCGAACACGGATCTACCCACGCCGTGCGCTTCAAATACATGGCCGCATGCTCTCCAAAATCCTTCGTAGCTCCCTCCTTCGGTGAGAGTCGCCTTATGTGCTCCTTACGCATCTTGCGAATGACTTGGAGGAAGTGCTTCGTTCCCAGTGTGAGCAGCGGCAGCACAGAGCCCTGTGCAACCGGAGAAAAGGGACCAGAGTACATGAAGTAGTTTGGAACGTTTGGGACGCCTACTGCAGCATACGAGAGTGGAAGCCCCGTCCATTTCTCTGATATAGATTTCCCGTCGAGGCCGATAATAGGGAACTTCGGGCGGAAGGAGGTGTCGAAGCCTGTGGCGCAAATGATCACGTCGACTTCAACTTCGGCACCGTCGGCAGTAATGAATCCATTAGGAGTAATGCCGCCAATAGTATCGGTATAGCAGGTCGTTTTCTCGCCGACGAGGCACTCGAGGTAGCCATTACCGGGCGTAGGGCGACGACAACTGACGTTGAAGTCTTTAGGAATAATCTTGTCGATGAGACCGGGGTTGTTGCTAAGCTTAATGCACATCTCCTTGTACGAGAACTCGTTCGCTTCGTCCGACTCTTCGGTGTTGCGCAGCACGAGCTTAAATCGCTGATTTAGCTCCAGCTCAATCATCTTCCTGTATTCTCTGTACTTCTCCGGGTCGTGGGCCCATTCTGCCTTCTGCTCATCTGTGTACTGAAAGTTTGCGCCATTGGGTCCTGCAAACTTCTGCCCAAAACCTGCTGTGATCCAGGTGGGACTGCGTACCCATGTATACAACTTTGAAACGTCTTTATAGATGGAGGCGACGACTTGGACGCCGGAGCTTCCAGACCCTATCACAGCAACGCGCTTGCCCTTGAGGTCATAGCCCGTCTCATAACGCGCTGTGTGAAACATCTTTCCCTTGAACGTATTGAGTCCTGGGATTGTTGGCCATTTCCATGCACTGCATTCTCATATTAGTTTGCTTCTCAAATAGCATGGAAATGCAACACATACTTCAGAAATCCCGTGCCGTTCAATAATAAATCTGCATCCTCATGCCATTCCTTTACCACATTTCCCGCCTGATCTTTCTGCGCCAGGCTAATAATCCACCTTGACCTTTCTTCCTTCCACACGGCCTCCTTCACTTCCGTGCGCAGCGTAATATACTTATACATATCCTCCTTTGTCGCAATCATCTTCATATATTCCCAAATCTCCTTCGAGCCCGAGTAATAGCTTGTCCAATTTGGATTTGGGCACCAGGCAAACTGATAGCTAGCACTGGGAATATCACATGCACACCCGGGGTAGCGATTCTCAAACCATGTCCCACCAACATCCGAATTCTTTTCAAAAACCGCAAACTCCACGTTGAGTTGTGGGAGCGTTTGCACGGCATGATGCAGAAAATCAATGCCGGCGGCGCCGGCGCCGATGACCACGACTTTGAAGGGTTCAGCAGGAGGCTCATTGATCATGAGCTCGTTAATGCGGTAGCCGTTCTCAGAAACGGCATCATAGGAGGGGTGGTAGGCTGGGCGTTGCTTGGACGATGGGTGAGCTTCTGTGGTGTTGCTGCCAATGCGTAGGCCTTCCGGACGCACGAAAGTTGAAGAGTTGACTTCAAAGTCGCTGTAGTCTCCCATTTTCAAGGATGGATATAAAAATTGCAGGACAAAAAATGAAGAGCGCTAGTGGTAAAATGTGAAAAGCACGTAAGTTAAGGGAGAAGATATATAATCAAAGTGGCGTCTATTAAGATAAAGACCAGGCCTATGGTGATTCAACTTGCTACCTTGGGCAAGATGATTTGATGCTATAGATTGCCTCTTTTCTGCCGAGGCATATCCGACAACAGCTTAAAGAATAACCTCCAAGGTTACCGCAACAAGAAGGGTATTCAGATAGACTCCGGGCCGCGATCCGTTCCCTCCGGACTGGGGCCGCAACAGAAGAAAAGTGCTTCCAGCGGCTGTGGGTAACGGAAGTTCATCGGTTCGTGAACGTTTTGAGTCCAAATGTGGAATGTGGGTGAAACGACCATGGTGGCACGCGGGGTAGGTAACCGGGGTTACACATTGTGTAAATCGTTGTATTATATCCGTGGAAACCACGGAGGAGAATCCACAGTTCAGGGTTTACTAATAATACAGCTTAGATATTAATGATTTTGGTGGAACAACACCAATAATAAACACTAAAGATAAATGAGTCGTATTTGCTTGAAACTTGACTGTGTTATATGATTCCATATCTGCCGCAGCGCCTCGAATATTAAAAGTGTTTGCCTTATTTTATGGCAGATGGGAGCAGATCAAAACTTCTCACAGCTTTGTTGCCGCACTCTCGATAGACAAAAGCGCCCTCCCGTTATTCAACACCTCCTGTCCTTCTACGCTCGTCCTAAACAACACCTCCTGCAACCCATTCTCTCTCCCCATTTTCCACATCTCTACTAACAGCGTGTCTCCCGGATACACAACCTTCTTAAACCTAGCCTGAAACTCCCTCAATCTTCTCCCATCTCCTCCTGCAAATGTACTCACCACCGCGTGTGCGCTCATGTTCCACGTACAAAGCCCATGCAAAATAATCCCCTTAAATCCCGCTTTCTTCGCCACCACACCATCACAGTGTAAAGGATTATAATCCCCATTCAGTCGATATAAATGCGCCGTCTCTTTGGTTGTAACTTGCGTATATACCGCGTCTGACTGCCGCTTCGGTGGCACATATACCGTCTCCTTCTCTTTTTTCGGGCCGCCCCAGCCGCCTTGCCCAACAGCAAAGCTTTGTCGTAGAATGCGGCAGTACTTTGTGCCAGTGAGGGTATCCACGAGCACTGCTTCGGTCTCAGTAATCATTCCTGCGGGTCCCTTGTCTGCGACGCCGAGACAGGTAATCTGCAGCTCAAATGCGTGGTCGGTGGAAGAGGCGGGGAGTGGTTGGAATATTTGGATGTGGCGCTGGCCATCAAGGACGCGGGTTTGGTCAACGGGGGGGACACCTGGGATGGCAGGGGTGCGTGTTGTGGTATAATAGTCGATAATGCTTTGGTAGGAGCCTTTGAATTGCAGGATCACTGGGTATGTAGGGAACGACTGGAAGTCTGGGTGGAGCTCCTGAGGATTTGTTAGATTGCGAGATTTTTTAGGACACCTAGGAGGTAAGACAAACATTTAGAAACTGTGACTCGTAGGCTTTGCATCCGATGCTCGTGGAAAAAAGGAGGGAGTCGCGCTTGTTCCATGAGCAAGGGACACTAGGGAACTTGAATCCTGCGCCAGGCAGCTTCACAGGTGAGGCCATTTTTTTTGTCTTGCTGTATGATGATAAATTATGGAAAAGGGGTGATATTTTAAAATAAATAGAGCAGAATCGTCGTATATTTCTAAAATTGATCAAAGGTTTAATGATAATTTGGATTGTAGCCAGGTGTATCCTCTTCGCAGTCATGCTAGTGTAGAATGCTCGATTACTAGTTTCCCTCCTACCTAACTAGTTATCCCCATGATCAAGGTAGATAAAGTATCTACTGCCGTCTAATAGCCACAATTCGGTGCAATGTGAGCAATAGAATACCTTCCGGCATCTACTAGATAAGCGGTTTCCGGTTGTTGTGCCGCGGAAGGCGTTCACACTAGAATGCGGAGAAAGGGCGGGGTGTTGTTGACACTACAGTGCGGGGAAAGCACCACAGCCACGGAAACCCAAGCTAAATCCTCTAAATGACAGACCGGCTAAAAACATGAAGGTACTTGATAGGAAAACAACTACAAGCAGTACAAACAGGAAATTTTCAGCGCCAGAACTTTATAGCTTCTTAGAATTTTTGATATATGAACTCAGTCATGAAGGAGGGGTGATTATATTTAAAATCAGAAGGTGCTAATATTTGAGAAAATTTTACTGTAGATTGCCAGTAAAATTCCTGATTTGAGCTTGACCAACGATTACAAAGATCAATTTCTTCGCAAACAAAGCATCAAGTATGTGCATTTTATATATCTTGACTCATTTCTTTCTTATGCCGTCTTTGTGGGCCACGTAGTCCTCCTCCTCGCTCTAACGTACAAATTCATGGGCCTAATCAGCTGGAAATCCGGATCATAATCAACAACCCCATGACTTTCCTTACTAAACTCGTACCTGTATAGTAGCTCGGAAAACAAGATTTTGACCTCTTGCAGCGCAAAATTAAATCCAATGCATCCTCTTGGCCCTGCTGCAAATGGGACATAGGCGCACCGATGTCTCTTTTTCACAGCCTCCGTGTCCCACCTTGCAGTATCAAAGCGCAGTGGGTTCTCCCATATGTCGGGGTTAGTATGAATTGCATACAACGCAGGGACTAGCACAGCATTGGCGGGCAGGTGCCAGCCGCCGGGGAGGATGACGTCCGTTTTTGTAGTTCGGGCAGGCTGGAAGGAGGGATTATGGAGGCGCTGGGTCTCCTTGACGAATTTGTCTAGATATTTGAGATTCGCGGCGTATTCGGGGGTCCAGGTGATATCGTTGTTGATGTCCGAGTCGATTAACTCTTGGAGGAGGCGCTCTTGCTCTCCGGGGTAGGTGATGATGGAGTAGATCATCCAGGAAAGTAGTGCAGAGGTCGTCGTAAAGCCTGCGGCTGTCATGATGACCATGTTGGGTAATATGAGGTCTTTTGGTAGCTTTCGGCCGTTCTCGTCAATGGCGCGATTGAGGTAATCGACCACACAGGTTGCTTTCAAGGCAGCATCGGCCATGGGCAGATCAGGTTTGTCGCGGGAGTCTACTGTGTCCATCGCACCTTGTAGCCTAGAGTAGGTCCGCTGTTGCATATCCTTCAGCCTCTTCGGGTCTCCAAAGGGTAGTGCCCCATACCAATCACCACGGGCCGTCACTTTCTTATTCAAAAGTAGCATATCTGCAATGTCGTGAATTATCGGATCGACGGGAGAGTCTGGTTCGTTGAAGTGGCCGAAATCGAGGCCCAAGCAGAACTTTCCGATGGTCTGCGCTGCAAGCTTGTGCATGTATTGATAGACGTTCAAAGTTTCACCGGTCGCATCTATCGCATCAAAAACCTTGAATGACCCCCGCACTGTTTGCTCCATAAGAGGAGTATAATGACGGATTGCGTTTGGGCTAAGTGATGGGGGCAGAAATTTATGATTTTGTTGCCAGGCCTTTGTTTCTGTGTCACCAATGAATATTGCCGTGTTGTCTTTGATCCCCCATAGAGGATGGTCGGAAGTAATCTTTTTAGTGAAGTATATGGATTCGCTGAAAAGGTATCCAGCAATCACTGGGTCATCGGTATGATAATTGACCTTGCCCATATTGACAGCCTTAACAACGGATCCATATTTCCTCAACAGACGAATAATATTCCCGAGATGGTCCGGAAATATCTCATAGTATGACCCAACGCCTGGAAACCCCTTGGGTCCAAGTACTTCGCGAACAGGTTGACCATTAATAGTGATTCCTATAGGAGTGGTGGCATCGAAAATGGCCCCCAGGTCTTCTATCGCACCATGTTGATCTGTTTGAAAACAGATACCTATATATTATTTTAGCGATAGCTCTGAGCGACGGGGAACTGACAAGTTTAATCCTTACCAGTTGGTTCAATAATGTGAAATTCGAGACCAAGATTGGTTTTCAGCGTCTTTAGATCCAGGATTGAATCCACATCAACCTCGCGTGTTGAGGGAGGCGTAACTCCAACCAGATAGAACACCCGCGTTCTGTTGACAGTCATGATACTGAATTTGTAGCTTCTTTCCTGTTTCTGAAATATTAAACTGGGTTACAGAATAGAGCTTTAAGAAGATCAATCTTCTCTGATTATAAAATGCGAGAACGATTTATTAGATTCAAGTGTAGATATGTCCTTGAGATAGATAATAAAATGAAATACCCGTGACGTACATGGATCCCTTTCACTACCGTGCTACACTTACAGGTATTCACAATTCCCATGCCAAGTGGTCCATAAACTAGTTATACCCTTGGTTATACAAGCACATTTTGCCTCGGAAAGTTGCCGCGGAAAGTTTTATAGTTCTTGATATGGAGAGTCTAGGTTAGCAGAAACGATATCCCAAGGTACCATGTTTAGTGCATTGGGGTGGAGTCTGGTACTGTCGTGCCCTGAACTCCGCGGGCTCTTCTCGGCAGGGGCAATTGACCGGGATGATGTACGCTTCACGTGTGGGACTAAAATTATTCAACGTATTATGATTCTCATACAATATGCTGCTCAACGACATGACATCCGGGGAGAGCATTATTTATTGCTTGCTCTCGAGGTTACATTGCCATTTTTCATTCATACAGGACTACAACAATATACAATGACCACATCGTACACATTGGAAGAAGTGGGCAAACATGTCACTGATAAAGACTGCTGGATTGTTATACACAATAAAGGTAATTAGGAGCTATAATAGACTCCATGCTCTGCTAGTTGAATAAGCGGTTCTGACAGCTCATAGTTTACGATGTAACAAGTTACTTCGAACTACATCCTGGTGGCGCAGAAGTCCTTCAAGAATATGGCGGTCTCGATGCCACGGAGCCATTTGAAGATGCAAGCCACTCTGATAGTGCCTGGGAAACAATGAACTCACTCATAGTGGGCGAGCTGGCAGAAGAAGTGAGTTGGCAGTTTTTCATTGGAGCTGTTATATAGGATACCAGCTAATTCCTTTTCTTGCAGTACCGACAAGCAGATCATGTTTATTACAAAACCACACATGAACACGTTGAAGCCGCTCCTATATTAGCAAAAACTTCGACAGCGAAAAGGATTAAAAGCTTGTTCACCAAAGCTCTTGCTCTTAGCTTAACGGGAAGCCTTGTTTACTTTGGAAGGCCACTCCTCTCCACCCGTTGGCTGTCAACTGGTCTTCTCACCAATCAACTTCTACGCATCCGTATCGGGAAAACTTCTACGGACTTTTGGTATGGCTACCTCAGTTCCGTAGCCACAACTTCCCTGCTCGTGATGAGCGCTGGCTATCTCGCCGTGAATAAACTCAGCAGCGGCGGCGGCCATGGCGGACCCAGCTTGCCCGCTCGCTCAAAGCCCACGTTTAGAACATTGAAGAAGCCCTCGACTATCACGCCACCTGAAGCACCGATTCTAGCCACTCGTTCGTATCGAAAATTCCCGCTTGTGCACAAGAAAGAGCTCTCACCAAACGTGTATCTACTAGTATTCTCCTTGCCATCGCCCACGGCTGTCTTACCCCTGCCAACAGGCCAGCATGTCTCCGTGATGGCCGAGATTAACGGTCAGAGTGTCAGCCGCTCATACACACCGATATCAAACTATAAAGATCCCGGCGTGATCGAGCTGGTCGTCAAGGTGTACCCGACTGGCCTTCTCACACCGCACCTCGGCAATCTGAACGTCGGCGACGCCGTTGGTTTCCGTGGGCCGATCGGCGCTATGAAATACAAATCTGGGTTAAGCAAGCGTATTCTCATGATCGCCGGTGGCACCGGCGTAACGCCCATGTATCAAGTCATCCGGGCAATCTGCGAAGATGAAGCAGATGACACAACAGTGACGCTGCTCTATGCGAACAATAACTTGGAGGATATTCTCATGAAGGAGAAACTGGATGCGTGGGCGGCGGCGCATCCAGGGAAATTTTCAGTCTCCTACGTTTTAGTAAATCCCCCGAATGGGTGGAAGGATGGGACGGGGTTTGTGTCGAAAGAGATGATTCAGCAGAAGTTAGAGGGGGGTCTGGATACAAAGGTCATGCTTTGCGGGCCGCCGGGGATGGTGAAGATTATGAAGACGCATCTTTCTGACATGGGGTTTCCGGTTCCGGGGGCGATTTCAAAGGCGAGTGATCGTGTGTTTGTATTTTAGCTGGAAGAACCTTTGTCAGATGTTCGGGATGCAATTTGTCACATTGCTATAAAACACTATACTTTCTTTGAATTCTATTTTATAGATAGTCTGGTTATATAATCTCCTGTCTCCTGGTAAATTATCGCATTCAGAACTACAAAGCCAATTTCATTTACCAATTACTACACTTTCAACATCTTACACTAGAAATGGGACTACTGGCGGGTGACACGCACGGGTGTGATGGGTGCGACGGGTGCGACGGGTGCGACGGGTGCGACGGGTGCGACGGGTTCTCCATGAGCACGCCCCATGTCCCACATCAACTGGGACCGCCAGACCCGCATTTTACCCCGTACTCTGTACTCCGCATTTTCGGTCTTGTTGAAGTAACGAGCCAATCAGTCATGGCGACTCTTCCTCATGTGTGTAACCGTCCCTTTACCGCGGGGATGTCAACCGCGGGCTCGGTATCTATGAGCTCGGCAGAACAATCCAATCTTGACTTCGGCTCTGCCTATGACGGTATCCAGCTGTCCTGGCTGAGATGCGAGCTCATATTCCCATCCCCGGAGTGCACATAGTGGAGCATATTTCTCGAGCATGAAGGTCTTGCCTCACCAGTCTCACTTTCGCCAATTGATTAACCTCTTGTTGGATAATACTTGTGTAGCAACTTTGATAATAATGGCCGCTCTTCAAAAGGTATACGTCGTCGGTGTGGGACTGACCAAATTCGTCAAGCCAAGAGGACTCGTCGACTATCCCGACCTGGGCTTCGAGGCTGGTGTCAAAGCCCTTTTGGATGCGGGAATAAACTATGATGAGGTCCAGCAAGGCATTGCTTGCTATGTATATGGCGACAGCACATGCGGCCAACGTGTTTTCTACCGCTTTGGTGAGCTTGTTCCCGGCGAAACATTTTTATCAAGTGTAGATGCTAATCTACCCTCTTCTCCGTTTCAGGCATGACCCAAATCCCCATCTATAATGTAAATAACAATTGCTCGACCGGCAGCTCCGGCATCTACCTTGCACGGCAGCTCATCTCCCACAACGCCGCAGATTGCATCCTCGTCGTCGGCTTCGAAAAGATGTTCCCCGGCTCCCTCAAGACAAACTTTCCCGACCGAACACCCCCCAATGACCGCACCGTTGCCATGATGCGCGCCACTCGCGGCTTTTCTGACACCACTCCCCGCGCGCCTCAAACTTTTGGCAATGCTGGCAGAGAGTACATGGAGAAGTACGGCGCGACAGCCGATGACTTCGCAGAGATCGCCCGTATCAACCATGCGCATAGCGCGAAGAATCCGTACTCACAGTTCCGCGACGTCTATAGCCTTGAGCAGATCAAGAACTCACCGATGGTTCACGCGCCCCTCACAAAGCTTCAGTGCTGCCCGACTTCTGACGGCGGCGCCGCGGCCGTTATTGTATCCGAGAAGTGGCTTGAAGCGCACCCGCATCTCAAGAGCCAAGCAATACTCATCGCCGGCCAGCATATGGCAACCGACAGCCCGGCGTTATACTCGCGATCGGCTATCGACCTCGTAGGGATGGAGATGACACGCACAGCAGCGCGTGTAGCCATGTCCGAGGCAGGAATTACAGCCGCAGATGTCAAAGTCTGCGAGCTGCACGACTGCTTCTCCGCAAATGAGATGATCACTATAGACGGTTTGGGGCTCTCGGCTCCGGGCAAAGCGCACGAGCTTGTTCGCGCCGGCGGAATCACGTTTGGTGGGCAGGTAGTGGTGAATCCGAGCGGTGGCCTGATTAGCAAGGGACACCCGCTGGGAGCGACGGGACTGGCGCAGTGTGCAGAGCTGTGCTGGCATTTGAGAGGATGGGCAACGAATCGCCATGTGGAGGGCGCGAGGTATGCACTGCAGCATAACCTTGGGTTGGGAGGGGCGGCGGTGGTGACAGTGTATAAGAGGGCGGATGGGAAGTTGAATGGGCTGGTAGAAGATGTGGCGGGGGTTAGTAAGTCAAAGTATAATCCTGCTGTTGAGGCGAGAGAGCCGACGCAGGAGGATGTGGCGACGGTTATTAGTCGAACAAAATCAAGTGAGTGGATGGTTACAGAGAAGAAAATACAGGCCCAGTTGTAAGCGGCTCGTATTCAAGAAGGTTGGGTTGCTGAAATGCAGACGGTATTGATGTATGTTAGAGTATTTGAAGACTTCATCTACTCTTCTATGTATCAATCACTCTGTAATAGTTAGCTAGTATAGCTTTCGAGGATTCAACTTCTACTAGGTTGCTACGTACAACGTGATTCGCGTGAGTTGCCAGTATTTTAAATCAATACGATAGTGCATGATTCTTAATAAAGTGTTTTGTGCGTTGAATGTTCAAACATTAACACCGCCCACAACGCATTTCACAAGAGGATGGTTAACACTCTGAGAGAATCACAGTATCCTTCGGTCTAGATTCTCCAATCCAGTAACCCATTCATCAAGGATTCTTCGAACGCCCTGCCCAGAACATTTGTTTATAAAATTGTCATGAGGATGAGGGGGTCATGTGTCTGTACCCTATAGCCGATCCGAATATGGATGGTCATCCAGATGGCCTAAAGTAAATATATCCTGGATTTGTTCAAGCAATAGCTAAGCCGGAACCCATTTAACTTTGACCAAGAAATGTCTCGAGCAATTTTTCAACTCGATATCTTAGACTATTCCATTACAAATAATGATCTAACGGTTTGGGACCCTTACAGGTCATTTTTACTGCCTGGTTGGATATGGTTGACACCGGCAAAATCGTTGCGAGGTCCTCGCATGTTAGAGGACTGGAGATGGTGACCCATGGAAGCTTCAGCTATATAGCCAAAGCGATCTCCAAGCTGCTGTGAGTTATTTTGATAATTTGATTCTCAAGATAGAGTGTTTGGTCGAAAACCCATCACTTCAACCGAAGGACAATCCAGAAGACCAAGCAAGGCTTATCGTTCTTGCGACAGTTAAATTCAACACGCCACGCTCCCAAGATGAAATAGGACTTTTCTCCAACGAGATCTTAGACGGCGCTGGGTTAAAACAGGGTTTCGTCCGGGATTTCCTCACATCGGTTCGTCGACCAAAAGCGAACATAAAGTACATAGCGCCAGGTCTGCGTCTCCCTACAGAAGCCGACTCCTCGCCGTTCCCACTTTAGAATCTTGACATCCCTAGAATATGCTCAAACCCCATTCTCCCTATCCTTTTGTTTGTCACAGTCACCAAGTCAACTTCACCTATTTTTGAACATTACCATTTCCTAGATCTCACCAGTCTACCATACGGCCTGTAGACATCCTATGTCAACAGAGATGGCAAACACGAGTTTGAAGACGGCTGCAGACTCTTCCTCCCATTCGAGATTGGTGCCGCCGGATTTGCGCGACTTACAGACGACACGCTTGTCGGCGAAAATCTTGAGAGCGGGCAGGCAAGAAAATGTGGTCGGAGTAATGAATTATACCAAACGGGGTATATTCAATATATCCCCTCGCATGAGCCACAGTTAGGAGATATTTTGAATCTATGGCAGATCCTTGTGCAAGCTGGGTTATGGGAAGTAGATCAGCAGGGCGTGGTAATTGAGAAGTTCAAAGAGGCAGATACGGACGAGGGGTTTTACAAGTATCTGCTTAACGTGAAATGGTAGGTTAGTTGCCGGCCAACTTCGTAGCTATGCTATGAGCCATCCCCTTGCCGGCCATTGTTTATCGCTGGGGCATTTCTATCCATCCACCAATCCACGTATACCAGTGTATACCTCTCCGTATCCTCCTCCCCGTCAATCAAGTAAATACCTTCGTCCCACTGGCTGCCATCATCCTCACCACCAATAGCATCCACTGCATCCCACACATCCCACTGCATCACCCCCGGAGCCGTCCCATCTGCCTTCCGCCCTTGTGACAGCTGCGTCACCTTCCTCGGACCCCCTCTCTGCCGAGTCTCCTCTTCGCTCTCCTGGTGAAACCCATATTGCAAAATCCGGAGTATGGGAACAGGCGGCTGCATAGCGAGCATCCTGCGCCAACTCGCCTCAGGCCGACAATACGCCTCCCAGTCCGCAGGAGTGAAGGCCTCCATCGTTTCCTCGGGCGGTGTCCCCCCCGTCAGATACCGTAGAGGGGGCGCGATATGAAAATTCAAGCTAGGGCCCGAGCACTCATCATGAAACTTCTCGGCGAGGTCGCCGGTGCGGTTAATGTCGTGGAAGATAGGCCAAAACTTGGCGGCGAGGATGGGGTTCTGTGTCCATGGCGTGTCTAAAGGGGCGGGGGCAAGGAAAAGGCGTTGTTTGAGGGGGGGGGATGAGAGGATGGTTTGGTGCCAGGTGCGGGAGATGGCGAGGTTATGGAGAATGTCGAGGGGTGGAAGGGAGAGGAGGATGGTTTCGAGGAGCTCGAAGGTCGCGAATACGGCTTCCGTGGCTGTCATTTTGGTGTATGGCGACGTTGGATATCAAATCAAAGGCACCAAGCCTAATGACTTCCAAGTATAGTACAGTAAGTGGACGCTAAGGTGAGACAGTGGATATATGTGAGTAAAGGTTTCAATGGACGCGATAGGTAGGGATCGCTGTCGTTGTGGCACAGCAGATGTCAGGAATAACTATTGGAGTTATTTGTTCAGTAAATACGCTTCTAATGTATTAAAATATGCATGCGTATTTATTCCTAGAAAGGCAGGCAACAAGTGTAAATCTAGAGTTATTCTATAAGATGATTATTATTTGATATTTTTATATCATTTCTACTTTTAGGCAACTACAATCCAAATCGCATTTACATGCATCACAAAAATCACGACAAACCAACAATTTTTAAAAACGACAAAAATCCATTCTTAGATCTCTACTCCAACATGAGGGAGGAACCAGATAACTCCTTTGCTCTGCCTTCGCATATACCGGCAGACCCGAATCCCAAATTCCCATCTATTATCCCTTCCCAATCCTACAAAGAGCACGCGCAGCCCGGCCACCCAACCCATCCCCATCATTGCCCATTTCCCATTCCTTTCGTGCCTCTTCTCATCCCCCGTCATGGTTCTCATTCGTAACCCAAACCATCCCCCGCCCCAAGTCCCCCTCCTCCGTTGTCCCTACAATTTGCTTCCCCCAAAATCAGAGGGATAGGTATATACAAAGATTCCCAAACCCAAGAATGGCATGTATAACTCACTCAACATACCATCCCATATGCAACGCTAAAGATTCGACAGATTGGAATAATTTGCCGTCTGCGGTCAAAGATAACCAAGGCCGAGAAAAGAAAACCTCGGCCTTATGTTTCCTCCAGGCGACGGACTGAACAAGAATGAACATAAAAAAAAGCTGACGATGCCCTTTCTTTCCGTCCACCTCATCAGTCCGACAGATCTTGCAGTACCTGGATACTCAGTATCATAACCAGCAGTCCAATCGTCACAATAATCAATAACGCGAAGCCAAACCAACCCAGCACCATAGCCGTTACCCCGACCCCGCTCTTGACGCTCCCGTTCGCCAGGTCCTGCGCTATGATACTCGCGGCTACGGAAGCCGTGTGTTGCCATAGTACCGAGACTAAGACGAAGATCGAGCCGATGAAGATGATTGCCAGCGAGACTTGAGATACGGGTCGCGATGGAAAGGGCTTGACGTCGACTTCGGAACCGTCTTCGTTCTCAGCTGTGTGCCAGCCTGGGAATGTTGCTAGGAGGATGAAGCAGATGAATGCGAATATGATGGCGATGATTCTGACAGTCGAATTAGCATGCGGCCATCACACTGTGAGAGTCAAGATGGGAAGTAGACTTACATCAAGTAGGGGAACACAATCATATCCTTAAACTGGCTCGCCAGCCAAATCAAATTCAACGGATCCTGATCAATGCTGATCTGGTTCGCCAGACTCGTCGCATTGTTGCTGCAGAGCCACGCTCCACCATCGGGGTTGATGCAGATGCCGAAGAAGCCTACGCGCGCCTCGAGCTGCGCCCTTCCGACGATTTGCGCGATTTGGGAGTGGACTCCAAAATTTGTCTGTGCTGTTGACGGCGTGGGCGTGTAGGGCGTGTAGAAGAGGGAGATGAGGAAGATGTTCGGGATGACTGGTGATGATGACGAGCAGCCCGCGAGAAGTAGCGCTGGGTTTGATTAGTCTTGGGACGTGTTGGATACGACTGGGTGAGACTTACAGAGAAGTATGATTGCGACCACAATCAGTATCATGAGAACATGATGATATCCAATAAACGGTGCGAAGCCTGCAGAAAGCATGTTAGATCCTGGTCTTGCCCCAGAGAAGCGGAGAGGAAGCGGAAGGACTCACGGGAAATCGATATCGAAAACCGCATCTGTGCCATCTTGACGGTTGCCTGTGCTTAAGCACGCTCCAAAGCCAGCTGGCTAGTATTCGAGAATTGACTGCAGTGTCCCCTTTCGTCCTCCTCTATAGAGGGGCGTGGAGAGCACAGAGCAGTTGGAGATTCACCAGAGCTTGATCTTGCGTCTTGTTGCTCTCGTCGTCGAGGGATTGTAGATGCCGACGACGGGCAGAGAGGAGCTGAGGAGTGCGAGCTGGATTGACTGTCTAGATGTGTAGAGGTATCGTTGGTCCTGAGATGGGTGATACAAGTATTATATGTCTCGTGAAGTAGGTGTATCTTCTTTTCGTTCTTTCGTAGATTGTGTCAGATCGGCGACAAAGCTTGGTCGAAGTGCTGGATGATAACGACGGTATCTGTCTCAGGTGAAGAAATAATGAAGAGCGAGAAGGTGTATGTTTGTGTTGGGGGAGCAACTCAGCTTGGTCCAATGTCCATATGCTTTAGTGTATGTCTTCCGAGGAATTCAAGAATCAAAGAATAAACGGTGGTTGGGAGAGATCGGTGGTGATGATGATGTGGTTTCTATTTCCTCACTGCTAAAACTGGGGGTTGCGCCAGCCTCTGTGTTTATCTGTGCATCATGGCGACAGGGGTGGTTGGGCGGCATGGCAACCGTTGTGGCTAATTTGGGTGCCTGGCCCAAATCCACTCGGTTGATCCCGAAACCCTGGGGTCGAGGGTCTGGACGGGTTTTTTCACATTTGAGGAACACGGGAGTAAGGTGTATTGTTAAATTATTTGTATTGTTGAGGTTGTGTTCAATTAATATTATCTGTATTCTTCTTGAAGTCGTTTCTGTCTGATTTCTAGTAATTTGCCCTTTGTTTGGGTATATATGACGTCTGTTATGAACTTGCAGGGATTGTTTACTGCCCAGCCACGCCGTTTCGAAGCCATGCGACAGACAATCTTAGGCCTCAATAACATTATAGATTCGCTGGCAGATCTCTGGGATCATATACAAATTCTATACGTATCATCATTCACATAACACAGCAGCGCCAGAAGCCTTGTGGTGTTGTGAAGCCACACTGCATATCGCGTCGTACAGATGCAAATACAGTTGAAACGCCAAGAACTGAGGTGACCCCCAATGAATACTGTGAAGAATACTGTGAAAATGTCCATTGATCTCAGATACTCGATAGATAAATGTCCCTACGTAAACTTTTTCACAGACATTGCTACCATGCTCATGCTATACGGCCAAACCGCAAGTGCCGTAGCAGCAGGAAGCGTACAATCTCTCCAAAAATATTCATTGCCAAAATCAGCAATGACCCCCAAAGCCACTCCACCGCGCCCATGCTGTGGGCAAGCGTGTGAACCAGGTTCCCACCATGAGAATCCCTATCTCGTTTCCTCGCCTATGTCAGGTATCGTCCACCCTCCGTCTACGCCTCGCTCCTCTAAATGTATAAGCCTGCCTCCCTTTACCTCCTATGTCCCTACTTTCCGTTTGTTGAAGTTTCTATATATCATATTAACCGCGTCGATACATAAATCGCTGCCTCACTGGAGGAACCCGCTGGGTTGCGCTGGGTACATCCTCTGCCTCTTATTATCCGGGTGCTCGCTCTGGGTTGCCATGTCGGGCATGTCGGCCAGCTGCCTGCGGTTCCCTACTTGGTTTGGCGCGGGCATTGCCGCCGCCTGTGCTGCTTGTGCTTGCGCTTGGGCCTGTGCTTGGGCCTGTGCCTGTGCCTGCGCTTGTTGGTATGCGGGGTGGGTTGGTGTTATCGCGTATGCTGCGTTGTTTTGCATCTGCGCAAAGTTTGCCTGGGCGGCTGAGTTGGGGGATTGCCCTGGCATTTGGTTCGGTGAGGGCCAAGGCCCTGGAGATTTGCCTGGCGAATTCTCGTCTTTGATAGGCTGGGCCGCTGCGATGTTGGAGATGTTCATGTTTATCGGTTGTTGAGCGTTTGCCATTACTGGCTGGTATGCAGGGTAAACTGCTGGTTGGGGTTGAGCGGGGTGGGCGTAGTCTTTCTTGAACTGCATGAGATGCTTTTCAAGACTTCGAAACATGCCTTCCTTGGTAAAAGGCTTCGGTAACACATCGTTCATGCCTGTTAAATTTTAGTAAAAGTTAACATAGAGAGCCCGATTGATATTCTTACCATATCTAAAGTACATATCAATGTCGTCAGCCCTTATGTTAGAAGTCATAGCAATGATAGGTATCCTAGGTGCGACCTCGCGGATGCACACGGTTGCGGATATACCATCCAAGTGCGGCATAATGATGTCCATAAGAATAAGATCGAAAGAGTTTGGTGCGGCATTCATCTTGTCAACGGCTTCGAGTCCGTGTCGCTTCAACATGTCAGTATCATAGTCAACTCGGGGGTTTGTAGGAAACATACAGCTACATCCACACCGCATTGAAAGCTTTGCAAGAACTTGGACCCCACGCGCGCACAGGTCTTATCATCCTCAACCAGTAAAATGCGAGGCTTATGCATTCCCCATCCAGGATCCGTGAAGCTCTTCTTCCGCCCCGCCGCAGACTTCGATTGCTCCATGTCTGTCTGGTTCTCTGCCAACGGTCCACCCGGGGGAATAGCGTAAGGGATGTTGTTAATATGCGCGCTGTTGATCGGATCGATTCCATTGACTTGTCCCACCGGGTATACCATGCTGTCCAAATCGTAATTGCGATTTGCATACGGCAAATTATTTGGGAGACTGGCCGTGGTTGGCGTCGGCACAACACCGCCGGAGCCTGACTGGTCGTTCGAAGGAGTGGAGTATTCGCTGCGGAAGCTGAAGGGGCCGCCGACTTGCATCTGCTCTAGGTCCTTGCTGAATAGGTTCTCGGCAGAGAACTCCTGGAGGAGATGCGAAGCCTGCTGTAACGGCGAGGCGGGATGATCATCTGGTCCTGATCCAACAAGGTCTGAAATACCAATGCCATGGCCATTCGCGTACCCTATAGTCCGGCTGTTCCTCCTTTGCGCATCCATTGTGTGTAAGAAGCTCATAACCCGGTGCATTGCTCCGTCGTGGTTCTTTACAACCTTTTGGAGGCCCACAACTTGTGTTAATAACACGGCATGGTTGGTAGTGAGGTCGTCGTATCGATCTTGGAGGTTTTGCAGCTGATGCTGGACGGCGCCCAATTGGGTGTTGACCAGGTCAATCTGCTGCGACGGAAAGGACTCGTCGACTGACGTGTTCGTCTTCCGCGGTGCCGGACCCTTTCGTCTGATGTTGTCCAGGGAATCCTTCTTATTTGCTTGAAACTCGGGATGCTTGAACTCCCATGCCTGTACCTTATTAGTATCCTGCTGGGCACCCTCCGAACCTAACATACCCCTTGACCATACGGATTCTGTCCATTATCTTCATTATTCTGCCTAACTTTGTGGAAATCGTACTTGTTCAACTGGCGGACGAAACTCGCGAAGTTGCTGTGCTTGAAGTGCTTGGGGAGGATGGATTTCGTGAATTTCTCGTTCTGTTTCTAGAGTCAGCGATTGCCCCGGCTTGTGACTCCCCTCTCCCATATAACTGACTTCTAAGACCACAAAGCTGTCGCCTTCGTTACCCCACCGCACTACTGATTCGTATGAAGGATCCTCCAGCATTCTGTTTGCGCGTTAGTCATATCCCTCGGCGTTCGCGACTTCTCGTATGGCATTAGAACCTACTTGTACAGCTTCCGCACCTGCGCAACAGTTAGCCAATGCGACCCCCGCCATCCACCCCAGAATAAAGACTCACAAAATCGCTGGAGTTATTAGACCCAGTCCCTGTTGTTTCGGCTTTCTCCATGGTATCGGTAGCCGGTTGAACAGCCTTATCGACGTCGCTGTCGTCTTCGGGGTACGCCGCCGGTAGCCGGCAGAATCAGGGTCCTGCTTGCCCTTGCTCCTTCGGCGTTCGACTTTGCGCTGCGCTGGCAAAGAGGGCGATGGTCAGGGCGACTTGACCGAGGGCCAAAGAGGGAGCGAGGGAAGTCGCCTAGGTGGTCGATGCTCTGCGGGGCTATGGCACGGCTTTATGAAGCAGGCGATACTTCCATGGCGCGCAAATGGAGGAAGGCGCGCGGCGCAGCGGTCGTAAGTGACTCCAGGCGTAAGGGCTGAAGGGGTAGTTGCTACAGTAATGATCGTTGTTCGATGCTCGACGTGAACGAGCGACAGTTTGGCGTTCAACGTTCGTGTTGTTTAGTAGGGAAGGTCGTGGGACGAGCAAAGTGGAGTTTTCGTTGGCTTTTAGATGGGGTAGAGGCTGGTGGTGGTGGAGCTTTGGTAGTAGTGGTGGAGTTTTGGGTGATGGTGGTCCCTAAATGGGTTGTGTGGTGGGGATGATGGGGGGGGTGGTGTAGGGGGGGGTAGGGGGATGGGGGGGGGTAGTGGTGGTGGAAGAGGGATAGAAGTTCCTGCTAGGTGTACTGGCAACTTTGGGTGTATGGGTGCAATGGAGTGCACCAGTGTGATGCGGTTACTGGCGTTGGCGTTCGCAGGTTTTTGTGGGTACGGAATAATAAGATCTACGGAAAACACCACCAAACGATTTCCCTTTTCGTCTCTCAACCGACGCAAGTGGCTACAACCGAGTGGCTACTTCCTTAGACGTTTATATATCCGTAGGGGGGATATGGCCAGTTTAGTCATATAATGCCCCTAGCCTTTGATAAAAGCTGAGGGAGGGATGGAGTTTAATGGGGCTGAGGATGAACTGATATAGATAGATACAGGTGCATATAGATAGATATGGGAGATAATACTATTATGAACAGTCGTGTGCATCGGCGCATGCTACTACTGTACTATCTTACTCGAGCAGCTGCATTCCATCCCGGCGGCGGCCATAAAATTACGGGGTTGCCGCCCGAGTATTTGCCTTTGTCGTTGTCGGTGTCGGTGTCAGTAGATAGGCATCCGGCGTTAGATCAATCAGCCGTTGTCTGGCAAACAAACAAACGCGTGATCGTAGTACGTCGTAGTAGTAGACACTTAACACTGAATGCTTAACGCTGAGTTTTCACATTACACACTTTCAAGACACATCTCCATCTATCCATCCCATCTCCCCACCGGTGCATAATTGCTTCCGCACTATACATACTCTACAGTGCCTACATCAACGTGCATTGCCACGAACACCCGTCCCCCTGCACTGAGGCGTTTTTTTGTTCTGAGCAATAGTTTCCGGGCAGGCTTGTTGTACTCTATACATAGAAACTCTACTGCTACGACTGAGTATGTCGGTACTTGTTGGGACTAGGGTCCTCGATCCTCCGCCACGCCACGATCACATTGTATTGTAGCATGTTATGTTAGTAGGATGTCTTAGCAGAGTGGCTTGCTCTGGCTTGCTCTGGCTTGCTCGTACTTCGTAAAAGATGCTTCGTGCTTCGTGAAAACCCTGTGTGATGTGTCTACTAACGAGAGTATTCAACGCCACCGGCAACAGCCACAATTATTCACAAATATCCACAGACAACGACCACAGAATCTAGGATCCCTAGGAGCAATCTATTCCACATGCTAAAGAGACGCAGAGAATCCTATAACTGCTAGGATGCGATGTACTCAAACCTCATCCCGACCTACGCCGTGCTTCGTATACCCGCGGACTTCCAGGAGCAATAATCGGCAATAAAGTCCACAGCAGTGGCGTCTAGCCCGGTTGCTTGGCGCTTCCTTGGCGGCATCATCTCTGGCAGAAGTGATGGACGCCACCGCCAATCAAGGCGTCCCTCAACAACTCTCAAAATCCTGTGTGTGCCAGTCAGAGATGCGATGTAACTGTGCCTATATTGCAGCTGAAAATGTAGTTGGTCTGTTACGGAGTAATGTGCATATAATCGGTATAATTGATCGATCCACGCAAAAACCAAATGACGGCATACTTATACAAAATACTATTCTATTACTCTGCTACTCTGCTACAAAACGACTGTACATAGTTACTTACTTTCTTCGCGTCGGTGGTACACACGGCAAAGGGCCGAGCAGCCAAAAAGAGCGGAGAGCCTCCGGCAACGACAAGGGAACGTATTTCCGCATCCGTCTATCCGCCTCTCAAATCCGTCCATGCCGACTAGGAAGCAGAGTAGTCCCCGTAGTTCTTACATAGTGTACTCTAAGTTATGCCGATCACGTTGTTCCACCTCCCAAAACGGGCGTGTTGAACCCTTTTTTGTCGGATCAAGAGACCCTAGAAGCCGAAGTCGAAACAGAACACTCTGTGTATCATGTTCGCGACTTTTTTTGTTTGGTGTTGTTTCGAAGCCCACAAAATAGCTATTTTCGCTATGGCAACAATCGGCGTGTGTGGCGTAGTATACCAGCATCATAGCATGGAGTTAATCTTGATGATAAGGAGATTGAGACACCACCCGATGATTAAGCGCCATTGACAGGGGACAAGGCTACTGTATACTGTATCATCTATCAACCTCCAAATTCCAAACAACCACACTAGCATTCCACCCCACCACCACCCATTATACACACGTACACTCTCCCAACAGTTTGTATAACGCCGTATACAAGCCAATTGCCATCATGAACTCCTACGCCGCCCGCAGACTGGCTCTCAATGCCACCCGCCGCCTCACAGCGCGCAGCTTCCACACCACCCCCCGCGCCTTCGTCAAGGTCGGTGACGCAATCCCCGACCTCAATGTCCTCGTCGAGGGCTCGCCCGGCAACAAGGTCAACATGGCCGACGAGCTGAGAATCGGAAAGTCGTTGATCATCGGTGTGCCTGCAGCTTTCAGTATGTGACAAGCTGTCCCTCCCCGCACCGCACCTTCCAGACCGGAGATAGTGTCCTGCCAGATGTGGCTTGGCGCGACAGATCTAGACAACATACGCGATAATGGATTGAGAGCTAATGATTGTCAAAAGGCCCGGGCTGCTCCAACTCCCATATCCCGGGATTCATGAAGCACGCAAAGATTAAGGATGCTGGTAACGTCTTCGTTGTTACCGTTAACGACGCGTTTGTGTATGTTTTCTATCGCGTGTACTTGGGATATATCTAACGGTTACTAGGACTAAGGCATGGGCCGATAACCTTGACCCAGATGGATCTACTGGGGTAAGCTCCTTCCTAGCTCAATGCTTCTTGCTGCATGGCCGAGGCTGGCGAGCTATGGACTCGAACTAACTGTTATAGTTCCGCTTCATTGGTGACCCAGCTTGCACTTTCACCAAGGCCCTGAATCTCGATTTTGACGGTACCGCTATCTTTGGCAACGAGAGGAGCAAGCGTTACGCCCTCCTGGTTGAGGATGGCAAGGTGAAGCAGGCCTTCGTCGAGCCTGACAACACTGGCATTGATGGTATGTTGTCCCCTTCCAAGCGTACCTCCAATGCTAACAGATTATAGTCTCTGCTGCTGAAAAGGTTCTGGGATAGATCTTGGCAGCTATCTTGTTGGTATCAGAGCTAGTTACCAAGAGTAGTCACCTTGCGCCACCAATGCTATGTATGTACTATAACTAGAAGCATAGCAAGTACCTTTCAAATAAGAACAGTTACCAAACATAAGCTACGAGAGAATCAAGTTCTAAGGGCCAAATATAGCTCCAAATTAACAGGTGTCGTCATGAACAAAAATACAATCACGTGACCCAGTAGATTGTGCCACTATCGACGTACCTCACATCTTGGCAAGGCTCCGAAAATCCTCGACGCGACCGTCAGCCTTGCACCACAATCACCATCCCACGTCTCGACGCGCCGACTACCGCATCATCCAATCCCTCCTCGTATCACGTCCCTTAGCCCATTGTTATTCGATCGCAATACCAATATCCGCGGCATTCGGTAAAAAAATCGCGCGATTTGCCTACCAAACACCCCCACCCCCAGAACCATGGCGAGCGACAAAGCCATCACCAACGCCATTTTGGAGACGGTGCGCGAGCTCTTCAAAACGGATATTGATGCGCTGAGCGTGAATAATGTGCGCAAGATTGTGGAGAAGCAGTTAGATCTCTCCGCCGGCTTTTTGAAGGGCGACGCGTGGAAGGCGAAGAGCAAGGAGATTATCACTGGAGAAGTCGTGAGTACTCAATCCGCTGTTAAATCAGACCCTGGGGAGTGGAAACTGATACTTTATGGCAGGAGAAACTAGATGAAGGCGCCTCAGCCCCCGAATCCCCAGCTCCAGCGCCGAAACCGAAATCGAAACCCGCACCAGAGCCAAAAGTAGCGAAGAAACCCGAACCAGTCAAGAAAGGCACCAAGCGCGCTGCCCCAACAAAGGCAGCGGCCCCGAAAAAGAGGCAAAAGAAGGAGGCCACGCCCAGCTCATCGGATGAGTTGAGCGAGCCGGAGAGCGAGCCAGAGGAAAGCGAGGAGGAAGCGGAGTTCAGTGATAGCGATGTGAGCGAGGCGCCGAATACGAAGAAACGCGCTGGAGGTGGACGGGGGAAGAAGGGCAAGAAGGAGGAGACGGAGAGTGAAGAGGAGAGCGAGGCGGAGGAGACGCCTAGTGAGGGTGACAGCGATGCTAGTGAGGCGCCGAAGAAGAAGAGTGGAAAGCCGAAGGCTAAGGCAAAGGCGGCTCCTAGGCGCGCATCTACTGCTTCCAGGAAATCGAGCGAGAAAGTTGTGTCTGAGGATGAAGATGAGGAGGCAGCATCTCCGGTGAAACCTAACCCGGTTGTGGTCGCGAAGTCGAAACCGCTGCCTACAGTTGAGAAACCAGAGGCCGAGGACGACGAAAAGCCAGATACCACCAAGCAGGCAGCCGAGGACTCCGATTCCGACCTCTCAGTTCTCATCGACGAGCCGCCCAAACGCTCCAAGTCAAACTCCAAATCCGCAAAGCCATCCACATCCAAGACCCCCAAGCCCGCCGCCGCCGTCTCCCCAGCCGACGCTGAGATAAAGACCCTACAATCCCAGCTCGTAAAGTGCGGGATCCGGAAGATCTGGCAATTTGAGCTGAAAGACTACGGAGACGATAGCAAAGCCAAGATCAAGCACCTGCAGAACATGCTGAAGGAGATGGGGATGGAGGGACGGTTTAGCGAGGCGAGAGCGAGGGAGATTAAGGAGATGAGGGAGTTGGCGCAGGATGTAGAGGCGGTGACGGAGGGGGCGAAGTTGTGGGGGAAGAGGGGGAGGAGGAGTGAGGGGAAGAAGGCGGTTAGTCAAGAGGTGGAGAGTGGGAGTGAGGAGGAAAGTGAAGAGGAGGTTAGGCCCGCGAGGAGGGCGGCGAGGAAGGATGATTTGGCGTTCTTGGGGGATGAGAGTGAGTCGGATTGAGGGGGATATTCGGCGTTGGATATCCTTCGAGGAAGACACGCCTGGCTGGGGCCTCGCTACAAATGTGGGAATGTCTATGTGTATTCAAAGCCACTGCGGTTAATGTGCTCACTTTGCTGCTGTATGCGTGGAGTGTATAATCAGCTTATTATAATACTAGTTATTAGTGCTATTTTGTGGATGCCTAAAAATAAAGTATTACAATAATATTTTTTGGAAGCTCGAATCATTAAACTACGTTTTTACTATTTGACAAATACTTGAGCACTCCTATCAACGTCCACCTATAGAAACCCAAATTGACACCAGAAGCAAGGAACTACAGTTAAAAACGATTAATTCTATTTACACCGAAACATCTGTATATCCGCAATACCGAACCTAGCAAAACTCAACCCATTCGTATCATCAAACTATAATCGACATATAAAAACACAAAACCAATTAGACCAATCCGAGGGTATAACTCCTATGACCAAAAATTTCTTCGCCTCTCACAACATCTAAACTTCCTAAATCCCATCTCAGTGGTGCGGCGGCATGTGCATCTGATACAGATCATGTGGCGGCGGTGGCGACACAGTTGATGAAGCACCATTATATGCGAACGCTGCAGACACAGCAACTGGATCATGCATGGGGGAGACCGAGCGTGCGATGGTTGACGGGGTAGTCATCCCCTGATGTACATACTGTCCCGAGGCAGCATATTGTCCAGGAGGCGCGTACGACACAGGTTGTACTGGGGCGGCGTATTGTCCAGGTGGCGCGTATTGTCCTGTTGAAGAGGGTTGATCTGGGACAACATATTGTCCCTGAGCCGGACATGATGCTGGAACTTGCAGTGGCTGAGGCGCAGGCTGCCCTGAAGCTGCATACTGTTCTGGAACTGCGGGCTGTACTGGTTGCAGATAGTGACCCACTGGAGCTTGAGCACCATATGGCGCTGGAGGTTGTCCATATGGCCCAAGAGGAACATAGTGGTGGCCTTGCAGGCCTATCTTTTGCTCTTGGGACATGCCACCCTCCGAGTGGCGCTGTCTTAGGCCACCAATGAGAGCTACGACGAGGAAGATCGAGATGGTGGTCAAAGTGTACATATACGAATCGGCATGGCCAACAGCCGCGGTGGCCGTGGCGGTCATGGAGCGAGACTGGAAGTTGATGATTGATTGGTTGACCAGGGCGAAGAGGAAACGCAGGAATAATGCGGGAATAACAATGAATATCATAAGGAAGGTCCCCTAGGGATCTGTTAGTTACAGATTCTTCTGCAAGAATGGTGGGAAGAGTATACCTTAGACGGCCGCTTGAATACGGCCACACAAGATAAGATGGCAAGGTACATCGAGATGCCAAAAATGTATGCCGAAAAGAAAACAGCCGTATATTTCGAACCGTCATTCGTGATTTGGGAAGCGTTCCCGGCGATGAATTGACCATAAAGTGCGGCATAGAAGCTGAAGGCTACCAAGGCGAGCACCCAAAGAAGTCCTATTAAGACATTGGAGAAGAAAGCAAGCTTTCCACTCCCATGACTCATATCTTCAAGAATAGTGCGCGCGATGATGGCGACTATCATGATATCGCCGATCAGAGAAAAAAGTCGTTCAAAGATGAAGGCAATTACGAAATTCTTATCTGTATGGTAGCCCGACTCTACCATTGCGGTTCTGATAGCCACGATGAGTAGATGTCTAAACTCAACAGTCAGTTTAGGTTCAAGATTCAATGGATATCTCACAAAAGACAGGAAACTTACAAGAACATGCAGAAAGCAGCAAAAAGATATCCAGAGTTTCGCAGCTTGTCTGTTCCCTTCTCTCGGATCCATTTGAACCGCCTTGTGAGAATCATACACAACACGAGGACAAGGAGGACTATGATGTTCATCGCAAAAAGGGCATTGACTGTTGCGTCCTAGGTCGCTTGTTAGTTGATATCGAGGAGTTGGGCTTTGAGTTCTGTTTACTCACCTTCCACCTGGAACTAGTCGCCAACCCGACAGTATTGTAGTTTGAATTCTTTGGTCCACCACTACCATAATCATAGTTGTAATCGTCACTGCCACCACTCCCACTGCCAGTACCATAGTCATAGTCGCCATAACCGCTGCCACTGCCGCTGCCAGTGCCAGTACCATAATCGTAGTCGTTATCACCACTTCCACTTCCACTCCCGCTACCACTTCCAGTACTGTAATCATAGTCGGTATCACCGCTGCCACTGCCAGTGCCAGTGCCATAGTCATAGTCTTCATCACCACCACTACTACCTCCACCATAGCTTCCTCCGCTGCCTTTCTTTGGCGCCATTGCAAAGAGGTATATAGGGGATGTCTCGTGACAATTCGGATGCTTTTCTCTGGAAAGACTTCACAATTTCGCACCTGGCGCCAAATGGATCTGACAGACAGCGGGCCATTTTCAGACAGGAGGACACCCAAGAACTTTTAAAGCTGAAAGAGTCCAAGGGGCCAGAACCGTAGGGCTGGTTAGGGTAGATCATCGGCTAGTGAATACCCCGAGCTTATTGCTAGTAAATGGGTCTACTAGGATTTGACAGCATCCCTAATTGGTGCCAAGCGAGGCGAAGCTCCATGTGCTGCACTGTGATTGAGCACGAACAAATTCAGCCTTGCCGATCAAATGCCACACCAACAACTCCTAATTTCGACTCATTTCACATAACCTGTGAAATACTGGATATTACGAGCGGCGCAGCAACTTGTGGAGGCTGTCAGTGCTACAGTGGATAATTGGAATTGTCTATAACTATTGAGCTTACGGAGCTGGGACATTCGCATCGCCGATTACATCAGGATAAAGATGGAACTATTCGCGTTATAGGGCATTCTTGCGACCTACATAGACATCAAGAGATATAACTATGCACTCCACTCAGAACTCTCATACCCGTCAACCAACGCCACATACTCCTCGCCCGCAGCAACCCATCCCTTGATCCCGCCTGTAAGCGTAGAGCTCTCCATTTCACTCTCCTTACCCTGCTCCTTAATATAATCCTGGAACCACCCCGCTGCACGTCCTCCACGGCCGACCGACGAACCTGTCAATTATTAGCTTCCAAGCCCCCATCACCAATACCACTGAGAGTAACTCACCACAATACCAAACGATCGTCTTGACCCCCGCCGCGGAGAATAGGTTGAACAGTTGCGGAATGTTGGGGTAGAGGGATTGCGCTGGGAGGTTGATGGATCCACGTATCGTTCCGCCCTGGTGTTGTCAGTTCTATCCAGGATTATCACCCTCATAGAATGATGCAGCCACTCTCATCTTCATGGCAGGAATCCATCGCAAACATACCTTATAATCGTTCCTCCGCAGGTCAACAAGCACAAAGTCCTTCCCAGGCACCTTGCCCTCGGTCAACCAAGAACGCATCTGCTCCCGCGACACAGGCGTCGCTACCGACTTGGGAGATGGGAACGCGGCGTGCCAAGGCTGTTCCTCTGTTGGAGGGGCGGGGGCGCTGGTGTTTGCCATGGTTGTTGCTCTCAAGGAGGTAGAAGAGAGTCGTGAAGAAAGATATGGGCGAAGACAGGTATGGAAGCTGCTGGATGAGAAGTGTGAGATTCGACCTACCGAATGCATTCTCCAGCTTCTCACCTGCTTTATAAGCAACTGGATGCTGTCGTCGATATAAAGTGGCGATCACGTGATTTTGGATTGACGTGTCGCCCCACTGTTCTGGTAGACAAATGTCACTCTGTTGTGGTGATTGGCTTACAGCCGTGGATTTGACTTACAGCGGGTCTGAGACCCTTCTGGGCGATGACATTTTGATAAGATATGAGAATAACTGTTTATGAATTTCTCATATAAATATTACAATATGGCATGTTTGTATTTTATTTAGCAGTATTTTGCATATTCCTTTGGTTAAATTCTTATAAAACCCTTGATCGAAGTTATGTCACTCAACGATACTGAGCCTGCCAGCCAGGAGACCACAAAACGCCACTCGAAAGTCGATGAATTGCCCAGCGATAATGAGAAAACTCCTCCCATAACCACCGACAAAGATGCAGAAGAGCAACCCACAGCAGACTTCGAAAACAGCCGCCATGCCCCGAAAGAATCAGCCTTCAAGAGCCTCGGCCTCCTCGACCGCTTCCTAGCAGTCTGGATCTTCCTCGCCATGGCCATCGGTATCATACTCGGCAACTTCGTCGACAACGTCGGTCCAGCATTGCAAAAAGGGACATTCGTCGGGGTATCTATACCGATCGGTGCGTATCAATGAACCACATCTGTACTTCTCACTAAGCTAACTCCCAAAAGCCGTCGGCCTGCTTGTAATGATGTACCCCATCCTCTGCAAAGTCCAATTCGAAACCCTCCACCACGTCTTCCGCGAACGCGAAGTCTGGATCCAAATCCTCTTCAGCATTGTCCTAAACTGGATTGTCGCTCCTCTCGTCATGGTATGCACGCTACCTTCCTTCTCCTTCCCATTCCTCACAATCCCCTATCGTCACCCACAGCCATTAACCTCATTCACTACAGCTCGCCCTCTCCTGGGCCTTCCTCCCCGACAAGCCCTCCCTTCGCGAAGGTCTCATCCTCGTCGGCATTGCCCGCTGCATAGCCATGGTCCTAATCTGGACCTCCCTCGTCGGCGGCTCAACCTCCTACTGCGCCATCCTCGTCGCCATCAACTCTCTCCTGCAGATGGTCCTCTTCGCCCCGCTCGCCATCCTCTACATAACCATCATCAGCCGCGGCACCGCCTCGCCCATCTCCTACGCCACAGCCGCCCAATCCGTCGCCGTGTTCCTCGGCATCCCCCTCGGTACTGCGATCCTCACGCGCCTCGTACTACGACGCGTCTGTGGCGCAAAATGGTACGAGGACGTTTTCGTGCGCTTCATAAGCCCCCTCTCCCTCCTCGGCCTTCTCTTCACGATCCTCGTCCTCTTCGCCTCCCAAGGACGCAACGTAATCCACCAAATCGTCTCCGTCGTCCGCGTCGCCGCGCCCCTAATCGTTTATTTCGCCCTGATCTTCTTTCTCACGCTGCTGGCGTGCTACAAATTGGGGTTCGGGTACAAGCTCGCGACGACCCAGGCGTTTACGGCGGCGAGTAATAATTTTGAGTTGGCTATTGCGGTGGCAGTGGCGGCGTTTGGGCCGGATAGCGAGCAGGCGCTTGCGGCGACGGTGGGGCCGTTGGTGGAAGTGCCGGTGCTTTTGGGGTTGGTGTATGTGGTTAAATGGGTGGGGAGGAGGAGTGGGTGGAAGGATTAAGTGCTGTGTGAGGAATATAGTTAGATAGATGGTGCTGGTAGAGTGTTTGAAGTAAGATATATTAGTTCTCAAAGTATATTATATAGAATAGAATTTAATCGGATATTTTAGACAGCTTTTATATGATGCATGAAGTAATATAAAAAAATTGATTTGAGTTGATTATGTCCAGCAAAGTGGTATATATACAGCGCACATCTAAATAACCACGCCTATCTTACCCGCCCCAATTTTATTATAAAATATACCAGCCATCCATCCATGTCTATCCCGAAACCATGCGATACCAATATATATAACCAAAAAAAATCCATCGCCAATCGACGGAGGTATATGCCCAGCAGCACCAAAAACTATATGGGTATCTCAGCGTTCAAATAATCTTCATCTTGAACCCCGTCTGAATCCAGCGACTCGCAACAAACAGCGTCGTCCCAATCACCATAGCGACACCGCAAAACACCTGCACGCCCGTGTACTCTCCCTCCATGCGCGTCAACAGAGCTCCCGCGATCGGGTTCCCCGTCAACCCCGCCAAGGAGATGATGAAGTACAGCGTGCCCATGCGGACGCCGATCTCGCGGACATCCGAAATCTGCGCGACGCACGAGGGGGAGATGGAGACGAATGCGCCAGAGGAGAAGCCGTAGAAGGCGCCGAAGAGGATGATGGGGATGGCGCCCCGGGAGGGCAGCCAGAGCGCTAGGACGAGGATCGAGGAGAGGGCGGAGGTGGCGATTAGGGCGTTGAAGCGGCCGTAGCGGTCGGCGAAGATGCCGGGGATGATGCGGCCGAAGATGCTGGGTGGGGTTAGTAGGTATTAAATGGAGAGGGATGGGGAAGCTTACCTGACTGCGTTGACGATGGGGATGAGGTACACAGCGAGGCTGGGAGACATCCCGTAGTGGATTCCCTGGAGAATGATGAAGTTGAAGGGAATGAAAGTGCCGAAGAAGAAGAAGAAACAGCCGAGACAGAGCAGCAAGTAAGCTGGTTCGCTCAGGGGTCTAACGAAGTCCATAATCGACCTCTCCCTCTTGATCGGCTTGATGTGCGACCTGATGGTGAGGTTGGCAACGATGAGCATGCCGAGGAAAACGAAAGCAGTGATGCGCATGGTCCAGGCAAAGCCCACCTTCGGAATCAGCTGCGTGACCATAATTGGGAGAACGACGCCGCCGAGCGAGGAGCCAGACGCCGCGATTCCGAATGCTGCAGCACGGTTGCGCAGAAACCAAGTTGGGAGAACGTTCATGGCAGGGTAGAAGATAGCGGAGGCTCCGATGGCGCTGCACACACCCTGCGAGAGGAAGAACTGGTAGTACTCTGACGACAGCGAGACCATCATCAGGCCAAAGACGTGGCAGACGGAGCCGAAGAAGAGGAGGTAACGAGGTCCGTAGCAGTCAAAAATATATCCGAAGAGGGGGCCCCCGGCGAACATTAGGAATACCTCCATCGAAGGGATCCATGCGATGGTACTCGGTGTGTATTCCTTCAGCTGATGCCCCTGGTAGTAGTCCTGGAAGATACCAATACAGTTTATCCACCCGAAACTGCAGAACATGGCGCACCATGCGCCGAGGACGACGAGCCATGCGGCGCGGCCGCCATCGGGGAAGTTTGCCGGATTGGGTCCCCCGGGTGGTAGAGGGTTGTGTGATAGGGCGCGCGCATTCTTCTCGAGGTCTGCGTTCGAGTGAATTGTCGCAGCGTCTGTGTCGATGGGCCCGCTCTTAGACTGAACCCGTGCGACGGCATCGGTGCCAGTGACAGATCCATTATATACTGGCCCAAGATCTCCAGCCTCGATGGCCTTGTCGTTTTCCTTCATGGACGACGACGAAGTCGAAGGTGCTGTGTCGGTATGTGCTGCCATTGTTGCTTGAGGCACAAGATCGTCAGTTATGCCGTCGGGGTAGAGCAAGCGACGAGGCTCTGATGTTGAAGCAAGGCAAAGAAGTTGAGGCTGAGGTGGTGAGGCTCAGATGATGCCGTTGCGATGAGTATATATACTCCGCATGTGCTATGTGCTTATGTGCGTTTAACACGGAAACTCCGAGCTTGACCGATCGTCCGTGGAAACTCCGCCGGTCTGAGTCACGGTCAGCGGTATATTTTAGGCTTTAAGAGTGGATTTGTCAGTAGTTCACCTCTTGCAGTTCATCTACGTATTCTAGGTCCAACTCTAGAATCGGTAGGAGGGAGGGGGGCTGCAGGGCATGAAGATTTTATGGCGGCGGCCATGGACATGGTGAGATTTTGAACCCCCTCATCAACACAAAGGTCCTAGCTCTTTACCCCAAATTGGCCCAGCTCCCTGCCATTGTACCCTGGGAACCCTGGGAATAGAGCGGCCATAGCACCGCGGCGGCACACCTTGTTGGGTTGGCGTAAAAGCACTGGCTGTACTCTGAGAAAAGACCGAGTCGGACGGCCTTACGAGTGGACGAGCTCGGTCTCAGTAAGGAGTTAAGGTATGTGAGCGCCGGGTAGGGAGTAGCGCAGCATGGATCTGCAGTGGGGAGTGTTTGAAGCTGGCGGCGGCGAATGAGCGTGGTGTACGACGGTGTCTAAGGGACGCCAACGTGGAGTTCGTGGGGGATGACCCCTGGGAAGCGAGCACATTCGGCTTTCGCTCTGGGTTCGCTGCAATCCTTCGCTCTTACGGCTTACTGCCGAACACCGAGTCCGACCAAAGGGGCCTGTCAGAAGGCTTGACTCCTCCTGCAGCTTATAAATCTACGATATGAATCCGTATATGGAGAAATAGGAAAGTCATTGAAAGGAGTTAATAACACGACTATTATGTAAAGCATCATCATCTGTGTAGAGTGTAGTCGTTTCGTGTACGTATAGTATCTTTCTCTGCATATAGTATTTTTTTTTGCGTGCGGTATATTTTTCTGCGTATACTATCTTTATTATTGTATTATTGTTTAGCATTTTTATAGATAGAGTAACCACGGACAAAATTACTCCATATTACGCGCACGCCTTCACCACGTTCACCACGTTCACCACGTATTACGACATCATGCAGCGACAGGCATCGGGTCGGATTTAGACGGTTTCCCATGTAAATACGGCAGAGGTGCCGCGACCTTGCATGAGCAAAGATTACCAACGTACTATAGACTCATACTAGACTCATACCACAGTACTAGTTCTACTACTGTGTCACTGATCGTACAATATATCCCCCTTTTTAACCCCCGCGCAATAACCAGTAATACACTTCCCTACTACCCACATTCCTCTATCTCTTGACATCGTCGGCGCTGCTCGCTGCCTCTCCAAACTTAACCTTTCCGTCCTTGCCGACGCTGGCAACGTGGAATCCCGTAGGTGCATCCACCTTTGGCAGCGGCGCCACCTCCGCCTCAACCAGCGGCTCCCTCGCCAACGTCACCGCATCTTGCACCGACCCTGCCGGACTATCCGCCACCTCATTGACATCCCTCGTCGTCATCACATCGCTAATCCGCGACGCCCTCGACGACAATAATAGCGTCGTCGGGCCGTGGAACTGCAAAAACAGTCGGTCGCCCCAGATAGTCCTGCGCGCCGACGTCCTCAGAGTGTACGCGAGGTTCGCCACAGTGCGCCACGTCTTCGTCTCGGACATAACGCGGAAGAACTTGACGTTCTGTAGAAGGCGGGTAAATCCGAGGTCGGGGACCTGAAAGCGGAAGTTGGACGACTTGAAGCGGTAGGGTAGCGGCGGGTGCTCGCTCATGGTGTATGCCACCACGTTGCCGGGATGCGCGACGTATTCCTCCCCTGCTTTGAGCGTGACCTGGTAGATCTGGCCCGAGCCGGAGAAGGCAACGAGGCCGCGGCCGCGGATCTGTGAGTTGCCCCAATGCGCGATGTTCATTGACGTGTTTGCGCGGGGTGTGACGGAGAGGGTGTGGCCGGTCCATGCAAGAAGCGCGTTCCGCTGTGTAACCATCCAGTCGACGGTGCCATTGAGGTGCACGACAACTAGTGATGTGATTGGGGATTTCGTAGAGATGAGAGCTGTGATCGGGCTCGTTGACGTGATGCGCTGGTAAAGAAATGGGATGCCTAGTGCGGCTCGTCGGAACGGCTCCAGCAGGGAGAGGGTCGATTGTGCCTTTGATTGTTAGCTTCGTTATGTAACTGCTGCATGTTTACACGTACATTTTCAACCTTCCCACTGACGCCAACTAAGGTGCCCCGCCTTGTGTATAGGCGTTGCGATGCTGATAATGAAACCGAGAGAAGGGAATATGGCGCGCCGATGACCTCAAAGCGCGCATCTGTCTAACATTAGTAATAATACGACGTGAATATTGGAGCACATCCTACCTGCTGTGCTTGACGACTCGCTCGGGCTGCTGAACGGGTCTTCTCCAGTAATTGGCGTGTCTGACGTCGGAGCCGCAGTGATCTGAATCGCTCGGCGTTGGATATGAGGCGCAAGGCGGCGGGCTGGTCGGCAGTGCCTCGCAGCTCCTGCTAGTGATGTATGCCCGCGCATACTGATATGCTCCTGTCAAATGCTGCGTCGCAATTCGGCTGGATGCTCGTGCTCTCCAACTTTCGCCAACTTTTGGGAATGGTCGGGTCGGATCGCCAGATAGGCGGTGGGGGGCGGCAATAAATGGGAGCTCCGTCACCCCGTCAACCAGCTACTGGTGTTTGCCCTTCCCCTTCGCGCTTCCACCGCTACTTGCTTCAATTGCGTTAACGACAACTCGCCCAATTCTTCGACACTCGGCAACCAGCAGCACGGGGAGGGAGGTTCTTTTGCTTCTTTAATTTAAACGACACCTTTTTACTGTCCTTACTGCATTGCGAAAGCTGCCTATATTGATAATGTCTGTGCGTGTTGTTGCCAGGATACGGCCCACTCTGGGCAAGGAGCTCGAGAAGGATACGATTGTGCGAGCGGAAGCCAGCGAAGATGGGAAGCCGATGAACATTGTCCGCATACCGAACCCAAGGAACGAGGCGGAGGAGTTCAGCTTCGCGTTCAATGGCGTCTACGACCAGAGCACGAGCCAGGAGGAGCTCTTCACGAACGAAGGTAGGTCATTGATGTATGAATTTGCTCTATGACCGGTTTTTTAACCGCAGACAGTTTCTCCACATCTCAAAGCCCTATTCCAGGGACTCGATGTCACGATATTCGCATACGGAGTTACGGGGACGGGGAAGACGCACACAATGCGTGGTGGCTTGAAGCTCTCGGAGCGTGGTGTCATCCCCAGGCTGCTCAGCGGAATATATAGACGTGGGCGAAAGGTGGTCAAGGATTCCGGGGGTGAGACCTCGGTCTCCGTGTCGCTGTCTTACTACGAAATCTATAATGACAAGGTCTTCGACCTGCTTGAGTCGCCAGATAAGCGCTTGCCGGCTGGACTGCCATTGCGCGAAAAGGATGGGAAGACAATCGTGGTTGGCCTGTCAGAGCGTGAATGCAATGACTTGAAGGACTTCGAGGGTCTATACATCGAGGCGAACAACAATCGCAGTACAGCTGGCACGAAGCTAAACGCGCAGAGTTCGCGTAGCCATGCAATCTTGATGGTGAAGGTTATTCAGACAACGGGTGACGAATCGAGGATAAGCACTGCTTCAGCCATTGACTTGGCTGGATCAGAGGATAACCGCCGCACTGAAAACGGGAAGGAGAGGATGGTGGAGTCTGCTAGCATCAACAAGAGCTTGTTCGTCCTGAGCCAGTGCATTGATGCTATCAGCAGAGGGGACAAGAGAGTCCCATACAGAGAGTCGAAGATGACTAGGATCTTGTCGTTAGGTCAGAACAGTGGCATAACTATCATGGTCCTGAATCTGGCTCCGCTTCGAAGCTATCATCTCGATACGCTGAGCAGCTTGAACGTTAGTTCCAGGGCCAAGAGGATCGAGGTCCGCGAGATTGAGAATGAAGTGGTTTTCAAACAACATCCGAAATCGATGTCCAGTCTCTCAGGATCGACGATCAACCGACAGCCGTTGCGCCCTCTGGCAAACGCACACAATACGAACATAGCGCCAGCTGCTGCTACCACGAAGGCAGGAGACAAACCGATGAAGGCTTTCTCAGTCTACTCGGATCGTACCAAGCCTACAAAGCCAGCTACGACTGTCACACGGACGAACTCTAAGCGCTTGTCAGACGGCGCCCGTCCTTCAAGAACCGCGCGTCCAGCTTTATCCAGTCGAGCACCTGCTCCTGAGCTGTCAACCGCCAAAATTGAAGAGATGGTCGAGCGCAAGGTTTCCGAAATCCTAGCTTCGCGCGCTGCGCAGACGGCGCCTGCACCCATCCCCGCTGCGGTGAGTGATGAGGTACAGCGCCGCCTGGACGCGCTGGAGCGCAAGATTGAGGAGAGTAATGGGGCAGCAGAGGATGCACGGAATGAGGGGCTAAGGTTCCTGTTAATGGCAAAGCAACATAAAGAGCATGGCCAAGATAGCAGCGCGTTGAAGATGTATGAGATGGCGTTGCCGTATTTTCCAGGCCAGGTGAAGCTGGAGAGGAAGATTGAGGCACTACGCGCAAGAATCAGGGCGAAGAAGGAAGAGGAGCAGCATCATCTGATGGCACAGAAGCACCAGAGTCTACCTACGAGCGGACATTTGGCTACAAGACCTATCCAGCAGCTTCCAACCCCAGCGCCATCTTTCGAGGCTGTCTCCGAGGCGCCAGCGTCGAAGAAGCGCAAGATGAAGGTGCGCCCTGATAACGACGATGATGACTTCAGCGGCTCTATCGTTGCCGATGAAGACTCGTACGACGACGATGATAACCTCAGCCACAAGCCTCTTAAGGTCCGCAAATCCAAAGCTCCAAAGCCTTTTGTCTTCACCTTCGGTGACGAAGCAGCGGCCCTCACGCCACGCAAGCGCTTCATCCTCGACGCGGTGAACTCGCGTGACATTGGGCAGATTAAGGGGCTCAATGGGATCGGGGCGAAGAAGGCAAGGGATCTACTGGAGTTCCTGGACTTGCAGGCTGAGGAAGAGGGGGGTAGAATTGAGAGTCTGGGGCAGCTGGTTGGGGTGCCCGGAATGGGTGGGAAGACGGTGGAGAGGATGTATGAGGGCGTTGCTGTTGGTGTTTGAAAGGGGTGTTGTGTATACCCGGTGCGCGGTTTGGGGATGATTGTTCCCATACGTGCTTGTCTTTTGAGCCGTTTGGATTAGGGGGCGTTTGCATTTGCATGTGCTAGGAGTTATTGGAAGGGGAGGGGTTTATCTTGGGGGCGTTGTTTGTCTGGTTAGACACGTTTGGATTTTAGGCCGTTCAATTGACGATTTGGCTCTTGTGATTCTCATTTTCCGCTTCCCCTCCCGTCCCGTGTCTCTAGAGATCTGTATCATCCCGATCCCGCCTTACCACTCAATCACCAATCCCAACGGCTATGTTTTCTGCCATTCGATCCCCGTTCCCGCCCACAACCAAACACCGAAACTGACGTCACTCCCTCCTCCAAAACCCACGGAAGCTATCCCAAAACTGCATTGCTTGCGGATTGACCTTTGGTTCCGAGCCCGCATCCCCCCTCTCCGTTCCAGCCACTGGAGTGGATCCCGAACCGCCCAATAACACTGTCATGACACACTGGCACCGGCCACACCGAGGCCTGTTTGTGGCTGGTAAGGCGGGCGGGGACCCCTTTTCGCCACATCCAGGGTCAGGAACGATGAGCTCTCGGTGGCCCCTACCTGATGCACATGCACGAAAACCTAAAATTGCGTATGAACGGGAAGGTACTTGGAGGTACAGCAGTCGAGTGTCAACTGAAGTGGAGTCGTGAGTGCTAGTAACTGTGGTAAGGTAGGGAGGAAAGCGGAGCGTGTGGCTTGCCCTCTCCACCATATCTATTGCCCCCATTCGGCGAGGCCTATCGTTCATCCATCGTACACTTCCTCATATCGAAGGGATCTCCTCGCCTTCCCCGCCCCTCGCCACACTCACCTGCCTCTGATGCCAATCATCCTCTTCTGCCTCTCTATCTCCCACCACACCCTCGGTATGCTGTCCGCCCCAGCGCCAAACAAGCTTTCCCTGTCTATCCACCCCGCTGCATATCCTTTCCTCCTATCTATTAGCGCGCTACGCGGCCCCGGCGGCCACGGCCCTACTCTCTTCTCGGGCATAATTTGCTGCGGCTCAGTAGGATATCTGCACACCCCCTCCTCGAGATTATGCTCTAAAGGAGGCGACTGTGCAGAGATAACTGCCCCCATCAACACCAGCCACAGCAACTCCGTCCCGTCCGTCCCATCCCATGCCATCCCATGCCATCCCTCCCATCCATCCCATCTCATCCCGTCCCCCAGAATCCCCCAGCATCCCCCCTTAGGCGGTAGTTGTCGCCGATCATACGCCCCCTTCTCGCACACGTGCCCTCCCTATTCCCATCGACACGGTGGCCACTTTCCCCGTATTCCCCGTCTCCCCCCGTGGCGCTCACCAGTGCCGCTCACCGCCCGGTCTAGAATCATACAGAGGGAGTCAGTCAAACCGCCATCTGCAGTCACGCAATCCCCTCCTGTCGCACCCAGCGCACCTCCCCTAACCTGTCCCCCTGAATATTATCTCCGTACTTCGTATCTGCGCGTCTCCACCGCTTTACAGCACGCACCGCAGAAGTTACGGAGAGTGCCGCAAGCGAATTGCGGGGATTTACAGTACACACGGATTTGCGGATTTACAGTGCCTAATACGCTGCTCTCTGCCGTTCCTATGCCGTGCCGCTGTCCTGTCCTGCGCACTGTCACCACCGCCCTACGCCTTCGCTGCACTGTAAATCCCCCTCTCCCTCTCGCATCTCCCGTACGATAAGCCGTATGATAAGCCGTACGATTACCGCACATACGTCCATGCGTGCATACTAGTACCCAGCCAGCCAGCGGCTATTACCACGTATGCCGCCTCCAATCGCCCAACTCGTCCTCCAGCCCGTCTCCCCAGCCCTCCGGATCATCGTAACACCCAGCCCGTGCGTCCGTGCCGCATCACGTCGACACCCTGTAAAGCGTAAACCGAAACAATCGTCCCTCCCCTCCTACCCCCTCCACATCTCCCACGTCCCCGCTCCACATCCCGGAACGCAAGGTTTCCGAGACATCCATCCACTCACGACGGAGTCGCCACGCGCGCACACCCCGCACTGCGGCGCCGGCAGCGGTGTTTGCTATGGTAAGCAGATTCGCGAAGAAAAGGCGGCTGCGGCGATTGGATGGTGGGTCCCCCTCCTAATCTCCGTGCTCTACCTCGCCGAGAGCCAAAGTTTGTTTCGCGTGAAACCACATGTCCACACCGAGGCTAGGATGTTTGCTCGCTAACCATATGGACTTTTGGTAAAGCATCGGATTTTGGGGATGGGAAAGTTTTCTCGGCTAGTGGGGGGAAGTGGTAGGTGGGTGAGCTATCGATTTTTGTGCCCGTGCCCGTGCCCGCACCCACTGTACTACCACCACTACCACTATCACAGTACCGTTACCGTCCATTGTGCAGTGAGAGACTATTATCTGCAACTTCCCCTCTCGGGGAGGTCGGCGGTCAGTCTCCTTGACACTACTTCCACCACAGTGCTTCCACCAGTTGCCATTTACGGCATGTGGTCCCCGTCTACCCTCCCACCCAGAGACACATACACCGTCTCGCCCGCCCTCTAGCGCCTTAGTAGGTCTTACATCTTACCCACAGAAGCATCGTCGCGCAGTAGGGGCTTCGGCGGGTTCTGCGGCTATCTGCAGGTGCTGCTGGATCAGTCCTCTACGCTAATCTGTCTCTCTGCAGTTGTCGCTCCGCTGTTCTGTATGGATGTCTTGGCGCATCGGTGGGGGCCGAAGGGGGCCTATGGATCGGTCTGGATTACTGATCTGTCGCCAGCAACGTCGTACTCGGACGTTCGGGTGCGAATACGTAGGTCCTGTCACTGATGGATGGGGAGTCGCGAATAGCTGCATGGCATGATGGGCAAGATTCACAGTGAGAAATTCACGAACAAACGACGGGCAAAAGTGTAACGCAGTAATGAATGGTTGATAAGCATCACCAATCTTCTCGATTTCAACTCGCTGTAAAACTAGCGGCTTAGGTTATTTATTTTCATCTACCCGCATCCATGCATTCAGCTTCAGCCACTCCCATTAGAAGTCTCCGCTCCATCGATAGTATGCCGCTTCTTCTCCAATCTCCCCGGTTCTCGGTTCACCCGTCGCAACTAAACCCACAGTCGATCGTCCTAAGCCGTCCTCACTCCCCAACCTTTGCCTGCCGTCCTTCCCCAACTCCATAAAAGGAAATGATCAAATAAAACAAATCACAAACGCGCCTCCTTCCTTGTTGCCCCGCCCCTAGAAAACCGCCCCCTTTTTGCCTATTGTCGTCGCCTCTTAGAAAAACGAAGTAAAAAAGGAAAGGCGTAATACGTGTTGCTCGTTCGTTTCATGCAGCCGGTTGTTTCTATGCCCCCGAAATTGTTGCCGTTTGGTTGCCGCCTAAAAGTAAACCAAAAAAAAAATGAAATAAGCGTGTATGTTTGTTGCCTGTAGAGTCGAGTGTTCGACGGTAAGGGTAAAAGTGTATGTGCATGAAATGGGGTAATTGTAGGAATTTTTTTGACCGATGCGAGCGAAATCCAAATATGCGCGTTGATTACGCGTGCATGTAGTATACATAAATCCTGGCTTTTTGTGATGCGCGAAGATGTGTGTGGGGTGATAGGTTGTGAATCGATGAGAGTTTGTCGCCGGAGGTTGTGAACGCCTAGTAACTCCAACAAGCCGCAGACAGAGGCACTCAACACCAGCCTTCGTTGATCATGGGTATCATCCTTAGAACAACAAGCGGATCTCGCAACCCTCTGCCTCCGTCTCCTCTCCCTCCGCACCATCATCGTCAATTGTCATCTCCCACTCGCGCTTGACAGCTGCCAGGTTCTTCAACTCAAACACCACATCCTGTCCCTCGCGCATCTCGCGCACCACCTCGTCATCCATCTCGACCTCAAGGCCACTAGGGAGGACGCGCAGTGAGCGCCGGATGGTAGTAGGGTCGAGGCCCCATTTAGATCCGATTCCAGCGAGGAAATCGCTCAGCGTGCGTTTGGGAAGGTACACGGCGCGATAGTATGGCTTCTTCGTCGTAGGTGACGCATCACGGTACTGGACGTAGAAGCAAGCGACTGCCTTCCCTGCGGGCTCCGCTGGTGGGCGGTACGACGAGTCGACACCAAGAGCCTCGATCCAGCCGCTGAGACTCCCCGCATCATCTGTCTTGGGGATCTTGGTGAGCTGGTCAGGGGGGCTGGCGAGGTGCTGTGGGTTCGATGAGACGTCCGCGCCGAGAATGCCGTGGTAGTCGCCCCACTGCGCAGCTACCGGGATGGCGGAGGAACCGAGCATAGCTTGCGAGTGCAGGGAGGTCGAGCTGGGGGATGGGGACACTAGCGATGATGTGCCGGCGGTGGATGCGCTGCGGACGCTGGTGCGTTGCTGCCAAGCGGCGGTGTCGCGCGAGTCAACCTTTGTGAGGTCCCATTGCTCTCCGGGGAGGGCGACGGGGTGGAGATCCGGGTCGTCTTGTTCGGCGCCGCGCAGATAGAGGATACTCACTGGGCGGGTGCTAGTGAACATGTCCTGCTGCTGCTGCAGCTTGTAATGAAGATCTTCCTCGACGGGGATGTGGCCGCCAGCCGAGCTAGCTGAGGACATGGACCAGGTGCGCTTGTGCTTTGGCACCTTCCCAGCTCGCTGGCTCGCAGTGGCCTTTGAAATTGAGCCAGTGCGCTTGCGCTTCCCAAAGTCCTTCATCCCAGCCTCGGCCTGGGTGATTTGCTGTTTGAGTTTGTCGATCGTCTTCTTCACATGCTGAACGTCATTGGATAGCTTGCGCTCCGCTCCGTGGTCGCGGAACAGCTTGACCTTGCAGTACGCCACCTCAGTGGAGCCGGGGACGGCATGTGGCGAGCCCTGGTCCAGAACTTCAGTCTTGGCGCAGCAGCGAACGGGGATTCCCTTGACACCTTTGGAGTGGCTGAAATCTGTGGAGAGGAAGTTGAAGCGAACTGCCAGGGTGCATTCTGCCAGTCCAGCTGCGCCGGGGGTCCAGACGACAGAGAACCCGTCGAACGAGGCCGATTCCAGCTCGACACGCGTACGCTTGTCGTCAGAGTCGGCTTGCTGAGTCGCCTCGACGTACTCAACAGCTTGCAGCTTTCCTCCGCGCTGGTGGGCCTCGTTGGTGCCACGTCCCTCTTTCCACAGCTGCCAGCAAGATGCGGGCCTCTGCCGTTGCTGCTCGTCCTCGAACGAGATGCGCACAAACGTGCGGTAGCGGGTGCCCACTGGCACGGGAAGCATTGGTTGCGTGTCCACGATTGACACTGAGTACGCCTGGCCCTTGTTCAGGTATGTAATAGGAATCTCGTCGGTGTTCGAAATCATAGCCGTAGGCGCATTGAGCACCACATGAAAACGGAACTTCTCAGCTGATGATGGCAGCGGCGCAGCGGCATTTATCTCAAATTGCCGTGGCTGGTATGTCATCATAGGCGGCTGCATTGTAGTAACCTCCATCTGTCTGCCGTTGGCCTGCATCGGCGAGCCATCTTGGTCCATTGTCTCGTAGCCCGTATTGTGGTGCATGAATGCTGCCGGCGCATACGACTGCTGCTGCTGCTGCTCTTGGCCGGTGGTAGGGGGGTATCCAGTGTAATTGTTCTGAAAACTCTGCGGAGGCAAAGCCTGCTGCTGCTGGTACGGTTGTTGGAAATAGACCTGTCCAGGATGTACTACACCTCCCTCGCCCGTTTGCATTGACAATGGCGTTCCCACGCCCATCCCAATGCCCATACTGGGTGTATGCAGGTCGCCAGCCTGGCTGTGGTATAGAGGATTTCCGTTAGCGCCGGGGGTATAGTATGCGGGCATCTGGTTCGCGAATGCCGAGAAGGCATAGGAGTTCGGGTCGAGGAGCGAGGGCGTGAAGCGCCATGGCTCGTTCTGTGCTCTCGGTGTTGGGTCTAGGTCTTTCATCTCCGCTTGAGTGCGTCCTGGTCTGTATGGGAGTTCAGCAGCTGCCCACGCGAATGCCATTTTACGCTTCTTATTTTGCCGGGGGCGGGGAAAGGAAATACTTACGACTCTCCCATAAGGTTTGAAGGATCGACAACGGCATCGAGACTCGAGGGTCCAGACGCCGTCCCGGCGGTTGTGGCACCTACGACATTGCCGAAGTTGGCCTTGAAGTGGGCGTAAAGTTCGTCGCCGGGCTTTTGGGAAGATACTCTTGACGAAATGTTAGCAATGTTTCAAATGACTGCGTAGAATGCGATCGTGTGGCGGCACAAGCTGTGCAGCTTGCCGACGGTGGGGATCTGCTTCGGACGGGGGATATCTGGGCGCATTTGCTCACCTATTACGAAACATCTGGAGGGAGCCGACGAGGTGAGGAGTCGTAGGAAGGCGCCTATGATCGAGCGTCTGTCGTCGTCAAGTGCATGTGTGAAGAAGGCCAATGCGAAGAGAAGAGCAGACTTGAAATGATGTGAGCGAGCGAGCGGAAGAATAGTAGGTAAAACGAGTGAGTGTTTAAGACGCGGAAGCTCCTTGAAGAACAGAGAGTCTCAGTGATTATGGTGGGTTTGAGAATAAGAAGATTCGCAAGGTCTTCGGTATATGTCTCAGTTCAAATGAGTTTCGGGGGTTTCTGCAGATGAGGATAATTATATACCAGCAGTGACGCTATGTATATGTATTGAACTGGGGTGGTGGGGGGGGGGAAGGGGGGGGTGGTTGAGAGCGGTGATCGTCGGCGTAAAAGGCTCTATTCGATGAGTTTCTCGAAGGATGTGAGAGGATGTATGTATGTGAGATGATGGGATAAGAGAGTTTGAGCATGAAGGTGGTATTAGCAGTAGTGAAGTAGTAAGTAGCCAGTATGGGTATTGGGGTGTATGGGCTATGGGTTATGGGCTATGGGTTATGGGTTATGGGTTTATGGGTTATGGATATGGTAGGGATATGGGTAAGGTGAATCCCAGTTAGCTAGTTTAGGTACTATAGTTAGTGTAGCTTTTAGCGCGGAGGGACTAACATTTTGGGGGAAGGGAGGGGGGAAGGATGGGAGGGGATGGAAGGGGGGAGTGGGGAGTGGGGAGGGGAGATGGGAATGGGAGGGGGAGCGGGGAGGGGAGGGATAGTGGGTGGGTGTGTGGATGGGGATGATGGTTCGAGGCATTTACTGTGGTGGTTGTGGTGGTAGTTAGTGGTAGTTAGTGGTAGTTAGTGGTAGTGATGATAGTGGGTGTTTAGCGGTGGCTAGTGGTTGTGTTGAGTGGTGGGTTAGTGGTCCTATGCTGCTAGTAGAGTACTTCAGAGTACAAAAGGGCCTCAAAAACAGCGATTGGCCAGTGAATGTGCAGAGCGAGCTGTGGGGGGGTTGTTCGGCTATCTTTATGTCTTACTGTTAGAGTCCTCCACTACTTACAATACCGCGACTTCTTCTAACTGCTCAACATACACACACGTCAGATACAGCACACTACATGCGGAATGCTACCAATGTCTAATGTCTAATGTCTAATGTCTGAGATGGTTTGCAGTTTAGGGGCGTAGGTTATGGCCACGGAAATATTACGGATATAGTACTCCGTCTATACGTGTATACCTCCCGTCGTAGTATGTACTCCTAGTGTGGAGCCCGGATGGACGTGCCTCCTCCATCCCCAAATATTTCTGCATCCCTTAATTCTCGATCCCTCCGACTTTTCTCGATCCCACTTCTCCCATCTTCGCCCTAAACCGCCCTAATTCCCCTGTGCTACCTCGAACCCGCACTTCCCATATCGTCCCGGAGGAGAAAACAAACATTGCTGCACAGCCACCGCCACACTGACCAACGAACGCGAACTGGTATCGTGCCGGTCAGGGGTGGGCCTGTCCCAAGTGGGCCGTTCGGAGCGGACAACAAGGGGCATCAATTCTCCCCCTTCCCTTCTCCCCGAACATTCACGGTTACGGTGCTCTAGGTACGCTTCAGTACCGAATGTCCATATACGGCAAGAGGGCCTCGGGATACGCGCACACCCCCTAAACTGTTTTCACCGAGGGATGCGGAGAATGAGTATGCAAGAGTGATGGCTAGAACAAACGAATATTTGAGTCTTCACCGAGTGCAATCAGCCTCCCGTGCCTCGGTGTGTATGCGTGTATCTGCGTCCGTCTGCTGCTGCCCATATAGAATGCATGCTGTGCGCCACGTACAATCTGAGAGAGTCGGTTGCACGGCATTTGCTCGCTCATATCTCCTGTAGCACATATGACACCTTTGCTGCAGATGACTTCCAACATGCTTAGATCAAACTTCGGCCACACTCCGTAGAGTACTCTCGCCAGACAGCTCGTTACATCCACACCCCCCCCCCTCCCTGACGTCGGTTCAGTGCAGAAAGATATCGCGCTTATCATCACTGGAGCACAGCTCCATCCATCGCCACAATTGGCTCTCCAATCAACATTGCTGTGGCTTTACCATTACGCCACAGCTCATCACTCGCATTGGAGCGACTTGGCCCTTCCCCGCACCTGACGCATCGACTTTTCCCTCGTGTCGACGATCGCAAACATACCTCCCCCCACCACTGTCCACTAGTTTTTTCATTTTTCCCAATAAGCACGCACCTACTCGTCGAGCACAGCCACACGTCGCCCGTTTTGCCACTCGGCCACGACCGACGCCTAGACGACGTCAAAAAGGCCCGGCTATCGTCATAGCTTCGAGCCTTCGCATCTCGCCCAATATCAGATCTCCCGGCCGTGGGATTGTCGTAGGGTTTTTTTGCACGAGCTTGCCCATCGTGCGTTTGATAGGGCCCAACGCCCGCTTTGCGTGTCGCCACCACGACATCACTGTGGCAATTGCATGCACGTGGACCCCTGTGTGGGGCAGCAAATCGTCTTCCTCCCCTCAAATTTCCATCCCGGCTCGAATATTCGATATACCGTATAGTACTATCGAGTATCCTACTACTACTGTAGATAGAGTACAACGATCAGCGCAGCTCAGTAGCACAGGCCAGGATGCACCCGTTGTCCCTTCCGGAATTGATCCTCCATCACGATACCTCGTCGACGCCGCACTACTGTACTGCTGGCAGAAAAAGAGCCGTGCGCCCTGCAGTCATGCAGCACTGGTGGAGCCCTATGGTCTCCCATGGCCTCCCAGGCCTCCCAGGGCCTTTTCCCATCGTCCCAAATGACGTTCATCACATATTGCAGATATTGCAGCTTCGTTAACCGACATCCAACAGTGCCGCCGCTGACCTGGCCGAAGTGAGAACTGACAGCACAGCGCTACCAAGGGTACTATCGACGGTATGCCGTGCCGTGACCAGCAGGCTAGTCCGTGGCGGGACTGGATGCCGTGTGAAGCTCTGTCATCCGAGCCGTGGGCAAGCGCACTCAGTAAGGCGTGCAGTAGGCGTCTACTAGCACGATAATGTACGAACAGTACCTTGCGCGACTATTTCTTCACTCTCTGCTTCGGTGACGAATCTGAGAGTCCCTAAATCCCTAGTCCCTTCATAGTCCCCTCGTCCCCTAGTCCCTTCGTTAGTCTGAGACATACATAGGCTTTAATTTTGCACCTAAAATCGCACTTAACTCTCACTGGTGCCCTTAGCCTTAGTCCGGCGAGGGGTGAGGGAAAGTGTGGTGCGAGAGTGTTAAGGAGGGCCGAACTAAGATACGAAGTGTGACGTGTGGTGATGTCATTGATGGCGTTGATGGCTTGGGAAGCCGTAGTAGCCTACCAATGAGCTCGGTCCTGCATCCGGAAGAACCTAGACAATGACGGAAAAACGATCGGATTGGGTTGCAGGGTCGTCTCGTGGATGGTATTCGAGGGTGTCCCTGTGTGCTACTGCTTTATGATATCACCGGCGCATGCATGCAGAGATCTATTCATAGAGAGTTCGATGGATGAATGGGATCTCGGTGTGACCAGAGCGGAGAGAAGCTCCGTCAAAGATGCCGCGTCCCGGTCTGGCCAAACACCGCCAAAAGTCCATGTCCATGTCACGTGAACTACGTCATGGCAGCAGCATCAACCGCCTCAATCACGTGATCACAGGGCCTGTCCAAAGCCACGTGATCGGTATGCCCCTCTAATCCCTATAATCCAACTAGAACAGAATTGCTGCATGTTTGAATCAAAATCCCACCCTTTCCCCTAAATAGAAAAAGTAGCCTTCATAGTAAATTTGACGTGTTTGGTACTTGCGCATGTCTGGGAATCAGCTCCCCCTGATTCGCAGGCGTCAATCGATCTCGTCGCGCCTTCCATCCCCGTGGTCGATTTATTGGTCCGTACAAGGCCGCCCGCCGCGATAAGCTCCAACATCTCCCTCTGATCACCTTCTCATCTGTCTGTGGTCGGCTGGTCGTGTGGACATAGCCGACGCGCCGTTAAGTGCGGCTTCGGTGGCGAGGTTTGTGTTTGATTTCTCTCTTCTGCTTCCTTTTTATTTCATTCCATCTCGTCGTCGTTGGCTTGAAAGAGGTCGTTGTTGTTGTTGTTCCTGGCGCTTCGAGGTGCAGCTTAGGGTGCGGAAACAACCCCGCGATTTATCGCCCACCGGACTCCAACCGCCCGCCCTACCTATCTTATCTCAACCCAGACCAGGCTATAATTGTTCCGTTGAACAAATCTATCAGAACACGCAATATCACCGCTATCGCTGAAACCAAGTCCTCATAGCTGCATACTACTTTGTCGATATACTGAGATACCAAAGTTGCTATCTTCGAGTTGCAAGCTACTTACTACCTCCGCAGAGACAAGCCATCATGGCTTCAACCTCTAGCCCATCCGCCCTCGAGGCGTCACAAGAGCCCCCTCCGGCTCTAACACCCAACTCTGAGCTTGCAGCTGCTGAGGCGGCCACAGAGAAGCCACCGGATGATAGTTCGAAGCTGCGCATGTTCTTGGGCATTTTGAGAAAGTACGTCTCCCACCCTTATAACCCACCGAGCCTCGAGGTGGCAGGACTCGCGCCTTTCATCGTACACGATGCTAACCACGCTCCCCTCGCAGGTTCATTGGCGTGAAAGACATAGCATCAGTGCGCTTCTCCCTCCCGGCGCAGTTACTAGAGCCTACGCCCAACCTCGAGTACTGGACGTACCTTGACCGTCCCGAAACCTTCACCGCCATCGGCGACTCCGACGAGCCTCTTGACCGCATGCTCGAGGTCCTACGCTTCTGGTTCACCAAGGACCTCAAATACGTCAAGGGAAAGCCCTGCAAGCCATATAACTCGACCCTGGGCGAGTTCTTCAGGGTAATCCACTCTGCGCGCCTGGCAGCCACGGCCTAGCTAATACTCGACAGTGCAACTGGGAAGTCGCCGAAGCTGCCCCTTCCATCGCGAGCCTCCGCGCCTCCACTCCCTCCAGCTCCAAGTCCTCCGTGAAGTCCACAGCGTCGGCCAAATCTACCTCGCCCGCCCCCAAATCCACTGATGAGCCCATCCGCATCTCCTTCCTTACTGAGCAGACCTCTCACCACCCCCCCGTCTCAGCCTTCTACGTCGAGTGTCCCGCCAAGGGTCTCTCGGCGCGCGGTTTCGACCAGCTCTCCGCAAAGTTCACAGGGACATCTATTAAAGTCACACCCGGCGAGCATAACCTCGGCATCTTCATTACCCTGCACAAGCGCGATGATGAGCAGTACCAGCTCACGCACCCGGCCGCTCATCTAGGCGGTCTGCTGCGCGGTGGTCTCAGCGTCAGCGTGGGAGATCAGTGCTATACCACCTGTCCTAAGACACGCATAAAGACTATTCTCCACTACCTTGAGGAAGGCTGGCTAGGCAAGGCACAAAACCGCGTCGAGGGCGTGGTCTTCAAGTATGACCCCGAGAATGACGATAAGATGCGCATCGCCGATGTGCCAGAGAAGGATGTGCTAGCGCGCATTACCGGAAACTGGAAGGAGAAGGTGTTTGTGTCTTTTGCGCCGAATTTCAAGGTCCGTCTAACCCCTCCTACCTCCTCCCCTTAACCTCCCAACTAACACTTGGCAGACCCAAATCCCCATCATCGACCTAACACCCCTCACACTCACCCCCAAGATCCTCCCACCCGAGACCTCTCAACTCCCCAACGAATCCCTCCGCTACTGGTCCGGCGTCACTGAAGCCATCACTTCGCGCCAGTTCGGACGCGCCACAGTTCTCAAGACAGAGATTGAGGAGCGTCAGAGGCGGAAGGCGCGGGAGCGTGAAGAGGGGGGGATAGAGTGGAGTCCGAGGTTTTTTGTTGGGAGTGTGACGCCGTTGGGACGGCCGGAATTGACGGCGGATGGGGAGGAGGCGCTGAGGAGGTTGGGGAGGGCGGAGTGGGCGATTGAGGAGAGTAAGGTTACTGCTTCGTAGTGGGCAGTAGTGCGAGATGAGATGAGATTGGATATTTAGGGAACTGGTGTGGACTTTTGGTGTGTTCATATAGATAGCATTGGTTGAGTTTGGCATGAAATGAGTGATGATGTTGGACGAGGTGACGGATAGAGAGAGGCATACAGTGATATGGGTAGATACCAGTGAGATTAACCGGCTTTGACCGGCTCTACTAGAGGCGACGGACATCTAGGATGGGGGGGGGGATTGCATACTGCATTATATATACCAGGTATCTTAACAGAAAGGGTAATACTGCCAGACTCCGTGGATCATGATGATACAACTTTGCACTACGTGAAATAAATAATATGCTATGAGATATGATATATCAATATATATATTGCAGGCCTAAATATGATAACCCTAGATTACACACAACTTCCATTAAGTAATTATTTCCTCCTCTTTCATTTCCCAAAACGCCTCAACATATTTTCAGTCTATATATCAAATATATCACCCCACTGTCACCGTGGCCGCCACACCGGCTCTCGTAATAGTAAACTGCTCCGTGACCGTAACAGACCGCGTAACCGTCACCGTCACCGGCCCCTCCTCTTTACCCCCGCTGCCACCCGCGGCAGCAGCAGCAACGGGCACAACAGAGATAATACTCCCACTCCCATCCGCAATGGCTACTGCCGTCGGAGTATCAGCAGCCGGAGCAACTGTAGATGGCGCGAAATCAGACACGGCAATGGTGATAGTTGAGACGATAGTCCTGTGCAAAACCGTCGTCACCTCGTCAGCCTGACCCTCATTAGAATCCGAAGGCTGCGCAGCCGCAGCCGTCACCAGTGCCTCAGCAGCCGTCGTTGTTGGCACCGCATCCGCTATAGAAGTAGCCTGCACCACCTCCGCCGTCGTGCTCGGCACCACAACAGGCACCGAGCCAATCGTCACACTCAGACTATTCGGCAATCCCAAAATACTCTCCGCAGTCTCAATATCCGTACACTTCACGACCACGCCCGGGGATTCTGTAAGCGGCATGGCGTAACAGAGCTTTGAATCCGAACTGCATCCCTTGAGGGTGTAGCGGCCGTCTACGCAGGTGGCGAACTTGCCATCGATGCAGGCCAATTTGTTTGGGGCACAGATGGATTCGGGCGTCAGCGTGGCGTACATGTCGTTGAATTCATGGGCTAGGCGGAGGTTTTCGGCGCTCATGCTGGCGGCGTCGGTGGCGGTGGGGGCCTCCGTGGTGGTTGGGAGGGGGGATGCACTAGTGAAGAAGCTGGGGGTCACAGGCACTACGACTCCCGCGCCTGTGACGGTTATGGCGACAGGTGCGTTTGTGGTTTGTGTTGATAGGGTGGTGGGTGTCACTGGGTCAGATGAAAAGGTGAATGGTGCCTCTGCGGTAGTTGATATTGCTCCTGGCGTATTCGTTAGAGACTCCTCAAAGGGGAACACCTGTGTCCCAGTTGTCGGCTTGGAGTCGGCGGATGCGTCTGTGTTAGAATTGGCTGAAACGAGCGTGGTCCTGGAGAAATTTCCGGTTCCTGCGACAATGGATCCGCCGGGTATGAATCCACTGAGGTTCGAAATAATGGCGGTTTGAGAAGCGCCTACCGCTGTTTGGGCTGCGTTTGCGCCATCTCCAGCAGCCGTTGCTGTTAGGGAATTGGAGGTGATAATTGGAGCATCTTGGGCGGTGGTGGCTGTAGTGGACGAAGAGATCAAAGTCGTGCTAGCAAATCCTGATGTGGACAGTGCGGTTGCTGTCGACGCGGTAGAAAGTTCAGTGCTAGAGCTGGTGGTTGCGGTTGTGGTGTCGACAGGCGTCTGTGTGAGAGCGACGGGAACCACGTCGATTGTAGCCGCTGCAGAATCTGCAATACTTGTTGTATTCTTAAATGGAGCAACTTGTCGGAGTTGGCTGTTGATAGTCAGTTTGGCCTAACGAGGTGATAATACGTGAACTTACAGCTTGCGAAAGCTGTCCCGAGGGAGCGGGCCAGCCGCGGCGAGGGACGAACATAGTAGACATACAGAGACAACACTGAAGAAGTGCATGGTTGTACAGAGATAGGTGTCGAAAATGAAAGTTTAAAAGACAAAAGTACTGGTGTTCAAAATGAGTAAAAACAAATAAGAATGACTGTTGGCGCTGACTCTATGAAAAGAGAGACTGGACGGAGAAGGAAAAGAATGAAAACCGCGTGACTAGACGCAACGAAAAGACTGATGGAAACAAGAACTTAGGACTCATGCATGCCGGGGGGAAGAGGCTCCCTACTTGTAGGAGCCGACAGCAGCATGTGGAGAATCAGAGGCCGTCAATCGCCGGCCAAGTTTGGTCCACCACAGCTGTAGCTTCGAAGACGAGTCGAGACCGCGACGTCTCGACTCGATGCATGAAACGGGAGAGTGACGCGCAACGGCCATGTCGTCGGCGACCTCGAACGCGGCGTCACGCCGGCAGAGCCAATACCTCGAGCTCGAAGCTCAGAAGGTTGAAACAGCGGCCGCCTACGCCGTCTATTCCTGTCAGCGGCTGTCTGGGTGGTTGCAGCCGCCAGCGACTTGATTGGCTGAGAGACGACCTCGATGTGTGACAGGGACTTGGACTGGGACTGGACCTCATTAAGAAACGATCAGTGAATCGGAAGTCGAGTAGCCGCACGAATCAGAGCGAGCATGCCGAAATAAGGACTCGCAATCTTATGGTCGCGTCTATTCCAGCTGTTGTGGGCATAGTATGCGGGTTCGTCCGGCTGTTTGGGCGCGTAAACATTAAATTGCGGGTGCGGTGACAGGGAGAGATAGGCCCGCCCTTTGGTCAGCATCGCTTCTAGAGCATAGCGACCTCACTCATTACTCGAGTATACACTTGGAGTATGGTATCTCTATCTCTGTCCGCAATAAGCAGGCAGTGGGACTCGGGCCGGGCTTATTATATCGCTCGTGAAGACGACGGTCAGGACGAACGGACGAAGAAAGGCCGAATGCGTCTGAGACCAGGCTGGTTGGGATGGGTTTTGTACGAATACTCCCGACGTTGGGCAGCGACGAGGGAGATTATTGCCGCATGTCTTCACTGATGCAGAGAACGTTCTTGCCTGGTCTGGGCTGTCTACGTTGTCTAGGTTGTCTAGGCTATCTTCTGCCCTTCAGCCGGCGCCGCAGTTGCACCATCTTCATAGCAGAAATAGAGAATAGAGGAGTACTTCTGTCTTGGCTGTGTTCTAGGCCTCTTGACATGTGTCGGATTATGCGGACCGGAGGCCAGAAGAGGCACTTTTGATTCGTACTGTACTGTACTGTACTGTACAACACATACAGTGCTTTTACTATGCCCAAGGCTGGGAGAGGGGCTCTTTCGCCATTTCCACGTGTATCGCTCTCTCTCTCTCTCTGCTATCTCTGGTAATTGTAAGTCCATAATTGCAATATAAAAATCGAGATGTTTTCGTGGAGGTCCTTGCAGGTTGAGGAAGAAATACCGCAGCCTCCTGCATCGTAATGCATGTGGGTGTATGGTTGGGGTACTCAATTGGTACTTTGTGGCCTGTGTATTTTTCTTAGTAACAGACAGTACCAATCAGGTATCCGGCACACGCCGATGTATGTATGTTCATGCTGGTCAGGACGCCGACCGACACCGTTATCTTATCCCGCTGCCATGCCACTACAAACAAAAAAATGTATGTACTTGCAGTGCTGTACTGTACCGCGGAAGCCAATTATCCTCCTCTCTTCCCCTCTACTCGCCTGCTGTTCGCCTGTTGTTCGCCTGCCCGCCTCCTCCCCCCGCCTGCAATTACGTAGAGTCCTTACCTGAACACTCTTGTTCCATAACCCAAAAACCAAGGCGCCATGCTTCCCTCCCACAATTTGTCCTAAATCCCACCTCTATTATTCCTGTTCCTACTTCTCTCCCGTAAATCATCCATTCACAGTCTACTCTTTGTAATCTTGAATCCTCTTCCCAGGTTTTTATTATATGAATACTCCTCCTTCATCCTCACCGACGCACCGCCGGCTCTCACTCCACTCGGCGTAATTGCTTCACGCTTCCTCACAAAAAGCGGCTGACGAGAGAGTTACCTGCCTGTCTGCCCCTCACCACCCCCCTCCCCAACACCACACCCAATCCTGCCCCACCATCCCACCACGCCTGCTTTACAGGCCCTTCAGCTTGGAATAACTTGACCAGCATCAGCATCAGCATTGTTTAATATCCATTTATCTCATATATACATCTATCACTACAAATAGCCCGCGTCGCCCTTCACCCCGCTCTCGCTGCGTCACCGCCCATTGAGAACAGAGATCTCTCTACCTCGACCTCCAACCTCCTACCAAGCGCAGTCCGAAGCGCATTCACACCTCCTCGTGCCAGAAGTTCATTCACGCATGAACGTTCACGTCTTCGACTGATTCACCCGAGCCGAACGAGACATATATTGCACTCCCAACGACTACCACCAAGGTGCGAGCCTTGTCAACCTCTCCAGCACACTGCCCGCTTGTCTATAGACTGAGGCCTCTCACACCCAATTCGAAAAGACAACCTTACCATAATGGCACAAAGGCCGCCAGTCGTCGGTGGCAGTTCTGAGTGGACAGAGACACCACGCTCTGTTCCGTCGAGCGCACTGGATGGCTCAGTGACCCCAGGAATCGTCCCTGGGACATATTCGGCAGGCCGTAGGTCATCGTACTTCCCAGCTGTGGATAACAGCCGCTCAGAAACGCCGTCTCCATCGGCCCAGCTGGTTGATCCCTCATCTCAACCTTCAGCTCTCAAGGATGGAGTCCCGCCGAGAAAGGCCTCGCTCACGGACATCGACCCGAAGTCCGCCTTTCCCTCTCTCGAGCTTACCGGCTCGGTCATATCAGCGGCATTCTGTGTCCCTTATTCTCTAAAGTACCAAAAGGGTTCGGACTGGGTAAGTTGTTAATGATCACCACATGCAGTAGCGGTAGACTAACTATACCAGGATCTGAAGCAACGCCGCGGCACTTCTGCCCTATTCGAGTCATTCGCATACCTCTCATCGAACGAAACACCTTGGAACCACACGTTAGTTGGATGGACGGGGGAGATCGATCAATCTGACGAATTATCACCACCCACCACCCCTCCAGCAACAACAACCTCCACAAGGGTTCCCCCTCTGAATAAAGCATCTGCTCCCATACCTCTAGACGATAATAGGCCAGTTACTCCTCCCCCAACCGAAGGGTTGTGGATAGGCAAGGACGACCGAGCCCGGCTAGAGTGGCAACTTGCCCATGACAGCCGCGGAAAGACCGTACCAGTCTGGTTATATGATGACATAGAGGCATCTTCCGATGGGGACTTGCTCCTGAAGGACCAGCGCCGCTGGCGCCGCTTTGCTCAGAATGAGCTCTATCCTCTCTTCCACTACAAGCAACATGTCCCCTCAGATGGCAGGGCAGAACGCAAATCGTGGAAGGACTATCAACGATTGAACGAGAGATTTGCCGCCAAGATCCTCGAAATCTACAAGCCGGGAGATATCGTAATGATCCATGACTTCCACCTACTTTTGGTGCCAGCTATTCTGCGCCGAAAGATTCCCCATATGCACATTTCATTCTTCTTGCACATTCCTTTCCCCAGTAGCGAGTTCCTGCGTTGCTTGCCGCGACGAAACGAGGTTCTTCTTGGTATGCTCGGCGCGAATATGCTCGGATTTCAGTCATTTAGCTACTCCAGACATTTCGTTTCTTGCTGCACCAGAGTCCTTGGTTTGCCATCAGATATCGCTGGCGTGGAGGCACATGGCTCTAAGGTGTCAGTGGGAGTATTCCCCATTGGCATTGACGCAGCTGGAGTCGAGAAACTTGCATTTGGACGACCCGAAATTGAGAAGAACTTCTTGGGACTCAACACGCTGTACCAAGGAAAGAAGATCATCGTTGGCCGAGATCGCCTGGATAGCGTCCGAGGTGTTGCTCAGAAGCTTATGGCCTTTGAGCGGTTCCTCGAGGATTATCCTGAGTGGCGCGACCTGGTCGTTCTAATCCAAGTCACAAGCCCTACCAGCATCGAAGAGGAGAGGCAAGACTCTGAAAACAAGGTCACGATCAAGGTTTCAGAGCTTGTGGCTAAGATTAACGGCCTCTATGGGTCTCTTGGCTTCTCTCCAGTTCAGCACTACCCTCAATATCTCTCGCAAGATGAGTACCTGGCGCTTCTCAGAGCGGCTGATATCGGCCTGATTACCAGTGTACGAGACGGTATGAACACAACCAGCTTGGAATATGTCGTCTGTCAAAGGGACAACCATGGCCCTGTGATATTGTCTGAATTCTCCGGCACAGCGGGAAGTCTGAAAGAGGCGATCCATATCAACCCGTGGGATTTGACTGGAGTCGCTGACGCCATAAACAATGCGTTGACGATGTCACCTGAGAAGAAGAAGGAGACGCACGAAGACCTCTATAAGCACGTCACGACACATAATGTCCAGGCATGGACTACCGGCTACATCAAAAGGCTCCTTACTGTCCTCTCGTCGCACAGTACCTCTGTTACTACCCCCATTCTGGACAGAGAGAAGCTGCTGGCGCAGTTTACCAAGGCCAAAAAGCGACTGTTTATGATTGATTACGACGGCACCCTGACCCCCATTGTGAAGGATCCGGCAGCAGCAACACCTAGCGAGCTGTTGATCAAAACCCTCCACACCTTAGCTGCCGATACCAAGAACGAGATCTGGATTATTAGTGGCAGAGACCAAGAGTTCTTGACTGAGCACCTTGGGAATATCCCTGGAGTCGGTTTCAGCGCTGAACATGGTAGCTTCATGCGTCCTCCGGGAAGCGACACCTGGGAGAACTTGGCTGAGACGACGGATATGGGATGGCAGAAGGAAGTCATTGATGTTTTCCAGAAATATACCGAAAGGACACAAGGTGAGAAAGTCGGTCCAATGTCATTACGTAACAGGTGCTAATCGTATACAGGTTCATTTATTGAGCGCAAGCGCTGTGCTCTAACATGGCATTACCGACGAGCAGACCAAGAGCTCGCCGCGTACATGGCACGCGAATGTCAGACTGAGCTTGAACAAACCGTAGCCAAGAAATGGGATGTCGAAGTCATGACCGGCAAGATGAATCTCGAGGTTCGACCAACATTCATCAACAAGGGCGAGATCGTCAAGCGCCTCATCTCCAGCCACACCACTAAGGATGGGGAGCCTACAGGTGGCGAGGCCCCAGAGTTTATGATCAGCCTGGGCGATGACTTCACAGATGAGGATATGTTCAGGGCACTTAATGCCAGTGGGGTGCCCGAGGAGACTATGTTCACAGTCACAGTCGGGTCAAGCAGCCGGATGACGCTGGCGCATTGGCATCTCCCCGAGCCCGCCGATGTGATTCACAGCCTGGCCACTCTTGCGGGCTTGAAGCAACCGAGTGAGCCACTTCCATGCAACACTCTGTGGAATACGCCCGCGGGCAAATTGTGAGGGTTTTTCATTGCGGCATTGGATACGGATGGAGGCAAAAGGGTCATGAGCATTTGCATTTTAGATTTTTTTAAGTTTTACGCCTGTGCTTGCACTGCACGCATGAGTATATGAGATAGATGTCATGATATAACTAAATATAAGCAACAAACGCCTTAGGCGGCCATGCATTTATGGTAATCACATATATTTTCATATAGCCGCCCACTCAACATTTGAGGTTTTCATTACATATGTGCTCGTCGCGGTTCTTGCCGCATACTGTCGGCGGGCCCAGTCCAGTCCACGGTAACCCCACGCTAGTGAAGTGGGGAGCTGCCCATGCTCCAAACCTCAACCACTCAGCCCATCAAATCATCGTTGAGGAAGCAAAATATGCCATACCCGTAGCAGCTAAATTGGAACGCCTCGTGGGAGATGGGGTGGTTAAATGCTGTAAGGCGATGATTAACGGATGAAGATCTCGCAGGGCGGGTGGAAAATATAGGCCGTGATCGGCGATTGGGTGAGGAAAATATAATGCGAGTATGCACTGCAGCTTGGCGGTGCGGACTTTTATATCTTTGAGCTGGGTGCCGCTTTGGAGTTTTTCATAGTGACTGACTCAGTTGTTGAAAAACTTCTACGGAAGGATAATTGCTAAGATGGCGGAGAATGCATGTGAAGCTAACGAGAAGGGGGTGCCTGCGATGGATGCGACGACGACGTCAAACTATGCGAATGATGCGCCAGATCTTTCTGATGGAGACGATGTTGCGCTCGCGATCGTGGGGTTGCATGCCCAGCCCATCGATCCTTTGGTTGAAGCGCGAGTTGTTCGCAAGATTGATCTCTTCTTGATTCCCGCGATGATAGTGGGATATGGAATGGTCTATTATGACAAAGTAGCTACTATCCTCATCCCTTGCTGTTAATGTGACTGACGCTCTCCTAGGCCATCCTAGGCTCCGCCGTTCTCTTCGGCATGACCGGCGACCTATCTCTCGCGGTCGTCAACAAGACAACTACCCCGCCAACAACTGATACCACCCGCCTCAGCTGGGCAACCTCCATCTTCTACTTCGGTATGCTCGCCGGCCTCTACCCCATGACCTTCGCACTCCAGCGCTTCTCCCTCAGCAAGGTCCTCGGTCCCATCGTCATCCTCTGGGCCCTAATCTGCATGCTCACCGCAGCGGTGACATCCTTCAAAGGCCTTTTCGTCCAGCGCTTCTTCCTCGGCTTCGTCGAATCCGTCATTCCCACCGCCTTCATGACCATCGTCGCCGGGTACTACACGCAGCAAGAGCAGACGCTGCGCCAATCATGGTGGTTCTCCAGCACTGGCCTCTTCACCATCCTCGGCGGCGCAGTCAACTACGGCTTCGGCCAGATCACAGGCGGCGCGCTGAAGAGATGGCAGTACATCTATCTCCTCGCCGGCTGCCTCACCATCCTCTTCGGAATATGGTGTTTTTTCGTCCCCAGCAGCCCCGCGACGGCCTGGTTCCTCACCCCCGAGGAGAAGGTCGTAGCAACCGAGCGACTGCGACGCGGCCAGACTGGGCTACGCTGCGAGAAGTTCAAAGCGGGACAAATCCGCGAGGCCCTCCTCGATCCAAAGACCTACCTCATCTTCCTCATGATGGCCAGCGCATACACCGTCAACGGCGCCGTCTCCGGCTTCGGGCCCCTGATCGTCAGCACCTTCGGCTATTCGACGCTTCAGTCTATTCTTTTCCAATTCCCGCTCGGCGCGCTCTGTTTCGTTCTCATCTTGTTGACGGGATGGCTCTCAGCGCGCTACCCGAATATCCGCATCATCCTGCTCGTGCTCTGTTGTTTCCCTGTCATCGCCGGCTGCGCGATGATTTGGAAGTCGGAGTGGTCGCACCACGCGGTGGCGCCGGTGGCGGGGTATAGCATCATCGGGTCGTTTGGGGCGGTGGTGAGTCTCGTGATTGCGATAGGGATGTCGAATGTTGCGGGGCATACGAAGAAGAGTTTCATGGCTGCGACGATCTTTGTGGCGTATTGTGTAGGCAATATTGTGGGGCCGCTGCTGATTAAGAGTCAGACGAAGAGTAGGCACTATCCGATGTTGTGGTTGGGCCTAATAATTTGCTACTGTATTACGATTGTGAGTAGTGTGGTGCTGTATTTTGTGCTGGGGAGGGAGAATAGGAGGAGGGACGCAATGGAGCTTGATGTCGTGGAGGGGGATAAGTTGGCTTTTAAGGATTTGACGGATGTGGAGAATCCGTACTTTAGGTATATGCTGTGAAGACGGCTTAATATTGATACTATCTATTTGCCCTATAAGGGATATAACTATGGACAGTATGATGAGGAAAATATAATATTGGTTATTAATGTTGGAGCTATTATTAGAGAAATTATATAAATAAAACTCGTAAAATATATTGAAGATATATCGAATAATCAAAACACAACAGCGTATTATCATTTTTCAACTTATTACGAGGCTTTAAATTTACCATTAATCATATAAGATCTCAAATGAGACGTCTGAAGTATTTCAGATTCAGACAATGAAATAAGGAGTTGATAATTACCAGCACGTGCCCAGTCGTGACAATGACGAAATGTGCAAACACGACAAACAACCTAAGAATGAGGACTATTGCGTCGTTCGAAACAATAGTTTTAGCTTGCCCGCGGCTAACATTCGCCGAACTGTCTAATTTCTTGGACAAATCTATAAGTTCCGAGATCCGCTATCTATTCGCATCTTTCCATAGCTCTACTGTTATATACAACAGGGCATTGAGCGATAGCGTTGCTGGCACCGAGCTCTCCGTCTGACACACCCAATCCAACCCCACCGAACAGCTCCGAATCTCCGCCTGCCATGAACGATGCGCCGCGCAGCCCCGCGATCCACTGCACGACACCCTACTAAACCACTCACGGATCTCAGAAATGATCATCCGGAGTTTGCATAGAGCTACGTGCTCCATTGCACGGGTGGAATTGCGCCAGAGGCCATGGCCTAGGCCGGAGACGCTGTCGAAGCGCGTCTTTACGAGCACGAGTCGAGTGTTCAAAGATGTCCCTACAACGAATAAGACCCAGCCAACCCCCGATGGCAAGCAGACACCGCGCGCCGTTCCTACTGGGGCGAAACCCGACGCAGGTTCGAAGCCGCTCTTGCCAGCTACGCCGGCGAAGCGCAAAGACCCCCTCGCGCTCGAGGACAAGTCGAATAAGGAGCAGCGCCAGGCGGATTGGGCGATTATAAAAGAGATGTCACAGTATCTATGGCCCAAGCATGGCCTCAGCACAAAAGTCCGTGTCGGGCTCGCGCTCGGCCTGCTCGTTGGAGCCAAGGTCCTCAACGTCCAGGTGCCGTTCTACTTTAAGAACATTGTGGACGCGATGAACGTTGACTTCATCGGCGTTGGCGGAACGGCGGCCACAGTGGCGGGATCGATGATTTTGGCGTATGGCCTGACCAGGTTCGGCGCCACGATCTTCCAGGAGCTGAGGAACGCGGTGTTTGCGAGCGTTGCGCAGAAGGCGATCCGCAAGGTCGCGGGAAATGTGTTTGACCATCTACTGCGGCTGGATCTGAATTTCCATCTCACGAAGCAGACGGGCGGGCTTACGAGGGCGATCGATCGCGGGACGAAGGGGATTAGCTTCCTCCTCACGTCGATGGTGTTCCATGTTATCCCTACTGCGCTGGAGATTAGCATGGTGTGCGGAATCCTGACGTGGCAGTATGGGGCCAAGTTTGCGGCTATCACGGCTGTGACGATGGTGGCATATACAGCGTTTACGATCTGGACTACGGCGTGGAGGACGAAGTTCAGGAGGCAGGCAAATGCAGCGGATAACAAGGCGTCCACGGTGGCGGTTGACTCGCTCATCAACTATGAGGCTGTCAAGTACTTCAATAATGAGAAGTATGAAGTGGGGAGGTACGACAAGGCCCTGCTGGGCTACGAGAGGTCGTCTATCAAGGTCGCCACGTCTTTGGCATTCCTTAATGCGGGACAGAACTTGATTTTCTCAAGTGCCTTGACGGGGATGATGTATCTGGCTGCTAATGGTGTGGCCGAGGGAACGCTGACGGTTGGAGACCTGGTAATGGTTAACCAACTTGTGTTCCAGCTCTCTGTCCCATTGAACTTCCTCGGGTCAGTGTATCGCGAGCTCCGTCAGTCCCTGCTGGACATGGAAACGCTCTTCAACCTGCAGAAGGTCAATGTGGCCATCAAAGAGGTGCCCAACGCGAAGCCACTCGAGCTAACCGGCGGAGGAGAAATCGTCTTTGAAAACGTCACCTTCGCCTACAATAAAGAGCGCCCCATCCTGCAGAACCTCAATCTAACCATTCCCGCCGGCAAGAAGGTCGCCATCGTCGGACCTAGCGGCTGCGGAAAGTCGACCCTCCTCAAGCTCCTCTTCCGCTTCTACGACGTCCAAGAAGGCCGCATCCTCATCGACGGCCAAGACATCCGCCATGTTAGCCTCGCCTCCCTCCGCAAAGCCATCGGCGTCGTCCCCCAAGATACCCCCCTCTTCAACGACACCATCGAGCACAACATCCGCTACGGTGATCTGTCAGCACCCCCCGAGGCTGTCCGCGCCGCCGCCGCTCGCGCCCGCATCGATCACATCATCTCTGCGTTCCCGGATGGCTACCAGACCATGGTCGGTGAGCGCGGGATGATGATTTCGGGCGGAGAAAAGCAGCGTCTTGCGGTGTCAAGGCTGCTGTTGAAGGATCCGCCGCTGCTGTTCTTTGATGAGGCGACGTCGGCGCTGGATACGCATACGGAGCAGGCGCTGATGCAGAATATTAATGGGATTTTGAAGGAGAAGGCGAGGACGAGCGTGTTTGTGGCGCATCGGCTGAGGACGATCTATGATAGTGATAAGATCATCGTGCTGAAGGAGGGGAAGGTGGCGGAGAGTGGAAGCCACAGCGAGTTGATTGATACAGGGGGTGTGTATTCAGAGTTGTGGAGTGGTAAGTTCGGTTCGGTTTCATTTATTTTCTTGAGGCGTGTTTAGCTGGCCCGCCTGGTTGTACCAGTAAGAAGCCCTTGCTGACTGTTGACTTAGCCCAAGAAACCCTGTTCCAACATGGGACTAGTGAGCATGAGGTGGCTGTAGAGGATGTTCTAGAGAAAGCTGAAGGGGATGGGAGCGGTAAGGGTAGGTGAGGCCCATATAGGAGACGGGAATTTAGGCATGAGGGTGTAGGAGAGAAATATACGAATACGGATAGAGTCGGAACTGCACAGCAGCAGCGGGCAGAGCGACTTTCCGACTATACGGTCGGCAACAGAGGTATCATAATGATACTGCAGTTATAGCGAAAATTATTGTGCCGGCATCACCGCACCCAGTAGGCTGGGGTTGTCGTCGCTGTGATAGCATGGCGAGAGAATAAAGCATACATTTGATACCATTTATATACAGACCGAGCCTATAATCATTGACTAGCTACTTCGGACTTATTTTTATCAGAAGCTCCCGGCACCCATCTTCATCTTTCGTGACTCCAAGATAGTTGAACCCAGCCGCTAACTGTTACTGCCTACCTACCGCCTTCACCGATCCCTAAACTGTCGACATAGTCTACGTACCTCACTAACTCTCACCCTGTCCGGAATATCCTCCTGCTAGGCTCTGGATTCTGTGCTTTGCTTGCGCACAAAGCTCACCCTCGAGTGGGCAGACAACCCAAATACGATCTGAGTTAGCCCTTACCGGAAGGTTAGTTTAAAACGATATATGAATGCATTCACCCCCAACAACGAGCCGATGATCCGTGTAGTGGGGTCAAACTCTACACAAAGGGGTAAGTAATGTGCCGCGTCACGTGTTTTGCACCGTCTAAAAGTGGGTTCTTTATATCAAAATTTGCTACACCAATTATTCGCATTTTCTCGCTCCATCACAAGCAAGCAAGCAAACAAGCAAGCAAGAAAACAGTTATGGAAAACGACCCCCGACCTAAGATGGATGAGTTGCACCCTATGACGAAAGAAGGCATTGCTCCTGCTAGCTCCTGGCTACACGCGCCAAGCCAGCCCGAAAAGCTTAGCCAATATCCTGGTACCCCACACTCTTCAACGTCTTTGTCTGATGATAAAGATGACCTGGATTTGCAGAAACTAGGCTACAAGTCAGTTCTTGCACGTGGCTGGGGCTCTTTTGATAACTTTGCATGCTCCTTCTCGGCGTTGTACTGCATAGGCGGCATCAGAGTATTATTTTACATTGCTCTCAGCAATGGTGGACCGGCTGCCTTGTATGTTAACATCTATCTTAACCCGCATAGTCTAGCATATACTGACAAATTTTGCAAAAAAAAGATGGAGCTCATGGATATCAGGAAGTATATTATCGATTATTACTTCTGCCACGCTCGCGGAGGCTTGCTCTGCGTACCCAGCCGCTGGATCCATTTATTACTGGGCATTCCAGTCCTGGGGAGGTGGAAAGCTAGGGAGATTTATGTCTTTCATGGTAGCAGCTTGGACTCTTGTGGCTTGGACAGCCTTCCTTGCAGCGGACTCTTTCGGCGTTGCCAACTATCTAGTGTCTGAGGTGGTTGTGTTCAATCCTAATACGACCTTCCCCCATGACACGGCGGATGTGAAAGCAAGGGCGGTGGCATGGGCCTTCTCGCTACTTTTCCTAGCCATTGCGACTTTGATGAACTTTCTACCTCCGCGCTCCTACGCATGGGTCTTCCGCGCCGGCGTTATGGTTATCGCGATTGATATTCTTCTCAACTTCATTTGGTTGCCAATTGGGGTCTCTAAGACATACGGGTTCCAGTCTGCCGAATTCGTCTTCACTTCAACATATAACGGGGGCCAGACCAGTCCCGGACTTAACTGGGTCTTGTCTTGGTTTCTTGTCTCTAGCTGCCTTGTCGGGGAAGATGCTTCAGGCCATGTCGCCGAAGAGACTGTCTCTGCGAAGAAAGCTGCTGCAAATGGGGTTTTTTGGGCTACAGTGGCATCGGCGATCTGCGGATTTCCAATCATTCTCGTCTTCCTTTTCTGCATGCCTCCAATCGATACGTTTTACGACACCGCGGCTCCTCAGCCATTCATCAATATGTATGCCCTGGCCTTAGGTCCGCGTGCACACGTTGTCGCCACGATTATCTCCATGATTGGGGCCATTCTCAATACGTCTATTTCCATGGTTGCAGCTTCCCGACTTGTTTTTGCAGTTGCTCGAGACTCCATCTTTCCGTTCAGCGAGTCGCTTTGCAGAGTCTCGAAAAGCAAGCAGCCACACAATGCTGTCATTTTCATCGCAACGATTGCAGCTCTCTTATTGTGCACCCAGCTGCCCTCGCAAGTGGCCTTCATGAGCTTGACTTCAACCTCGGCGGCAGGCTCCATTGCCGCGTATGGCCTTGTCGGCTTTGGGCGCGCCTTCATTACAAGGAAAACCTTCAAACCAAGCGTTTTCCATCTCGGCCGATTCGGAGTTATGATGGCTGTCGTCACATTCCTCTGGAACGGCTTTGCATTTGCTGTGCTTTGCTCCCCTCAGTATGGCAACAGCTCTATAAATGCAGATGCAAGCTTATTCAACTATGCCATTGTTATTATGGCTGGCGTTACAGTCATCGGCCTTGAAGAGTGGTGGCGAAAGTCCAGCCGCGTATGGTTTCACAATATCAAGGATATCGACACTACCTCGGACGTTGAGGTTCACGGAGAGGAACTTCGTTCCACTTCGTCATGATCCGACACGAATTTATAGCCTGAATCGTTAGGCTCTCGGAGGATAGCAGACACCGAAGATCGCTCATATAGTAGGCTGGGAGGTATACGACGAGAGGTGGAATGTGCTAGGGAGAACCACAGTGGGATTGGATCTTGGGAAGGGGGATATTTGGCAATTGTAAGTTTGGATATGAGCATGACGGGTGTTCGATGATTGCTTCGGCATGACTCGTTCTGAGAAATTACCGTTGAACTTGATCTGGATAATACCAGCGAAAGGACATGCTTCTATCATACTCTTCTCTCCTCCTGATGTGATGAATTTCACGACCTCTTACCAGGTCGTGCTGGTCTACTAACGCTAGGTTGGGCAGCTTGGCATGCGTTCCTGTGATATCGAACGTACGTTCTATGCTGAAAGGCACCATACGTGGCCTTGTACCATCTAGTTCTCTCTGTGGATGCTACCTCTTTGGTGTGACCCAAGATTCACCCTCGAGGCGGCAAGGGGCTCAGATTCCACGCTATGCGTATTGGCACGATGGTGACTATTGTCCAGGTTGGCATGATGTGAATATCGTCCAAGTGTTATGCAAGCTTGTGTATGTCGGAGTGGACGGGATGCCGAATTCTCGTGAGTCTATTGTCGTATGTGACTGTTCTTGGTGTGGCCCACTTCCACTATATGACCTATTGAGGGAAGTTAGCTCCACCTTAAATTCCACTTTCCAATAGGGTTGTAGTCAGGTAGTCGTGTAATGAGTAGGGAGATCAGATTACTGTCAACATCTTGCTATGTCCAGCAGTAGAGGCGTCACCTATCATGCCTTTTAAAGTAAGGACCGACAAAAGCATTCGCTGAGTTTTTGAATATGGTTCCCTTGGATGCTATCCGATATATCCGCATACTACGAACGCCTGGCCGCAGGGAAGGAAGGAAGGGAGGGGTAATAGTAGCAATTCGCCACAGTGGTCATCGTGGCAGTGATAGCAATGGATAGCACGTTGAGAAGAGTAATAATTTGGCCGTACGATATTCTACCAGAGCTCCAGGCAAATCACAGTAACAATATCATTATGAAGTTTCTTGTGTCATACCCAACATCCGCTTCTTACTTACTGCCCATTTTTTATCAAATCCGGAATCTTCTCAGCCAGGGCGTCTATAATAATTAGCAATACAAAACGTAGAGCGATACGAAGACAGGAAAACTCACAAATTGTGCTCCGAGGGTGTCCTGGGGGCAGGAACGGAAACGCACTTGCGTCAACGACACGCACTCCCTTAACACCATAGACCCGTGCATGGCTGTCAACAACAGCCATACTATCGGCCGATAGACCCATTTTACAGGTGGAGCTGGCATGCCACACGGCCTGCAGAGTGCCTTTGATAGCCTTTTTGATCCTATTAGCATTGTATATATAGCATAAGACGAACAGCATGGGACTGTACCTCCAAAATCTGAGCGTCGGTCTGGACCGATGCGCCGGGGTAGTATTCATCTCCGATGATGATCTTCTGCATAAAAGAACTGGCGCATGCTTGACGAACACGTTTATAAGAAGCGACGGCAACTTGCTGGTCGGTGGGGGATTGGAGGGCTGGGATGTTGATGATGGGAAGGTCTTGAGTGTCTGTAGATGTGAGGGTAATGTTGCCCCGAGACAGAGGAGCAACTAGGGTAGCCAGAATAGTAGCATATTGGTACCCATCGTTTGGTTCTGAGATGATGTGAGTTTTAGTACTACGTGGAGGAAAACGAGGACCTCATTTTCCTTACCCCGTACCCCGCACGCTCAAGCTCATGTGAAAATCTACTGGCAGCCCCAACACATCGAAGCCTATGTGAAAATCCACAAGCCACTACCCAACCCCTGGATTGGGCCTCGGGTCCGTCCGAATCAACGCCATGAACTAGAAGCAGGGCGGCAAGCGCTTATAGGAGATAATGGAAAATATACGTACCAAATCGACGTGCTCAGATTCCGTATCAAATCTGGCTCGAATCGACATCTGGGCCACGTAGTCAAGCGTCCCAAACCCACCATGAGAGTAACATGGGCACGTGACTTCACTACCACTTTACGGGTAAATTTGGCCCCATACTGGGACGGAACAATAAGAGGTAAACCTTGGCAATTGCGCCAACGACAACGATATAATAACGAATAACAACCGACCACCTTAACATCGCCGTCCAATGATGGGAATCAAATAAATTGCATTTTGGGCTCTCGATATGTTTGTCATGTCTCAACAGACGCATTCTTGTCTCCACGAGTAGATCCAAGCTTCTAGTTCAGCACCGGGAATTCGATAGGTGTTGACGAACGAAGTCGATATTTTTATCTATCGATTTGTTCTGATACTTAGGCCCTTGGTTGTTTAGTTGCCTGTTTGAGGCGGCTCATCATGGAGTCAACGACACCAGACGATGGGGACTCGAGACGCAAGCGTCGGAGGCAATTTAGTGTCCGAGCCAGCGATGCTGCCACCCCTCCGGGGGAATTCGGCTCTATGAGGCCTGGAGTTGCGAAAGGTTCTTCGAGCTTTGTGGGTAGCGGAAGTGGAATCTACTTTGTGCGAGCTGTACAATCTGCTTTTGCCAGGAACTACAGCCAGAGCAGCCACGCAATCGACGATGATCTCGTGCCCGGGGAGGATGATCACCTTCACGTTCAAAACCCGTCAGGTTCACTCTGGAACTCGGAAGAAGTCTGTTTTATTCCTGCAAGTCAGCCTATAGTCTCGGTATCCTTTGACGATTTGGTGCGATGGAGTCAATCGTTCTTCAATAACTGGCATCCGCTGTTCCCGTTTCTACATGCACCAAGCATTTTGGGACTCTTCGAAAGAATTGCAACCCATGGCGTTCAGAGTTTGTGCACTGTGGAAGCAATTACTGTACGCTCAGTGTTATCTATGTCGGTTGCAGACCGACGCCAAATGCCCAGGGATGATCTGACACTGATTCCTTCAAACCTGGTTTTTAGCACCATCGATGAGGCGATTTCCTCTCTCACACCTGTAATTATGCAACCTTCTACACTGTCCGGACTTCAAGCTCTTGTGGCGATTCAGGTGTTCCTGATTTCTATGCTGCGTCTCAATGCTGCGTCGAGAATTGGTGGTCTCATCGTACGCATTACTTTTCACCTCGGTCTGCATAGATGCCCTTCGAGGTTCAAACAATTCACTCTGGCTGATGCAGATATGCGTCGAAGGCTATTTTGGGCGATATATAGCCTTGAGAGATATCTCTCCCAATCACTGGGGCTGCCTCTGGATTTAAAAGACGATGATGTCGATGTCTGCTACCCTGACAATGAACTTCATGACATCCAAGTCAACGAGGAGGGTAATGGCCAGCCACTTCACGGTGAGAAACTGAATTTTCAGGCTTATTACGTTCCGTAGCTGATTTATCCCAACTAGACCCGCGTCTTCTGCTTCTCCCATCTTTTCTAGCTCGGCACGGCAAAATCAAGGGCTTGATTTTAGAACTTAGGCACAAGTGTGCGAACAACAGGACTGCTAGTCCCGATGAAGTCAGTTATGTGGATGCTGAAATATCGAAATGGTGGAATGAAGCACAAGATCTTCTCGAACCTGATTACATTAATGATGCGGCTGGAGAAGATCCAGACGGCGGACAGGCCCCATGCCTGTTAAAGGAGACACACAAACTCCTTGTCATTGTTCAGAAGCACGAATCCAGAATACTTCTGAATCGGCCTGTCATAACATCCGGCTACGATACCTCCCTATTCGCGGCAGCAATGCAAAAGTGTATTGGAGCGTCAAAACAAATTGTTTCGAAGGTATACCTTCACCTGCACGAAGGGATGAACCAGGTAGGATCGCGTGATGGTAAAATTCAAAATCCACTTTTTTGGCCTGGCTTCACGTGGTGTATTTGGATGAGGTAGGGTAGCGTGCTCCCTACTATTGGCGTCTATCTAACTGAAAATCCGGGACAGCGGCTTAATACTTCTCTACGCAGCCTCTGAAGGGTATTATTCTATTGAGATAGCTCAACGGTAAGTGCAGGAGACCAAGTCATGACGAGCATACTAACTGTCTTAAAGTGAGGCTGGTCGATGTATAAAGATATTAGAAACGCTCTCATTGCGAGGGAATTTCTGGCCAGGAGCTTGCGCATCCGCTCTTATAGATTTACAAAAAGCTCTGGGTAACAAACTCTCCAATGGTACCTTCGAGCAACACGCTGGTTTACAGTCTCGAACAAAAGAGATGCGGACGTCAACAGATGCACTCAACTCAATCCATCGGCAGAAGGTACGCCTGCGGAATAGTGAGACTGGTACAGCACAAGACACCGGAGGAGCTTCAGTTTCGCCCCGTGCCCCAAATCCTGATTTTCAGCCACATGGCTCACCGAGAGCTTACCAGGGAAATGGAGAGACGCCAAGTACGAACAATTCGATACCGCCCCATTTGAGGAGCCCTCAGGGCGCCATGGCATTCTCCTTTCAGCAAAACGAAACGTCTACCATGGAGCCAAACAGCGCACCTGGTGGCGTGGCTTGGCCTATGTTAAGCGGACCAACTTACCAGATGGGTGACCAGTTTAACGGACTTGACGATATATTTCAGCTCATGGATGCTTCTTATCAAATTAGTGAGCAGATGTACGAGCCTGGAGATATGGCACAGTTTTAGAAATATTTATACTCTTATTTACATAGGAAGGCTATTCAGGACGCATGTAATAATTACACTCGATGAATTAAAGGCTATTTGATTATAAGAAGAACGTCGGCAGAACCTGAACGCTTACTTAAGCTCTATGGTGATACATAAAGAGAACATTTTGTTATGTTAAGATGCACGAGATTTGTTTTCCTTATATAATGGGTGGATCGGATCAATAGACGACATCAGCAACAATATGGATCACTTTATTCCATAACCATGTTCATATTTATTCTATTCATATTTTTTCATTTGCGTATACCTTCTCATGGTACTTTGAACTCTGCAGGCTTCCTGACAATAAACCTAATACCCTGATCAAGAATCTATGAATAAAATAATCTTAGTTCGACCCTTCGAGATGCTCAGCCTTTGTCTTCCCTAATCTATTCTGAATTTCTTCGCACACAGCATTTGTCACCTCGGCCGTGGTCGCCGTCCCTCCGAGATCTTTAGTCATGATTCCCTTTTCGCAAACGGCTTCGACGATATCGAGGAGTTGATCTGCTGCCTCCTTCTCGCCTAGCCAGGTCAACATCTCGCAAGCAGTCCAGAATGTCGCAACTGGATTTGCTGTCACCAAGTCAGTAACCATACAATATTTTACGTAGAAGGAGGAATACCGATTCCCATTCCAGTGATATCGAACGCAGAGCCATGGATAGGCTCGAACATGGAAGGGTTCTTTCGTGTGGGATCGAGATTGCTGGTGGGTGCGATGCCAATGGAACCAGCCAACGCCGCAGCAAGATCCGAAAGAATATCCGCGTGCTAATTGTATCGTTAGAACCTGCCCCAGTATGCATTCTCGTAAACCAATAACCTACCAAGTTTGTAGCAACAATGGTATCAAGCGTCTCCGGCTTTAGTACCATCCTCGTAGTCATTGCATCCACCAACATCTTATCAACCAGCACATCTGGAAAGTCCTTTGCCACATCTGATGCGACTTCGTCCCACATGACCATGCCATTCCTCTGCGCATTACTCTTTGTAACCACAGTGATATGCTTCTTCGGCCTGTTCTTGGCTGTTTCGAATGCAAATCGCATTATTCTCTCCACAGCGTGGCGTGTGAAAATCGAGACTTCAGTAGCAGTCTCCCATGGTTCACCGCGATGAGAGCGGCCGCCGTGACCGGCATATTCCCCTTCGCTATTCTCGCGGATTATCACCCAGTCCAGCTCGCCATTCTTGCAGTTTCGAAGAGGCGATTGAGTGCCTCGGAAGACCTTGGTGGGACGCACGTTCGCGTATTGTTGGAGGGGTTGGCAGATTGCGAGGCGGAGTTGCCATAGGGAGATGTGGTCTGGGACGTCTATGGAATCACATCAGCATATGTGATTTGGTTTGCTTTAAATATCTGGAAATTTGTGCTTAGTTTTACATACCTGGGGCACCAACAGCACCGAAGAGAATAGCATCAAACGTTTTTAACGTTGTCAGGGCATCGTCTGGCATGTATTTCCCCGTAGCTTTGTAAGTGTCGCTGCTCCAGTCGAAGTTCGTGAAATCCAGGTCAAAAGTGTTTAATGTCTCGGCAAACTTCTTCAACACGGTGACACCGGCGTCGATTACTTCAGGGCCAATTCCATCTGCTGGTATTGAAGCAATTCGATAGCTTGGGCGAGGATCAGCAAGAGAGGGACTCATTTTGACAATGGTGATATGATATGATATGGTCGAGTTGTGAAACTGAATCGATGTGCACGACGATTATGGGAAGGTAAATTATTAGGAAAGAAGCAGAATAAAGAGATACAAATACCTGAATATCTAGTGGAGATTGATACACAGGATCAGATAGGTTCCATCTTGGTGGGGTTGGGGGTTGGCTGGGTTTGGCGGGGCTGTGAATCACCCGGGGATCGTTTCTCCGGCTGAGATGTGGGGTCGAAAACCAACTTGCCATCTTCACAAGAGAAGAAGGCGGCGAAAAACACACAGATAATAGTCCACATAACATAGCCACAATGTCAGACCTGGCCTAAAGACTCTTCACAATCCGTATATACAATCAATATGAGTCGAGACAGCCGAGCTCAGCTCGTTGTTGAAAGCGTACTGCCGTTCATTGAGGCCCACCGAAAGCTTGAGCATCAAGGCAATGCTAAAAAACCATTTATTTTAGGTGTTACAGGATTACAAGGTACGTGTAATTGTTTAAACTAAGTAAATATGAGTTTAACGAGAATTTATATTGTAGGATCAGGAAAATCACATTTGGCATCAGCACTCGTCGTCGCTCTCTCCAAGGACCATAATTATAACACCATCGAGGTATCACTCGACGACTTCTACCTACGACATGACGAACAAATATCCCTTCGTACACAAAATCCTTCCAACAACTTGTTTAAAGCTCGCGGTCAGCCTGGAACACATGATCCTGTCTTGTTGAAATCATTCTTCAGCCAGTTCTCAGATCCATTAGCGAAACATGTTTGGATTCCTTCATTCGACAAAGGCCTCTTCCAAGGGGAGGGAGACAGACTTCCACTATCGGAATGGAAAACCATTGATTGCCATTGTCCGATCGATGTGGTGATTTTCGAAGGGTGGTGTGTTGGCTTCCAACCATGTCCTGACATCGAGGTGGAGAGGAAGAGAGTAGAAGCTTTACAGATTCGACATTTGAACGAACCCGAAAAGAGCATTATGGATTTGCCCCGGAGTCAATTTTGCACAACTACTTTGGGGGACCATAAGCTTGTGGATTTGCTCCATGTAAATGACTGTCTACGCAGATACTCTGAAGATTTCATGGGTCCGCAGCATTTTGATTTTATGGTGCATCTTGATACCAATGACTTGGGTAACGTGTATACATGGAGGATACAGCAGGAGCATGCACTCCATAGGAGGAAAGGTACTGGAATGACTGATGAGGCGGTAGTCAAATTCGGTACTGTTTTTTTCATTTGCCCCGTCGTGGATAATTAAACTAATCTGATGAACGTTTCAGTACAGATATATATGCCAGCGTATGAATTATATTTGGACGGTCTACGATCTGGATTCTTTAGGGAGACTGGAAGTTTTATTAGGACAAAGGGACAATTGCAACTAGTCATGGACGTTGAGCGGAATGTTGTAGAATCAAAACTATTCTGAATGAGCAATAAAATAATACGCGGCCTGTTTTCAATATGATCGATACTGTAGACTCGAAAGGAATCTAGCAAGAGAGTTGATATGACGGATTTATCGACCATAGTCCAACTTCACCCGTTCCTGTCAGCCAAGGCCCGGACCTGTGTGCGTCGTGCGGGGTTGCGGGGTACGACCTGCTCTGCTTCTCCCTCGTGGTATAAGCGGCCCGGCTTTCGTTTCTCCAGACCCACAACTACCCCATAGTCTTACCATACTATGCAGCCCCCGCTGGCGAACGTTTCCCCGCAGAGTCGTACCCCGTGGGAAAAAACCTGGGGAAAGCTTACAGCGAGGTAAGTGTCCCTGAATATGGGATGGCAGGCAGTTGTTTTCTATAAAACCTATGATGTCTCTCGCCAGTAAATATTAGACATGGCAATTGTCTGCTCTTGGACTACTATCTGCGAAATATCTTACATCACGTCAAATCTATCCGGATAGTGCAATATTAAGTCGATATCATGAGTGAAAAACGCCCTCAAACGCCCGATGACAAGGTCAATACGGCATCACACCTAGAGGACCCCGAGAGCCTCATGAAGGAACCTTTAGAAGATGTCGACTATTCGGGGGCCGTCGCAAAATCCGACCCAGCAGAGATTGCCTTGGTTCGAAAGCTCGATATGAGGATTATGCCTACTCTTTGGGCCATGTACTTTATGAACTATCTTGACAGGAACGCCATAGCGAACGCTCGGCTGAACGACCTTGAAAAAGACTTGGGTTTAGAGGGTACACAATACAATACATGTATTTCCATTCTCTTTGTGGGGCAAGTACACCAAAATTTGATTTAGTACAGCTGACGACTGACTATTTAATAGGTATCTCTTAATGCAAATCCCCTCAAACATGTTGATGTCGTCAAGGAAAATCCGGCCCTCGATATACATGGCGGTTTGTATGGCTGGATGGGCCATTGTCGCGGCTTTAACAGCGCTGGTCAAGAATTATACTGGGCTCGTACTTGTCCGATTTTTCCTCGGGGTCCTTGAAGCCCCATTCTGTTTGTCTCCCATTGCTATTCCTATCGAGATCGGTCGGTGCTAACGATCCTTGAGACCCTGGTGCGTTATACTTGCTATCAGCATTTTACACCCGAAAGGAGGTTGCGACGAGAATAGCGATTTTATACTCCGGCAACATATTCGCGACCTCTTTCGCAGGTCTCATCGCAGCCGCAACGTTTGCTTCCATTGATGGCGCTCACGGATTCAAAGGCTGGCAATGGTAGGTTACTTTGAAACCAAATTCGAAAACTGACTAACCTCACCAAGGCTTTTTATTATCGAGGGAGTGGTGACTTTTGCCGTAGCCATTGCTGCAGCATACCTTCTTCCTGACTTCCCGCTCACTACGAAATGGCTCACTGAAGAAGAGCGAATTCTTGCTGACGCCAGAATCAAACGCGACACTGTCGGTCTAACGCCCGATAAAGGCGCGAGAGAGGGTTTCAAACAGGCTATTAGGGACCCTAGGCTATACCTCCTATGCTTCATGCAAAACATGCATCTCTCCGCCTGTTCATTCAATAATTTCTTCCCTACTGTTGTTGGTTCTCTTGGGTATGACCGAACTATCACTTTGGCTCTCACATGCCCGCCATATCTTGTGTCTGGATTTTTTGGCTACGCTATCGGAATCACTTCGGGGAAGTACAACGAGAGAACCTGGCATATCACTGGGTGCATGGGAGCCGCTCTCGTTGGGTTTGTCATCTCCTGCCTAACGCTTAACACGCCTGCTCGTTACATATCTTGCTTCCTCTTTGCCAGCGGTGCCTATGCCGTCAATTCGGTTATTCTGGGATGGGTTTCGGCGACGTTGGGACAGACAACCGAGAAAAAAGCCGTGTCGCTCAGTATCGTCAATGTGGTTGCCAATGCTTCCTATATCTACACGGCATATTTATACCCAAAATCTGATGGACCGAAGTACCTTACGGCTATGGGATCTAATGCTGGATTCGCCTTTGCTACAATTGCTAGTGCGTGGGCTTTCAGGTTTTGGCTTATGAGGACCAATACCAAGATTAGACGTAGTGGGGATGAGTCGAAGGTATTTTACGCTTACTAGATAATGGCATGGCAGTACTTGTTAAATACTCTGGTAAAAGAATGGAGGCTGCAGGCAAATAGTATGAGTTATTTATTTAAATACGATCAAGTTATGTCCTTGTATATACTATGACTTATTCGTACAGTTGAAATCTCTACAGAGTATAATAATGTTCAGCTAAACACCCCGAGAAAGTGTCATATAGAGACTAAGGCAACGCTCAATGACTTATTGCGCGCAGCTATCTATTTAATTATGATAATTTTCATCATCCCAGACCATTGTAAGCAGCTGGACCATCTCTCTTCGCCCTTGACCTGAGGTGATATCGAATTTCTTATACGCCTTATAACATGTCGACATATCGGCTACTACGTGGTCGATACATGCAACTTTCCCAACCTCGCCTCCATTGCTGACACTTTCGTAATACGAGTCGGCCTTTGATCCTGAACCGTCACCACCATAGGGAGAAAACGAACAGTCAGAACCTCCTGAGAAATCGGGCAAGTCAAAGGAACTAGGAGGAAAGTGATATGTGGTATCTTCCGGGCCTTTTATCCCAGTAGACTGTATCCATGATGATTTGCCCCACACTGTCTCGCAAGTAGAAGAGCCGTCTGCAACGAACCAGTAGTATTGAGCGTGGTCGAAGGAGTCGCATTCTATAGAGCCACAATAATATTGCGCGAAATAGCACAAATTTAGAGTAGTGGTTGTTGGAGGTGGAGGGGAAGTCGTTGTTGCTGGAGGACGATTGGTTGAAGTTTTTGGCGGGCTGTTGGTGCAGCTGGCAGGCAGTAATGATGTTGTAGTTGGACAGTCCGCTACATCGACATATTGATAGATCCACTTGCAATTTACCAGGCTGCTTGTAACGCATTGCGGAGCGAGTCGTCGGTGGTACTTAGAGCAGTCATAGAACCCCAGCGCGTCGCATCCCACTCGTTCTGTAAACTGACGATTAAGCTCGACGCGGCTTTCAAGGCAGCATCATCGGCAAGTTGAAAACTGGAATCAACGAAAGCTGCCATCTCTTCGGGATATGACACGCTCGTGGTAACAGTTGTGGTGGTAGTACTATCTGTCACGGTACACGCCTCTGTGATTTCACAGTGTGTTCTCGTTGTCGTTGACCACCCTGTTGTACCGGCTGGTACAAAACTACTCACAACCATAGTGCACAAACTCGCCGTCTCCAAAGACGTACAGTCGTTTGACTTGTTCTGCTCGACGTCGCCACATTTGCCATTGGGGCACATGCTGCAGTCGCCGCTAGGGCACCCCCCATTGCCACATGAGCCTGTGGTGCAACCTAACCCACCACACTTGCTAAGAGGGCACCCACTAGAGCAGAGACCTAGGGCGCATCCGGGTCCGCCTCCACACCCAAACAGTCCACATCCACCCCCACAACCCCAGATGCCGCAGCCGCCGCCGCAACCGAATATCCTACACCCAGACGAGCACCCAAACAGCCCACAGTTCTTATGACCGTAGTTTGAAGAACAAGTGGCGGTCGGCTTAGCACTTTTATATATGACTGTCGAAATGCCAGTGGGTGGTGGGGTGCTTACTGACACAGTAGCTTGCGGCTGGATCGTGACAACATGAGAAGTGGAGTAAAACACAGGAATGATAACTGCTGTGGATGAGGTTGACATTGCCCCTGATGTAGTACTACTACCTGCGGCCCCTGTGGCCCCCGTATTGAATGGGTTAGAAGGCATTGGAATCAAACTTGGAGGGAATACAGCCTCGCCGATTCCTAGTGTAATGCTGAATGGCTAAGGCATCACACTCTGAACAGCTGTGAAAGTCGCCGTTAGATCGTCGCCTTCGCTAATAAATACTGGCTACCACTTAATTTCGGTCGTCGTGACGATAGACACCGAGATAGTGGTTGTGGTGGTCACAATTTTTGTTCCTGATGAGACAAGCAGGGTTGTAGTGAGTGCAGGCCAATTGATAGTTGTTGTGAAACCCAGTGGGAACGGCGGCAGTATAAGCGTGCATGGCGGTATACAATTAACCTCTGGATTTGAACTAGACCAGATAGACGGTGGCACGTATATATCCTTACCAACGCTACTCCCATCCTCAAAGGTTTGGAGGTCGACCGCCCAATCTGTAGTCCCTCTGAAATTATAGGCTTGGAATATCTTTGTCCTTATGACTTTGTTATCGTCGGTTATATAAGCAATCCACTGGGTTTCGTCGTACACTACGATGTCAGAGTAACTATCATCCCGATAAGACTGGACACTTCTAGTTCCCGCAATAATGGCTGCAATCTCGGCGTTTGCAATATAGCCTGGTGTTTGCGTGCAAGCCCCGCCATAAGCGCCAGACACCGGTCCTGTGTATGTACAATCACTACTAGTACAACCAGGCGTAGTCATCTAGAAAGAGCGGCCATAACTGGTAACGCCTACAACAACCTTGTCTGAAGGCACGCCAGCTTTAGTAACTATAGAGAGCGCACTGAGCGTCTCAGTTAAGTTAACATGAGAGCGGAGGCAGTTACCCCCTAAACAGCCATCGTCTGAATAAGGATGTCCATAATCCCACTAGCCATGAAGAACACAGGTCATAAAGATAATATAGTCGACAACATGACCGATTGCTTGAATTGGAAAACCCTTGAGGTACCACTGAAAAGAAATAGTTAGCGCTGCTTAATGAAAATGCTTAATCTAGGAATCCACATACAAATCCTGCCGGGGCTGCTATAGAAAGCGAAGTACCATCAGGTAAACTGTTCCGTAGTTCACTAAGGAATAGGTAATAATTAGAGGCATCCTCAGCGGTTCCGTGGGGGATGCCTTCCATATCGGGCTCAGCTGGATACTCCCAGTCAAAATCAACACCGTCTAGATTATACTTCTTAACGAAGGCAACGACGTTAGCGATGAATGTATCCCGATTTGGCTCTTCCACAACTTGACGGAAAATAAAATAGGTACTAGGGTCGGTAGAGAAGGTCCATCCACCTATAGAAAGAAGTCAGCGGGAGAGCCATTACACACTGTATAAGTCGGTCATTCTCAACATACCAAAAGAAAGAATCTTCTTGAAACCCGTCATCTGCACAAAAGCTAAGAATTGATCTTCGATGGAAGTAATATCTACATTCCAGTCGAGGGTTATAGTCGCAAATGCAAGATGTATGTGTGTGTGTATCCGGTAGTGTCGAAATCCGTGACTTTCATATTTAAGCATGGTCGCGATGAGTCAAAGGCTTCAAAGTAACCTATCTTCCTAAACACAACAGGAGGCAGTCCGATGAGGATCTGGGTGCCATAGTTGGAGATACATCCGTTCTGATTAAGAGCAGCAGTCCCTGGTGCTCCAGCAGGCCCCTTGCTAGCAGTACAGAATTCGCCTGTCGTACCTGCAAAATGGCTAAATCAGCATGACATAGCAATAAGAGGGATTCGGAGATTTACATACCACACTCGCCCCAAATGTCACAGCAAGCGTTGAGTGCACACTCATTAAGAGTTGAAAGGTCTGTTCCTGCAGGGGGGGTCGGTGTCCCCGGGACCTGCGGTCCACAAACAGCATTAACTAATGGAGCGGGCATAGGCGGTGATCCGGTGCTAAGGCATATATTGCCACCAGCCTGTAAGTCAGCACAGCCCATCTAGCCCCAAGTTTTCGAATTAAAAGATTCGAGCAGCGCAGCGATGAGACTATATAGCCCTAAGAGCTGGCTACAGTTATCGTCCTTTTGAACAAGGTAGCTATGACAGGTCCCATCGGAATTTGGCTTCGGGGCGAAATCAGGCAGTGTGCCGGATGAGCAGGAAAAGTGCTGGCCCTCTGTTGAACATAGTGCAGTGCTTGGATTGTACACAGTGAACTGCGCTGGGGTAATACCGCACTCAACAGCGAGTGAACCACAAGTGTCTGTGCTATGAGCCCTGACGGTGGTGCATGTTGCTCGAGGGTTCAAACCATGTGAAACCTGTTTTGCTGTAGATGTGTTGTTGCTTGGGCTTAGCAGACTTGGTATTAAGAGGGTGATATTTTTCTAGACAGTCGCTTCGTCATACTCAGTGACGCACTTTCCGTCTCTCCATGTCTTTACAGCATGCTGCACGGAAGATAGATTGGAGTTGGTGTTTGCCATAACTCCGAAAGCGAGTCTAGAGCTTTGGCCATTTGTTGCACAGAGTTGAACGAAAAGATTTTCTGATATTCCATTGGTCTCCACGTGAGCGCTGAATTGTTGAAGTACGGTTGATACAATTCCCTGGCTTTGGATTCCCAAACCAGCGTAAAGACCAAGAGCTGTCTGTCCAGAGTATGCAAAGGCTGTTGTGCTATTACAGCCGACTTCGCTCTGGCTTATATACCTTTCCATCTGTTGAGCAGCAGCAACAACGTCGCCAGCTGCTTCAGTGTTACTTGAACCTAGCCATGCTATTTGCAAAGATGCCTCTCCTTGCTTCAGGTTCTTGCTGGAACGACACGATTCATTCGTAAGTCTGCTAGGTGCGCTAAAGCTACTCTTATAATCCGCAGTGCAAGATCGTATGCTCGCGTGGGTTCTGTGGTCGCCAAGTGGATTGTAAAGGGCAAAATCCAAGAGCATGGTTTGATTGCATAGTGCAAGGCGATCAACATTTTGATATACCGTCCAGTTATTTGGTTTGCTTCCGTTACAGCTTGTGGGACAGCAGACTCTAGCCGTGTTGGATGTAGCAGACGGTTTCTTAACTTGTGCTGGAACTGAATCTATACTTGGGCTCTGTATAGAGCTTATAGAGACCAGCGTACTGGTCGATACGGGGTGCGCCGCAAGGTAAGATTCCAATCTGCTATTTGCGGCTGTGCTGTGACCAGCGAATGCGACATAGGCTGCTAAGGCCTTAGCAACGGTTGTTCCTAAAGTCAGCCACATCTTGACCTGAAAGCGCGGATAACGAAGAAAGTAAACGATAGACAGTAAGAAAGGAGTGGGAGAATAAGCACAAACAAAAGATATATTCTGCCTTTACAAGGGTGTGTGTGTTCAAGCTCTAGCCGCACTACTCTACGACGAAACGTATGGCAGATCTGGCTAGAGATTCTGACAAGGTCAAACTAATACAGCAAAAGCTAATAGTGGCTGAATTCTTGTCGCAAATCCCGCGCCGCGACAATTTTCTCTTTCATGGCGGTGCATTATTCCGCGGCGATAATGCAGCATCCACTGATGCAGACGACAAAAGGTCTCTTTCGGGGTTTGCGCCGCCGCCTAGTACGAGATACGTCGGCTCCACTTGGTATTCTTGCCTTTAGGGACCATGTAGAATTTTAACTTAGAGGCACTGAATAATGAGCACTGCCCTCACATGTACATACATTATATGCAACTCGAAGGCCCACCACTTAGAGACCAATTGTTCGCACATAGAGTAATACATTTAGCCTGCAACCACTTTCTGATAAAATAAGGGCGATCTCCGAAGGTGTTGTTGGACATGTAAATTAAGTTCACCTTGTTGTTGGTCCTACCTACAATATTCGCCCTCAGCTCAATTATCACTCGTGTTGGCTTTTTAGCGTTTGTGGCAGTGGGATGGACGCTCACTGAGACAGACCCACAAATCAACCAAACCTTGTTAATTAACTACGGCCTAAGCGTCTTTAGGGGGGACAGTGACATTGAGGTAAGCAAGTATAAGCCAATCGTAAGCTACACAAAGTTAGCCAAGCTAAACTAAGCTTAGCTAAGCTCATTATCAGGCAGGCGTGGCGTATACAAAGGATCTTCGCGTGCTAAGCGCGGTCTAAGCGAGACCCTTGCAGCAATCCTTACCACCCCTCCCCACCCGGGCTGTTACTGCGATCGCCTAAATGGGATGCTAAAAGCGGATTTCCACAAACTTCAAAATAGCGCGACGTTACAATCATACAGTAGGGGCGACAGTAAAATACGCTTATTGAAAATTCCTTCATCTGCGCAACCGAATTGTTAGAGAAGAAAGAGGAGCAAAGGACCAGGGACAGAAAAGGAAGCCGATTTAGGAAAGTTGACAGGCAAGGTGCTATACGGCTAACTGAGCGTGAACACAATATTGATTTTACGTACTTGCATTCGTAACTAGAGTGATGGCTAGAGATTTTATTGCCTTCTCTTTCTCGTATGAGTACTTTCGTAGCGTGGGGGAAGCATTATTGGGCGGAACACAGCTGCTGATGCTGATGTTGGATTATTTAGAATCCCAATTCCCTGATGCCATTAATATTTACAATTTCTACTCACTTCAGACTTATACGTCAGTCATTCGTGTGATTAAGTATCATCATGCTGCTCTTACGCGTCATCTCCTCCTTCCTGGCCATCCCTCTGGTAGCAGGATTCCTTGTGGCACCTCTAGCGGGGTCAACACCTGCCCCCTAACTGTTAGCGACTGCAGTGGCTGGGTAGTTGTGACCTCATCAATGACTTGTACGTCAATTGCTACTACGTATGGAATAACTATTGCTAAATTCGAGGCAATGGTAAGTTCCTCCATTCTTTACACTACATTTCGATGGGGGTGTATACTAACACAGCTTGACTAGAATCCAATTCTAGGCCCATCTTGCCAACTCATAGACAGCTTCGCATTCTGCATCGAGGAGAATTTTGGAGGAGCAGCGCCTACCAGCGCAAGCGGTTGCACAACCCTTGTCACTATAACCACGCCAACAACCATAACCACTGCCACAACCACATCGGCAGGCAATGGCATCTCAACTCCTACACCCTATCAATCGGGCATGACAACGTCTTGCAACAGCTTCCGCTTGGTTATCGCTGACGACCAGTGTGGAACAATTGCCACCGAAGCTGGTGTGAGTCTCTGATTTCTATCTCTGGAATCCCGCCGTTAGGTCATCATGCGGCTCGCTATAGGCAGGATACTGTCTGTGCATTGGCGTCATCGGAGGGTCTACACCCACTAAGTCATTAGCACCTTCGACAACTTCTCCCGGAAATGACGTTTCTACTCCAACTCCTATACAGCTAGGAATGACGTCTAGCTGCGGTGCATTTCATCTCGTCCAGGCTAACGATCAATGTGGAGCAATTGTTACAAGTGCTGGAATAAGTCTCAAACAGTTTTGTGCTTGGAACCCATCCGTTGGTACAGCATGCTCTACACTATTCGCAGGAGATTATGTCTGCATTAGTCTTGCTCCATGTGCAGCAATCTCACCTCTACCGTCTAGAAACTATTATGGCAGAGTTAGACTCCCAGTCGCCGTAGTAGGCGTTAGAGCGCTCGTTTCATATAATACGGGCAGTCCTTATGTTTCCAGCCTAAGTGCCTGTTCTACAAAGTGTTCGAAAACACTTGCCTATACTAGCTTCTTTTTTGTCTAAGGAAACGAATGTCATCTACGATATGGTCCAAGTTCATTTTTTCCCACCGGAAATTCTGGATCTAACCCATACTACGAAAGTTCCTGCTTTTCGTGCCCCTCGTCAGCCTCTTGTGCACTCGACGCGGCTGCAGCACCTTACTGCAGCCGAGTTGGAGTCCCGGTAGCAGCATCAAACGTTAGAGCCCTTACCTCATACGATACAGGCAGCCCTTATGTTTATAGTGTTGGTATCTGTGCGGCAGAGTGCTTGAATACACCTACCTGTTCAAGCTTTTTTTTCGTTCAAGGAGAGAAATGCCATCTAAGATATGGACCCATTTCGTTCTCGCCTAATGGAAGTTCTAGATCCACTCCTTTCTACGATATGGCTTGTTTCCCGACTTGTTAGATGATTGCATTCTATCCATTGGTGTTGTGGGTGTTTGATGTCTAGCCAACTTTTACAGATGAGACATTGCCCTGTCACCGAAACGCAGGATTATGGTAGTAAGGATTAATATAGCATATATATTTTGCAAATGAAGCCACAGCTACATGATAAATACCAGTGTGTACTATAATCTTATTCATAGCGAGTGGGTGCTGTTTGTGGCATATGGTGATTATGTACAATCGTCTGGCTGTTCACTTCATGATTCCTTGTTAATGATCCCTGCTGCAAAATCGCGCATTTGGCCCGATCGCAGTGAGCGACCCAACGATAACTAGAAATAAACAGTCCCGTGACAATTGATTTGTCATCTACCTTTACCTACTATAGTTCGAACCAAGACGCACCATTGAAAGCTTCGACAGTCTCTATCACCGTTACTATCTTAACCTCCCCTCCATAACGTATACCAAAATCAAATCAGGACATCGAGCACTTGCCATCTCGACCTAAGCGATAATATTTTATTGTTCCATTTCTTAATGTTTAAACATGTCCCAAATCCGGCAACAGCCTCCAACTCGGAAAGGTCTAATGCTCCATCAACTCTATTTTCGCTCAATCCAATGCCACCTGACACGCGTATCGGGCCCGCAGTTGACGGCATCATTTTTTATCGAAACGACCCCATTAGGCATACGTGTATAGTTGAGCGGCAGAGTTCTAATTCGCAAAAATACGTCCTAAGCATGATCTGGCTTCCACTTAAGCCTGGCTACGATGTTCTTAACTGTCAGAGCGCGGCAGCGCGGTTATGGCATGCGTCTCTCGATTATATTCGTTGCATTCGTGGCTGCGTTGAACTATGTTGGGGTCAGGACATCGAGGCGTCTGAACCAGCGTTGGTGTTGCTTATACAGTGGGCGGCTGTTTGGGCATGGAAAAGCTTCCAACAGTCGCCTGGCGTGTCGCTCATTTCAGGCATGCTTAGGGGAAATCCACTTAACAGGACAGTTAATCTCCACCCTGAATACCTCTATGGCCCCGAAAAGATCATGGAGATTGTCTTTCTATCTATTGACCCGGGCACCGAAACTACTGTCATCGAAGGGGATCTAATACATCTGCAGGCTGCAGCTGTTAAGAATACCAAAGTCGATTACTACACAAATATAGCTGAGCGTTACGCATCATTCAATCCCCTCTCTTCCGTCGGCCAGGAAAGAGCGAGGAAGCTGCCAGATGTTTTGACAAGCCTAGCAATCTGGAACGAAACAGACTACTACAAAGCCTCCAGCAACCAGGATCTCACTAATGCCGCCCAACTACTACTATCAAAATCCGTATGTCTCACTAGATTCTCAGCCAAGTTGTCTCGCGTGGACCTGGATCCAGTGTATAACTTCAGACCCTCGCCCGTCATTGAATGCACAGCACGAAGCACGGCCGATCTCCTCGCACTCCCTCACTTCCGTCGACAGGGTAGCTTCCCAGGTGGCCTACGTACCAAATCATATTCCTTCGCTCCGCGTATGGGCGAGATGAATGAGTTTCACGAGTCGGTGCCGATGTATGCGCCTATTAAGACATCAGACATTAGGAAGGCAGAGAAGTTATGGGTGGGTGAGGATACGAGACCGCTAGCTCTGGACATGTTTGAAATCAGAATCGTGCCTACTTCCGGCATGGTAAAAAATGAGGACATGATTATGCTCTCCAGTGATCTCTTTGATCAAGTTGAACAATTGAGAAGGGAGATAGAGTCCTACGAGGGTTGTCAAGCTGTTTTAGTTGCACATGTGGACTCACTCACATCAACGCCTAGTGTTGACATAAAGACTGATATATTTCAGCTGCTCGTCTGTAAGTACAAATTAATTCTGTTGCAGCACTATGAATGCTAACCTATTGTTCTCTTTTAAATGTTCATAGTCTGGGCTGTCAACTCTCTGGCACTACCAACACAACGAGAAAAATCTAGAAAGAGAGTCGCAGACGCTATGGAGTTTACTTCTAAAGTGCAACCGCCCGTTTTGGTACACGAAATGCCTGATGTATCACATATCTTTAAAACTGAGTCTCCAAAAATGCCGGCATACGAAATTACGCACTTCTTCGTACCAACTGGAGACAAAGATCTTTTTCAACAAGCCTTTAGTGACTATACTAAGTAAGTCTAGCCTCAAATATAAGAAGAACCTCTTCATACCCTCTGCACATGTAAATCAGCCGAGCTAACATTAACCCAGAATCAACAAGCTCGAGTACGGCCCACACATTGTAGGAGGCTACGGACCTAAACCAATGCAAAACTACGGCTGCGGCTGGTCCGTGGGCACTTTCTCTCGTGATGGCCACAGTCAACAGATGGCCTGCTATACGAGCGTGAGATGGTGGCGTTGTGCCTCCGAAGCGGCGGGGTGGTACGCCCATTTCGTTAGCCAGGTTAAAGAAGGAGGATATGAGAGGATGGGCTTCCAACTCGATGCGCTGCGGTTGATTGCTAGTGGGGGTGCGGAATCGAGGTTTCTGACAATATTTGAACCAGTGAAGAAGATGGATTAGGGGAGGTATGAGGGGATACCCATCTATTCACTCGTGTTATTAGATTGGTTACTAGTACGCTTGCATTTTGTCATCTGTAGCCCTTAACGTCTTGGGCTGTAAATCACGAAATCTACAATGCTCGATGTAAAAGATATGTATTTGCCATGAGCCCTCTGTTTTACCACTTGCTGCATTCTATTGCAAATGAATTGATAGGCCAAAAATAACTTACTGCTGTAGAATGGGAAGAGTCGGGGACGATAGAAAGGCAGAACTAGGTTTTACGAACGATGATGATTAAAATACCGTAGATAGCTATGTAGTCTTTCAGTATTGGTTGGTACAGAGGTGAAGCGCGGCGCTGGAAGGATTTGCAAAGGTCTGTGCTCTAATTACATAGCCCTGGCCGCTACTTCCGATCGACACGATGCATCTACTTTTGGGGGCATGCCCCGCCGTTTGATGTTGGACGTAGAATCCCCACTACGTGCCATCGTAGCGGCCCCACATCCCTGGATAGGTACTCTAGGCTGTGGAGTCGTCGGCCTCCGAGACAGCAGGCGGACGTCCGGACATTCCCGTAAGATGAAGTGTGCCAGGACCCATATTGACTAATTAGGTTGGAAATACGAGGCCCAACATCATATCTACGGCTATTTATGGATCGCAGTATACGCCAAAGTCTAACAATGTCGGCTGATGGGTTCGTTATATACTAATCGCGGTCTGAGGCCCCCAATACTGAGTCGTATGAGAAAGCTTGTTAAAAATGCTTTTATAGCATAAAACCCTTAGTTAGTAGCAATGCGATACCCCTAGCTATTGTAGCAACGGCTGAAATCAGGGCTGAGACTAAGTTCAAGCTTCGTCCGAACTATAGGCAGCACCACTCTTTGGCGTTTGAGATGACAGGTTGAACCTAGTGTTAATATACCTACTTACCGCATCCCTACTAGCTTTCTACATACTAACGGGAGATTAACCTGATTTATAGTACATACTTCGATACGCATGATACCTAATAAAGTCCGACTAGCTAAACCAACAACGACAGGGGACGCGAGTATTGAGTTACTGTCGAGAGAAAGGTGGTGTGGTTACAGTGCAGTTAACGATATATATGCGCTACCATGTGGGTATGGAGCTTCGTATAGAATTGGGGCTATAGTGATGTAAAGTATTTCCCTTCTGCTTCTCGAATGGGTACTCTCCTTACATTACTTGCTATGATGCTTTTGTGGTGCTTTTTCTGGTAGGATGAATGTGGGTGAGGCCGCAGGGGCTGTATAGGAGAAGTATATAGGGATAGCGGCGGCGTAGGGGTGTGTATGTGGGGGGGGAGGGGGTGTAGGCCGACGGTGAATGAGTACAAAAAAACACCCCTGCTAGGTAATAACTAGAGTGCACAGAAAGGCTCGCAAATAGCCAAAGTAGGATAGCATCGCCAGCCTCGCAGACTTTTTATTCTATGTCCGACCAGAAAGCTTAACTGCTTTAGGATCGTGGAAGGGGGCCATGTTTGAGTAGTTCGAAAATCCTTTCTAATTTATTATTTGTAATCGCTAGACTTCCATATTCAACTACTACTGGTGCCCCCGAGCAACTGTAAATTTTTGCATCACTTCCATTTTTGGCAACTCATCCATGATGTCTCCATTCTCTGTATTTAGGATCTCTCTCCTTACGTGGATGCACTGGGCTATCCTACTCGGAAGCCTAATAGAGAAAACATGGGGCTCACCAATGAATACTTCGTCGCGCCTTGCTGCGAGGGGCCTCTTTGGTCCAGCAAACTGCAATAGCCAGGAATTTTTAAGTCTGATGGCCTCATTGAATGATGCTGAGGACATGGTAAGCAGCCTTTGTGTCCTTTGTTAGTCTAAACAAACGATAGAGGCAAATTAACTCTATATATAGCTGAAGGTTACAATTGATAGGACAGCAGACCTATACAACTGGTTAAATACGAGACCATCATCTTTTTCCGGGAGGAATAGCCTTCAGCTGTCCACTCTACGCACCTTCGAAGCTATTTTTGGCGAGGTGTACTATGGTTCTACAAACCCACAGGGAAATTCTGCTGGTCTTGCGCGTATAAAGAAAGTTGGAAGTCAGTGCTGGCATTTCAAATAAGTTGAACTTCCTTTCTTAAATCGAGAGAGCGTTGAGATGCAACATTATTATTAGTGTGGGCAGGAACCTTTTTACTGTTTCACATTACAGTATTCAGCGTTTGTCTTAACTAAGTTATGTTATAGATACCGCAACTGGACTCGTGTCGCAGTTCGATGATTTGCTATCTTTGAAAGTAGATATCTTCTGCGACGACTCCTGGCTACTTGACACTGACCCCCAAGGAAATCCACCTAATCGAGACAGTAAGTTAATATTTTTAAACTAAAGGTGCAGGGGTTATCACTAAGATGCGTAAAGCTCTGAGAAGATAACCTTCTGTTATTGCATCACTGTTTTTAGAGAAACAGTATTGAGGATAATTGATTTCCTTTAGAGATGCTCTTGCAATATCCAAAGATACTACTGTAACTAATTATTACAGAGGGCAACTTTCAGTACTTCAACCCCCATGAAAATACTTAGGAGAATTTCAACAAACTCGGCGGAAGCTGCCGTGATAGCAATTTATACGGTTTCGTTTTGTCTGCTTCTCCCGGAAATAACGATTATTTGACTCTCTGTCAAAGCAACTGGCTTGCAGACATTAATAATGGAAACACATTTCGGAAGCTGTCCGGGAACACGTATACTAATGGCCAAGGTTATATCCAAAGCTTCAAGTCTCTTGCAGCTAGCACAATGGTACACGAACTAAGCCATTGTCAGTCTCTTCTTGGAGCTGGCAATAATTGGTGTGAGTAATCCAAACACCAAACTATCTAATGCGGACTGTTTAGTTACCATGGTTAATTAATAAAATAATGTTAGTGGACGAAAAATGCGAATCTTTAACAGGCTCCCCAGCATATGGCTGGCCTTGCGTAACACACATTGCAAAGTCTGACCCATCAAGTGCTGTTAGAATTGCTGGTTTGCAACCCCCCCATCCCCCCCGGCTCTTCATAAAAATCCGGGATTCACAGAATAAAGCTAATATGACAACGCAGATAATTTCATGTTTTTTGTTATAGGTGAGGACAGTCTCATCCTATTTTATTCCCTTAAAACGGGTACTCCTTTCAAAAACGGTTATTTCAAATCGGCCCCTCTAAGGCCAATGTCAAGCACTGGAATTGTTCCAAGTGGAACTCATTCGTCGGTTTCATAGTTGGCTGATGGAAGTATGCCGTGTGTATTTGAAAAAGGCATACCCAATACTCTCAACTACTTGGTATCCGACTAACAGATGCAGCCATGTATATGGCAAACAACGATTGGTCTTCTGGGTTTTCGCGCATCCTTTGGACGCTTAGATAGTGGCATGGCTATATTGTTGGTGTGATAATAGTAGTAGTCGAACATCTCGTTGCTGACTCGAGGGTCGTCACAAAGGGGGATCTGATAATATATCGGTCACTGCGAGTAACATTGGTGGATTATGAAATACTAGTATTCTCTGCAAGACTCAGATAAAGCTTATATTTTGCGTCACATAGAAATTACACGGACTAGACGTACACGTTTTATATTTGTGTTACGTATCGCACAGTTTAAACTAAGCACCACATTATAAGTATATACTTACTTATAAGATAAACTCTACGTGATTTATATTATATTATAATCTATCAAATTTAGCCATCATGGTGAGCATATCCAACAACCTAGATGAATACGCCCACTCATTATCGTACCATGCTAAGATTTTGAAGAACTTCCCTTCGTTAGTTCCAGTTAAATAGTTTCATTATAGGCACATTACCTTGGGGTTCAGCTCAACGCAAGCTTTCGCATCCACTACGCAGCTATGAGGATTGCCCTGAAAATCACAGCTGACTAGCTCACTGTGCTCGACTGTTAACACGCCTTGCAGAGGACCCATTGAAGCCAGTTCCAGTTGTGTCAGGATCTCCGCTAGCGAAGTTTCGTGTTCGAAATTTATTGTCAGGTCAACAAGCGACACATTGTTGCTATAGACGTGTTAGCAACATTCACGACAGTAAGACCTGTATGCTGACGTTGGAACTCGGAGAGAGATGCCAGTCATCTTCCCAGCCAGTTCTGGAAGCACAGTCGAAACTGCCTTTGCTGCACCAGTTGTGGTCGGAATAACATTTCCCAGCACGGCCCGCCCGGCTCGACGATCTCTTTTGCTGTATCCATCCAGTACAGGTTGTGATCTTGTAGAGGCATGGACTGTGGTCATAAGGGCCTGAACAATACCAAATTTGTCGTTCAAAGTTTTTGCCAGAGGGGCAAGACAATTAGTAGTACAGCTCGCGCATGATACTATACTTGGAGGGTTTATGATGGGATACTGTGAGGTGTTGACACCGTAGACGAATGTAGGTGCGTCCTTGCTCGGGGCAGAGATAAGTACCCTCTTTGCCCCGGCATGCTCGATGTGAAGACTGGCTAGTGATGAAGTTGTAAATTTGCCTGTGCTTTCGATGATATACTCCGCTCCTGAAATCGTCCAGTCCAAAAACTTGGGATCTCGTTCCGAAGTCAAATGCACATGTTCTCCACAGACAGACAGGGTGTTTGCGTCTACAGCAAAAACAGCGTTTTGTTTGACATCCACACTCCGGCTTAGAGGACCATGTGTAGAATCAAAGAGGATTTGATGAATGATATCGGCTATCGAGGCGCATGTGTGGTTGATTGCCACTATGCGTATATCTTTTCGAGATAGAGAGTTTCTGAATGCGACGCGGCCTTCACAGATGTTAGATTGACATAACCGTCAGAGAGGTTTTACGTGGCGACTGACCAATTCTTCCCCATCCATTGATCCCTACTTTGATAATCTCTTGCGGAACTAATGGTAAGAGAGATTCCCTTCCGTCCAAAGTCGCGGGCATAGTGAATTAATTCACAGAAAATATTTAAAATTCAATAATGGGTGGAGTGAAAGGTAAGTTATGTTCCCACGATCTATATTGAAGTAAACACCGGACTCTACTTATCTCAACCCCCGGGCATAGACCATCGTGATTAATTGATACATTGTGTTTTTTGATAATTGTGAGCCTGTGCTGTGAGTGAGGCCGCCTTCTGTCTCCAAATTTACCCCGCACTAGAATCTGGCCAGGTTTGCTTAATAATCATCGTTTCTCCGGAGTCCCACGTCGTCCGCCCTAAACTGGAACTCGTTTCTCTGGACCAAACCCCACTTAGTTGAACGTTGGTCCCTTGACAACAATGACATGCGGGAAACGATCCCCGCAACGAAGAGATCGTAAAAGATCGCAACGCCGCTGGTACCAAACCTGTGATTTTCCAGGGGTTTCTTTCATGCGGCAAGGACGAGGCAAAGTGTTGACGATTGATGAGCACGTGATGGAAAATCAAGGGAGTTCGTGTGAGCCTTGCAAAAGGAAGAAATGCAAAGTAATCCCCATCCCAGGTATGCTTTGCGTGACCCTTCGCGCTAATTTGTGGACAGTGTGATCGTCAATTGTAGGCTTGTGCAAATGAAACGACAAATATATTAGCTGACTTCAAGCCAGGCCATCGTGCGAACAATGTCAGGCGGCAAAACTGGAATGTAAATATAGCGAAAGCAACAAGAGGTGCGTTATGTGATGTGCTGGTAGTTTGATGTCTTAAAGCTGATATCTCGCAGAGGAATCCCAACAGGTTACCTTGGCAATTTAGAACAGCGGCTTAATGAGACCGAAGCAGCACTGTATACTGCTCTGGCCCAGTTGAGAAGTCTGAAAAATGACCAACATTTTGTGAACCTGCCGAATTCTACTTCTTTGTTCATACCTCCAGATTTGGCCCCGCGAGAATTAAACGCAAATAAAATGTCCCGAATGGCAGAATGGAAAGAACACTCGTTGACAGGTTCTGGTGCCATCGAAAGATGGCGAGCGTTCTTTAGCAAATATGAAATCCCTCCTCAAGGTAGTCGTACATGATTGGAACGAAACTTTGTCAATACTAACGATGCCTAGCCGATGAGAGCGTGACAGTAGACGGGCCACCCATTTATTCAAGTCCTACCATAGATGTCCAGCCCTTCGAAAATATCCAACTTAGCAGCCACGTTACTCAGAATACACTCGATAGTAGATGGGAGCAAGCGCCGAGCACGACGGTAGCTACACTAGAACAAGGACGACAAGAAGAAGCCATACTAAATCCTTCGAAACAATTGTCATCAACACATCGATATACTTATTATTGAGTATAAGATATGTAGGTTTCGATGTATTTTTGTTATAGCTGCTATAGGGATTTGGTGCTTCTTACAGGGTGTACGTGAGTGACTGGTGTCACTTTGACTGGCCTGCCTCGCATCGAGTCTGACAAGCTATCTGCCATGTTTGCTCTCTTACTAGGACAGCTCTCACTCATCTCTCATCATTATGGCGAATGACGGAATTTTGGGTCTGGGTTTACATCTGTTCTGTTCGCTGGAGTCTGTTCTGGAAGGTTCGGAGTCAAATAAGCCAACATTTTATATTGCAGTGCATATTTTATGATTATCATGGTCCGTCCTATACTGCTTTAGATCGACCATTACCATTTCCATTGAGTCCTGCCTTCTCCGATGCGTCCTTAACGTACGGCGGATCTTCTTTGTACACGTCATACTTGTATGCGCTTCCCGTATGGTCACTCCTCAAATGAGCCTGTCCCGACCCATAAACCTTCTCCCGGGCCGTCAAGCCATCATTTGACTCCTGGGGGTAGATGCCACGTCTACGCAACTCAGGGACCAATAGATCTACCACGTCTTCGAATGTCCCTGGCGTAGTCACGTAGCCAAGATTGAAACCATCAACATCTGCTTCAGCCACCCAACGCTCGAGTTCATCTGCGACAGTTGAGGGCGACCCAATAGAGACAGGACCTAGGCCACCTATTGATGCCATCTCTGCTACAACTTCAGGGGTCCATTTTGGGATATTTTTGCTTGTTGTAGTGAATGCACTCAAAGCCGACGTAACTTTGTGTGCTTCTAATGAATCCTCTTTGGTGATTTCCTTGCCCAGCGGCAACTTTGAGAGGTCTATCCCTGTCCACCCACTTACCAACACGAGGCCCCCGATTGTTGATGCGTATTTCTTTACTTCTGCTAGTTTTTCCTGAGCCTCCTCGTCGGTACGGCCGATAATGGGAGTAAATGTGCAAAAGAACTTCAAGGAGGCTGGGTCGCGGCCTTCGTCCTTGGCAAGGCGGCGGATGTTGGCAATTTTGGGGGCAATGACAGAAGGGTCGTGACCTGTCACGAATATTGCTTCGGCATGCTTGGAGGCAAATGCTGACCCGGCTCTACGTCGGATCTCAGTTAAGTTGCCATAGGTTGGGTAGCAGAGATCGGGGAAGCTTACGGGGAAGTCCCCGCCTGAAACAGGAACGGGGTTCTTTGAGGAGAAGGGTCCACGATGTGCCTTGACTCTAAGTTGAAAAACTGGCCGTGGTGGTTAATCTGCCGCACCTTATCCGGGTCAATGTAGGAGTCATTTGCTACGTCCTTGATGATTGCGTCTTTGCTCCAGGAGCCTTCCCATAGCTTATAGAGGACGCGCAAATACTCGTCCGCCTGCGCGTATCTTTGGTCATGGTCTATGGGGGTATCGATTCCGATGGCCTTAAACGCGCTCTTCTTCCACGAGGTAACAATATTCCTTATGGGCGTTAGCTTTGCTATGTAAGTGGGCGGGTCATCATTCGTAAGTCACATGTGATAAAATGAATGAAATAAAAGAGCGGGGCAATTGAGGCAGTGGATACGAGTGCAGAACGAAAAGATTGGCGCGCGTACCATCCAATTCGGCCTCGGGTGAGGTGATCAAGAGTTGAGAAGCGCTTTGCGAGTAGAAATGGCGGTTCAAATGACGTACTCGCAGTAATGCCGAAGGCCAAGTTCTTCGTAACTTTTTGACATCAGCAAGTATGGAGGGATTGAATGCGGGACATCCTTACCGGCTGCCATCGCGCTTATGGGCTTTATGAGAGTGTCAGTGATAATAAACAGAAGGCGGGTCTCTAACTCACAATCGTTGGGTCCGTCACTGGCCATTGTGCCGCCCTCCTGATACAATTATCCAGACTCCCCTCGTAGGTATCGTACCCGCCGTACGTATCAGCGAGAAAGAGGGCATTGATGCCTCCTCGTTCCAGGATCTTTGCGAGGTCGATCCAGTACTGAAGGTCGCGCTTGTTGGCCGAGCGGTCGTTCGGATTCTGTCTCGCCTATTAGCTCCCCCAACCTAAAAGCAACATACAACCATACATACCTTCCACTGCCCTGGGCTCAGGTGGCCCACGGTCGACATGTCGAAGGCATTGAGCAGGATTTGCTTTTTCTGATGTCCGTTTTGCGGCTCCACGCTGGAGGTTTCCTGCCCCGCCTCACCATTGCTCGAGCTTCGCAGCCGCTTCGCGACCGACGGTGTTGTCTCTTCCGCACGGTTTCTCTTTCCACGAGGCATGGCAAACGAAAGAAAGACTGACTCAATGGTATTTTTTAGATGGCATGGTAATTAGAGAGTGGGCAGCTTCATAATATTCACGTTCGTCGGTCAATGGCAAACCGGCACGGCGTCGCTCGCACGCCATCAGGCTTTCAATGACAACATACGCGAGCACAATCCTTCTCGTCCAGCTCCAAACGACCCCGCGAACATTACTCCCAACATGCGCTACAGTTCCATGTCACGCCATGTTATCCCCCGCCCATCCTCATCCCCACTCTCATATATTTCTTATCTCTCTCCACAGATACACGAGGCACCGATCGGCCGGCCCTGAACGTTTTCTTCCCATCTACCTGATTAGTTGTGGTGGTCATGCCCCACGCCGCACGTTGTGCTGGTGGGGTCTCGGATGGCGAGCTATCCACGAGGAATCACGTACGACCAAGGAACAGGGAATCATCTGGACCCATCATCGGCAATTGAGAGCTGTTTATGCCCGTCCCTGCATGGTTGGGAAAGATGGGAAATCATCCTTGGATGCCGGCAGCTCACTTTTTTTTCCCACCCCACTCTCGAGACACGCCTACTTTGGTACCTTTCTCATATAAATTATTGATGCAATCACATCGAATTTCCACGTTGTCAAATATATACCCAAGCTGAAACTATTGGCCTTTTGAACTGGAGGCATCTGGCTTGAAAGTCAGCTAATTACACCATGGCCTCAGATTTGGGAGACGACGATTTGACGAAGGCAAAGATTCCAGGGTTGGCCTCCGTTGTGACGCTCGGCAGCTCGCAGAGCGATGCAGCAGCGGATCCCAGAGCGTTCCTCGCCTCCTTCAGTGCCGAGGAAGATAAAGCCATCAGGCGAAAAGTTGACCGGAGATTCCTCTGGCTCATTGGGCTTATGTACATTATCAAAAATGTTGGGCCTGTAATCCCATAAGCCACACATGTCCGCTAATAAATCGCAGATTGACTATCAAAATGCTGCCAATGTCAAGGTTCTGCAAGTGGGACAGCCTTCAAATGTCTTAATCGAGCTCGGCATGACAGCTGATCAGTACAACTGGGTTCAATCAATATATTTTGTTTGTGAAACTGGAAACTCTCCTATCTAGCTTCCGCTTTCTAACATCTTTCAGATCAGTTATATCATCTTTGAAGTTCCAAGCAACCTCTTGCTCAAGAAAGTGTCGCCGCGGAACTGGCAGTTCCGCATCTTCCTATCATGGGGGATTGTCCTGGCCTGCCATGCAGCCGTGAAGAATAAGGAGGGCATGTATGCTGCCCGGTTTTTCCTCGGCATGATGGAAGCCGGAATGTTTCCTGGTATCGCAGCCCAGTTGTGCAGCTGGTACCGAAGCGATGAGATGGGCAAGCCTATCATGTGGATGTTTGGTTTCCAGAACTGCTCGGGGATCGTCGGTGCCGTTCTTGCATATGGTATCTCTTATATGGATGGGCTAGGCGGCCTAAGCGCTTGGAAGTGGGTGTACCTCTTGGAGGGCATCGCCACCATCTTGTTCTCTTTCGTCGTGTACTTCGTGTTGCCAGACTACCCTAAGTCACAGCGTTCCAATTCGTGGCTTACACCGAGAGAGCAAGATTATCTAGAAACGAGACTGTCAGAAAACGCACCAAAGACTAACGACGCAGAATTCGACAAAAGCGAAATCTTTGCTTCACTGCGAAACCCTCGGACATACTCTTTCATGCTCTCGCAGATTCTCCTTAACTTCGGGGGGTACGGTTTGAGTTGGCAGCTACCGACCGTGACCACCAACCTTGGGTTTGCGGGACTTCCTAAGAACCAGCTTCTCAATATACCCCCAGCCGCTGCCTCCGTGCTTGCAATCATATTCTCTGGGTGGTTTCTTAGCCGCGCCTACCTTACTCGCCCCGCATACATCATGTGGATTTGTGGAGGTGCTCTTACATTCTTCATCATTCTTGCAGCCACAAAGAACAAGTATGCGGTGTATATGGCATGCGTGCTAGGAACAATGTTTTACTCGGCATATTTTATACCTTTTTGCAAGTTTCCCCGTGTTATATCACCATAGCTCCCATCACACACAATATCTAACTGTATTTCTAGGGAGTTGTACGTTTCCCCGCATTATAGAAGCATTGCAGTTGTTTTTGGTTTCCTATGTTTTCCCCGTGTTATATCAGCACAGCTCCCATCACACACAATGTCTAATTCGGATTTCTAGGGCGTTCTTCTACGCTAGCGGGCACCACTGGCACGGCTTTTACACTCGCATTTCAATCCTCCGTGGGGCAAGTTGGCGGTGTCATAGGCCCCCAACTGTTCCAATCGCGGTATGCCTACAATGGTTATAAAGTACCATTCGCCATCTGTGCAACAGCCATTGGTCTTGGCTGGGTCGCCAATGTTTGGACATGGTGGCTGACAAGGAACGTCGAGTTCGACCTTAAGAGAATCAGAAGGCTTAGAATAAAGGCTGAAAAAAGCGGGAGGGTGTTTGCTGAGGATGATGTCAAGGTGTTTGAGGAGCGGGAGTTCTATGGGAAGGGCCTGATCAAAAAAACTGATCAGTTGGACGTAGTATAAAATAGTATGCAGAATTAAAGGTTTACACTATAGATAGCCTGGATAGAGCTTCATATCCACTTTAGAACACATAGCGGCATTTGCTCGACGAACTACATTTGAAAGCGCGGGATGAGTAGCCAGCTTTGTTGCTGCTATATGATGCAATGCCATCAAAATCACGCGTAAAACCTCACACATTTCTTTGCTGTCTCATTCCATAGTATTAAATAAAACATCATACAATAAAACATCATACCGTGGTTTCTGTAGCAGCAGTACCACTCTTACTACCCCTCTCCATGCCTTTTCGACTTCCCGACTCCTCGAACTCTGGGGCGCTAACCTCGCTATCCGCATCAGATTCATATTTCCTCTCCAGCGCCTGCGAGTACGGCCTCACAACAAAGTATGTAAACAGCACCAGCAAAACTGAGTTTGCTGCACAGAACGTAAAGCCCTTGAGGAAACGCGGCGCCTCCACCGTCGGGAATACCAGCACGCTCGTCCATGCCGTCGTGCTCTGTGCTATCAGGTTCATGAATACGATGACTATAGAGCGCTCCGTCGCGTTATGGCGCAGCATGTCGTTTGCCCATCCATAGAGGACGCTGCTCATGGCGACTTGGATGTAAGAGCTGTTAAGCGCGAACCACTTGGCTGACTCGGGGACCTTCCATACGGCGAGGATAGTCATGGCGGTGAAATTCCAGGCATGAGCAAAAGCGATTGCACCACTCGGGCCCCAAAGAAGATCGGAACTAAAATTTACGAAGAGAACGTAGAATATTCCGAGGGCGGGTGCTGTTGTCCCGAGCTGGTTGACTTCAGGGGTAGAGAAGCGATCCAGACTCTTGAGCCAGAGGAGGTAGGCTCCGGAGGATGTCGATCCTGAATTCCAAAAAAACACGGCCCAGAGTGTCAGGATATATATTTTCCAGTCCATTGCAATATTTCGTACCAGCTGCCATTTTCCCTGTTTTATTTCTTCAGTAGTATCTGCCTTCGTCTCCTTCAGGCGCTTGATGGCCAGGGCTAGATCTTGATCTGTGAGTATAAGCATATTTGGTTTAGCTGGCGTCCCTGGCCAAATAACTACTCCAGCAATGGCGATGGGTATGGTCATTAAGGCGCTGATAATAAACATCCATCTACAAAACAATGTCAGAAATAGAGTTTCTTGTAGTGGGGTTTCCTCACCTCCAGCCAGCGAGCCCTCGCACGCCATCAAGATTGGAGGACGCTCCACTCTGAATCAAGCCCGCGGTGAGAGTTCCCAGCATCTGGCCGACGTAGAAAACCCCACCTCGGCGACCAAGCTCATCGCCTCTGTACCAAGCACCCAGGACGAAATGCACTCCTGGGAAGAAGGCGGCCTGAAATTACAATGAGTAAATGTTCTGCCAGCCTCGGATATATCACTTGCCTCGAAGATGCCAACAAAAAAGCGGTATGTCATGAGTTCCGCGTAGCCTTGTGCACGATATTGCAAGAGGGTGAAAATGCCCCAGCCAGCCTCAAGAGCGGGAATGGTGTAGTTCATCGGAAACATTGGAAATAAGATGGTAAATGGTAGCTGGCCAATGACCGCTCCTGCAGTGTACATGGCATTAAGATTAACCAATTGATTTGACTGAAAATTCAAGTCTTCTTTAAGGCCAGATACGTAGGCATTATCTAGTATGGAGTTAGTTTATTCTTGGGCAAAAACGCTCATGGAAGAGGCAGGCATGCGTACTCAAGTTCGACTGGTCGATGTATTTTATCCAATACGCAAGAACGGCATATGGCACAATAAGGAGATCCAGCTTAACGATAAGCTTCCTTTCTTCGGGGGTATCGTCTTTTGCATACCAGTGCCAGAAGGCTCGCCCTTGGCGTTTAGTATGCATCTTGAACAAGCAAATATATCCAGGTCAAATGTTAGATTTCAGCGCCTGGGGCCAATACTGCGCATGGGAGACAAGGGATATATATATCAAATATCTAGCTACGGTCACACTGAAACTACCTCGCACTCCGCATATTAGTAGAGGGCCTGTATTACCCTTCCGGGCCTTAACTCTGATTCGGGAGACATGGTTGTATGTAACCACGGTGACGTAAACAGGCTCCCAAAGAAAGTGACTGGGAAACGTAAGTAGGAGCTAACCAAACGGCTTCAGTGACTGAAGGGAAGGAGAACTGGACTGCAAAATAATTGCCGGATTATTCAAAAATAGAAAATGAGGGCGCGGAAGATTTGCGCGGCAGCCTCATCTAGGCCTGTAGTGGCGCCATCGGTACCCCATAAATTTGGGCTCTAGGACCCCTCCCTGGAAAAGGAAAACTACGATAAGCCGAAAAGGATGCTATGGCCGTGGGCAATATTTTGATGATCTAATCAATGTAGAGGGCGAGAAGGGTCGGTCGGTCAAGTAGAACGCCGACATACGAGGTATCGTTGCTGGCGGATGAGGAATATTAACAGTTGCACAATTTGACGCAAGTCTGACGACGCCTACGTGTGGGGGTTAATCTCTCCGACGTCGGCTGCCAATGTCAAAATATTTGAAAACTATCCATATTAGATAACTCGTAGTAAATACATAGAAAACTACAAGGGAGAAAGTAAACAGATTGTTTGTATATCTAGTGTCCTCGCTTCTTCTGCACGTTTTTGGTAATGAGAACCATGGCTACAGCTTCTCAAAAAGCAAAAATAAGGCTTGAAAACCTGTCACAGCACCTGACTAGTTCCCCGGCAGCGAATCCAAAGTTCGAGCTTGAAGACCATCCGATTGATTCGGTGCCAGTATTGCGGGTATGGGTCGGCTTTCCCTTCCGAGGGGAATAAATATTGACGTTGAATCATCTAGGTAGCTGTGATTGGGGCTGGTATTTCTGGAATAACGGGAGGCATACTCCTCCCAGCTAAAGTTCCAGGGATAGATTTGACGATTTATGAGAAAAACAGTGACGTCGTACGTTTCTACCGCAGCCCGTATTGTTCTGATAGAAATATTCTAATGATTGTATAGGGCGGAACATGGCTTGAGAATATATGTGAGACAACACAAGCTACTTAATTCAAGATGTCTAACGTAAAACAGACCCTGGTGTCCGATGCGATGTGCCAGCAAACGTATATCAAAGTACTTTTGCTCCGAATAGCCAGTGGACAGAAGAATTCGCTCAGGGCCACGAAATTCGAGCATACTGGCAGAGTGTCGCAGCAAAATACGACGTCTACCGATATATCAAATTCAGCAATAATATCCAGCACGCTCAATGGAATCCGGAAGAAGCGAAGTGGCTATTGAAAGTCAAGGATCTAAGAAGTCAGGAAACTGTTACAGAGAAGTTCGACATCCTTATCACTGCAATTGGTCGCTTTAATGCCTGGAAATTGCCTGACTACCCTGGGATTAATGAGTACCAAGGCCATCTAAGGCATTCTTCAAACTGGGATCCAAAATTTGATCCGACTGGCAAGTCCGTAGCCGTTATAGGAAATGGAGCAAGTGGCATTCAAGTTGTCCCAGAGCTGCAGAAAGTCGTCAAGCATCTCGATCACTACGCGCGGTCACGGACTTGGATTGCAGGATCTTTTGGCGGACATGACCGAAAGGCAGAGCCAATGTATTTCAGTCCAGATCAGCTGAAGGAGTTCGAAGACCCAGAGAAATATTTGGCTTACCGAAAATCGCTCGAGGATGCTTACTGGCGGCGCTTTGCAGGATTGTTCAAAAACTCAAAGGAGAATCTAACAGCAAAGGGAGATTTTAAACTGATAATGGCAAAGCGATTAGAGAATAACCCAGAGCTGCTTGACGCTCTTGTCCCGGACTTCTCGCCTCATTGTCGCAGACTGACGCCTGGACCCGGTTACCTTGAAGCGTTGGGCAAGGAGAATGTCACCTTTATCCAGACGCCCATTAAGCGGTTTACAAAAGACGGTATTGAGACCACAGATGGAGTTCATCGCCCCGTGGATGCCGTAATCTGCTCGACTGGTGCCAATATTGATTATGCCACGCCATTCCCTATCGTATCTGATGGGGTAGATCTGAGCTCCGCATGGAAGCCCGAGGGCAAGTATGGCTTTCCGTTTTCATATCTTGGAGTTGCCACTCCGGGATTTCCAAATCTGTTTTTCATCCACGGTCCCAATGCCGCTGGGCACTCCGGAACTCTTCCACACAGTGTGGAAACTCAAGTCACTTACATTGCACGCGTCTTGCGTAAGGTTAGCACCGAAGGAATCCGGACAATTGTACCATCAAAGGCTGCGGCAGATGATTTTGTCGAGTTCAGCGACGCGTTCTTTCCCAAGACAGTGCTCAGTGAAGGATGCAGTTCTTGGACCAATGGTATGCTCCCCTATGACTCGTTCAGGATGCGATCACACGCTTACATTATGTTTTGCTGAAGGGGGTCGGCCAGGTGGACGCATCCATGGCCACTGGCCAGGAAGTGCGGCACATGCCAACTTTGTACGCCGCTCCCCGCGGTGGGAAGATTTCGAGTACGAGTTGCGATCAGAAAATAAATCTAAAAACCGTTTTGCGTATTGGGGGAATGGCTGGACCAAAAAGGAGCTGGTCCCTGGTTCTGATTTAACTCCATATTTAAAGCCGCCAGAGAAGGTGGACTTGAGAGAGTGGCACGAGAGCTGGTGGGATTTGTAGCCATATTCCTACCATGTTAGGGCATAGAGATAATATATAGATTTGCTATCGTAGTTGTGGAATGAAATTGAGACGGAAACTTTGTAATCGTCAGATCCACTTATTTGCTTCACTGACCCCACTCAACATACTCACCCAGCTGCTCACAGTATCTTCACCCTAAGGCCTATATTCCACAAGCTAAACCCTAGACCCCTAGAGGTCCCAGCCTATATACCTGTCCTCAATACATAGTCATATAAACATTCCCACAGCAATAACATAAACGATTAAGTTTTAAGTTCATATAAATTATATTTGGATGATCCTGGTTTTATGAATAAATATTCACAACTCAAATCCATCTTCATGGAGTGCCTTTAAATCGATGTCTCCAGTCACGCTCTCTACCTTCAAGTACGGCGTAAAATTAAGGTCTTCTTGACCATCAGCTGCCTTCACATCCTTTGTAGTCCACCCATTGCCAAACCACGCAAACCGGTTGCCCTGCTCGTTTCGGTAGGTGTAGTCAAAATCTTCCCATCTCGGATCACGCCTTGAAAGGACGGCATGGGTGCCACTGCCTGGCCAGATCCCATGAATACGGCCTCCGGCAATCCCTCCATTATACCACGAGCTGCAGTTCTCGCTCATCACAGTGCGAGGGAAGAAGGATTCACAGTAGGCCCTGAAATCAGCAGTAGCTTGAACGCTCGGTGTAATCGTGCGGATGCCTTGTGTGGACACCTTGCGCAGAATCTTCGCGGCATAGGTTACCTGTGTTTCGATGGCATGAGGAATCGTACCGCCCAGTCCTGTAGAGTTCGGGCCGAGAATTTGGAGGAAATTTGGGAATTGAGGCGCTCCGATGCCGAGATAGCTATCGGGGAAGCCAGGTTGGTGTTCAGGGCCTACGCCGGGCCGCCAAGCAGTTTGGAGATTTATTCCATTGGCAACGATTGGAAAGTGCGGGGCAAATGTGGTGTCTGCCCCCGTGGAACAAATTATGGCGTCGTAATCGTGGGTTGTGCCATCTTGGAGTGCAATGCCGGTTTTGGTAAATTTTGAGATTGGTGTGGATATGTAGCTAACGTTTGGTTGCGTGATTGCTTCAAGGTAACCAGGGCCAGGAGTCAACCGACGACAGTTGGGCGAGAAGTCTGGGGTGATCTTTTCCAGCAGGTCGGTGCGGTCACCAAGGCGATTGGACATTAACTTGGTAAACGTTTCCTTGGACTTGGCATTAGTTGGGCCACCTTTTATGATCGTACTGAAGCGGGAGAATGATGCTTCTTCTAACTTCTTGCGGTGCTTGAGGTAGGCCTCTGGGTCTTGCGGAGGCGGTGTTCGTCCCGGCCCTCTATGTAGTTCCTCGCCCGTGAACGACCCTGCTATCCATGTCTTGCTTCGAGCGTAATGATCGACATGTGATGATAATTTTTGTAGTTGAGGTACAATTTGAAGGCCAGAGGCGCCATTACCAATTACCGCAACTCGCTTGCCTGCTGGGTCAAATGCTGGATCCCAAGACGAGGAATGTACTAGATGGCCCTCATATTCGTCCCTGCCGGGGTAATTGGGAAGGCGAGGGTCACTGAAATGGCCGGTTGCGGTAATGAGAAAATCGGCCTCTTCGACCGTTTCTAGGCCATTGGTAACAACTTTCAGGACCCATTTTGATTTTTCATCCGACCAGTCAGCGCGTGTGACGGATGTGCCATATCGAATATGCTTCTCTGTGTCGTATTTTTGAGCCACTTTTTTCCAGTAAGCCTGGATTTCAGCGCCGGGCGAATAATTTTCGCTCCAGGTAGTTTGGGGCGCGAAGGTGCTCTGATAAACGTCGGAGGGGATATCACATTTGACGCCGGGATACACGTTGGTATGCCAGGTTCCGCCCTACGGAGGTTCAGCCTTTAATTTCACAGTATGGGCGCATTGGGACGAACCAGATCTGCGTGTCTCTCAAGAATCACAAGGTCAATATTTGGGACCTTGCGAGGCAATAGTATCCCAGCATTGATCCCCGCGATGCCAGCTCCCACGACGACTACCCTGAGGCGCGGGACCTCGTCGATCGGGTGCTCCTCTATCACCAGGGGCGGGAAGAGAGTCCTCAGTGGCGCTTGGTTGACTATTGATGGTTTTAGAGAAGCCTTCGCAAGCTGGGGATCGAGAGTTAAGGCACTGTCGGCCTGGGCGGCTACCGCATGGGGAGCCATTTCAAAATATGCAATGTGGTGCAGATGGTGACAGGTCTAGAGGGGATGCAGGCTACCTTATGGAATGCCAGCCAGAGCAAGATGTTGGCAGTGATAGAGGCGAGTGAGTATATAGCAACAAATGAGTGGGGTCAACTAGGTAGGGGAGAGGAGGGGTAGCAGGTGGTCGTGAGAGGGGTGGGGAGGGGTGAGGGGTGGAGGTGGAAAGCACGTCATGGTCGCGAATGCCGTTGTGGGCATTTGAAATTTGGCAAGGAAAGACTGGACCGTGGAGTGTGACTGAGCTCTGGTGGCTGTTAACAATGGCTATGGCTTGCAGCACTGTGCCTTGTGCCATGTTGATACGACAGCCCGACTGGCTTGGCCACGAAAGACATGTTTCGCAGATTGGAGTCGCGATTAGTCATCCTATTCTCATAACCATACCTAGTTGTTTCAACCACTTCACCGTCCAGCTCATAATTCTACACAAGTTCTATATGACACCGTAATAAATACCATGGTTCAATCTTTTATCGGCCTTATCTGGCCCCGTATTGATGTTGGCGCCAGCAACGCGGAACGCCTGCGCAACATGGCGATGTCGTGATCAGATGCTGGTATCACGAGTGTGCTACCAAAGCTGCCCACAGGTCTAGTGGGTAGATAGGACCGTAAGGAGCCATCTTAATGCCACGCGGTCTCTCGGCATATACACGGAGGACTGTGCGAAGTTCTACGTGAAATGGTAGCTTCAAACGCTTCTCGCAATGCCGCGGTACATGGCCAAATCTGCTGGGCGATCTCGCAATTGCATTGCCAGGGAGTCGCCTAGATCATATATCGCGCCCAGTCACAATTTTTGCCTTCTCATTTTCCATTTATTACATCGAGTTTCAACTATCTAAATCTTCCAAAGCCGACTCATAATGTCAGAGAAGTCCATTGAGTCCGTGGCCGTTGATGCTGAGATAGCTACTCGAGAGCCGGGACGTAGCGCAGACCGTTCTCACCCAGGTTCGCACTGCAAACCACGTTTCTCATTGCGAAATTAATATGTTCTAGTCAAATGGTATCGCTCAACCTTCTATAACGCCCTCATACTGGGCGTCTGCAACTTTCTCGCACCAGGAATATGGGGAGCTATGAACTCTCTCGGCGCAGGGGGCCAGCAACAGCCATACCTCGTTAATACTGCGAACGCGTTGACTTTCTGCCTCATGGTACTGTCTTGCTTCTTTTCGTCCGTAGTGGTCCGCGCGATTGGCATCAAATGGACGCTGATAGTCGGCACAATGGGTTACGCTCCCTATGCAGCCGGTCTGTATGCCAATAATCGTTTTGGCAATGAATGGCTCGTCATCCTCGGTGCTGCCCTGTGCGGACTGTCCGCGGGTGTTTTTTGGATGGCCGAAGCAGCCATTGCCCTCTCCTACCCTGAGCCCTACAACCAGGGAAAGTTCCTCGGGTTCTGGCTCTCCTTTCGTCTTGGCGGTCAAGTCCTCGGCGGCGCCATCAACCTAGGATTGAATGTCAACAATAACAAGGCAGGCAAGGTGTCTTACAATGTTTACCTCGCATTTATCGCCTTGCAGGCTCTGGGGCCCTTTGCGGGCCTGCTGTTGAATAAGCCCTCGAAGGTCCAGCGCCGTGATGGCATCCCCGTCAGCCTTAAAATCACCAATTCAATCTGGGACGAGATCAAAGCCACAACCTCCCTCTTCTTCAGCCGCAACTACCTCCTCATTGTTCCGCTGATTGCGCAAGGTGTCTACACTGAAGCTGTGATGTTCACCTTCCAATCGCTCTGGTTTAGCGTGCGTGCTCGTGCCCTCGGTTCATTCCTATCAGGGATCGTCGCCATCATCTCCGGCAACCTTCTCGGCGCCTTTCTAGACCATAACAAGCTCTCTCTGGTCACTCGCGCGCGAGGTGCTTTTGTGATCATTCTCGGGCTGCAGGGCGCATGGTGGATCTGGGCTACCATCCTCGTAACCGACTTCCATCGCTCGAATCCCACCTACGACTGGGTTGACCCGGGATTCGGGAAAGGATTCGCACTGTTCTTGTTCTGGGTTGCTGGCTTTCAATTGAACTACATGTATCTCTACTTTGTGGTCGGAAATCTCGCGTCTACCGAAGCGGAAGTTGTGCGGATTGCTGGTTTACTTCGAGGAACCGAATCGGCCGCCCAAGCCGTCAGCGTAAGTCCATCCATTATGACACCTCTTTTCTATTTCATTGTGACTGCTGCTGACTAGAGCATAGTACGGCCTCAACTCCATCCCTATCATGGGCTCTATAGGAAGCGTCTATCTTAACTTTGGTCTGTGGGCCATCGCTATTGTACCAGCGTGGTTTGTGATCAAAGAAATCGGCGTAACCATCGTGGATAAGAAACTTCAGCGGGAGATAGGGGAGGTAGGGCTCGCAAACCGACTGGACGCAGAGAAGAAAGAGAAGCCACTGTCATGAAAGAGCATAATTGTGAGTTTGCGGGGCTCTGATGGCGTTTTACGAGAGTAGAGGGGGAGGTTCGGCGGGGTCGAGTTAGACATATGATACCTTGTTTGTAGATTCGAGTATGGATAGAATTAATCGACAAAATTGATGGATAGAACTGATGGACCGAATTGACAGACAGATTTAATGGACATCATTGCACCATTGCACAGATATGATAAGGATCAGCGCCGAAAGGACCCCACACGACCCCGCACGACCCCGCCGTTTTTCTCCAAGTTGCCGCAATTATCAACAGGTACACGGAAGGCGGCATAGCGGGTGGTGGGGTGGAGAGCACGGCATCGCTAGCTACAATCACAACATCGACAATTCGCAACACGCAACACGGAGATTACAAGACCGACACTTGAGTATGACAGTCTCCGTCGGCTTGCCCTGGTCGAATGAGGGGTATATCTGATAATGATAAGGCAAAAAGGTTAAGGCTGCGAACGAAGAGCCGAAACCCGTAAAGCGGAAAGGCGCGCATCGCTCTCTCATTTGGTTTCCATTTTTATTCCATTTCCATTTCCATCTTCGCCCTCTTCTTGGTTTTCTTCTCATTGTTTGTCTTATTCTTAGCCAATCTTTTGGCTGCCGTATTACTACTCGCTTTCAATCGCAGCTTCACATACCTCATTAAAGAAGGCAGACAGAGAGATAGGTGAGCCCATCAAGTCAACCACCACCGTTTCATTCTGTTAATCCCCCCATCAGCAACAATGTCCTCTCCAGAACGCAAGCAGTGGATTCTCAACGCTTTTGCCATGCAATCGCCCTCACACCTTAACCCAGGCCTCTGGAAAGCGCCAGGTGACAACGGTCCGCGCTACACTGACCTCTCAGCCTGGATCGCGCTCGCCCAGAAGCTTGAAGCCGCCAAGTTCCACGCCATATTCTTCGCCGATGTCCTCGGGGGTTACGATGTCTACCGCGGTCCTGCAAACCTCACACCTACAATTCCTGCAGGAGCCCAATTCCCAATAAACGACCCCCTCTACTCCATCCCTGCCATGGCCGCAGCTACCAAAACCCTAGGCTTCGGAGTCACCTCCTCGACTACCTATGAAGCCCCATACTCCCTAGCACGCAAGTTCTCCACGGTAGACCACCTTACCAATGGTCGCGTTGCCTGGAACATTGTGACCTCCTACCTGGACTCAGCGGCGCGCAACTTCCCGGGCAATTCCCAGGTTCAGGTCCCACATGACACGCGCTATGCGATTGCGCACGAGTACCTCGATGTGTGCTATAAGCTATGGGAGGGCTCCTGGCGCGATGACGCAACAGATGCGCGATACAAGCTTGCAGGGAGCTATGCCGATCCTGCGGGCGTCCGACAAATAGAGCATGTCGGGACTCACTTCAAAGTCCCTGGGCCGCATATCTGCGAGCCCTCACCACAGCGGACGCCATTCCTTTTCCAAGCTGGTACTAGTGGTGCGGGCCGCACCTTCGCCGCCCAGCATGCCGAAGCGGTGTTTCTAAATGGGCATGCTCCACATCTCGTGCGGCCATCCGTGGATAGTATCCGCGACCAGGCCGAGTCTCTAGGCCGCCCACGGGATGCAATCAAGATCGTGGCAGGCTTGCTGGTTATTGTGGATGAGACGGATGAAAAGGCTCACGCGAAATACAAGGCGATCCTTAGCCATGGGGATAGAGAGGGAGCTCTCGCGCTGTTCGGGGGCTGGTCTGGTATCGACCTGTCCACCTATAGTGACGATGAAGATTTCCGTTTTGTGGAAAGTAAGGCGGTGAAAAGTATGGTAAATCATTGGTCTTCGACAGTACCGGGTTTAGGAGACGTGCCTTGGACAAAATCCCGGATTTCAGAATTCCTACTAGTGGGAGGGAATGGGGTGAAGGTCGTTGGAAGCGCCACGACGGTTGCGGACGAGCTGGAGAGATGGGTAGCTGAGGCGGACGTGGATGGGTTTAATTTAAGTTATGCGACAAATCCGGGGACCTTTGACGACATTATTAAGTATCTGTTGCCTGAACTACGCAAGAGGGGGGTGTTTTGGGAGGATTATAAAGTACCAGGAGGAACGTTAAGAGAGACTTATACTGGAAGCGAGGGGCAAACGAGGTTGCCCGCAAGTCACCCAGGGGCAAGGTTTGTATGGAGGTCAGGGGAGGAGCTGCCAAAATATATCAAAGAACAACATGAGAAAGCGAATGGAGAGACGAACGGAAATACCAGTACGAAGAGGAAGATTAGCGAGACAGAGGGACAAGGGCTAGACGCGGAGAATGGTGTGAAACGAGTAGATAGGTAAATATTTTATTTTCGAAAAATACGAACATAAGAATACCATTAAACTATTTTAAACTTCATTTTGTTGCAACATCAGTCGTGATGATCACCTCCCGGGCTTGGCGCCCGCCCAATTTCGGCAAGGCGCCTACATGAAGCTCGATGCCACTCCCGTTCAATGACTCGAAATTTCTAGATAGACAAGATTCCGCACAATTTTTCTCACAACTTCTAAACAAAATGCCTACCGCATCTCGGCATCCAAAACTCACCCCTGAAGAGGTGAATCAATATTATGACCGGCTCCATATTCCTCAAGAGCAGCGCATCTACGATGTTAGCGTCCATTCCCCGCAAGACGCATTCGACAACCTAGCTAGTCTGCAACGGCAACATCTGGCTTGGGTGCCATTTGAAAATCTGTTAATCCATTATTCACGGTCGCGGCAGATCAGTCTCCACCCGGAGGACTTGTTCAAGAAGATAGTGCAAACTCCGGGCCGAGGGGGTTACTGTATGGAAAACAATGCGCTTTTTGCGATGTTGCTTCGAACGCTGGGGTATAAGATACGCTCGTGTGGCGCAAGGACGCATAATGGAGAGGCATTCGGAGCATGGTATATTATTTAGATCGATCTGGCCCATGGAACGTTGAGCTGACAATTTCTGTAGGAGTCATCAAGTCATCCTGGTCACTATCGGCGATGAAGTATTCGTCACGGACGTCGGATATGGGGCAAACAACATCGTCGTACCGCTGTCCTTACAGAAGGCGGGCGAGGTTGTCAATGCCATTCACCAAGAATCCATTCGGATCATCCGCACAAGCCTTGATGGCAATGAAGATCCAGATCCAAATCAGAAAGTCTGGGCGTTCCAGCATAGGCTGAATCCCGACAACACCTGGCGCAACTGTTATTGCTTTACCGAGCTCGAGTTCTGGCCAGAAGACTTTGAAGTCATGAATATTTCAACTAGCCAGAGCCCGAGGAGGTTCTTCACCCATCGTGCTTTTTGCACCAAGATGATTCTTGATGAAAGCGGGAAGAAGATTGTTGGCCGTCTAACTTTGCAGACAGAGATCAAGAGGTCAGTTAATGGGAAGAGCGAGGTAATCAAGGAATTTAAATCGGAGGACGATAGACTGGCGGCTTTGAAAGAATTCTTTGATATTGAGTTTAGCAAGAGCGACGCTGGATCGATTATCGGCACTGTGGCGGAGATTAAGGCGCCTTGAGTTGAGTACGAGGCTGGCTTGCCAGTGCCACATCTGGCAGTATGGCAGTATATATAGAATCATATGTCCATATTACGTAGTCTAGAGGTCCCTACTATATAGTTTTACAGTCGGTATGAAGGCCTCTCACCCCGTGACTTTGCACGTGACCTACCTGAAAAGATGTCGCAGAAGGAATAAAGGTGATCCGTCAATACACTGTTATAGAGCATATTGATTACAGTACAAATAGCATGTAGGTATATGCATTCCTCTCTTCGAATACAAACCACACGTGACGTCAAATTGTCCGAGGCATCTCTGAAGCTGTCATCAACCGTCCCTCTGGATTATATCGTAGAATCCAGGCCCCATATAGCACGGACTTTATTAATCTTCATAGACAAACAGCGAGTTCGCAGGTCTCCTTCCGCCTTCGTCTTCCGTCTTTCCGACCTCACAGGCAAATTCACTCACACTCCATTCAATTCTACTTACAATATACATATTATCGTACTGCTATTTTACATAAACTCGCGTACCACACAAGTACAATCAAACAGGATCTCCTTGCATGAGCCTATTGTTTGACAATCACCCTTAGCTCCCCTGCTCGCCCACACTAACCTATATTCCGCCTAGCGTCTACTCTCCCTCCATGCTCTCTCCATGCTCTCGCCCTTCTAGCCCATCAACATCTTCCACACCTTTGACCTCCCCCCTATCCCTGCCGTCACGTTTTCCCACTCGCCAGGCGCAGCTCCACCAATCAGCGAATTCCCCAGCCACGAAGCGAGCGCACGGAACCCCTTGCGCGTCTTCGGCCCTTCTAGCGCGCTCAATAGGGGATAGTGCGGTAGGGGTTCTTGTTTAGCCAGGGGGAAGCGGACAGGGGACGGGTGGATGATATCCGTTCTGTCCGGGGGAATTTTGTTGGCGATGCTGGTGAAGAGAGTTGATGTACGACACTGGCGGCGTCGATTTTACCCACAACTCCGCATAAAGCAGGTGGACAGTGTGGTGTGGCAGGCGTGGCCAAAGAGCCTATGCGTGGCAATCGTGCCATAAAGTGGGTGCAGGGGATAGCAATCAGGGACGGGACAAGGGACAGGACAGGGTCAGAACACGAACAAGAAGAGGTTGGTGCGGGGGGAAAGGATGGGATGGATGGGTGGGTTTTAGTGGTTTTCTCAACGTTCATCTTCTTGCTCCCTCCCACTGTTGCATCGTTGCTCTCCTTTCGTCTTCATCTCTGCTCAGCTCAGGTCGGAGAGTACCAAGACAGCGCAGCACGAGAATATACAGACAGTCACTCTCTCTATCTCCAAGTCGTTACTCTCGTTCTGTCGCCAGCAAGTCGTTGAATTCTCTCACCAAGCTACTATCTATCTCCTCACCCACCACTACCTCACTCACCTCACCCATCAACACCACCATCTCCCTAACCATGGGCCTCATCGACCGCATCCAAGCCAAGCTCGAGCTCTTCCGCCTCGAGCAGCGCTACACCAACCGCAAGAACCGGCGCACAGCATTCAGCTCCGACGCTATCTACGTCGACGGCGAGTACGTCTACGCCTCCTCCAACAACACCGGCTCCAGCAACCGCAGCGAGCAGAGCATGGGCAGCGCGGCCAGCCGCTCCACTACCGCCAGCACCGCCTTTGACGCCGCCAGCGCCAGCGCGAAGGCCGCGAAGCGTCGCTCCATGATGGCGTTCTCGGGTGAGAGCGCGGCGGATATAGAGACGAGGGTTGAGGCGGGGAATGACATGGGGGCGCCACAGAGGAGGTGGAGCAGGAATTGGGGGAAGGGGAATAGGGCGGAGGAGAAGAGGAGGAGTATGGCTGTTGTGAGGGAGGCCAGGTGGGAAGATGGACAGTGAGAGACGAGTGTATGTTAGGGCCGGATTACGCGTTATGACTTATGATGAAGGGGGACCTATCTCACGATTTTTTGTATATGGTAGGGGTGAGAGCTTGGATGCCTCTTCTTGGACGCTTCTTGTCCGTTTCGTTTGTATCTCTTAGGGATTTGGAGTATTTATGGGGGAGCCGGCTAATAGGCCTGGGTGAGAGGAGTATCAATACAAAAGCGATTACTCTGCAGCCGTGTTTTGTCACGAGCGTGAATTATATGCCACAGCATCGATGGGTCTGGTTACTGGACATCATTTGGCATTTCTCGAATATGAAGGCATTTAATGGGCATCAATCGTTAATGTAGACCACACTGCCGATATCTCGACAGTATTCCACTTCCATCTAGGCATCGGCCGGCTTGACCGCATACACCTCGAAGGAACCTACAACCGTGTTAGCACAACAGCACGACAATGTCAGGAAGTGTAAAGCCACTTACCAACCCACTCGTTGAAGTCAATGTTCGCAACATCATCCTTCTCCGTGATCGGGATCTTCGTCCCACAGCACGATGACGACCCCACCGCCGGCGCACCGCACCCTTTCTCCTCCGCATCAGTCCTCTCCTTATAGATATTAAGATCACTCTTCTTATCCACAATCAACACATCTACATCTCGTCAGCACACCCATCTCTCTCAAATCCACCAAAACATCGAAAAAGAAAAAAACTCACCCTGGAACCCAACACCCCTCAACCACGCCTCATACTCCCCCACCAAACTCGCACCACTAATACAACCCACATACAACCCCAAATGCCCTTTCAACTCCGGCGACAACTCCTTCCTCGCCAGAATATCACTCACCGCCACCCTTCCCCCGGGCCTCAACAACCTCCAGATCTCGGAGAAGACAAGCGCCTTGTCGGCACCGGGGACGAGGTTGATCACGCAGTTGCTGATGATGCAGTCTGCGTCACCCGAGGGGAGGGTTATGGCAGTGATGGGGGCTTTGACGAAGGAGACGTTTTTGAGGTCGGATTTGGAGAGGTTCTTGTTGGCGAGGTCGAGCATGTCCTGGGGAGAGTTAGTTTTGGCGGCTTCATGGGGAGGAGGTACGGCTTACATCGCTGATGTCTACGCCGATGGATTTACCGGTTGGGCCGACTTTACGGGCGGCTTGGAAGACGTCGAAGCCGCCGCCGCTGCCGAGGTCGATGACTGTTTCGCCCTGGGGTATGTTAGCTTTGGTATTCTCATGTTGGGGTCTTTTGTAGGCAATGCTTTGCGGAGGTTGTAAGACGAGCAAGGGAGTAGATGGGTGGGGCCGTAGGTAGGGTGGGGACGGGAGGAGCTTGGGGAAACGGCTTGAGAAAGCAGCTGAGGAGACAGAAGCACTGAGAAACACCTCTTTCAACCCAGCGATGGCAAGCGGGTTTCCGCAGCTAACACCCAAGTTGGCGCCATCGGGAATGCTGCTGAGGTCGGCGGGGTTGTAGCCGAAGGAGAGGGCGACTTTGCGGATGTGCTCCTCGTTGGCGGCGGTGTCCTCGCGGGCGAGGGAGGAATAGTGGTCGTTGACTTTGGCATAGAGGTCGGACATGGTGACGTCGTCTGGGATGGGTGTTGCGTTGAGTTTGAAGTGTGTTTAGCTGAAGTAAGAACTGTGATTTATTGACAGGAGGTTATTTTAAAATAGAGTTATATAACTTTGTCTGTTCAGTGATGATGATCGTTTGTCAGTTCCCAAAGTTCTCATATTCTTATATCTTGATAGTAGTGGCGAGGAGCAGCTACATCTCTAGTGACATCCTCCTCATCGTTGATTGGCTCGTGGAGTATACAGGTCTGGTACAACAAATACGGTTATATCTGGGTAGCGTTAAATGTACTCCATAGTACCACAAAGTAGTCACGTGCTGCGCGACAGGCAAATTCATGCAAAGGCGATGATTGCTTTGAAACTGAATACATTGAAAAGTGCCTTAATATTTGATCTGATATTAATGAATATACGAGGTAAATATTAGTTCCGAATACCATAATATTTTACATCACGTGGTGTGTACGTACACACCGCCGACGTCAGAAACAGCCTCTAATATTGGCTTCAATTAGTTTCGATATTCTTACTAAGATAGGGTCGCCGAGGGATTCGAAAGCGCAAGGCGTTTTAAAAATATTGCAGATCTGAACTTAAATCGTCGTCATGGGCGTGGCTGTGCTGCCTGCCATACGAACTGTCATCCATTGACCAATGTCAGGCTCCACAACCTTAACCCAGCCCGCAGTCAACCATCAATGAAGCAGGTCAAAAACTTTTGTTGTTGAGCTCCAAAAATTGGCGGGGTCCATGCACATCAAAAGTGTTACGTGCCTAGCTACTATAAACTACGTAACGTTTTGTCCAGACCTCGTCACCTATTCGCACGCATCTCACCTCACCTCCTGTTCTTCAAGAGCGATGGCCGCCCCCCTTTCCGGAAAGGAGAGTCCCTCAACAAAAGATACTCCAACCATGGCGACTAAAGCGGATACCACGGAGAAAAGCGCTCGCAGTTCTCACTCTCCCACGCCGCTCCCGCTCTCAAGAACTTGCCAGAATTGTGCACATGCCAAGATAAAATGTACCCGTTTGAACCACCCGCATATATGTGACAGGTAGGCAGCTCCAATATGATAATATGCACGTTTTCGAGTGGTTCGGGGTTGACGCTGTGCAGATGCCATCGCCTGAGTAAGGAGTGCGTATTTAGACAGGCCAGGCGGCGACACAATGGCAGCAAGAAAGATGTGTATGTCACCGAGACTCCGTCATAGACGATGATGCGCTGACAACCAGAAGTCGCATAGAAGCTCTCGAAGCCAAGGTTAACCAGCTTCTGGGTGCTACATCCCAGGGTGCTACTTCCCAACCGGCCAAGTCTACTCCGCCAGGGCAGGTAACCTTTGACTTTGGACTTGAGGGCCCAACACCAGCAGTTAGCTCTGGGATGGGCAGAGATGTGATTGACGACGGGTGGCTCGACATGGAGGCTGCGAGCCGATATCTCGAAATGTTCAGAACGGTTATGGTTCACCGATTTCCTTTTGTAGTCATATCTCCAAGCGTGACCGCTCAAGGGCTTCGCGAGACGAAGCCGTTTCTATTTCTTACGGTGCTTGCAGCGGCCTCATACGAGAATATGCCACTACAGCGGCGGCTTGGTGGTGAGATTAAGCATGTTGTGAGTAGTAGGATGATTTTTGGTGGAGAAGCTTCAATTGAGCTTCTTCAAGGCCTTCTGATCTATCTTGCTTGGTATGTATTCTCCAATATTTAACCGCACTGTGCTGACGAGACGAAACTCTAGGAACCACTATTATAGCCGGCCACGCGTATATTCCCAATTTCTCCAGCTTGCCATTAGCATCGTAGTTGATCTAAGACTCAATCGACCACCGCCGAGCGGTCCACCCAAGGTTGGGCTGACGATCGATTTAGATGTTGGTGCCAAGCCGAATTACCCAATATCCTGGAGCCAAGATGAGAGGAGAGCTGTTGCCGGTTGCTTTTATCTTACCTCGAGGTAAGACCTTTCAGCCGATTATTTACTGAACCTTGAGGAGTGCTTACTCTTATGCAGCATAGCTACTATGTTACAAAAGACGTCGACATTCCCGTTTTCTGCTCATATTGACGATTTCTGCAAGACTCTTCGGGATGAGGCAGCCTGCCCAACCGATAAGTATGTTCTATATGTTGTGCGATTGCAAGCAATTGCGGAAAAGATAGACCGTCTGTATTCTCAGCGAGTCTCCGAGTTGAACCCTGAGTCTACTATCGAGCTATTTGTTAAACAGCTGCAAACCGAGCTTGAGCTATTCAGAGAACGCCTGCCGTTTGACATGGCCGAAAGTTGTAAGTTGTCCTCAGCTGCTGATATCAAACACGTGTTGATCTCAACTTCTATAGATTTATTAGCGATGCAATACCACGCTGTGGAGCTGAACCTTTATCAGATAGCCCTCCTCGATAGAGGCGCGGAATCAGAAATTCCCCGATTTATGTCGTCATCCACGTGGCGACTTGATATCTTATGCGCCGGTTTAATATCGGCCAAGTCACTGCTTTCCTATTTTATTTCGCTCCCAGGACGCACCCAGCTGGCAATGTCCAATTCAGAGTGGATTCAAATCGGCGTCGCTATGGTTGTCGCGTCAAAGCTATCTGTTGCAGCTCGCGGACCAACAGCTTCGCGTGATACCCTGGCCCTCCGCGACTCTCTCGACATGCTGAGATTTGTGAAGGAAGCAGTGGCAGTTGTGAGCCAATTAGTGACCCAGGTTGTGGATGCTGACGGGCGCCGTGATATTTTCTACGATTACTGGAAGCGCGGCAAGCTTATTCAGAGCTGGTACGAGAAGCATTCCCCGAGACCCGCTAGCTTACCATTACCACCGGCAGGCTTCAATGGCTATTATGGTGACGGAAGCCAGCCGAGTTCAGCCAGTTACACTCCACAAATACCACAACAGATGGATGATTTCTTCGGCATCGACATGGGAGCTGCAAACCTCGATAACCTGCTGCAAGCGGAAATGGAAGATATCCAATTGGAGGGTTACGTTCCTGAAATGTCCATAGATGGTATCATGGCAGATTGGATGTCATATCCATTGCTCCCATTTTGAGGCATTGCTGGACGCGTTTTTCGAAATAAAAACAGATTTAGACAGCACAGAGACAACCTCCCCCACTCTGGCCTTCGTTGTTGTTGCAGTCAGCTTATATATAGTAAGCGCTAGAGCGAGCACTTTTGTGACGGATTACGCAAAAGGCAACGAATGAGCGCGGCCCCGATTAAAATTGAGGTGTAGCGAGAGACGAACTACGAAATTGTTGAATCCTACGATTGTGACATGGCACGACCCCACTTGTGTCAGTTTGCTCATAGGGCAACGAATGGGGCAGGATCACTACTAGTTGGGGCTTGACACGAAGCTACGAGATTAAGGATCCTACGGTTGAGACATGACAGGCGCTGTGGGGGGACAGAGGAATCCAGGATCGGATTTAGGATGATATGTATTTGCATTTATGCGCTTCTACACCTATAAGAAAGCCTAATTCAGGTTGTGATATAAAAATGTTATTTGCAAAACACCGAAGGGACCGAGTACGCCAATTAACTCCAGTTACATAGATACCGTCACTGTCACTGATAATGAAACTGAATCCTTCAGTATTTAAGCATCCGCAGCAAATTAAAGCATCCAGGCTTCACCGTGTCCGTCCGGAAATTTCCTTAAACGGTACCTTTCGACGATGCTGTATCCCAGACCAAGAAATTGGCAAAGCTTAGGCCAGTCGTCTCCCACGCGGTCACTATTTTTGGTGATATGAAATTCCAACAGGTTCGCTTCCTGTTGTGATTGGACAAAGTAATCATGGACCAAGCATGTGTAGTTTTGGTATGGACTCGGGGATCCCTGTTCATCGCCGAATCCTTCACCATTTTGGTCTTCGATTTGCAGAATATTATCATACTCCACAGGCAAGATAAATTTGGCACCAGGCAACATGGTAAGATGTTTTTCAGCTCCCAGTACCTCATAGATCACCCTAAAGGTGCCTTGGTTGGAAGCTTGATCGTCGTTGCTGGTAGGAAGGTACCCTGGACGAATTTGCTTATATCCCAGGGTCTGTAAGGCCGTGCTGACGGCCTCAGTACCTGTCCGGCTACTTCTGATAATATAAACTTGATTGTTTCGGACTGGCGACGTTGATATTGTGTGGCTTGACACCGGTTGGATTTGCCGATGACAGCAAGCCAATTGTAGGATAGCGCTAAGTAATGCGAAGACGTGGCCAGGCAAAAGAAGCATCCTACGTTCTTGGCAATGCTGACTGAAAATATGCGTAAGAGGTGTAATTGGACAGTTCGGAAACCTAATGACGATGCCAGTTGGTTTTGGAGATATGAAGCGATACGATGTCGCGTAAGAAAGGCCCAAAATTATCAACTAACTAACAGCAGGCAGACGTGTTAATAAAAACTCCACTTATGGACGTCCTCCTTATATATCAGATACAATACTTAGGACCATAACCTTCGTATGATTGCGAAGACTCCCTACAATACTCTAAATCTCAAACAAGGGGAGAGTATTATGTACCGCCATACACCACAGTAGTATGAGTTATGCTTATCCGCATGGGCGGAGTTTCAACTTCAGTTGCAACGGACACGGCTCGGAATTAGTGCTCATTGGCGAGAAATCGCTATATTTATCTTGAAAGGGAAAGTCGAAGTACATAATTGTGGAGGCTGAGTGGGAGGCTCTGTGATTGGGACGAAGCCGCGTCAAAGTTCTATTGCATATGTTCCGGCCCAACCGCGAATGTGCCAGTCGCGAATAACACACATATTATCATATAACTCAACAGCATATAGATACACTTAAATCTTCTAAATTTTAAGAAATATTAAAAATTCTAAGGAAGCAAAGTTGTAGAGAAGTGTCTAAATTACATATCTCCCTATATATATAAATCTATTAAAGCACTTATTAATAAGTTATATTAAGTTTTGTTTAAAGAAGGCATTTTTATTCGCGACTGGGCCAGTGTGGGTCGGCCCAATCGCGAATGCCAAAATTTGTATGGGGAAATTCGTGGTTGGGCCGGCCCATTCGCAAATATGACTTATTCGCGACTGGGCCGGAACACATACGTATGCGCCCAGGCCACGGACACGGACACGGATTATAAACGCCGACAATGCACAACACGGGCCACCACAGCGCGCTCGATAACTGCCCAACACGGAAAAAGTCGTAAATACCGTGCTGTAATTTTCACGGTTTACATGCTGCGAGGCTGAAGGATCCTGCTACAACACGTCAGCTTATTGCCTTCTTAGGAGTATTCTGCGAGGGAGGTATGGCACGGGCATGCCTGCGGATGTGGGCTGAGGCTTACCTGTATTTCCAACCACGGGGACGGAAAGCCTTGTCCTTGTCGTGATGATTTTGTAATGAACTATATAGGGGATTGAATTGCCCCCTAAAATGATGGCTACTCATTCGATATCAGAAGCATCATCACCGACCAACTGAATATCAACCCACCTCATCAAGATGTCTCAGCACCAAGTCATCACCTTCAACGGAACGATACTCGACGATGCAGAGCAATGCACGATAGAGACATGTTCCCTAGCTTATGCCAACTTCGAATACATCCCTAACCTCGCCGGGAACATTATCTTCCTCGCCATCTTCGGCGTTCTCATCGTCCCCCAAATATTTTTCGGAGTCAAATACAAAACATGGGGTTATATGGCCGGAATGCTCGGCGGTCTCTTGCTTGAGATCGTCGGATATGTTGGGCGTGTCCAGATGCACTACAATCCCTTCACGTTCAATCCGTTCCTCGAGTAAGCTTTCACCCTAGAAATACATGGATCCGGTCTAACATTATCACAGATACCTCATCTGTCTGACCATTGGCCCCGCTTTCTTGACCGCCTCCATCTACCTCTGCCTCGCCCGCATCGTCGTCATGTATGGAGAAGGTGCCTCGCGAATCAAGCCCAGAACCTATACCCTCGTCTTCATCAGCTGTGACTTTCTCTCTCTCGTCCTCCAAGGTGGCGGCGGTGGCCTCACTGCCACAGCCAACGACATGAGCGGAAAACAGACGGGGATTAACATCATGATCGCGGGTCTCATCTTCCAGGTCGTCTCCCTAACATTCTTTATGCTCCTCTGTACCGACTTCGCCTTCCGTCTGCGCCGATACCCTAACAAGGTGAACTCCTCCACCATTTCCGTCCGCAGCACCTTCAAATGGAAGGCCTTCCTCATCTGTGAGCCTTGCCCACTGCCACTCCTCTACCATACCTAGCTAACACGACCCAGGCCTTGCCATCGCTACAGTGACCATCTTTGTTCGCTCTATCTTCCGCGCTGCAGAACTCTACCAAGGTTTTAATGGCGCACTTGCAAACAACGAAGTCACATTTATGATCCTCGAGGGCGCCATGGTGATCATCGCTTGCATCTGTCTGAGCGTGTTCCATCCGGGTGTCGCCTTCGGCGGAAAGTGGGACCAGGGGAACTTCAAGTTCCGCGCTCTTAAGCAGCAGGGCCTCGAGCAGACGACTGTGCCGGCGTGGGAGATGACAAGTGATCAACGGAGTGCGGGGCGGGAGACAGCATATGAGAGTGATACCAGCCTTAAGGACCGTCACAACCAAGTTTGAGTGGAGCGGACTTTTTTTGGCTGGAGTCAACGCATGGGGGTGTGAGCTGGCTGGTGTTGCGATAGACATATTTTATTATACCAAGCGGGCGTTTTGGGATACGCATGGGATGAGCGACATTTGCAAGTTTGCTATTTGGAAATGGGGTTGTATATGAGGATTAGAATATATATCTCTGACATTTACTCACAAAACATAAATTCACATTTGAAGTTCAACGCTAAAGGGAAATATAATTGTTCTAAACAGTGTACCGGAGTATATATATATTATGACTTAAGCCTTCTACTAATCTTGCCAAGTAATTGTTTCCTTTTCGGACCTCTCGCGAATATTAACCACAAAAAATTTACCATTCATTGGTGGCGGAGGATATTTGCCAAAGATACTTATTGACTTCCCTACTATATGTAAATATATCTTTCTAAATAATAATTATTAGAAGTACCTCACATAAATATATGTAGAGATCGGATAATTGTTAATAATATTCCGCTTAAAATTCCAAAATTTATCCATTTTAACATGTCAAATATTACAGAAAAAAAGTCATTTTCTGGGGTTGCTGTTGGTGGATTTGGCAGGATGCGGCTGCTACTTTACGAACCCTTTACCTCCACGTCATGGCGAAGGGAGAATTACCCGCCCCTGATACTTGATCTATGAAGAAACTCACTGTATGGTTCGTATTAGTGACGATCGACAGTGTTATAACAGGCGTTTGCGTACATTTTCAAAACGTAAGATGGCGGACTAAGTTGAGAGGCATTTAGAAAAAAGATACTGGGAAAGTATGAATGCTGCTATCGAGATGGGGACGCTGATCGCACACCCTGGCCTTGAGTAAAACGAAGGGTTTGCTATCTCTCATCTCGGTCGCCCCCCTCATAATAGTGTGGACCGTGCCCCAATAGATCTACTCATGGATATACGGAACGGCCCGTACACTCGAGTAAAGCTCGACATTACTATGCGCCTTGTATCATTGGAGCAAATAGGGGTCATGAGGGACCACCCAGTGGTTATTAATGACTATGTTTTCATTATTTTTTGCCGTTGTCTTACCCAGGTGGCCTCCGAGACATGCGTCTGCAGGATCTCGTAAATGTGGCCTAGCTACCCCACTTGCCCCGAGATTGCACGATCTTCAAAGACCCGTATATTCGTTGTTTTTTCACCGAGAGAACTCTAGAAAATGGCTTTTAAAGTTGTCTTTGATCGATTCAAATTAATTGCGTCTTGTATGTTTTATGGTCCAAAATACCTGCCACAAATGTAGCTATCCGGGCTCAATTTTATTGGGGTACAACATTCCTAGTGTGACCAGTTGGGTGGGTGGACATCACAAGGTTTCATGTAGTGATCGGCATAAAATCACTTTTGGAGGCTTCCGATTCGCAGTCATGCAGCAAACCTTCATGGTGGCGCCAACAGCTCAGCTGTAATGGAACCGTGGCGTACATCGGTATTTAAGCAAGATCTTTGAATGTAAAAGTTTTCCCTCTTCGATCCAAACTTCCAACTGCAAATTCTACTGCGCCGCGAGTAAACATGGGCATCCTAAATAAAGTCACCGGTGTCTTCATCAACTTATTCGTCTTCGCCTGGGACTTCAACCTCTTCATTCTAAATATACTTACTCCTTCCTACAAGCCTGGACATGTCGTTCCCGCACATGCCGCAGGGCATGCTCTATCCTGGCCAGAGTATACCCCACCCAAGGATGGGGATTCCCGCTCCGCTTGCCCCATGCTCAACGCAATGGCCAACCACGGCATCCTCCCCCATGACGGCAAGAACATCACCTTCAAAGACCTGAATATCAAAATCCGCCAAACCTTCAACTTCGCGCCAACATTCTGCTTCTTCGTCCCAAAATTTGCAGCCGATTTCTTAAACCGCTCGTACTGGACCGATCGCTTCGATTTGGCTGAGCTGAGTTTGCATAATGCGATTGAGCACGATGGAAGCCTTACCAGGCAGGATGCAGCGCTAGTTCCGGATCAGGCGAAGCCAGATTTGGGGCTCGTGAAGGAGCTGTTGGAAGAAGCGACAGGGACGATGGCAGATGGGAGCCCTCGCCTTACGATCCCGGATCTCTCGCGTGCGTTGTCGAAGAGAAGGGTGGCTGCGAAGAAGACGAATAAAGACTACACCGAAGACTTCTTTCACAACATTTTTGGGAGTTCTAAGTGAGTCGTTCCCCTTTTTTCCTGCTTCTCTAAACTATATCAAATACTAAACTTCAAGCAGCTCATCGACAATGCTTACGCTCTTTGGGGGTTCCATCGCAGATCTCACCCCTATGCTCACGGAAGAAAGGTTCTCTGAGAACTGGGAGCCGCGCGTGCGTTCTCGATTCGGTTTGACGATGGCGAAGTTTAATGCCACTGTTATTCCCGTTGAGAGGGGCGTGAATACGAAGAGTATCGTGCAGGCGGAAGGGGAAGCATAAAGAGAGATGACCAAGGATAATACTCCACGGGTAGCACTGTGAGTTGATGCTTAAAAAGGGATTCATTATACAAATAAAAAAAATAAAAAAACATACAACAGTGTAAGGGCGACGAAGCTCCAATTTTAATTTCCCAGTCTTTCATCTAATCGTCGTAACCGACATTTTGCTTCGCTCAAAGTTAGAGGAAGCAAGTGCGCGATCTTGGAAGCAATTGCGCCAACTCACAAATTGCACCTGTAAGTTCCTGCATATAGTAATTTGTATGCAAAGTACATAATTAGCCATTCTAAAACTATCACTTCCCGACTCCCACCTGGCTCCCATGTTCGCTCTCGCTGTCGGGGGCTTCTAGGTCGAGAGTTGGGTCCTCAGGCCCACCATCAACTTACCCGTTTCTTCAACTCCTCCACCTTCTGCTGGATAGTCCGTAGGTCTAGCTCTTAAAGCTAGCCTTCCATTACCGCCTCTTCCGTTCTTACAGAGTGGGATAATTGAGAAGCGGGGAGGTGAGGAGTAGTACAAAACAACGCAACCGAATACTTCCAGATTAGGAACAATCTTATAATTACGTACGTGATGCGCATAGTCTGCAGTCATTTAGTACTTTGCTGCACCCCGCTAGTACCTCGTGGTCTCTACAGCAGCCCAACCTATAAGTAAGCACTTCCCACCGTCTAGTGCAATGGATGGGCGACGCCTTGCTGTGAGGTGTTAGGGTTGCGGCGAGCATAAAGCAATGCAATGCGGTAAGTATAGAGGAATGCAGAGAGTGTAATGCGGTGTAGTGCAAACAGAGAACCTACGGCGGCTTTAAGATGCGGCGTACAGTAACCCCCCCGCTTAGCTCCCCCCGAGATTCGTTATCTCCTTATATCTCCTCAGCCTCAGCTGTTTCATGAGAGCTCTCCGCGGTACGATGAGGGACGGAGGTACCTCTGGAGTGGTGGGGGAATAAGAGCAAGGCACCTGAACAAGGATACGGTAGTTAGTTACGCACGACAAGAGCCATGACACAATATAATAGTGAGGCGCGACTGTGAGAACTATAAAATTTAGATATAATATTCGTGTGCTCATCATATCACTAGGCGGCGACGATAGTGATGAGAGCGACGATAGTTATAATAATATAATATAGATTAGTTTAGTCCCTATTCAGGCAACACTGCTATTTATGACCACTGTCTGGTGTTTGTCATTTCTCCTTGCCACTTCATCCTCGTCTGTTATATATTCAACCTCTTAGACTCCTTTTACGACCTCAACCAACTCCTCACTTATATCCAACTTATCATCCTCAACAGTGGGCGCACCTTTAATCGGCGCGTGTCTCGATGCAAAAACGATCTTGAAAATAGACTCGTTAGAGCGGAAGATATCTTCCAGTTCTTCAAGACTACGTCCCATTGTTTCAGGGTAGAATACGAATATTGAGATGGGGATAACCATGCCGATACAAGTGTAGACGATTTAGTAGCGAAAACCAATGCTGTTAATTGCGACTGGTGTTAGAAGTGTGACCACAAGATACCTGTTTATGAAAGTTAGTCCGGTTAATGGTGAAGCATAAGGTAATCAAGGGAGGTACATACCAGGGCCAGTGATTGGCAGTAGAGACAGAAGTCATGGCCATACGCAACCTGATAGGTGCTACCTCTGTGCAGTACAAAAAGTTCGCTCCCAAGAATCCAATCGGGATAAAGAAATTAAACATGAAGATGAAAAACACCGCCGCTACGGATGCAGATTTGTTGGTTTCGGGGAACGAAGTTGCGATGCAGAGGCTCATCATGCACAGAGCCATTCCACCGCCACTAACCATCAACAATGCCCTGCGACCAAACCTGTCGACGGTGAAGAATGCAACGAAGCAAGAGAGGAATTTCCATGTTAAGGTTCCACCGGAGAGGATGCGGGAGACTTGACTGGAAAGACCGAGGTTTTCTTGAAATATAATTGTCGAATAAACGGAGATAAGGTTCCCACCGCTCATCTGCTGGGCGAATTGGAGAAAGAAGCAGAGCATGAAGCGGTAGAATAGTTTCTCATGACCCATTGTGAAGATGTCTTGGAATTTGGCAGTGTCGCGGGAGGATTCGAGGGTGTATGAAATAGCATCAATCTCATGTCTAACCGAGTCTGAGTCACTAGGGAGGCCTTGAAGAGCTGATAAAGCGTATGCTGCTTCTTGGAGACGATTTTGACGAACAAGCCATCTCGGGGACTCGGGAAGGAAGAAGGTCGTAGACATGAGAAGGATAGATAGAAGTGTTGGAATAGCTAACAGTAATCGCCATTGAATTGGACCGGGCTTAAGCTGAAAAAAACCAAGGTTAACCCATGCCGCTGTCATATAACCAAAACTGATAAAAAGACCATCGAGGACGACGTGTTTTCCACGATTTTTGGCAGGGGAACATTCGGATTGCCAAACGGGGACAGTGGCGCTGAGAACTCGGATACCGAGACCAAGTATGACTCTACCGACGATGAATTGTGCGAGACCGAAAGATGTACATTGTAAGACCTCGCCGATGAGCGAGAGTGTAGCGGCACCGAAGATCATCTTACGGCGACCGAAAATATCGCCGATGCGGGAACATGATAGAGCTCCGAATAGGGTGCCAATGGTGAAGGTGGCAACAACGAAGCCCTGGAGAGTTGAATTCTTTGATTTAACTTCGCCCTTCGTGTGAACAGTGTCTATTTGAGGGAAGTGTTTAGTCCAGTCTTGAAGGGACAAGAGACCACCGACCCCGGATTGGTTATAACCGAAGAGGAAGAAAGCCGGTGCAGCGATAAGGAAGATTTGAGCAACGGATAATTTATGGCCGCACATCTTCAAAAAAGAGGCTTCTCTGGCGGTAGACATAGCCAAGGAAGATATTTAGCGAGGAAGAAGATGTTCGATGACTTGAGATTGAGATATTGCCCAACTCTGCTGTTGTTAAAAATTGAGAAGGTCGGGGATCGACGCACTTAAGTATTCGCAAATAGTCATAGTACCCGGTCATTGATCTAATTGATTTCCAACAAATTCATTCAACAAATTCATCCATGCTCTTGCAACGGCCAATGCATGTGGAGAAGTTTGCGGGGTCTGGAGTTGTGGGGAATATTGTGAGGATGTCGGAATAAGCAGTATTCCGTATTGGGTACTAAAAACTTACTAACGCGAATGTCCACATAAAGCAAGCATTTGCGACATTTCCAAGGCAGTAAGTGTCTTGGATTAAGTTTCTTGGGAGTCTTATCCCTTTTACGGCCAGATTTCGCAATAGGGCAGCCCACACTATCGGGGGTGCTTTATTTGGAAGTGATGTTTGAGAGCGATTTGGGGTGCATGTGCCAGCAACCATCATTATAGGAGGAACATGGTGTTTGAATTCTAAGAGCAGTGGAGCCATAGCTGCCACCACCGATCGCCAGAGGATAGCGCGCGTTAGCACTTGTACTCTGAGACTAAGGATAGCTACCTTAATCTACCATTATCACTTTATTCGAGAGGCACTTACGGATGTGATTCTATTCTTAATTTCTATTCTCCACTACTACATACGAATAACCTGGGGTAGGTACTTACCCCGCATTATATCTACCATACAAGTTGGCTGGTTGCAGCTAATTGCCAGAAGTACCGCTTAACGACACTTTTTCACCAGCACGGGAATCGCTACCCACGCATGGGCAAGACCTATAGCTCTACAGCCCACACACGTATAGGATAAATAAAGTAAAGATCGACCTACGAAGTAAAAGATCAAGTAATAGCCAGTGTATGGAACCCGCTTAAGAGTGACGATATACCTGTGGGCCATGAATGCCTGGCGTTTCCGGTCGACCCCTGAGCCCGGCCTTACACGTCTCGGCCAGATCCAATCCAGATCCAATTTAATAGTTCCTCAGGACATACTTTTACTATTGGAATATGCTTGCATGTAAGAGGTATTGTTAAGTTTATCGAATAAGTTTAGATTTCGGCTTCGTTAATCTCCAGCAGGGACTGCAGCCGTTCGAGCACCAAATACCTCCCTACAGGCACTTGTGGTACAATGATTTTGTCCTATGCTCTGACTTACTTAACAGGAAAGTCTATATCCAAGCCCTCTATTTGCCAAAGGAACAGGGACATATTGTTATTCATTTCATTGAGATCTTCAAGTCCCGTACTACTCAGATCGCCCAAGGAATATCCAGTTAGGTCCGGAAACATTGTAACATTTTGTGGTCCTTGCGATATCCCAACTTGATCAGCTAAAGTTGCCGAATTTAGGGTGTGAAGTTCGGCTGTGTGAGATGTCGCAGCTACGAAATCATCGGGGGTTGCCAATCCTGGCATTGCATTTCCAGCAACGTGACACACGGCTTGAGAACCGCTAATGAGAAAGGATAAGATCTTGGAAGCTAGGTGGGAAAGGATGAGCTCTTGGAAACTTGACGTACGTGCCGATGCAGGAGAGACCCACGCCACGAAAGCCTCTCCAGGTACAAGTACCCATTTTCGTGCTGTCCGCACAGCACAAAGACTCGTACTCTCCGAAGTTGCACCTCGCAATTGTCGACAGCTGCCCTGGCTGTCCGTTCATCAGGGACACTTCGTTATACCCGGTTCGGCAGCCTGCGGCACATGCGCTAGTGTAACAAGCAGTTTGGGCAGCTGCATCAGCGGACCCTTGATTGGCAATGGCCTGTTGAGATGAAGTGACCGTGCCTGCTGCTGAGAAACCGTTTGACTTCGTCTGATCAGTCAGGTCGAGCGCCCATACCATAAGTCCCCCGAGGCAACGCGAGTTGGCAAAGGCACGCTTCTCTGTAAATGTATCAGCGTCGTCGTAGGATACCCATTGATCGTTGTCCCAAGTGATCCCTATTATATTTAGCAAGTATCTTAGAAGTCACAAACGGCTACTTACATTTGACACCTGCTACCTTGTCGTGTATTGGGGTAAGTTTGTTTGCTGTGATGATGGACTGAATTTCCTGGTCGTCAAGAATTTCAGAGGCATTAGAGCACTCGCCGGCAATACCACCGCCGGTAAACCTGCAAATGCCATTAGGAGTGTTACAGGACGGATCCGCCAGGGTAAATGATCTCCCGTAGTCTGGTTGAAATGTCAGTCCGAAGTGGCTATATTCCAATTATGAACCCTAATACCCACAAGCTATTCCCATGGTAACCTTTGAAGAGTCTACACCAGCTCTCCAAAGCAAATCAAGACCAGCGTCGATCTCAGTGATGTTAGTGTGGGGAGCGATGTATGAACCCAGCTAACTAGACAAGATGTGCAGACCTTGAAATTGAGGTTGCGAGAAACACCAATCATCACGATGATACTGGAGATTATACTTGCCACGGTGGTCTCCAAAGCTATTGTTGTGCTAATTTCAGTACACCTCCGACAAAGTCTCAACTCGCTGCTAAAGCTGCAGCAGCAGCTTCCAGTGCTGCAGCGGCTGCCGCTAGTAATGCTGCTGAAATTGCAAAGGAGGCAGCCGAGGCACTCGCCGAGCAAGCTGCGATAGACCTTGCTGCTAAAGCGTTTTGCAGAATTGCTGTTCCGGCGCTGCTAGCACCGTTGGAATTGCTCGAGGACCTGATTCCTATCGTTGGTGAGTTTCAAAACCTTTCTGTTACGGCCACGGCATGGAGCTACCAGAGCTGCTGCTGGTCATTGACAATAGCATAGTCGGCGTCTAAATTAAATATGCTCATACTAATTGATCCAAAGGCGAGATCCTTGATCTTATCGAAATCGCTGCCACGCCTGCCCTGATCACAGCCTGTACCGACGCGATTGAGAAAGAGGGTAGCGCCGAGTTCAAGATATTTGGAAAGGAGCACACTATCTCCGGCTTTGAGAAGCCAACTGAGAAGCCTAAGAATACTAGAGCATCAGAGAGCGAGCACTCCACCGCCAGCGACAAGGCCAGCTCATCATGTGCGCTTAATGCTCGTGTCGCACTAAGGGACGCAACGTCATCTAACATTCACGAAACCTCGACAGTTGTTGTAAATAGGAGAGTCTGCGATGGAAGTGGACCTTATGCACAAGCTTGTCTGCACTACAGCTTTGTTATAAGCAGGAACGCTCCACACCTTAATACGATACAGTGTCTTGGTAAAAACGGCAATGTCGGACGCCCCATCGTGCCTATATACAATGCACAGCACAACGAAGGCTGGATCAACGGGTGGATGCAGGCTCCTAATCTAAATTGCCAGAGAGACGAGTACCCTCCAGATATTATCTGGCAGGGACGAGATAATAGTCTCAACTTTGTCCGGCTCATTCCTTCCTCAGCCAATATCGTAGGCGCAGCACTATTCGCTGGCATCTGCGATAACTACGCAGATTTCGAGACATCTATCAAGAACCGCCAGGCCTACCGCGTGGAGGTAAATAGATGTAGGACTACGCACTGGTACACCGTGACGCGCGAAAGCACCGTTCCCGCGCTGTCTCTGGATTTCGTGGGACTGGCTGGTTATGCTGGTGCTGGGATGGCAGAGAATCTTTGCTACCCATCGGTACTAGTGGACGATCCTGGATTTGCGCTCCTGACAAACGACAAGTATTACAACGCACATCTAGACGACAAAGCCTACAACAGAGAATATGCCGATGAGCCTATCGGGATCGTGACCGCCGGACATGTCAACAACCCAGGCTGGAACAAGAGATGGACGGATCCACAGATAGATCCCGAAGATATCGTCCTCAATGAAGGCAACTCGACACGGAAGCCGACAGATGAGGAATTGCTTAAGCAGTTTGGCATTATAAAGTGCAAGAGCCAGGGATGCGAGGACGAGAAGAGCTTCTTTGGTATCGAGTCTGCGAGGACTATGGGGCCGGGGAGCACGGCGATAGCGCGGGCTACGCCGGGTGATATCACGGCGGCGGTTGAGAGTACGGCGCTGACTGTGACTTCGAGCCCGCAATTTCAGCAGATCTCGCCGCAGTTGGCGAGGATTACGGAGAAGCCTGTCCTTTCTCCGGCAGATGAGTTAGCGTCGTGAGGCCATATATGCTATGCAATGTTGAATAGGAAAGAATAACACATACTCCCACATTGTCGATTCCCAATTCTATAAACACTAACATGATAAAAACCGCCTATCTACTTTTTGCACTAAAAGCAATATGGTGGGGCATCTTACTTTTGTCAGGTAATTTTACCGCCAAATACTGGCTGCAGCTTGTGGAAGAGAAAATTATTTCATTATCGGAAGAATCAACATCGATGTTCATGCATCCACAAAGCAGTTCCCTCAATCAGAGAACTCATCCAGCGGATCCGGCGGCGACGGACTACGATTCGCCCTCACAAGCTTATCATGCTCTGCAACGATTCTCTGCCCCCGAGCCTTGCCCCACTCACTCAAAGCCTTCCTGCACTCTTCCTTCCGGAAATCTGTACTTCCCCAGCCATAATCCATGAATATCCTTTGAATCTCCTTCAGCAGTGTTAGCACATTCCTTCTGTAAATTCCTGTGAATGCAAGCAAACTGACCGCTAGATCCTTCGAGGCTGTGCCCACCCTCTTCTGGCTGAATATCTCACCGGTCTCCCTACCATTCTTGTCCTGGATCAGTATCCATTCCAACGAAGTGTACTTCTTTTCCCAGTCCTTGAAGAACTCCTTGGTGGGCTTTGAGGGGAAGTGCTTCCAGACCAGCCCCGCATCCCGGTCCGATTGCGGACATCTAATACTGGAGCTGATGCCGCCCAATAGCGAAAAGTCTGTGATTGTGCCTATTTCGGGTCAAAGTTAGAGCCTGGGCGCCATGAAAGATGAGATGTTACGACGAGCGAGGAGACGCCTACCAGCTTCAGTATCAAGAAGCAGCCAAGCTCCATACTGCCACCCATTCGTCAGCGCCACTACATGCGAATCTAGTTTCTGACCATGCGGCTCAAGCCCCATATCCCACAAGACCGCATGATCCACCCCGTCTTCTAACCCCGCAAGCTTGCAACCCCCGCTCCCCTCCTCCGTGGTCGTCCCTGGGACTTTAACATAAGTAATCGGCTTCGTGTCGTCGTAGCCTAGGCGCCATCCTCGATCGCCATCAGTGCGGATATATGGCAGGTGTTTCAACACCTCAACGACCAAGTCCGTCTTGCCCAGCTTGCGGAAGTTGACGATGTCGGCCAGGGGCCAGCCGGCGGCGGGAGGGGTCAGGATGTCCGAGGCGGGGAGGTAGGGGAACGTGGAGAGAAGGGCATAGAACGATGCGATGGGTTCGACTATCGCCCGGACGCCGGCGGCTTGGGAGGATCGCGTTGCTCGGGGCATGGTTGCGTGATGGCTTGGGGTGTAGAAAGAGGATCGATGGTCGAAATTGAATTGTCGGGCCTGGTTTAGTGAGGGGCAGTGAGTGGAATTTGTCGAACTGCGAGTGGATAGAGCCCCGATAATTAAGAATATTCGCAGCTTCCACTTAACTCGCCCAATTTGCCAGTAATTTTACAATAGAATTTTAAATAAACAAATAGTATCCATTGTTCCCGTCGTGGTGCATACTACAAAGTCATTACAGAACACACAGTCAATTCTGATCAACAAACAGATTCAAACGAAAAATGTATCAAGAACCCTTGTTAGAAGTAAGCTAAGAAGCTAAACTTCAATGTAAATTCGAAAATGACGCGAAATTGACGCGACAATGAACTTCGACGCATCCTGATCACCATTGTCCAAGATTGGAGTATCAGATCAGACGATGATCACGTGATTCCAATCACCTCTGTTTTCGCTCCAAGATCACCATACTTATTTATCATTTTCTAAATTACCTATCTAATGCCGTGTCCCCTAATTTAAAAATGCGGAAGGGCTTGGATCCAGTCAACCGTATCATATGCGCTTGCTGGAAGAGACCGCAGTTGGATTATATCTGCCAAAAAAATATATGTCCGAGCATGGCAATAGAAAACCCCAATGACATACAGTGGCAGTATGGCCTTTAAGGGCAACCTCATTGCAGGATCATGGGGGTATGAGTTATTTCTAGCGCAAGCTGCGACATATCTCATCTTTGAGATTAGCCACCTGAGTATAGTCGCTTCATCTTCTGGGGGAGCTCGTTTGGGCGATATAGTAACAGGAGAATCTAGAGAAAACCGTCTTTTGAAAACTGGATATATCGTGAATGCAAACTCGGTGACAGCCCAGTACGAAACTAACGTTGCCAAAATAGTCCCGACTGATGCTCGCCACAAGATTAACTCGGTGTTGGTTGGAAAACTGTAGTTCCAGCCACAGAAAAAAATGCCGCAATAGATGGCTGTCATAGCGAAAAAGATGTAATGACAGGCACCGGGCAGTTCATGGACTCGGGTATTCTCAAATCGATTGATGGGGCGCTCTTGCTGACCGACAACTAGACCTAGGTTTCGAAGGATGTTCAACCAATTTGACCAGTATAGCGACCACGGCCATTCCTTGCGGCTTATGAAATCGAGGGGAGTACGGCTATATGGCTCGCAAGCAAGGTCGCCGGCTTTTAGCAGTATGTCGGAGATTCTTGCTTCCATGTGGATAATCTCCGGGATCGCCACATCTGCAGGCTTATGAAGCCAGCATAAAGTTGTTCCAAGGCTACAGACAATAAAAGCCGCAGTTGTCAATTCCCCGCAGGTAATAGCTAGGTGCTGTGAGACACGGCCAGCCATGTCGGCAGCGAACCAAAGGATCTGGCAAACAGTGATAATGCGAAGAATGCCGTCAACTTTATTCTTGTCCGAAATCCTCGCTCGCTTTATCTCCGGAAACTTGATATAGCCTTCAGTTACAAGATAGTGAAGCTGCTTCGCATCTATTGGGAACGGCACCCAATCTGTCGAGTGGAGTATAAACCCACCCATATCAGCGTAGAATGCGTGCATCATCGTCCATTGCGTGTATCCGGCAGCATGAAAATCTTGGACTGAATGGCGGGCCGACACAAATTGACCGAGTGCAATTTGGAATATAAACTCGGGGCCAAGAAAGGCAAGAGCAGTGATGTAAACTTTGCGTCGAAACACTTTAAAACGGGAATCGGTAGGCCCAGGCACATTTAGGCATAGCACCGACCAGGAGCATAGAAACATCGTAAAGGCGCAGCTCCAGATGATTTGCAAGGTCCCTCTTTTGTTATCTTGCGATGTCCATCCCTGCCTGGCTTCCACATCGACATGGCTCGCATCTGGCGTGCTTGTGTTGGTGTTCGCTAGGGGAAGCTCCTGAGAGCTAGCATTGCCGCATAAAAGAAGATATGTAAAAAGTATTATAGTAGGCGACATTAAAAGTTAGATATATGTAGCAACCATTCTACTGACTTTTACCAGCTGGACATACTACTGCCTTTATGGTTGCGATTCTACAGGTAGCGCCCTAAATGTAAGCTACCTCCTTAATGTATGCAGGAAGCCCTATAAATATTCGATACATGTTGAAACTCAGCACACATATCGTTTACAGGGTCATGAGGCTTGACGCATCTGTTAGAGTCGAGGGTGTGGTGGGAGCAAGTTGTGAGCTTCATGTTCATTGGTAGTGCTTCATGCAGTAAGCGCCCATAGCCTGCCAGGGAACAGATGGGGGGCGGGCCTGAAATAACCGCGCCATCCTGATTTGCCGAGCGGACCGCTCCTAAATTTAGCCAAGGGCATGTCCACATGTCAATGGCGGGCGAACTAGGCTTCCATCTCGAGGCCTTCAGTTAAATATCTGTACATGCAATTGCGCTGCTACTTTTCGTTGCTGCATAATATATATATCGCCCTATATTTTTACTGCCTCCTACCTCCCAGCGATTACTAGCGATTGATAGCGACTCCCGACGATACCTCCCCGCCGCGATGGTTTCCCCTGACACGAAACTAGTCATCAACCCTAATGGGTCCCTTCAGAACTACTACGCATCCCTCGAATCTAGAATTGGCTACTGGCTTGTACTAGGTGGCACCCGTCATTTTGGATATTACAATGCAGGGAAATACTGGCCGTTCCCCATCAGCGCCTCGCTGAAGGCAATGGAGAACCACCTCTACAACACCCTTGGGCTTGGGAATGGCGCCCAAGTACTAGACGCTGGCTGCGGACACGGATATGTCGCGATATATATGGCAAAGAGGGGGCTACGGGTACATGGGATTGATGTCGTGGAGCGACATGTGGCCAAGGCACAGCGGAATGTTAAGGCGGCTGGCCTCGAGAGAGCAGTCTCTGTTCGCAGGATGGATTTCCACCACCTTGATGGCTTTGAGGACGAGTCATTAGACGGCGCATATACCATGGAGACATTTGTCCACGCAACGGACCCAGAAACCGCGCTGGCAGCATTCTACCGGGTCCTGAAGCCAGGGGCATCGATTGCATTCTACGAGTACGACCACAGCAACCTCGAGTCTGCGCCACTTGCGACGCAGCAAGCTTGGGAACGCATCAACAGATATGCGTCAATGCCTTCAAATGCGCGATTTGGTCAGGGAATTTTACAGAAGTTGTTGGTTGATGCTGGGTTTGTCGATGTAGAGGTGAGGGATCTGACGCCTAATGTCATGCCAATGGTGCGGCTTTTTTTCCTCATCGCCTACATCCCATATTTAATAGTTACATTCCTTGGAATGCAGACTTGGTTTATCAACACCGTAAGCGGTGTTGAGGGATATCGCTCAAGGAAATATGTAAGATATGTCTCGATATCTGCGAAAAAGCCGGCGGGCAAGTCGAAGAATGTTAGTGGCGCCCGGGGAAGGAGCGCTGCGCCTTGAGACATAATGGCGACCATGTTATTATTTTATGATCTAAAATGCTATATAACTATCTAGCTTCAATATATTGATAATTACCCCTCGATACCTTGCGCATGCCTGATACAGCTTCAGGCCGAACTAGGCGAAGCAGTTGTATGATCGGGCAAGAAAGCTAGGAGAGGCAGATAACCAACTAGAGTGGATGATTTCGTTCGTCCCGTGGCCATTGGGCGATAATGCTTGGATAGTTGTAGAGGTGGTATCAGAGTAAGACAACTGAATGCCAGGGAGCGACCTAAATCAATCTAGGCCAGAACGAAACTTCGAAAATGAAAATGAAAATAACAACGTCACCAAAAACCAAACCCGAAATAGTAGATGAACGGATAATAGAGAGAGCCTTCGATTTAGGGCAATGATTGTGAGGCTGCACAGCAGCCTCACAATGCAGCCAAGGTAGCTGGACCGTCACAAGTTGTCCATATATGTAGCCTCATGGGCAGCCACCTGCGGCTGGTTCTCATGTAGTCATTTAACCGCAACGGCCCAATGAGCGGATGGCTAACCGTGACAAGGTGATGAATCTGCATGATTAGCGGCTAAGCGCCTGCATTCGTTTCACCGCACCCACGTCGGACACGATTTGCTTTGCTGAAAATACAGTAGGACGAAAATAGGAAAGTTCAAGTCAAACAAACCTCGGGTTTCGGAGTCAGCGGTACGACTCTATAATGTGATTAAAAACACCGTTGAGGGATGCTCATGTAGCCCCAGCCAGGTAGAACAGTAGAAGAGTCACGTGCAGGCATAGACCTGGTTTGGGTAACACGACACGTGATACTGAAATAAGCAAAACCCGCTAGTCCAGAGAAGGCAACTAGACAAGCGAGTCCCCGGATTATCCCCGAAAAGGCACGCGAGGACCCCCCCCCGTACGAAAATGTCAAGGACTTCAGAAACAATCACGTGCATAGTTCACTAGCCGTCCTGATTACCGCCGCCGCCGCCGTGTTAGTTTCTTGCTGAGGCATTTAGTGGATTAGACACAACTGCCATGGAACGTTCGATGGAAGTTTCCGTGTTGGCATTTGGCAATTTTCGCCCCAAGCCAAGACGATCTGACGAGGCCGAGGAGACCAACAAGACCGAAGGAAAATCAAATCCACAATTCCAAGCCGCTGGGCCCGTTTGCCACAGGCCGCCATAGGCGCAGAAGAAGAGTGGCGGTGGAGAAAGGAAGTGGAGGGGGAGTGGGATGGGAAGTGGGAGGGGGAGTGGGAGACTGGGAAGGAGTGGAGTTTGCAGTTGCGGATGGGGAAAAACGGCGGCGGAGATGTACCGAGAGGAGAAGTGGGAGGAGGGGAGGGGAGGGGAGAGGAGGGGCAACGATGTTCGGGATGTACGAGTATAGTACGCACAGCGGAGCAGCACGGGAGCGAGTGGGATGTAGTGTATTGGATTGTATGGTACGGTACTGCTTACGATGGGATGCAGTGCCGTGCACATGCTGCTGTTGCTGTTGCTGTTGCTGTACTGTACATCATACGTCAACTGCAAGAGCAGCTGCAGCTACGACTCGCACTCTGCACTGCAGGTCTTGCTCTCTCTCTCTCTCTCTCGATCTATCTCCTATCCTATTTGACCGCGGCAACGACTACGACAACGACGGCGAGAACCAAAACATCAGCAACAGGAGAAACACCGTGCTGACTGAGACATTTCATTGTCAACGTCACCGTCACCGTCAATGCACCGCCTATCAATCATCTGGGCTCAGTAACGCCTCGCGCGGGTCATAGCACCGGCAGCCGCTGATGCTACTTACCGCAAAACACAATGCCATGCATGTCCCGGCCGGCGACAAAACGTACGGGATATGTACGCCCATTACTCGAGAAATCAATAAGTGATAAGAGACGAGTGGCAGGATCCTAGCCAGATCCTAGCCATCCTAGGGATCCTAGCCATCCTTTCTCCTTCGAGCAACGCTCCAATCTCACATCCCTACACATCCCTACCGCGCCTAGACGCATGGGGATAGTCGAGCATAGTCGAGCATGGTTAAAGGGCGTTAGACGGTTTTAGCACAGTTACTCTCGAGTTTTTAGAGTAACAAGAGAGTAACCGTACCAGACTTTGGTGCGGAGTTGCAGCAACTGAACTCTACTAAATGCAACTAAGCTGCGCTAGAACTGCACTCTCGCTGCACTAGACTGCCATCGCCGCCGCGCGAACAGCGCCACTAACTGGCCCGTCCTACCAATCATTCCTAACCACTCCTACTAAAAACTACCCACTCCTAACCCACTCCTAACCCACCCCTACTAAAAACTACATTTCCTCTACTAACCCTCTACAAAACTCCCTAATCACTCCTAACCACTCCTAATCACTCTCTAATCACCACCCAATCATCTCCTCCCCGCTTCTAATCATCTAACTACAATTCAACTAATCTACAACTGAACTACATACTACTAACCCCCCCATGCCACCCGTACCACACGTACCATTCCCGTACCGTCCTTCACCGCGACAACCTGAACAATCTATCCCTCCTCCAAGCAAGCCTCCTCCGTAATAAAGCCTATTGATCTCCCCCGGTTCCCCCGTTGATCCTCCTCAAATCTCCAGTCTCCCAAAAATCCTCATCGTCGCTGTTCGCTCGTCCGCCCGTGCCGCCCCAGTTTGTTGTTGTTGTCATTGTCGTTGCCACCGTCATCGTTTCCCCATCTCTCCGCAAAGTCCCCCAGAAGTTCCTCCCAGGGTCCATTCAATCCATATCATCATCGACTTCGGCTGTACTCCTCGCCCGCCCAATCACATCCTCCACAACTCCAATCCTCCCTTATCAGTTACCGACCCGACCATCTTCAATTGCCTCATCGAATCGATCTCGCCCGCGGATTGACGTCCAACCAGACCTGCAACCCGGCCGATTCTATATAACGAACTTTCCAATACCACGGACGCCTGCCGCGTCTTCACCAAGCACTCCCGTCCGCCTATCTACCCGAGTCACCGCCATTTGACCGCCGCCTCCCCGTCACCGTCACCGACGCCTCTCTCATGCTTCGTTAAGAGGTTCACTCTCCGTCGAGCGACACATCCTCACTTCACCCTCACTCCATCTCCTCTCCACCATCACCATGACGACCGAATTCCAGATGCCGGCTCCAGCCACCCACTACAACCCTCACCCACCCCAATACCCATCACAACAGTTCTCCCTCTACAGCTCCCAGCCCGTCTCCCCCGCCTCCTCGAACCCAACAACCCCCCAGGGCTCCTCCCCGACCTCCCCCCGATCAAGCACCCATCTCTCCACGCACACTCGTCAACTCCGACCCCCGAAGTCCCCTCTCTACGTTCCCGCCGTCCTTCGTCCCTCCCAGCCACCCCGCCGAAAGACGGGCACTGGCACCCTCACCCCGCCCAGCACCAACGACGGCCTTGACGCCCCCGCACTCCTGCGTTCCGACTCGGATAACGGGAAATGGGGACTCGGGCGCCTCATGGACAGCGAGTGGCGCGGGAAACCGCTCGGTCGCGTGACTGATCTCCCTTCTCGGGATCACTGGAAGGTTAGTAGAATATGAAGCCGAGGTGAAGTCGAGAGAGAAAGCTAACTAACATACCCTAGCCCGATGCCGATGCAACCGTCTGCGATGCTCCTTCGTGCACTCGCACCTTCTCGTATTTCACGAGACGCCACCACTGTCGCCGCTGCGGTAACATCTTCTGCGACACCCACTCCCCCCACCTCGTCCCCCTCGACCAAAACGCCTCCTTCCACCCCCTCGGCCACCGCAGCCGCGCCTGCGAGTTCTGCTGGAGCGAGTACAAAGGCTGGGAAGTCTCTCGTAGCTCCCGCACCGGCAGCCGCAACGGGAGCGACAGCATCCACAACGGCGGCGGAAGCGTCAGCGGAAGTGGCAGCGAAGACGGGAGTGAAGGTATGCCGGCTACACCTGTGATTAGCTGTAGAGGCAACGGTGCGTTTGGTGCAACGGATGTGGGAAAGGCGATGCCGGAGAGCGTGCCGGCGAGTGTGCCGAGGGATTGGAACTGGAGCACGTTTTGAAGTGCCGTGATGGGCGGATTTTATGAATAACACTCTTTTTAATGCGGGGACCAGCAGATGGATCCAGTGGGTTATGGACGGAGGAGGATAAGGGCCGAGTCGAGATAGAGGAGGAGACTGGAATGCGGGAGTATAGACGAGACAAGGGTCGATTCTGGCACCACCACCGACTGACCACAGCTTCGGGTCCTCTCACACCAGCGTCCGATCAGTTCCCTTTGACGACCCTGATGAAGATCTAGTCACGTCACGGGACACAAGAACGATATCCCGAGAATTACCACCGACGTCGACAGATTCATAGCATCACTCCAGCCAGTTTAGCGTTGATTTTCGGGATTTACCTTCTTTTTTTGTATTCCTCTTACCGCGTTGGCCGGTGTCTCACGAGACTTTTACTCAAGCGATATAGACAGTCCTAATTAGCGTTGAATTCATGCATTTACAGTCATCATCTGTCAAAATCTTCTTCTTCATCGTGCCTTCTTGTGATTGTGATATGTATCCCAATAAACTACGTAGCACACAAGTCCTCTAAAATCCCCAACATCCGCCTCTGCATCGCCAGCAACTCCGACTCTGTGATCCCTCCCCCGACACCCTCGTCGTCTGCAGCACCATCCACGCCCCCATCGTACCTGATCAACTCTGCCCTTGTCCCGAAAAATGGTATGCCGAGCCTCTGGAGTTTTCCACCCATCTCGCCCACCATCTGGCATTGTGCACGGTATACCTTCCCATCGAATGCTCGTAGCTCCTCTGTCCCGTCGGAAGTCGGAGTCTCTGTTACCTGGCCTCCGACTGCGCGTCTGGGTATCTATTAGCTGAAATTCATACCCAACAAATGTTAGAGGGAGCCGTACAACACCTCATCCACCTTCTTCTGCCCAACCTTCCTCGCCTCAATTTTCATTGCCAACTCCCTCCGACCAGCACACCACTGTGTTTCATGCTCGTGTTGCGTTTGTATCAACTATTGTTCCCGTCAGCCCAATTCCATCCCATCTCATCCCGTCCCATTGCACAGGGCCGTCAACGCACCTTCCGTATCTCCCCCACCACCCTCTCATTACTAGCCACACTCCTCATCACACACCTCAACGCAGTCGGCCAATCCGTAATCTTCGACGCATCCTGTATCGGCGCCGCCGCAGCAGCGGGTGGTGGTTGTGGCCGTGACGGGACCTCGAAATGCGGACGAGGCTGAGGGATCGGCGCGGAGAAGTGGTAGGGGTTTGAAGGGTTCGAAGCCGGTTGCTGGCCCTCTTGCTGGGATTGAGGTGCGAGTGCAGAGAGTGTACGCAAGATATCTGCTAAATTCGGCGGTGGGTTGGTCATTTCGTCAATAATTGTCTTATCCGTCCCAAGAATCCAAAGGTCGACAAAAGTAGGTCCCCATGATATCCGCCTCGCACGCGGAGAAACATATACCGCAGCCTCACGTCCAAAACCTCACATCCAAGGCACCAACCAACCATCCACACCCGCACGCTAGCCCCAGACAGCTTCGAAAATCTCCGGAACATCCCCAATTCCTACGCTTCCTCCAACCTCACGGGCGGTTCACCACGTCACAACACACACACCACCCCAAAACCCATCACAATGGCACGCTCCCCAAGCGACGCCACGCGCTTCACCTCGACGACCCCCCACGCGACGAAGCCCTTCTACCCGACGTCCTCGAACCCGGGCCCGTCCACGCTCCCACCCAATGAAGCTGCCGCGGCGCCGGCGGGCGAGACGCCGCAGCAGAAGGTGAGGCGGCTGAGGGAGGCGGCGAATCGGGCGAGGGAGGGACGGTTGACGGGGTTTGATAAGGTGGTTATGAGGGGGAGGGTGTGGGCGGATCGGGCGCATAGGGTTACGACTTTGGGGTTGATTGGGATTACTTGTGAGTGCTCCCCTACTTTCCCTTTCTCTTTCCCTTTCCCTTTCCCTTTTTTGAGAGGGGGGGGGGGAAGTCCTTTCTACGACTGCGGCAAGGGCTGGGATAGGAGAGGAGAGGGGTGATTGGAAGGACAGCTCGCTAATTAACTCCCAACAGGCATCGCCGGAGCAGTAACAGTCTACGCCCTCGGCGACATGATGATCTACAACCGCCGCCGCCGCCGCGAATACTTCGCCGAGCAAAAAGCCCTCACCGAAGCCGCCACCCAAGACGCCGCCGTCGCCCTGCGCTCCGGCACCGCAACAGCCGAACAACTCAAGCTCCTGGAGCAGCAGCGCGGCCAGGCCGCCGTGGCGGCAGAGATGCGACAGAAGGCTGCTGAGATGCGGGAAGCGCGGGCGAATGCCCCTGCTGCGCCGTTGGAGAAGGTGGAGGGGAAGGGGATAATGGCGTCGGCGACGGGGTGGTTGTTTAAGGGGTTGAAGACGGAGGATAGGCCGGAGGTGGGGTATGAGAATTTGGTTGATGAGAGGGGGGTAAAGGGGGGTGTGACGAGGGCGGTGGAGGAGAGGAGGGCGGAGAGGGAAGCGAATGGGGGACCGCTGGATAGGTTGGGGACGGAGGAGAATGAGGATGAGAAGAAGGGTGGTTGGACGAGTTTCATGACACGGAAGTAGGGGCGGGAAAGGTGACATGTGTTTGTTAGTTGTGTATAACGTTGTGTATATCGTGGGGTGTAAGATAGCGCATGTAGCGGCGTATATGGTGGTATTAGGGCCAGAAAAATATAATCCCCGTCCGAACTTTATAGAAAGGAAGTTTGGTGTGTCGTGTCTTGTGTGAAGTTCCTCCGAATAACTTGCTATATACTGTCTCGTTTGAATTTCTCCCAAAACATCTCTGTCTCGTCTGAATTTCCATAAAATGAACTTCGTATGTCGTCTTATCTCGCGCGGTTTCGCTCTCACTACTGCCTACGAAATTCCATTCGAACTTTACCCGAATAACATGGTATCTCGTATCTCGTCCAAACTCTTAAAGAAATTGGTATCTGCCGCCTCGTCGGAAATTCCTCAAAAGAAACCTGGTTTCTCATCTGGCTCTCTCGGTCTTTCTCTCGCCTTCATAATCCCAGGTCGAACCTACTCGAAGAACTTTATATCTCCCATCTCATCCAAACCTCCCGTCGAAACCTGGTATCTCATCCCCACCTCCCGCCTCCCGCCTCCCACCTTTCTCCTCTCCTCCCCCTTTCACAACTAATTTTGCCCACCAACACCACAACCACCACCCCCTACCTCAACACCCCCGGCCTCGCCTCCTTATTCCACACCACCCGACTCCTCACCCACTCCACCGCCTCCTTGACCCCCGCCCCCGTCAACGCACTACACGGCAGCACCCTACTATCCCTAATCCCCGCCCCCCTCTCCCCCTCAAACACCCTCTTCACCAACCCCTCCTTAATCCGCACAACCTCCACACAATCCTCCCTATCCTGCTTATTCGCCAGCACGAGCAGCGGCACCCCGCTCGTGTCCTCGTGCGCTAGGACTGCTTCCAGGACTGCGCGGCACTCTGCTAACCTGCCATCTTCTTCTCCGCCGGCACTACTGCTGCCACCAATATCCCCCCCGTCCAAACCGCCTTCGACGCCGGATCCGATGTCCGTCGAATCAACCAAGAAGATAATCGCGTGACAAGACGCGTAATAGGATTGCCACAACCGCCTCAAGCTCTCCTGCCCCCCGATATCCCAGACTTTGAGATACATATCTGGCAAGTCGATTGTGGCGACGTTCTGGCCGACGGTGGGGACGGTTTTGGTGGCGGGGGCGGGGCGGGAGGGGTGGTAGTGGGATTTTATTTGGGAGAGGAGGGTGGTTTTGCCGGCGTTGTCGAGGCCGAGGAGGAGGATGGAGAATTCTGGGGGGGGTTAGCTGGGTGTAAGGGGGGGGTTGACGGTGGTTGGTTATGTGGGGTGAGGGGATGGAGGGGTAAAGGGGGGGAGGGGTAGATGGGGGTAGATGTGTAGATAGATGGACAGATGCGAACGTACCTTCTTTGCTGGTGACGTGCAAATAGACGGACTTTGCTAGGTGATACATGATTGCGCGGGTGGGGGCATTGAAGCCCGGGAGATCAGGTCTGGAGATGCAGATATATTCAACAATGCAAGGCCGTATCTATCATACAGGTCGTATCGTACAGATGCTGCAGTACTGTAAAGCAGATAGCGAGTGTATGGGTTGGTCTGGTGATGGTGGTATACGGCGGGCGGTGGTGTTGTATCGCCTTGTGGGGGTTGTCAGGTCTTGTTTCGCCCAGACATTCGAGATAACTGTAAACTGACTGTAACCGTACTTACCCCTGCGCAAGGCTGAGAGTGGGGTCGCGTCAGCTCAGTTTTGAGGCTAGTACGGAATTGGGATGGGATGGATAGGATGGGGATGGATAAATATGGATGTCACGTGGGAAGGATGGGATTCAGGGTGGTGGGTGTGGGTGTGTGTGGCCTTGTCGTCAAGGAGGGACGGGGATGGGGATGGATTGGTTGGGATTGACACGTGAAAATGAGATGGAATGAAGATATTCCGGATGCCGGTGGTGGGGAGAGGTGGGGAGGGGAGGAATTGTCTTGGGATATAGATGGGGATGGGAGATGGGGATGGGATGGGGATGGGATGGGGATGATGGGGAAGGGGATTTCACGTTTATCGGGTGAAAGGCACGCGACATGCTGGTAAGTAGAGTATAGTAGAGTTATAGTAGAGTAGAGCATACCAGAGTAAGTATACTACGTAGAGTATAGTATTGTACTGTACTTGCTGCACATGCACTTAACATCCTTCACGTGCAAACCAAAAAAAACTAAGTCGTCTCAACGAGAAAATGTGGTGGTGCCACCCAACCCACGGCGGAGCGGAGCGGGATCTAGTCTAAACGCGCGATGAACGGTGGTTTTGTTGGGAAGCGGAGAGGGAAGGGAAGGTACGGTAGGGGAGTACGGTAAGGAGTACGGCAGGTCCCAAGAGGCGCCAAGATCATCGAGAACCTATTATATTGAGGGTGATGAGGTATGGAGAGATGGGGGATGGGGGGAGGAGGAGGAGGAGGAAGATAGTGATGTTGGTTTATCAATACACTGCGAATCGTTGGAGGGAAGGGAGTGATCTATGCTGATTGTATTATCCCGTATACCGAGGTTAGTGTAAGATGGCATTTCTTACCAAGATTTGATCGTGATTATTATACTACAATATGCTGTATCTACAATATGCTGTATATTATAGTAGCAGAGTATTAAAACCATCACCTTTATAATCCTCACCCTTATCTCGCATCTCACATATCAGATCCCACCATCCCACCATCCACCCCCCGTCAGCCTCTCCCGAGCACCGCCAAGACCACAAGACAACGACGCTACTCTCACCTTTCTTCGCTCCCACTCTCGCTCCCACCACTACTATACAGAACTCTTTTACATCTAGTAAAGAATGTAAAGAAGTTCATCTAATAAAGAAGTTCTATATAGAATAGAATCTCCAGACTAGTGCCACTCGCAACTCCCTGTCTCCCCGTGGTACTCTACCTCTACTACCTTACTAGCTAGCGACACTTCTCCTAGTCGGTACCCGCCTAGCCTTGCCCTTTGACGGCATTCTAGCCACATTTTGGCGGGCGGCTATGACGCGTGGTTGTACCTTTTTATATAGCCTTGCCCAACTTACCCAACTGAGACTCATCGGTCCTCAACAAAAAAGCAGAAAGTGCCATATCGTGCCAACGAAACAACGAAAACAACAACACAACCCCAGGAAAGAGCGGCGCACCACACAACAGAAACACGACACTGTCCATTCCCATCGTTGCATGTGACTCTCTCCCCCATCTTATTCCGCTCTTTGCCTGTTTGTACCCTCTTGTACCGTGAGTACTGTTTTCATATGTGCTGAGACAAGGAAGGTGTCAATTACAATTGGCCCTTTTCTAACAATTCCCCTTCGCCGAGGCTCAATTCTTCCTTATCCACCCTCTAAAGATAGGTAGGTCTAGTACGACTGCCATATATCTTCCTATTCTTCTTCCCCATCTCATCTTCATTCTTCATCCCCCTATAAACCTCCAACCAACCCCTCCACGCACGCCACTTCCTCCTCCATTCCAAATTGAAGAAAGTTATCACCTTTCCTCCTCCTCCTCGGATCCGCGTCCAACCTACTACAACAGCCCTCGACCCATCCCCCGGGTTGATCTTGGCCCCCTCGAACTACCACCTCCCCCTCACCTTGCAAACGAACACCAGATCAACTGCCACCATGTCACCGAACATCTACTTCAGCTTCCCCCCTCGCTCCCTCATCCAATTCCCCCCCTCCTTCGACCCGACCACCCTCCCTCCTCCCCCGGCAGGCAGCGCCTCCTTCGCCCCCCCCTTCACCATCCCCGCCAGCATCTACAACTCGGCCTACGACGCCCGCGTCCCCCTGACCATCGCCTCCGTCTACGCCGTCACCGTCATCACCCTGAACAAGGTCAACGCCGCGCGCGGCAACAAGCCATGGGCCATCTCCAAGACCGCTGCCTTCCGCTGGCTCGTCGTCCTCCACAACGTCTTCCTGGCCGTCTACTCCGCCTGGACATTCGTGGGGATGTACAAGGGTCTCTCGCGCACCATTCCCTCCGTGTATGGTCCCAACGGCGTCATCGGCGTCGTCGACTCGCTGTGTAAGCTGCATGGTCCCGCTGGCCTGGAGAACGCAATCGCATACTCGCCTGGTGCGTCGTCGTGGCAGGATGCCCCTGGTCTTGAGGGCGGGAGGTTGTGGAATGAGGGATTGGCGTTTTATGGATACTTCTTCTACTTATCTAAGTTCTACGAGGTCGTTGATACGGCTATTATCCTCGCGAAGGGGAAGCGCAGTTCTACGCTCCAGACTTATCACCATGCCGGCGCTATGCTCTGCATGTGGGCTGGGATGCGCTTCATGACCCCCGCTATCTGGATGTTCTGCTTCTTCAACTCTGGTGTCCACGCATTGATGGTACGTCCCCCATAACTTCCCCCTGCACAATCTTTTATATATTCCAGCAAGAGAGCACCAGCTAACACCCCCCCGCAGTACACATACTACACCATAACCTCCTTCTCCGTCCGCGTCCCCAAGGCCATCAAGCAAACCCTCACCACCCTCCAAATCTCCCAGTTCATAATCGGCGTCTACTACGCCGCCGCCCACTCCTTCATCTCCTACGACATCCCCTCCACCTCCGCCTCCGCCAGCTCGCCCTCTGCATTCCCCGCCCCCTCGCCAAACCGTCGCGTCCTCTACACCGGACCCGCTAGCGGCGCAGCGGATGAGAAGTACGAGACGGTCAGCTGTATCAATACCAGCGGCCAGACGTTCGCGGTGTGGTTGAATGTGTTTTACCTCGGCCCGCTGATGTATCTGTTCATGCGCTTCTTTTATCGCTCGTATATCCGCCGCGCGGCGCCGAGGGTTGCGGGGGGGAAGGCTGCTGCTGCGGGTGTGGTGGTAGGTGCTGGGAAGGGGGGGAAGAGGGTGTAGGAGCTTGGAATGAGAGGATGATTGAAGATTGAAAGATTGGATGATGCTGCTGCTGCTGCTGAGGGTTAAGCGGGGCGGGGAAGATTGGGAAAGCGAAGTTGAGAAGCTAAGGGGTTGCTTGACAGATTGAATGCACCTCCGTCGAGGGGCGGATAGAGTGGCTCGTACAGGATAGAAGACCACGCGGTGGGAGCGGAGGGGGACACGAGGAGTGGGGAGTCGGAGCATAGCATTGCAGGCGTTATTCCGGGTGAACAAAAACTGATGATGTGTGGAAACGAGGTCATGGTCACGATAGATGGGTTGGTAGAGGTGAACTGTAGGTAGAAATCTACAACACACAGACAGACAGACAGACAGACAGACAACGATTCTGGGTATAATTTAATCTCTTGGTCTTAATGTCTACTCTTATTGATGACTGTTTTGGCCCTGCCTGTCCTGTCCTGCGCTGTTGATATACTGTACAATACCATATGTGCGTCGTCCATTCCTCGAACGACACGCCTATAACACTGCTGAAGCCCCCCCCCCCTCCCTCCCAGGCACTCACGAAGAACCACCCCCGCCCAAAGATCGACCTCAACGACCTCTTCCCCTTCCCCGTCTTCCCACTCCCACTTCCACTCCCATCATCCGCCTCCCCACTATCCTCATCCTTCCCCTCATCATCCGCCTGCTCACCCTCATCCTGCGCCGTCTCAAAAATCGGCTCGATAGGCCTCGATCTCGACCTCCCCAACCCCAACCCCCTCAACGACGAAATACTCCTTCTCCTCCTCCTCCCCCTCTCCTCCGCCACCCCCACCCCCAGCATATCCCTCGCCGCGCGATCCGCCTGGATCTGCTCTACGAACAGGCCTAGCAGCGTGCGTCCCCCGACCGCAAGACACCCGAGGTGTATCGGCATGAACTTGATCGTGCCGCGGCGCGGCGGCACAGCGAGGGCCTCGTCGAGGAACTGCGCGAGGGCGACGGCGTTGACGTCGTTGACGTAGCCTTCAGAGAGGGCGGGGGGGATGGTGATGGTGAGGATGTAGGAGGGGTCGCGGGTGTGGTCGTGGAGGAGGTTATGTGTGTAGAATTGGGAGATGGTGATGGCGGATTGGGGGCGGTTGTACAGGTTGGAGAGGAGGTGGGCGAGGTTGTGGATGGTGTATTTGTCTGATACCTTGAGGGGGTTTAGCTCTGTGCTCTTCAGAGGGGAGGGGGGGCGGGGGAGTGGCGGTTGTTTCTTTGGTTTAGGGGAGGTAAGGGAAAGTGCTGCTCACAGTGGAACTCGTAACCAGCTCGGCCACCACAGGATAATCAGCTGCTATCTTCGCTGTAGCCCTCTCCATCGACTGCTGCTCAGCCTCGATTTCGGCGTCCATAGCGCGTTTTCTCCTGGAGAAGGTCCTGAACCTGCGAGTCTCTTTCTCTTTTTCTTTGTTCTTATCCGGCGAGGAGCTACCGTCGTAGTAGTATTTCTTAGGGGCGGGACCAGGGAAATCCTGGGCCGAGTCTCCTGGGGCATTGGTGCGGTATATCTGGTCTAGGTCTGGGATGAAGGGGGGTGGGTCGGTGTGGCGGCGCCCTCTTGGTGGGCCTGGCATGTTTGGATGAGATGTGGGTTTTCTTATAGCTGGGGAATAGTGGAATAATGCCTGGAGCGGCGGTATGAATTGAAGAAAGCTGTTTTGATTGATGCCTTTGGAGCTTTGCAAAAACTATGTTGGATTGTTGGAGGAAGATCGGGGTGGGAGGAAGGTATTTTGTGGTGGGAATATGGACGTGGAGTAGTAACGGAAGGATACATGGGCGATATGCATGAGAATGGAAAGAACGGAGTAAATAGAGGTCGCACCTGCCTTGACGTCGACCATACTAGTAAATGAATATGCATAGGTCGCACCTTCCTCGTTGGTGACTATACTTGTGAACGTATACAGCAACAGAGTCATCAACCACGTAGAGCCCCGTACTGAAACTTCTCAGCCGCCCGCCGATGATGAAATAAACATTCCTGGACAAAAGTATTAAATACAAATAGTCCCTGACAAACACAGAGACGGATTTTTCGTCCCAAAGAAAACAGCACAAACGCCATCCAAGGCGCAGCCAAGGGACCCATTCCTCCATTACCCCAGTATCCCACCCACCAGACTATCACACATCACCCGTCAAACTATCAACAGTGACTCTCTTCCCCCCTCTTCAAGACAGCGCGGGACTCCCCTTCCTCGCCGCCATCAAGTTGACCTTCTTATCCTGCACGACCGCCATGATTCCCACGGCGCCAATAAGCGCGAACAGCGGGATCATCAGGATAGTCAAGTAAAGACCGGCCTCGGCCTGCTTGCAGATGCGGTGGAAGTCCGGCTCGGAGTTCATGGCGACATCCGACCAGTGGCAGGACCAGCTCTGGATTGTGGCGGTGACATCGGAGGCGTTGATGCCGTAGAAGAAGGAGGTGGCGACGATGGCGGAGACTAGGCCAGCGAAGGCGGAGAGGAGAGTGAGGAGGGTGTGGAGGGAGGTGTTGTAGCGGAACTGGAGGGGGTTAGTAGGTGATTTGGTACGGCGATGGGGGAGGGAAGGACATACAGATGGGATCTTGCCGGCGAGGAGGGACCCAGTAGCCGCAACGATCATGATTGTTCCGCAGACGACGAGGGCGATGCTAGGGCCTAGGTTGAACTCGAACGGCCATAGTGGCAGCAGGAACTCGTTCGAGACGTGAGTGTCGTTGTAGATCTTGAGGTTGTGTGCTGATATGGCCAGAATTCCTACGGCCGAGGCGAGGGCGAGGATGCTGAGGCCCATGCGGCCAGCTTCGAGGGCGCGGGATGGGCCGGGGTGCCTCTCGTTGTGGTCGAACTGGGAGGACTCATGGTACTCTGGCGAGAAGGACGCTTGCTTGATGTCGGAACCCATGGTGGTGGTGGTGATGGGGTTGGAAGTGGATGTTGAAGTGGAAGTGTTGTTGGAACGAGGAAAGAAACAGTCGAGACAGAGGAAATGTAGTATGGCACAGCCGCACATGAGACGAAGGAAAGAAGGGATGGGTAGACGAAAAACGAGATCTCCAGAACTCCTGCGTGATATGGACAAACAGAGGATCAATCGGTGGTCGAGGAGCGGCCATAAATAAGGAAGAAACACGACCTACCTGAATGGGTCCCTGCAGACGCCCATCCACGCCGAGACACATGAGACGATAAGATGTACGAGGGTAAGGATAGTCCAGCGATGCGCCGTCCCGAATTAGGGGGCCATATTGATTTCTCCTCCGGGGGTGGGTTAGCAAATCAGCAAATCAGAGACAGAGATGTGATAGAGTGATAGACGCACATCTGTCAAACAGAACATTGACGTGGATAGAGGGGGGGTGGAGAGGAGAGGGGGGGATTGGAGTGGCCCTGGAGTGACCGCCTAGTGACCCTGGAGTGGTAGGGAGGTGAGCGCTTGTCGCGCTGGTGGTCCGGGCGCGTGGTGATGATTGGCGGTGATTGGTGGTGGTCGGCGATGATTGGCCAGGTATTTCAAGGTCGGCGCTTGCCTGCAGATGCTCACAGGCGGCTGTGAAACAAGTGCCGTGGCAACAGCGAATAAGGAACGCGAGGGGCTCTATGCCGTGGCACTTTACTCAGACTATACTCAGATCTATTCTCGGACGAGCTGATGATTTGAGGATTTGGTGATCTGAATGACGGATGTATTTTGGTGTTGATTATCGAATTATTGAATACTAAAACAATCATAAACATCAAACTCAATCTTTCCGTCGAGGAGTCCCACCGAAGAAACTACTGAATTGAAGCGCGCACAGAATAGATTATGCTACCCAAGATTATTCATAATCATAACAAGGTAACTCACAGCTACTCCTTTACTTTGTCGATCCCTCACAGATAGGCTAACCGGGCCACACCTACAATTCCCAGTCCTCCTTAATCATATCGCTCGCCTTCTCTGCAATCGCATAAACACTCGAAACAATATTTCCACTGACATGCAACGGCATCACACTTGCATCCACGACTCTCACGCCCTTCGCTCCCCAAACCTTGAGCCTATCATCCACCGCTCCAACGCCCTTCTTCCCCATCGCCACAGTACCCAACGGATGATACTCGGTCGCACAAGTATGTCTTAGATACTCCTCAACACTCTTCCTATCTCCCAAATCCAACTCCACAGGATGGTATTTTCTCTTGATCTTCTCCTTGAAAGGTGACGTAGCTGCCATCTTCTCCAGCAGCTCCAAACCTTTGACAAAGACTTCGATGTCTGCGGGGTGCGTTAAATAGCCCGGATCGATTTCCGGGTCGATTTTGGGGTCAGAAGAAGATATGTGGATAGTGCCCACGGAGAGGGGACGAGCTAGACACGCTGCCAGTGCAAGGCCGTGCTTTCCTAGTTGCTCAGTAGGAGGCTGCAGCAGGGCCTTCTGATTGCCTGGGTACCTAAGGTCTAAGGTAGCAGGTAGAAGTACGAGCTGGAGGCTACCATAATTGTGGTCTCCGAGGCTCTCTGCGATGAGCTTCTTCGTGGCTTCATTATGGCCAGGATATTTGCCCGAGAGTATCAATTCTTGTAACGATTTTACCTCAGCAGGTGTGGCTAGATCAGCGTAAGATGCGAACCCCACCGCTGATCCGCCACTTGATAGGGGACCGCTTTTGTCGGTAGTGTACGAGGTCATCGCGGCTTGGAGTTCTGATTCCTGTTGTAGCATGTCGAGAGTTTTCTCTCCTTCGACGAGCTCATAGCCTATTGCTGTAGCGGGGTGGTCCTGAAAGTTCTCCCCAACTCGTGGGTTGTCCACCACGCATTTAACACCAGCTCTAGAGAGGATTGAGGGGTTGCCAATTCCCGAGAGTTCGAGAATCTGCGGGGATTTCATCTAGATGCACATGATTAGGTTTGACGAAAAGATAACACAGGATTGGTGGAACATACGGTTCCCGCACTGAGAACGACCTCCTTCTTTGCCAGAACAGTATGAGGTTTGTCTTCGTGTAGGAATTCAACACCAGTTACTTCACCAGCATCACTGATAACAAGCTTCGTTACCAACGCCTCGACCAAGACATTCAGATTTGGCCGTCCGGCATTTGGAAGCAGATATCCTGTAGTGGCGTAACTTCTTGTCCCAGTTAACTCGCCATTACTCCTATCAATCGTACTAAGCGAATGATGCGTGCCCATATGGTCACCACTCCAAGCCTCAAGCGGACTCCCCATATTCTCGCCCAATGTGCTGGAAGCAGCAATCCACTCTCTCTCCTGGGGAAGTCTCCATGTACTAAAACTAGTATGGATTGGCCCATTTGTTCCATGGAGACTCGCATCATACGTTGTCTCGAGAGGGATGTTTGGTTTAGTTGTATAGCCTGAGGGGTCATCAAAATGCTCGTGCTTCGTGAAGTACGGAAGCAGGTCTTGGAATCCCCAGCCTTTGTTTCCAAGTTTCTCCCAGTCATCATAGTCAACTTTGTGACCTCGAACATACATTTGATAATTGATGGTACTAGATCCACCGAGGCCTTTTCCTCGAGGTTGGTCCATGGCGACATTGCCAGCGGATTTCTGTGCGAGTGTATAAGTGGTGAGTATTATTAACATGGGTATTAATTCAGTACCTGAACGACACTCTTATGGAGCCAGTCATACTTTGGGTCACCAATTGCCTTGGTGTACACTATAAATGTATTAGTGTTGGACTTTTCTCAATTGTAGAGTAGAAGAGGAGCTGCTGAAAAACAACACGGCGGATCAGTCAATTCAATAATACGTACTGGCGGGCATCATGATCATAGGATCCTCAATATTTGCAGCACCAGCCTCGAGAACACCGACGTTAACATCTGCGTTCTCAGTGAGACGTGCAGCCACGACTAAACCAGCTGTCCCTCCTCCAATAACAATGAAATCATAATCATGCTTAAGAAACTCGTCAACCGAGCAGAGGGCAGGGAGGTTATTAGGGTCTGCCATCTTGAAATGTAGAGAAGTTTGAGATTCCCTCGCAAAGTGGCGACGGGCTCGAAGGATTATATAGGCATGAAATAGAGCAACTACACATGGAATTTAAAGGCTGACGACTACAAGTGAGACATTTAAGGCCGACTGGCACGTGCCCAATAGAGGTGTCGAATTATAGATACACTTTAGGCATAAATGTAAGTTTGATACGTGCAATATTTCGAGTTGGCGATCTAGAGCGGGGTTTTTTTTCTATATGAGATCATGACGGCATGATCAGGTAACAAGAGGAGGAGCAAAAACCCTGTACTATAATATACCCTTGAACATGGAGTGGGCGCACGGTCCATACTGGGGAAGTTACGGACGCTATGGTCGTCGATTGGTCCGACTCCTAGCTAACTCCCAAGCTTACCCCGCTTCCTTCACGTCCCAGCGTCCATGTTAAACGCGTCAGCCCTGTTATGGATCTCTCCTTCAGCTCGGGTGAAGGATGCAATAGCTTAGGCACAAAAACGATAGTAGAAAATATCCCTATATTGAGATTCTGGATTTGCAACAGGGAAACCAACACGGTGTCCGAAGACCGCATTAGGTCCAGGTGTAAACGGATTCTAAGATCTACTCCCATTGTAGCTTCGAAATGCTATACTCCGCCATCACTATCACTTTGATCTTGTTCGCTGCACAAACCTACGCAGCATGCTACGACCCATCGCCCGCCTTCCTCCCTCCTAAATCTAGCACCTACCGTGACTCTCCCATCCTAAACGATGCCTTCAAGACCATAACCGCGAGTCTGGACAGGCTCATCGCGCAGCCAGAGTTCGACACGAGCTCCTTCTCCATTGAGGTCACCACCTCCACCCACTCGCTCTGGGAGCTTCACCACACAGCACGCGACAAGGACCCCGAGAGACTGGGCGCCGAAAAGGTGACGGGAGAGAGTGTCTACCGCGTCGCCAGCATCACCAAGGCCTTCACGGCGCTCGCTATCATTCAGCAGCATGTCGCAGGTAATCTAAGCATCGATGATACGATTGACCAGTATCTCGATTTGGGAGGGGATATTCAGTGGTCGGATATCACGCTACGAACGGTCGCGAGCCAATTGAGTGGGATTCCGAGGGACTGTAAGACCTAGCGATGTGGTGGCTGGGAAGTTCAGCGATGCTAAATGATTTGTGATAGTTGCTATGTCGGATATTTTCTATGGGTTTCCCGATGCTGTTTCATTGGGTCTGCCGCCCGTCTCAGATGAGGGGGTACCCAAATGCGACTCACCGTGCTCCGGTGATGGTAAGTTATCCTCCCCTACTACCAAAAACCCTCGCCGCTAACCATCCATCTTAGACCTTCTCGAAAACCTAGCTATAAGGCAGCCCATGTGGCCTCCGAAGCATAAATCATCATACTCAAACATCAATTTCGATCTTCTCGGACTCGTCGTGGAGAATGTAACAGGTCTAGGGTATGCCGAGTATGTTGAGCAGGCTATTCTGCGTCCGTTAGGTATGGATAGTAGTTCTTTCATCAAACCTGATGATAGTGTTGGCGTACTACCAAGTGGCTTTAATTATTGGGATTATGAAGGAGGTGTGCAACGACCGTAAGTCCCCTATCCAAATATATTTTGATCTATCGGTCATGGTCTAATAGTCATCTAGAACTGGCGGCCTCTATAGCACTACCAGTGATATGTCTAAATTCCTTCGCCACGTCCTCGCAACCCACAACACACTCTCCCCTCAGCTAAACTGGTTCAGCCCTGGCTCCTATTCCGAATCCCTATCTTCTTACTATGGCATGCCGTGGGAGATCTACCGCACCTCTTCAATGCTTCCGTCCACCTTGCGCCCTGTGACATTCATTACCAAGGGCGGCTCACTGCCGGGATACTTCACATATGTCATCATGGCGCCCGACTACGACTTGGGAATATCGATTTTCACTGCTGGTCCCGCAGACCTGCTAGATCTCATCCGAGAGGCTGTCACAGTCACTCTCCTCCGCGCCGCCGAGGAAACAGCCCAGAGAGACCTAAACGATCGGTACACCGGCATTTTCGCCGCCGCAGCTCCACTGAACTCCACGCTTGTCCTCACACAATCAGACACCAAGGCACTTTACATCGACTCCTTCATTTCGAACTCAACCGTCATTCTTGAGGCTTGGCAGGGGCCCCTCTCGTCACTCACGCAGGGGGGCCCGTTTCGTATCCAGCTCGTCCCGTCCCTCTCGTCTCGCGGGGACGACGCAGGCCGCAAGGGAGAGGTGTGGAGGGGAATTTTGGTACCCGAGAAGAGGGGGACGGGGGCGTGGGATGATCAATGCATGACTAATTATGATCCATTGTCGTATGCTAATAAGCCGCTATTAGAGGTTGTGTTCTGGGGAGGTGAGGGGGCGGTAATGAAGGAGATAGAGATGGTAGGCTTTCGGGTGGTTTTGGAGCGGGTGGAGGGCGGAGGAGAAGGTAGGGAGACTCTTGACGTAAATAAGGATGGATTCACGAAGGAAAATGGACAAAAAGTTTTAGGGTAAAAGATGGATATGAGGGAAACTCACCATCACGGTCAAGTCTAATGATAGTGATCCGCACATGGCATTCTTATTGCAGCAGTTTCCTTGCGCTACGTTGCAGGTGAAGGGGTTCGTTGCACCGCAAGTTCCATTCGGTGTGTTTCCATTTAGCCATGAAGGTGGGCCTGGAATAGTAGGTGGTGCTGTGCAGTTTCCAAGTTGGCAAACGTCGAATGCACAAAACAATGCGCCAGTACCGCATTTTCCGTCTACATTACTGCAATCGCTTCATACTCCAGCACAACGACGGTTGCCATTTTGTTTCCCACATTGGCCTGTTGTAATGTATGCCGAGTCTCCTGCACATGCCCCTTCGTAGCAAGTTCCTGGTGCACAGTCTTCTCTAATATTAGGGTTTGGCGTTAGTAAATCCGTTCTCAGAATGGCAACTACCTGTCCTTATAGATAACTCATGGGGAGCTACCGCAGGTGAAAGTATTTGAATTGCAGCACTGAAATTTTGTACCAAGACAAGTAGCATTCTTGTTTGGGGGACCACAAAGCCCGTCGGTAGCTCTTAGAGGCTCAATAACTATTCATTAGACCTCGTTAGTTCATAATGACTTGATAATAACCGTCGACGTATGATTTCTAAACTTACAGCCACGCACACAATAATCTGTATCAGCTTGAATATTCCCACAGTCAAGTTGTAGTCCTGGATTCAACTTAAAGAAGGTTTCAACATAAATTCCATATCTCTTTGTTAACAGTGTACAAGTGTGAGAGTCAATTTCGAACCGTTCCGTGCTGCCCGTATACCGACAGTTAACTTGACCTGGATCAATATCTCCTGTAGTAATAAGGGAGCTTATGGTAACGGGGCTGATAGTAGGGTTTGCTTCTACAGTGGAAACGCTGCTACCTGAGTTAGATGAGGCAGTGGGATCGGAAAGTTGCTGGCCCTCAAATTCCCCTGGTTGCCATGTAGAGGGTGCGCAGCCATCAGACGCTCGAACTGTGAATGTAAGACACACAATAATGGTGCAGAAAACACGATGCGGCGACCAAGTTGCTCTCTGGGTATACTCCATAGCCCTTGTTGCACTTCACAGGATCCGAGTTCAAATAATTGGCGGCAATGGTCACGCAACTATTACCCAAGAAATATTGGCGATGTTGAAGAACTGTAATGAGGAGGTAGATGAGGCAGGGACGCTTTAGGCCACAAATAACAGATTTGGTAGTTTATAGAAAGCAAGGACGTCTTGGATAGCTTTAGATTCATCCCGTATAAAATTACAATGGATGAGAGATAATAGGTATGACCTATAGGCCTATGATTCAGACGAATAATATCTTGATAAATAAAGGAGTATTATTATTGATGTAGCCTTGGCAGTTTGATTGCGGCACCGCAACTTCGGAAATACTCCCGCCTCGCCGCGACTGTGGCCCGTGCATCCCCATACGTCGTCCCAATCCAGCCGACGCGGAACGATTGGGACGTTCTGTCGGAGCCTTGTGTGCAATTCGCCCGCCCACGCACGGCCAGTAAGCGCCTTGAGGACAACAGTAGGTACAATTTATCTTTTCTTGCTTCATACGTTTCATTTCCTGCAGTGAGCACAGTTGCTGCAATCGTATCTACGGCCATTATCTATCCTCACCCGCGGACTGTTTCAAGCCCTCCATGTCCATCATGACAGACGCAGCTACCCCAAGAAAGCGGGCGAAATCCGTCACCTTTGCGACCCCCCCGCCGTCTCGTGAGAACACTGCATTTCGCTCTCGCACTGCCCTCGTCCTCGGCGCCCTCACACTCAGCGGTGCCTACGTCCACTTCTACCAGAGTGCAGGTAATGGCCTCTTTGACACTCTGGGCGAATTGGTGAAGGGCGAGACTTTCCCTGGCTCCAATGGGGAATTTAAGCGCGTCTTCACGGGCATCAAGCCGCTCGACACCTACCTCACCACCTTTACGCCCTTCTTCGGCATTCTCACTCACAAAGGAGATGACAGCTCTTATCTGTTTTGGTTGTGGATGATTGGGCAGTTCGGTGTGCAGTGGATCTTGTTCGTCATGGAGAGTCTCAGGGAGGGAAATAAAGGCAGTATTGCCAGCTAGTATGTCCCCCCAACCAGCATCTGCTCAAGCAGCCTCGAACCACACTAACCCCACCAGCATCGGCCTCGTCGGCTTCATGTTCCAAAACTTCGGCCTCGCAACAGTCATCCCCGCCTTCCTCCTCATCAGCACCCTCACCTCGACCATCTCTCGCGCCTCCTCCCCCACCGGACTCATGAACCTCATCAAAGTCCATGGAATCGACCTCAACATCCTACCCTTTTCCTTCTTCCTCGCCTACTTCGCCCCAACAGTCTGCATGATGTTGCCTTACCCCGCCATCAACTCCCACAGCAGCTGGCAAGGCTGGATCGCCACCTGGCAATTCTTCCCCCTCTACACCGTTACCTTTCAGTGGCTCCTTGCCAGCTTCTTCAAAGCCGTCGATCAGGGCAAGGGCTTCAAAATCAAGTCCGATGAAGGCAAGATGGTCGCGTACTTCTGGCACGCACGCCCCTTATACATCGGCGCCATCTTCATCTGCGCCGTCTTCCACGTCAACGTCCTTGCCATCTGCCTCCTCCCCGAGTGGCTCGTGGAAATTTTCCCCATCGCCGGAACCTATCGCAATGTCTCCTTCGCCTCGGTCTTCCTCCCTCCTGTCCCATTGCCGCCGTTCGAAAGCGTGAGCGTGGTGCGCAGTCTCCACACCTTCCTCATCTGGGATATGGCCGTGTCTGGCGCCGCAGCGCTCGTCTGGGCGGCGCTACAGACGCGGAATGTGAGCTCCAAGACGTTCAGCGCAAAGTGGGTGTTGAGAATGATAGGGTTCACGATTATTACGGGGCCGTCGGGGGCGTTCGTCATGGCTATGTGGGAGAGAGATTCCGCTGTTGTGGAGCTGCTTATTGAGCAGGCCATGAAGGATAAATGAGTGGCGATGTGTTGATATATAGATATAGCATTTAACGACCTAGATATTCCGCTCAGAATTGCTCCTGTGCCTTCTGTAATTCTAATGCGTCTATCCAACCACTTATATGCTTCAAATTACCCTAATATCCCCTCTCCCTATCAACCGCATTCACCAGTCCCTCACCTCTCGCCCCCCTCTCCAAATTCTCCTCCAAAACCCCTATCGTCCTCTCCAAATACCTTCCATTCCACGCACTCACATGCGGCGTAATCACCACATTCTCCAACCCCCACAACTCGCTACTCTCCGGCAACGGCTCCGGTGTCGCCACATCCAGCGCCGCACCCCTCAGTCCCCCCTCTCCAAGCGGCTTCTTCAGCGCTGCGATCAACGCATCCTGGTCTACACTCTCACCCCTCCCGATATTCAGCACGTACGCCCCGGTCCGTCCCAAAATTTCGAATTCCTCGGCACCGAGAATCTGCTTGGTGGAACCCGTTAGCGGGAGAGCGAGGAGCACGTAGTCGAGGTCTGCGCCGAGGAAGGCGTGGAGGGAAGCCTTGTCTGTTCCGCTGTGCCAGGCAACCGGGAGGGTGCCCTCGCGATCGCCGAGTGTGCCTGGGACGATGAATCCGGTGTCCCGCTTCGATTCCGGGGTGGTGCGGGGGTTGGCGGTGTAGGCGATTACCTCCATGCCCATTGCTGTGAGAACACGTGCGGCTGTGAGAGTTAGTTTGGCTTTCTACTGGTTGAAATATTCTCGAGGGGGACTTACACTGCCGCCCAATGCTCCCGTATCCCAGAATCCCAACACGCCGCCCAACGCTATCGCGGAAGCCCAAAGTGCTATCCCCCGCAGCCCTCACCCAACGTCGCTCTGACTGCCACTTGTACATGGTGCGCTGCAAGTGGCTGTCAGCGAGGATCTGGAGCGCGACCCATTCCGAGATTGGCGGACCGTGGATGCCGGAGGTGGTAGTGATGGGGATGCTGGTGGAGGTAAAGATGGGGTGCGCAGCGAGGTGGTTCACTCCGGCAGAGGTGAGCTGGATGAACTTGACGTTCTTGGTGAAGGCGGGGACGAGGCGGGCCGGGGGGAGATAGGACATCGTCGCCAGGTGGGTGGCGGATAGCCATTCATCTGAGGGATGTGTTAGTTGGGGGATTGGTGTATAGGGTAGAGGGGTCAGCTTACCGTCGCTGACATCTTCTTCTGATAGGCGTGCGATGGTGGCGGGGTCGCTGAAGGCGACGCTAGCTTGCTTGTATGTGATTTTCAGATTAGGGTATTTGACGCGGAGCGCAGCGATGTCTTGCTTTGGCTCTGGAACGCCCCATACAACAAGGAGGTGTCCTTCAATTGGTGTTTCGCCGCCCATGGTGGTGGTTGGGGAATTAATGGGGTCGGGGTATGGTTGCAGATGAGGGGACGGGGTGAGGGGTCGTGTGGGGTATTTATGTTCCTAGGTCAGAACGCTTAAGAGGCGGGGTCGACTGAGACAAATCAGCGGGTTGAAGAAGTTAGGGGCATCGTTGACGTTTTATACCTCTAGATGGCGAGCTTATATTAGTCCTCCCGTTGTATACTGTGGTAAACCAGGAACGGCAGTTGTTACCTGCCTGTGTTGGTGATTATCAATCTGGAGGGGTCAATGTGTCTCCAATGGCCATAATAGTGGGGAACTGGTTGAGCTCCGCTGCCGTGGGTCAATCACGATAAGCTGACATCGGGGTCCCAAGAAATCCGTCGGTCCAAATACGACTTTATCCACGATCATCCTCCTCTATTCTCATCCAAGTGGAGCTATTCATGCCGCCTCGCCGGCCGGGCACTCGTATCTCCCGTATCTCCGCATTTCAGTACAGTCAGATCCGGACCTAAGCGGTGAGTGATAATTTCATGTTGTGTTGCGTTCCTCTGATCTCCTGTTTGCTCACGACTATCGATTGGGACAAGTTGGAGTTAAACTATAAGCACCTTCAGAGTATCACAGCGGATCTCGGCATAATGCCCGAAAAATTAAGACACATACAAGGTTCTGGGCTAGTAAGATGTCAGCGACTGCGCTACAGGAAATCGCCGAGGCCTGCCACAGGCAGGGAAAGTGCCGCCAAGCTCGTCCGGCCGCTTTGGCCGCTCTGCTGGGCAACTGTCCGATATTTGTTCTGCTTCAAAAATCACTTTTAGGATTCTACAAAATTCCTATATATTGCCCTGGACTATAGCATATGCGCGTCCTTTCTGCTGGCTCTTAGCTGATGGCGTAAGCTGACCGCACGTGATTTAGGATCTTGGATTTAGTCTAATGGTGCCATAAAGGCCCATCCTTCAAATCATCATCATCAATATCTCCACAGCCTTGTCCATTATTATCATATAAATCTACATCTCTTCTCAAAATGGCTCCTCTCAAGTATGTCGCCCTCGGCAGCTCCGTCGCGGCCGGCCCAGGTATCCCGCCCATTACCAACCGGTTTGCACAGCGCTCTGCGAACAACTATCCCAACATCCTCGCCAAAAAACTGGGCGCCGAGCTTACTGATCTTTCCGTCTCGGGTGCCACTCTAAAAAACATACTGTCTGTGCCCCAAACGTACTTCTATTTAATCAGCTTCGAGCCGCAGATAAAAGGCATCCCTGCTGATGCCGACATTGTTACCATCTCTGCTGGCGGGAATGATATTGGCTACATCACCGGTATCATGCGAGACACCTGGAGTACAACATTTTCAGGCCGTCTCCTTACGGGGTTGCTGCCTACCGCGGAAGACCTGAGCAGCCAGGACGTTGCTGACCGCTTCACGGCTATTATTGACGAGATCCGCAAGATCGCGCCCAAGGCTCTCATCGTTCTGGTCGAGTATCCAACGGTGTTTGGATCGGATGAGCCGATTCAAGATATCCCTCTGGATAAAGAACGCATCCGTCATCATCGGAGTGTTGCAGATTCCCTTGAAAGGGCATATCAGTTAGCGGCCAAAGCTCGTCCGGGCGTGAAGCTCATTTCTGTGGGCGAGCTTAGTCGTGAACATGCAGTGGGATCGAAGGAGCCGTGGGTCAGCCGGAATGTAGGAACATTTGGGTTCCACCCTAATTTGGAGGGCATGCAGGCGGTGGCAGATATGGTTTATCAGGAATTGAAGACTGAGAATCTCGTATAAGACTGGGAATATTTGCTTTGTTACGTTTGTTCTTATGATAAACACTGGGGGTCCGGTTCACTTACTAAGTTGCAATTGTCCCTATGCATTTACTAGTCTTTGATACCATGAATAAGAGACTGCAAATGTGCGAAACCAAGTCTGAGTAGATGAAACCAAGGTTCAATACCCCGCAAAGGAGGGGGTGTTGGGATAGAAAAGAGGGGCCTTTAAGGGTTCGAGTCAATCCTTCCCCAGAGTAAATGTGGTCTGACCCATCAAATTTATGTTTTAAGCCTACTGCCTCAGAAACAAACGTGTCGGGCTCTACCAATCGCCAGGCCCTAGCTCCGGACAAACCGGTTTCGGGGAGATAGGTTGTTAAGAAGAAACTTATTCGGCTCAAATGGAGAATAATTTAGGCAAAAGATGCTAGATGCACGCAGCGGCGCAAATATCGAGGAGATTTGGGGGCGGTTTCGTGTCTATAATAGGGTTATCTCTTAATCCTATATAACGGCTTTAAGACACGATTTTTCGAGGTTGAGTTCTCCGAAATCTACTATTATCTAATTCCTCAAATATGTGGTTCTCAACGTTCCGTCTTGTTGTCTATGTGATACTGTTTGGCATTGGGCAGGTCTTTGCTCAATTTTTCGTGTGGGAACCGCCGATCTACAACTCAACCTTCGAACAGTATATATATCATACAAATCCAAGCCTGGGAACATTTCAACAACGATATTGGTATAATTCTGAGTTCTGGGGTGGTCAGGGTTCACTTGTAAGCACATTTCGTGTCCCTATTCATACGCCCGTTGAGATCTTACGAAATGAGCCAATTAAAAAAACTACAGCTAAACCACACAGGTAATTTTTATCAATGGTCCAGAATTAGACGCCAGTATTACGGCATCTGATGTGGGCAATGGGAGCTTTTGGTTTGTCTACGCACAGGAGGTCAAGGCGGCCATCATTCTGGTAGAACGTAAGTTATCGGAGGTAACGTGGGGATGTCCACGTTACCTCCTTTCACGGGCCTATAAGAGTTAACGGTATTGGAAAATAGACAGGTATTGGGGAGAGTCCTCTCCGTATGAGGTGCTGGATGCAGAGGCATTTAAGTATCTGACCGTCGAGCAAACCATCGCCGATTATACTCACTTTGCCCGGACGGTTAAGCTGCCCTTTGATACGGATGCTTCGAGCAATGCCCCACAAGCGGTATGTATCAACCTCCTGCGACGTATAGAGCATCAAGCTCTTCTTAGGAACCACATAAATTACTGATATTTCTCGTTACCTGTAGCCATGGGTATCCGTTGGTTGCTCGTATCCGGGGATGCTTGCAGCCTGGACAAGCCGCCTTGACCCTGGAACTTTTTGGGCATATCATGCAATGAGTGCTCCTTCCCAAGCTAACATCGAGTATTGGGAGTACTACGATCTTATTCGTACAGCCATGCCCCAGAATTGCAGTCGGGATTTGGTGCGTATTGCACAACATGTTGGTGATACAATTACCACGGGCGACCCTATCAAGGTTGCTGATCTAAAAGATATGTTTAGCACAGGAGCTCTGAATTATGATGATTTTGCAAGGTCTGTATACGGAACATCTTGCTCCTCAGATCTCGACATGGAATGGCTCGCTGACTCCATCCAGGGCCTTGGTATTTGGCCTAGATAACTGGCAAATAGAGATGTTCTCCAATGTGGGCACTACCTCTCTGTTTCTACATATGTGCGACGCAATAGAAGGCGCGGTGGACGGTGTTCCAGGTTCCGCCATACCTGAAGAAGGGGTTGGACTTGAAAAGGCACTTCCAAATTTCGCCTCGTGGTTTAAAACTGATTTTATTGCCAACCGTGAGTAATTGGACCCTATAGCCACTGAGTCTACTTTCTTTATAATATTTATTAATAACAACCCGTCTAGGTTGCATGGGTGCAGTCTTGTTTAGCAATACCGATAACCTTACTCTCTACGAAGATTGGCTCTCTCCTAACTCTGCCTTGACTGGACGCTCAATGCAACAAGCTCGAGCGTCATAGACCTAAGTCCAAAGAGTCCTCGTGACCGCCGGTACTGGTGGCTTACATGCAATGAACCCACGTTATGGACTTTCCAAGTGTAAGTTCGAAATGAGATCCATTGCCTTTGATACCCTCCCTTGCAACCAGTCACTAATTGTGCCGGGCTTTCTCTCATGCAGTGCACCCCCCAACAATCGGCCGTCCCTCATTTCTCGCACCATCACAACAGATTATGCCGCGGGAATCTGCAGTCGCCTCTTCCCAGGCGACAAGGGATACAAATACGGTCTTGCTAATGGCCGTACCACCGAGACGGTGAACGCACATACGGGCGGGTGGGATTACACCAACTCAACACGTCTCATGTGGTCTAATGGATAAGAAAGCACCATCACTTCCAGCAGCATTACAGTTCTGCTTCACTCCGAACTGCACACCAGCTGACCCAAGGCACAGAGAATTGGATCAGTGGGGAACGAGAGGTGTATCCAGCAAATTTTGGCCGGGTGGTCCCCTTCAGTCAACCGAGGAGGTGCCCGTATTCGTCATTCCTGGTGGGCATCACTGCTCAGATACGTCTTGAGCCAGAGCATGAATCCAGGGGTGAAGGCGGTACAGGAGGCAGAGATCGCCTATGTTAAGAAGTGGGTAGCTGAGTTTTATGAGCAGAAGAGCTGCACCTAATTTAGGGGCAGGTAGAGATAGGATCTAATCCACGGTTTTTAATTATCGATATTAGTTAAAGGGAGCTTGGAAGTGTGCAATTTATTCTAAATAGTTAGGGACGGTGGTTGAGATAATGGTGATAGTCTTCTGGTTGTCTATCAAGGAATAATAATTTAATTAATATCGTTTAATTTTTTGGAGGAATAGCAGAGAAGTTTCTTAACATTAATTGGTGAAATAATACGAGGAGGGGGTTGATGATTATCATATTAGTCCCGTTCGATAATTCATCAGTAAAGGAAGGACCGACCAAAAGCCCAAATAAGCAAGAACGACGAGGAGACACGAGGAAGAAGCGACTAAAACCCCAAATAAGCAACAACGATGAGAGCACAGGAGGAAGGAGCGACTAGATTCCCAACTCAGTACGAACGACGAAACGACACGAAGAAGGAGCGACCGTAATCTCAAATAAGCAAGAACGACCGAGAAAACACGAGGAAAGAACTGATCACTTACTTATATGGAAGGAACGAGGGAGGAAAGATTACTGTTAGTGCAAAGTAAGTACGTAAAATCCTGGTATTGCAAGCTGCATATCATAACCACTTAACTAGCGAATGTTATAATAATCCACACTTCCCATAGATTCTGCCAAACAGCGCATTATCAAGGTAGATCAGCACTGACTTTGTCTATTTGTCCACTCCGTGGCCGCCACCTTTGGGTACCCCTCAATAATAGGGTCTCCAATATTAACCCCACCACCTCCGATGAATCCGGCTCTAGCCGCCCGTATCCCCCATCTTTAGGGACTGACCGATCTAGGATGAATTCTTCATTGGTGAAATTCATGAGATGATATGGCGAGGGGAGTGGTGGCTATGAGAAGCGCGAGATCGATATCACATCCCGCATTTAGACTCCATGAAAGCGTCTTCTACCAAGCACTCTGACGCGTATATGTATAGCTCTATGTATAGCTCTTATATCGAAGTCTGTATAAACGCCCCATCTCCATCCCTACCTCACATTCCCGACTGCTTCGCGGCCATAGCATCATGCTCGATGATGTCCGTCGCCTCCCACGGGTAGCAGATCCAGACATCGCCCACCGTCCTGGCAGCCAAGTAACGATCATCCTTCAGCAGCTCCTCTGGCAGCTTGCCCTTCTTCTCCTTCTCCTTGTTCTGTTTTTCATTAGCACCCGCCTCCATGTCAGCCTACGAAACTAGGAGCACTTACGTGTAGCACGAAGATCGAGAATGTAGTCTCGCCCTCGATTCCCAGCCTTTGCCTCGCGGCCTCGACATCCTTCTCGAGCTCCTTAACGGCATACTCGAGCGTAGTCCTGGTATCATCGACCTCATCCACAATCAAGATCCTCTTTCCGATCAAGTTCGACATCTCTCCCAAACTCGACAGATCCAACCACTGTGTCCTCGTCACCTTCGTACCCAACTGCTCGACATCACCAGGAGTCGAGGTCCCAGGAGTAGTTGAGGGCAGCTCCTCGTAGAGAGACAGCCCGATGGCCTGGATAGGGATGTTGGGCGATCCGGATTTCTTGAGGAAGGAGCGCAGCATGCGCGCGGGCACGTAGCCGCCGCCACCGATGGCGATCATGAGTTGTGGTTTGAACTCATTGAGAATCTTGGGCGCAGCTTCCTGGCAGAGCTGGTGGATCTGGCGGGGGGGTCAAGGTCAGCGGGATGGCGGGGTAAAGAGGAGTGGAAAAAACAGATGGGTGGGCTTACCTCGTTGTATGTGAGGTAGACTTTTTCGATGGCCATCGTTGCGGTTAGTTGGGCAGTGATGGGAGGGGGTTTATAGCAGTTCCTGACTGAGGGTATCGTGAGAAATATTAGTTCAGAAATATTTCCTCGTCAGTGGCTTGAGAAGGCGGGAACGCCAAGACCTTTGGCACTATTAGACTTTTAAGAGCGATACGATACCCCACCATCTCGCCTATTGGCCCTAATCGATAAGAAATTTTGGGTCGATAAGGCACTTGTCCGCGCCGAGGCTAGTTTCAAGTCGACATCAATGATTGGAGGAACTGATCAAGATGAAGAATAGTCTCATATTATATCTACATGGAATGGCTTGCGTACACCAAGGAATTATCAAATTTGGGGAGTAATTCCAATTCATTTGTGGTAAATCAAATAAAAACAACCATACATTCCCCACCTCATCAGAATAGAAACAACCATGCATCCCCCGCACCATCCAAACTATCACCGCCCCCACATTGCTCTCTCATATATGATATTGCCATCGCCGAGCCGCCCAGACAACTCCGTACGAGGATCGGTGATGTGAAATGAGCATCACAGAGCGGAGGGCCGTAAATATCCGTTCACTTCGCGCAGGTTCCGCATCCGCAGCCGGAGCAGCTGCATCCTGTCTCGCAGGTGCCTGGATATTATCAGGTAAGTGACTACGGCAGGTAAGAGTGAAGCTACTCACAGGCAGCAGCGCAAGAGCAGCCAGGCATGATGACGATTAAAGGTTTAAAGGTTTTTGGGGTTTGGTGGTGTGTGTTGGGTTTGTATTGAGTGTGAGTGTTGATATCGAAGAGCTTTGGTATTCTCATCTAGATCGATGGAACCCTCAAGCTTTATATACACCACAGCTCAACTTGAGAAGGTGTGCCCACCATCATCAACCAGCCCGTAAACAAGGCAACCTATCACTTTGACGCCCTAGTTCTTCCGTAGGATGCCCATGGGGGGGTCATAAGATGCCAAGCGCAACGTGGGATAAAAAGGAAAGTCATAACGCCAGTGCTGCCGGGTGTTCCCAATGCGGAAATCCGGGCAGCCACACTTTCAGCTTTCCCACACTTTACGTTTGTTGGCTTGAAGCGTGTGGACCTGTTACAAACGAGTTCCATATATGATTGTGCCACAGTGAAGTTGTACAGCAGTCTCTTGTTTCGACCCACTTATTGAAGCGGAATGTGGCTATTGAAAGCGGGCGTATCCGGTGGAAGCACATCAAGAAAGGTGGGGGGGGGGATTGTGAAGCTATTTGAAAATGAAATATCGCCTAGATATTTGCAGTACACCCTCCTGAAGTCCCTAAGAATAAGACCCTCTAGACCTCTAGCCCGTTGGCCGATGCCGGGTGAAGCTGTGCCTCTGAGTTTCCGTGTTATCAGTCCAACCAGAGATCGGTTCTGTTGCTAGAAATGAGAACCTCGAAATCCTTGCAAGACATGGTGTGTAAATTAAGGTTTCAGCATGTGGTTTCTGTTCCCGCACCGACTGATGGCCCAACTATAACAGTGAAAGACCCCCATGTGAGCTTTTCATCGAGGCGTAGAGTGTCCTTTACGTATCGTGATTACCAAAAAGACTCCACGCTCTCCCCGGCGTGAAGTGTGTAGCTTCATGTAGCCTTGTAGTAGTTGCGTAACTTGGACCCTCTTGTAAGATTTTATATATCTTCACTCACTCCAATCAGAGAAGGACTGTGCCATCGGTCGATCGAGTGAAATAACCCCACGCCGTGGTTAGACGTCCCCCCATGTGTTGGTTGCTGCGTGGTCACGTTACACAATAGAGCCGAGGGTCCGGTTCCTTGGATGCACTGCCACTGTGCTTTATGGAATCTACCGCCCTGGGCTGGCTGCAACTGGCTAAAGTTTGATGCTGGGGATAAGCCGAGCTTGGCCGTACCTCCATATACCTCTAGCTAGTAATGAGACCCAGACTAAGGGCGGTAGATGCCATATATAACGTAGCACGGTTGAACGACAGGGTCACCTGCAGGACTCGTAAGTAGTGAAGTGGTGAGGGGGTGTGAGAGCAGAGGAGGGGGGTCGAGGAAGGTTGGTTTCATACTAAGCGTCGTCAGTCACGTATCACCACACCCTCCGGTAAATATCACATACTTTCGGATAACAAAAGAAGATCAGCGCGGTAGCTACCGTTGGCCACTTTGCTTACAAGTTCGAAAACGCCTCGTGCATCCTTCAGGTTGACACAGCTTTACGGTTTGAAGCCTGAGTGGTGGAGATGAAGGTGGGGGGAGGGGCGGCGTCGTTGGAGACTAAAAGCAGCACAAAAGGCTCATCCATGTCTGACAATCATCGTATGCCCCCATAAACCTCAACAAATGATTATTTGGCAGGTAGGCGATTAGTGTTTGAATTCCATAACAAATGCATTCCCGGGCAGCTCTTACTATTCAAAGCATCAAAGCATCAAGGGCATCTTCTCAGACGCTCAAGTGGGGTCGTACCTTCCTTAGCTTCCTTGTTGCCGCTGTCTTCTGATACCCCCGCCCCCACCGTAAAGTGAGCTGATATGAGCAAAACTGAGGGCAGGCGCGATCATTCATTGGCTAGAGGGGGTTAAATAAACACCCCGCCTACACTCCAGTTGTCGTGCTTGGAGACTATAGAAAGGCCTCGACAACCCAGCACCTTTCGTGCCTCTTTAACACCAACAACATCCAAACCTACAATCAAATCAAACAAACACCAACTCCAAAAACCAACCAAACCAACCAAACCTCCAAATCAATCATCATGGGTGACTGTGGATGCTCCGGCTCTTCTTCCTGTAAGTTTCCACAGCTTCCGTCGGCATTTGACTCCTCAACCCCACTCCAATGACCCCGCTGTCAGATGAAATGATGCCCGAGATCACAATCATGACTAGCTAGCACGTAACTAACACACGCAACCACAGGCAACTGCGGAAGCAGCTGCTCCTGCGCCTCGTGCGGAAAATAAACCCCTCTGGCTGCCCAACCTCCACACCTCGATCTCACACCCACTTCACACACACCATGCGGCACTTGCGCGATGGGACGGTTTGACAAAAGCGGATGGAGCTACGACGGAAGGGGGGGCTGGAACGGAGAGGCTGAGGATGGCGAGATGATATGCTGATGAGTTGCTGGTTTTGACGAATGGGGGTGGGCGGTTTGATTCTGAGAACTACATTGCTTTCAACGACGACTGCGATCAACGTTCGCAATACAATGACTACGTACCAATGCTACTTCGATGACTGACATTTGTCTGATGTGAATTCTTGATCCATTTGCTCGCATATTTAAGCAAGGTAGTCTAAACCGCGCAAACAAAAACCTGCATCCATCAGTCCGTGCCAGGCGTCCGATGTAGACCCTTCCTTTATTCACATAGGCGGGTATAGCATCGTAATCCGTACAGATATTAATACTAGCGCCCTCTATCCGTATCATCATGATTAAACACGAACTTCCCTCCCATCGCCAGACTCCCGTTATGCCCTGCCCACACGCCAAACTCGGGTCGTATATTACATTATGGCCATTAAATTATGGCCCCTGCCAGCTCTCCTAAACATCACCCGTCCCATCCCCTAGCAACCGCGCAATCAACACATACGTGAAGATCACCGCGCCAGCAACCAACAACTTATTCCTCGCAATCCAGCTCTGTCCCACCTCCCTCGCAACCTGCCCCCCATGAACCGCAGCCCCAATCGTAGCCGCGCTCCCACTCGGCCGCCTCCCAAACGCTGCCGCCTGGGGTGAGCACACCGGCGCATTCGGGTCCGGCATGCGGTCCCCTGTCGCGGGGTTAATCCTGTTCTCCTCCATCCACTTCCAGTTCTCCTTATCCAGCTCGGGCCACTCGGATCTGAACTTCGCGCCGCCGTCGCCGGCTTTGATGGCGCCGTTGCCCTTGGGCACAGGCATGCCGGGGAGGAGTCGGGTGGAGGAGCCGCCGCCGGTTGAGTTCCACCAGCGGGTGCGGGCGGTGGTCCATTTGCGCTCGGCTTCTGTGGCGGCGACGGAGCCGGTGGTCATTTCTTCGGAGGTCATGAAGGAGAGGAGGCCGATGAGGATGGTGGAGACTTCCCAGGCGGGGTTGAAGGATTTGGGGTGGAAGTCGGAGATGGATAGGCATAGCCGGGTTGAGGATTGGAAGCGTCCTGAGGGTGTGTGCATGCGGATCGCAGGCGGCGCAAAGGGGTAGTCCGGTGGGAAGATCAGTGTGCCCCAGTACTGTCCGTTATAGTAGGGTGTCTTCTCTGGCCCGGTGATTATGTAGTGCCATCTGCGCCATGTTAGTTTGATATGGTGGTCCAAAGAGTCTGAGACATACTCGAGGATGTTGGACTCGGAGGGATGCGCAACAATGTATGGCGGCGGGTTCTCGGATATCGTCTTATATTCCTTTGTTAACTAGAATGGTCAGCATGTTCTCACGAGTAGTTCAGTTGGAGTGACAAACCCGTTTGTTGGCTGCGCGGCTGGCCATATTGAGGCCGGGGGGACGATGACGAGGTGGGGGTTTTGAGTCGTACTTTCTGTGAAACTTTTCTGCGCAGAACGGTCCACCAGGGTGCAGGCGATTATTAATGTAAAAGAGAATGGTCGGATCCAGGAGGTCTATTGTAACAAAGATTGCCGGGTCGAAAATACGTCCCAGTTCTGGCCACCTGAGGTGACTTTCACAAGATGAAGCCAATCGGCTGATTACGTAAGCTCAACTGACTCCAATTTATCTGTCACCCTGGTTGTTGACGTCTAACAGAGTCATGGCATACCCGGATAGTGAAGGCGAGGTGAGTCGAACTCTACATGTAGGCACAGAAAGATTCACTGACTTGACAATTAGGTCTTCGCGGCCCTAAATCGCGACATCGACCCAAAGGTGCTCGAGGAGCGGGAGAAGGCAGTTCAAGAACGGGTTCAGGCGCAATATGCAAAGGCACAACAAAGATTGCAAGATTTAGTGAGTCACCAGTGTTGGAAGAAGAGTCGAGAACGAAGCTCATGATAATAGATTTCTTCCAATTCTACTCTTCCAGTTACCATCTCATCCATCCGCGTTATTGGAGCTACGAATACCAGGAAAAGCTTCCTCGATCGGCTATTCGCTCCTATACTGAGCGCAAACAATGACAGGCCATATACTCTACAGGAGGCCTTGCAGCTAGCGGGTACAAGTGCTGACAAGCTGCGAAGATTTGGTGAGCACCTTGCCTTGGGTTATAGCGAGATTGTACTAACAACACAGACATTTACCATGAGGGTGTTTCCATGTTTATCGACAAGCCCGACTCCACCGACCCGTTATCAACGACATCCGACATTGATATCTTCCTTGCGGTGAAGGAGAAGGGAAGGATTGCTTTGAAGACCGGAACGGACCTTGGAAATACAGAGGGTTCGGCATACGGCAACCTTCTCCTGCGAAACATCTTCGGTGGAGCCGAATCTCTTAATATCAACGCCTCCGCTGGCACAAGGACAAGGTCGTCATATACCGCAACCTTCGACACACCGATTCTGAGTGATCCTGATATTCGGTTTTCGCTGGACGGTTTTGCAAGCTCGACTCAGAAGCAGTGGGCTAGTCACGAAGAAGTTCTCAAGGGTGGTAACGCCAGGGTCAGATGGGCCGACGGTCAGAGCAGGCACGAAGTAGCGTACACAGGGGCATGGCGACAGATCACTGCTCTAGCGGCAAATGCATCTCCATCCGTACGACACGATGCTGGCGATAGCGTTAAGAGCAGCATCACGCACACCTGGTTCAAAGAGAGACGGAACCACCCTTTCCTACCAACAAGCGGCTACTTCATGCGAACAGTTTCTGAGCTAGCTGGTTGGGGGCCGCTGCAAGGAGATGTGGCATTCTTGAAATCCGAAGTCGAAACGTCTGGAGCTGTCGCTATTCCGCTGCCTGGGAAGGAGGATAGTGGTATCACGTTAACTGGAGGTCTTCGCGCTGGTTTACTGTACCCGTTGCCAATCGGTACGGGTTCTACACCACAGGCATCCCGCATCAACGACAGGTTTCAGCTCGGAGGCCCAACTGATGTTCGCGGATTCAAGATTGGTGGCTTAGGGCCAAGAGATGGCCCCGATTCTGTCGGAGGGGACGTCTTCGCTGCTGGCTCTGTGAACCTACTCTTCCCCTTTCCAAGGGTCGGAAAGGATACCCCACTGAGACTGCAGGTCTTTGCGAATGGCGGCAGACTCCTGGCATTACAGCAAACGAAGGGATCTACGTCGAACAGTGTCACTTCGACAATTGCGAAGCTGGCAGAAGGCCTGCCCAGTTTGGCGGCGGGAGTTGGCATCGTCTATGCGCACCCAGCGGCGAGGTTTGAGCTCAACTTCAGCTTGCCTCTAGTCCTCAGGAGGGGAGAGGAGGGGAGAAAGGGGCTCCAGTTCGGAGTCGGTATCAACTTTTTGTAGGTCTACCTGTATGATATTACGATGCTTGGAAAGCTTCATTTTTGAGGCTGAGGGTTGCCAAGCTAGAATGGGACCGTTGGTGGATCTTGGGCTCATTTGTATACAAAATCTCCTAATCTTAGAAATCTCTGGGCGGGACGGAAATGTCTTGGTTGCGTTGACCACAATATTTGGCAAGGACAGTACCTGGATTTGTCAAATTTTTGATGGCAATGAAGAGAGGGAATGAAACTTTAGAACTTTCTCCAATAAAGGCGAAATATCCAGCGTTAATAGCGTTCATTAAAAATGGTGGAAATGAGAGTCAGCCTTTGATTGAATTATGGCCTTGTGAAGCTGAGAAGAAAGGGGCAGGGGCAATGCGAATACGACAGAAATCCCACATCACGTGTTTTAAGTGTGTTACGTAACCAATTATAGTTGGGAGTTGGCAGGAATCCGAATACGCAGTGACCATGGCAAAACCAGCTTATCCCGATTGGGACTATTGTAAACCGCAGCAACGAAACTTATATAACTTCAAGGGTACCCAACCAGACCAAATTGATTTATCACCGTTACGTCTCTTACTACCATACATCTGACCGCCGTTCTCTCAGTAGAACACAGCCGCAATAATGGCTTCCGGAATCATCTCTAACCTCACCAACCCTCTTATCACCGACCATCCTTACTACCCCATTGAGGTCGAGATTGCCTCATACCTCGCGAACGAATGGTCTGTCCCAGTGCTTCTCGCAGCATTCGGCGGCGTCTGCGCAACGGTACTGCTCATCGCGCAGATTGTCGTCGATAAGTTGCACCCAAACCTTCGCACCTCAGAGAAAATCACCATCTGGTGGTTCATTCTTTGTATGTGCCCCCCCCCAACTCTCATGCTGGGCCCACAAGCTAACGATCGCAGCTGGATGCATCCACCTCTTCTTCGAAGGTACGAAATTATATTACAATGTATGAGGAAGATAATTGACAATCGCAGGGTACTTCTCCGTCAACCACACCCTGATGGGCCCAAAACAAGATCTCTTCGGACAGCTCTGGAAGGAGTACTCCCTCTCCGACTCGCGCTACCTGACCTCTGACCCCTTTGTCCTCTGCATGGAGACCATCACTGCTGTATGCCTCCATTCCCTGCCCCTATCATTCACCGCTGACCATCCTCGCAGTTCCTTTGGGGCCCCCTCTGCTTCATCATCGCCGGATTTATCACAACCTCGCATCCCCTGCGCCACCCCCTCCAGATCATAGTCTCTACCGGCCAGATCTACGGCTGCATTCTGTACTATGCCACCAGCATGTTCGACCACTACTATAAGGGTGTCGTGTACAGCCGCCCCGAGTTCCTGTACTTCTGGTGCTACTACTTCCTCATGAACTTCTTCTGGATCATGATCCCATCGAGTACGTATTTTCTTTCCTTGCTTCGGAGAGCATAATGCTGATATGATATAATGTAGCTCTCGTCGTTAGCAGTGTCAACCAAATCGCGAATGCCTTCAGGACACTCGACACTATCTCCGCCAAGGCAAACAAGGGCAAGAAGGGACAATAAGCCTCCATAGAGGTATAGGATAGCCATGCTACAACGACTGCCAAGGCAGCAGCGGCGTCCGCATTGTGTGCGAAAGAACTGGGAAGGAAAAGTGTTTGGCAACGAATACATGTACGGCATACCGTGGTTTCGGTAGCCGCGCCACGCAGCTTGTATATACCACGGCGCTGGAGCGATATATAAATATAGGTTTAATAGACAGTCTGTAGAAATTTTAGAATTATAATCCTATTTTCCCCAGCGCCTTTGAACCTCACCGAAACTAATCTTGATGAATAGTCTATAGCCATACATTTTTGATCCGATTAACAAACTCCCCCACCCATACATTACCGAGTCAAAAGTCCTGCAAAACGGCTTGTGGTATATTGCTCCTGTGCTAACGCCTGCGTCATCTCTTAAAATGGAATGTGTCGTCCATATCCTCAAGAGCCCCGAATGTGGTAATCGTTGGCTCATTATCCATAATCTGCCTCGCTGTTGCCTTCCCCTTCTCAGCAGGAACAAGAACAAGCGGGCTCTCCTCCAACTGTCCATATATATCCACTGCCTTCTCTTTAGCATCTTTCCAAGGCAGGTCCACGTCTGTAGCCCCTGTCTCGGAAATGGACGCCAGGATACAATCATGTGTGTCGCTAAAGAACAATGCGGGGGAGCCGGAGTCAGATGTCCTCAACCAACGGATCACGGCCTTCCCCATGATTTTTCCCTCGGGTAGCTGGGTGCCGAAATTAACAATTTTTGGCTCCTCCCAGGATGGCTCCCAGATGTATGCAACTCCTTTCGACTCCTCGCCCTCGCAGCGGATTATGAGGACCTCATTGATTGTTGGATGCCATGTAGCCTTGGCAATGGGCGAATGCTGGATCAGGACAGCTTTGAGGATTTTTGATGAGGAGTCCCAGATGAATACTGTCGTTGGTAGATTCTCGCACCGGGAGGCTATGAGTGTGCCTGATGCATCAATGGCGATACTTACAATTCCAGATTTGGTTTCCGGCACGGGTGTCGACGAAGCCGCCGTCGGTGGACAAGTCACCTGTGTCTGGACGTTATAGGAGCGGTCAAGACCAGACGGGGTGGCCTTTAATTTTTCCTGCCATATATGTATGCCGTCTGGTCTTATTGTTGTGGAATGGTCGAGCCTCATTGCCTCGGAGAAGTTTGCCATAGATAATATAGTCACCCTCTGGCTGTAGTCTCCTACTGCGAGCTGTCGCCCGTCAACGCTCCATTCGATTGTCTTCACCCCAGCTCCACAATCTATATCCTTTTCATCTGCGGTTGGCCGTGGGCCCGTCCAGGCCTTAAATAAATGCCCATCAGCCGTGTAGAACAGTATCCTATGGCCTTGAGCAGCTGACTCAATCACGGCCAGCCATTTGCCATCTGGACTCCAACTCAACGCCTGCGCATCGATTGTATCAGGGTTCCATGATCGGAATACCTTGTATGTTTCTTTAGAATGTAGACTAATCACATCCTTTCCAGAGCCTCGAGATAGTAAGGCGAGTTGTTGGGTTCTGGGTCGGTATCCATAGCCTTTCGCAGCGTTGCCTGGAAGAAACAACTTAGGCGCTGGAATATCTATCGACGTGCTAGTCGCGAGATTGAATATTGTGAGCTTCAGCCCGAAGTCTGAGAAAACAAGAACTTCATCGTGGGAGGCGCCAAACGATATGTAGACCGCCTTGGTTGTTTCAGACGTTGGCGATGCGATTGTAGCTGAATATTGGGGGGTGACGGCAGAGAAAACGCGGATCGTGTTATCAGATGAAAGAAGGATTCGTTGTGACGAAGGTGACCAAAGAAAGTTCGATATCGACGTTGAGAAGGCAGCGGGTAGGGGTATTGCGCGCGTAGCTTGAAGGGATCGCGTTGTGCGAATGATTAGTTTCGCCTGGATTATTGTTGCAATATATGCGCCATCAGGACTCGGAAGACAATGCGCTGAAGCTGTAATTGTGTTACAAATCTTGTCATCAGCTGTGGGACATGGTGCTTACATTTCAGCGGCCGCGAGAACTGCATTTCAGAAACAGCCAGCAATCGACAGTCGCGAGAGAAAGTGTAGCTTTGTCGCGGCGTGCTGATAAACAATGACCCCGCGATAGGCTGTCGGCGTATTGGGCTCCAAATGCCGATGCCCGCCACCAAAGGCGGTGGAATCCTACGCTATGCGGAGCAACCCGCCTCTCCCCAAGCTTAGCTTCCCCTCGTTTTAGTAATCAGTCACAAGGCATAGGTTCTCCTTGACATCTCCGGCCATATTTATTTCTCGTCAACTACGTTCAGTCTAATTTACTTTGACAATGTTTGTTTCATAGATCTCTTCCAATATTCCTGGCCTTCAAGCAAGCTGAGGAATCATGGCCGTGGAGAAATATGCTCGGCGCTCTGGTGTGGCGTTGATGCGCTCAAGCTGGAGGCCTCATCTGCAACCACCATTCTACTCCATTACAGCAGCTTCTTACCACAAATCAGCTCCGCAGCGAGAATCAGCTGCGCCCATCCTCGGATCCCCAACTCCGGAACGCATCCCAACCCACCCAGTCGACGCTCCAGAATCTCCGCAAAAGTTCAAGCCGTCACGCTTTAAACGCATTCAAGAGGCGGCGCCTTTCTCCTCCTTTCTTACCGACACCTTCTATCGCCAACATGACTACCTCCGAATCTCTATTACCGAAAAATGCAACCTCCGGTGCCTCTACTGTATGCCTGAAGAGGGTGTCCCACAGTCGCCACCATCACACCTGCTCACCACCCCCGAGATTGTTTTGCTATCCGAGCTCTTCGTATCTCAAGGCGTCACAAAGATACGACTCACAGGCGGCGAACCGACAGTTCGAAAAGACATCGTGCCAATGATGCAGCAAATTGGACAACTACGAGGAGCAAGGGCTGGGAGAGAGGGATTGAAAGACCTCTGCTTGACAACAAATGGGATTAGCTTGTGGAGGAAGCTAGATCCAATGGTAGAAGCAGGGCTGACTGGTATCAACCTATCCCTTGACACTCTGGATCCCTACCAGTTTCAGATCATGACGCGTCGGAAAGGCTTCGATGCAGTCCAGCGCTCTATCGACCGGATACTTGAAATGAACGCCCTGGGTGCAGGTATAAAGCTCAAGATCAACTGTGTTGTCATGCGTGGCCTCAACGACCGGGAGATACTTGATTTTGTTGAACTCGGGCGAGAGAAGGACATCGAGGTGCGTTTCATCGAATACATGCCCTTCGACGGCAATAAATGGTCGGAGGGGAAGATGCTGCCATTCCAAGAGATGCTGGACCGCATAAAAGAGAAATATCCCGGCGTGGAGAAGGTGCAGGATCACAAGAACGATACCAGTAAGACATACAGAGTTTCTGGGTTTGTGGGCAAGTTCGGATTTATTACGAGCATGACACATAACTTCTGCGGCACTTGCAATCGGCTGCGCATCACAAGCGACGGGAATCTAAAAGTCTGCCTGTTTGGCAACGATGAAGTGTCTTTACGTGACATTCTCAGGGAGAACAATTCAGGGAACCCGATAGACGAGGAAGCCTTCGAGGCAATGAAGAAGATTGAAATGGATCGAAGAGAAGGCCGAGTGGACGGTGCACTCGGCATGCTGAATAATGAAAGTAAACTGCTGGACGTCATTGGAATAGCGGTTAAGGGAAAGAAAGAGAAGCATGCCGGAATGGGAGAGCTCAAGGACATGAAGAATCGGCCGATGATATTGATAGGTGGGTGAAAGGATTTCTTGTGTCATGCATTGGGGCGGGCTGGCAATCAAGTGATTCACGGATTATGAGCGGCGACTGGCGATACGGTTCGGGGTTTTCATATCGGTACATGAGCATATACCCTTGGCCATCTACTGTGTATATATATGGGAGTGAGCATATTTTTTACTATTATCCAATTCATAACATTTAACACATTTCTCGATTCTGCCGCTTCCACGTGACGATTCTTTTCGGGGAAACTAGCGACTTCACTGCCAACTTAGATAACAGGTGAGACTTGGGTGCTAACATTGGGCAGATTCACCAGAAGTTGCAAAGTTGAATTCACCCCATGCCAATAACCATCTGAATATATGCGACATGCAGCCTACAGCTGTTTCTACTTCGACGAGGCGACATGTGCCTCTACATCTTCTCAGTAGCTTCCCTCGAACGTTTCTACGGCATTACCACGCCGGGAATAGGTTCCCAAAACTATCTCCTGTACTGTCGCCGCTTCGCGCCACAGGAAAATATAGTCAACTGGGAGACCCTGTTATAATGCGCATGATCTCTTCCACGAATTGCTTACCAGCAAAATCTTCACCCAAGTCCCCCATCCCGCCAGCCTCAGCCCCAAGACTCACACACCTAACTCCTTCCGGCAGCGCCCACATGGTGGACATTTCCGCAAAAGACCCCACCTCCCGCTCAGCAACAGCCGTCTGCTCGCTGTACTTTAGCAATGCAACGGCGGCGCAGCTGATAGCGGCGAACCAGATGAAGAAGGGCGATGTGTTGAGCGTCGCTCGGATTGCGGGGATTATGGGTGCGAAGCGTACTTCTGATCTGGTTCCGCTGTGTCATCCACTGTTTATCACACGTGTGCAGTTAGACCTGGAGCTTGTGCCTGGGGAAGTTTCTGCTGGTGATGGCGTCGGCCAGGAAAACTATGGACGTATCGATATCAAGGCAGTTGTAGACTGCGAAGGGAAGACGGGGGTGGAAATGGAAGCACTTACCGCAGCGTCGGTCGCCTCATTGACAGTGTACGATATGTGTAAGGCTGTTGATAAAGGGATGAGGGTTGAAGGATTGAGGGTAGTGAGAAAAGAAGGCGGCAAGAGTGGGACATGGGTGGAAGGGAAAGGTGTTTAATGCCATCATGTTCACAGAGAAAAAGGTTGCATGTCCGTTATTATGAATATGCAATGCATTATATGGAGCTGACAGGTAACATTGCTCTCTATGGTTCTGTTTTGCCTTGAAACTTCCAGCTCGGAATCAATAAAGCCCCACTTGTACAGTTCGAACGATTGCAAAGCAATGTGGATGTGGCAGCCGAAAAGCCTACATCTTCATATCCCATTCACATTACTTCACATCCTCGTCCTCGTCCTCATCGTCTTCCGAGTTCTCCTCTTCGTCGTCGCTCACCTCCAGCACAAACGGTGCAGGACGCGGCTCCAGGAAATAGAAACCGGAACGATGGTAACTGCCACGGGCATTTCGATCGTTCCGGTTTTTAGCCACGGATGAAGCATTGGCATCGGCCATCTCCGTTTCCATACAGTTAAGACTTCCATCCATGTCAGGGGCCTCCCAGGGCATGAATTGCGTTTGGGAATCCACAGCAGTGTCGCCCAGCCCTGTACCAGGTCCACCATCGATAGGGGAGGTTCGCCACTTCACGCCTTTTTCTTGGATGTCCACTTTGATCCTCGCCACCGGTGGCTCCAAAAAATGCCCCTGGAAACGCGACGCCTTGCTTTTGTTCTTCTTCTTTCCCTTTCCGCTCGTCGGGGCCCACTTCACGCTATTATCGCCCGCAGGTGCTCCTCCCCACAGCACCGGCTCAGCATTCTCATCTGCATTGTCCTGTTTTGGTTTTGGGATGTCCCAGCCTCCCCAGTCGATTGGTTTGGGTCCAGGCTTTGGCTGTGGCTCTCTGTGGGCGGCCTGGAGAGCCGTATATTGCGGTCCGGGAGGTGGGACGTAGTTTTGGACGTAGAGGCCCAGGCGTTCGCGTCGAAAACTGATACTGGAGTCCGAGCTGAGATAGGTGGAGTTGGTGGGCACTGGGCCTGAAGGATTTGATGTCGAAGGCCGATCTCTATTTGAGAATATATTTGTGAAGTTTGGGTCGGCACTGTGGGCGTCAGGCACCAGCGGCGGTTGACGGAACAATGATGATTTGATGCGGTATTCTGTCTGAATTAGAGAGTCCACCTCATTTAGTAAATTACTTACTGCCTGATTTTGACCTCACTGGTTTGGATCTAGAGCTATGCTGGTCGTTGGGTGCCATGGCGATGAAGTTTTGGAGTCAACTAGACTGACGCTGAGATGAAGTTTTGCTGCTCTGCAGTGTAAGAGAAATGTTTGTTGACCTTGCTGTGTCGAAAGTGGACCTCATTGTTCTGCTTCTTAACATTACGCACCAAACCGGTCACTTATCGTTGAAATGAGTATATTTGCTGTAGTTTCGTGTTCTGAAATATACCACAGTATCTAATTAGGTGAGCCGTGGGGTAAATAATAACAACAAATATATTGTAAAGGCCTGACATATATATCCCTCTAACTAATTACTTCAGTCACTAAATATATCGTCAGCATTATAATTTCCTTTACTGCTTCTTGTTCTTTCCAGTACCCTTTGCACTCGACGAGACATGGTGCTTTCTCTCTTGCCCCTTCTCCCTATCTTTGTGGGAATGTTTCTCCTCTCCTCCCTTCACCTCATTCTTGCGCGCCGATTCACGATGTTCCGACCTATCCTTCGCAACAGCAGAGGTGGATAGCCCTGCAGCCCCAGGCAGCACCAGACTGCTCCCATTGGCAATCGGAAGGCTACTTCTCCGCCTCTCCCTCTCATAGTCAGGCTCTGCAGGAGGTGACATTTCTCCTGTCTCGACAATCCCTTTTCCATTACCCTCCACACCCTGAGGCGATCCCAGCTCTTGTTCGACACCGCCTTGGCCGCCCATGCTAAATGCCGCCATCTTCACGGCCAACTCTTCCGCCCTCTCGGGTGCTCCCTCCTGGGCAAATTTGACCTTAAGCGCATGTTTCCTTCCATCCGAGCCTTTCACGCTCATCCCATCCAGGCGCTCTCGCACCAAGCGCGCCTGCTCCTCTGTCTGTAGAAGAATGAGCGCATGGCCCCTCTGTCGTCCATCCGCGTGTGATGGGATCTCGATTGCTTCGATTGGGTTTGTCGTGTGTGCGGGACAGGCGGCCAGCACGCGCTTTCGGATCTCTTTCTCACTGGAGGCGCCACTAGTGCGTGTGAGATGCAAACGCCGGTTTTCCAGGCGAATGGTGGTCGGTGGTGAGGGAGGGCCTGCCGGTTGCGAAAAGGGGGGAGATGTGAGAGCACTTGTCGCGGTGGGGTATGGCGCATATGCATACTGATATGTGGGCGTAGCGTTGGGTTGTTGGATGCCACCTTGGCCATACATCAATGGTTGCACGAAGGATGTTGTGTAAGTGGGCGAAACCTGTTGCAGTTTAGGATAGGTCCTAGAAAGGCGCGAGGACTCTTACCGGTCCAAACGAGTACTGATGCGGGCTTGCCACAGAATATCCGAGGGCGCTGGTTCCACAAGAGTATGCCTGTGTTGTGGCTATCTGCATTATCGGCTTATATGCATAAGCAAACTGAGAATTTTCGTTCATACTACTAGTCGTGGGAGCAATAGGTGCCACTGAATAAGAGCTTCGGGCAGAACGTGGGCTCTCCAGCGGGATGTACGATGAGGGACCAAGAGGCGTTTCTTGATCATAGTTTCTCATGTCAACCTGGAAGCGATTCCCATCCCATTCGGCCTGTTTGAGCCATTCTACACTGGTTAGACATCTAGCCTTCCGCAATTAGGTTGCAACCCATACCTCCGAGCCTCCAGAAGTTGTCTTCGCCGTCAACACAGATCCAGCCGGAGTGTAGGCCCGCATGGATCTGGACGTGTGCGACTTGAAAACCAGCCTGGTGTACAAAATCCTTCAATTCTTGCCAGGTTCTTTTGCGAGGGATCTTAACAGCTTGGTCAGTAGGAAACCTTGGGGGACGGTTTGCAATCCCAGCACGCAGGTAATCAAGCTTACATATCCGAGGATGATATGAAATCTCCCCGTTGACGTGCCAGGCGGTGCCATCGACATATTGAATATTAATCAACAAATGAGATCAATGATGCATATATCCAAAGCTTAGCTCGCCGGCGGAAGTGGTACAAATTTATCAAATGAACGGGAGAACTTCAAACGGAGCCCTCGTTCTACATATATCAGAGATGCCAAATCTTAGCCTGGACCGGCCCTCTTCAACATCATTCTACTACGCCCCAAAGCTAACGACTCGCGCCATCGCTTGTATTGCCGGGGCTTGTTCAAAATGGATGTACCTATATTAGAAGGCATTAATTCGGTACAACCCAGGAAAGCCCAAGCTCATGAGGCCCTCCACCCTAAACCTGATAGCAGCTGCCAGGAGCCTGGTTGGCTGGGAAAATCCTCGACAAGGAGGCACTAAACGGATGGATGTCTTGGGGCATGGCGTGCAGCTCTCCATAAAGTGGTCTGTCAACTGAGACGGAGTTGGAAACGCCACAGAATAGGAGGTCAAGGGTACAAAAGAAACGATCGCCGTCGCATATCTCATGACGAGAGAGACCTTGCATATCTATCATATTTTGCTAAGCGACTAAATCTGATATCAAGATATGGACGCATTGTCATTAGCGGCCCTGATGGCCATAAGCTAGTCAGAATTCTCTAGTCTGACATGTCCATTCATGTTGGACTGGATAGCGATTGTTTTCTTAGTGAAGGGGGACTACGCCCCAAGCACCAACCAACATATCAGTCCCCTACCGGCTATTAGAAGAACTGTGAGCAAACGCCTCGCGGCAGCTAGAATGAGGGTCGAATTAGGATTCGGCAACAGCTAACAGGTCTATATTGTGTTTCATGGGGAGCCGGGTGCCGTTCCGAGAATGCGTAAGATCAGACTACCTGAATTTAGCCCGCTTTCTCGCTGGCGGTACGTGAGTACCGACTAGACCAACCCCAAACCGGTGGGGAATCCCTGGGTCAAGATCGTCGCGGTCTCAGAACACTAGACATAATTGCATACGGCTAAGTTCCTATACTTAAGCACAGCAGCAACTCCAGTTCCCCCGCCGAAGTTGCTTCGCTCACCAAAGCCCTCCCAATCCGAACCCTAATTGCATGGGGCAATCCCAGGACACGGGTCCGCAGCTATCGCCAGCAATAGTGGACGAAATTAAGAAGCAATTCGACGAGGGCAAGATAGTGTAGCACGGGAAATGTGCATACTGTACTGTGTATGCATGCCATGGCTGTGCGTGGGCCTTTTCTCTGGATGTTCCACTGTGAATTGCGCAGTACATATGCAAAGAGTGTTCCAGATCAGGCAGATGGGGACAAGAGACGGAATCATGTCCAATCGGCCGACTGCATCATTGCCCGTATCGGTTTGGTACGTGCGTTGCAAGTACTAATGTATGGCGAATGGATTGCTTGCAAGGAACGAGTGGATCCTCGAATCTGGGGCGAATCTGGAGCGAAACTGGTGGGGACTGACAAGGAGGGTTACGATCTTGCCTGTGCATGCTCATGTCGGCCTGTCTGTATATGGAAAGATGAGGCCGCACTGCTTCCACATCAAGCCTCGGCTTTCCAGCCTGTCGTATTATATTTTCCTCGCATTTTTGCAACACACATTTCGCCAACGAATCCAACACAAAGACATTACATGTCCAACATCCAACAGCAGAGCCAACAAATGCAACCTCTGGATATATCATTTTCGGGCATTTCTCATTCCTAACAATGCAACAAAGTAGGTCCCCCAATAAACCCTACTATTGTAGATTCAAGACTTGATGCAGTGGCAATGGACGGTTTTGTCGCTCCAGGGCCGCCGATGGCATCCCTTTTCCCATATTGGCCGCCGTCAAATCCAAATCAGGAAGTGCCCTGTCTGGCGCCTGCATGGATGATCGACTGATCTCCGGCATGGGTAGCCTTGGCCCCCGCTGCAACCTCCGGGGGCGGGCGGCGCATTGACACTAACTAGGCCTAAGTCCGGGTGCGTCAATAAATCGTTCTGTGCTAGGCGTGAAGCTGCACCTCCTTGCGCGATGTGGAGCCTTTGCTGGCGTTACACAAGCTTTGCCGCGAACGCCCGCCTGTCCCGGTCCGTAAGCTACTTCTTGCCGGAACAAATCTAGCCGATGCCTTCAGCTTCGGATTATGGGCCGGTTAGTTCCACAGGCATCTTTCAATAGATTCACTCTTATCGACTGTGTTCGTATACTTACACCATTAATTACTACCAATTACAGCCTTGTGTAGGACTGTACGACTGTGCTTCCAGGCTGTCGACGGTCAAAAGAAAGGACCAGTGAAGTAAGTGGACAGGGACCTCCCGTTATATTGGTCTTATATCCAGCCGCCATAACGCTGCGATCGTCCCCAATAACAATTCTGTCGTTTTATATTGCCCAAGGCTTTGGGCACAACGAACCACTTAATTGGCGTTTCACCTAAGATATATTAAGAATATATGGGTGTAACCTAGCCACACTGCACAATGGACCCAACCTTGTACCCAGTTTGGTTTGTTTTGTTAAGGATTCGTTACATGGGGAAGTTCTAGCTCATTCATGAGCAGGGATTTGTTGACCGGCGTGCTCCAACCTGGTTATACATGCTGCAGCCCTCTTCCCACACCCACGTCGAACTTCACGGCACTTCATATGCGTTCCACTCCTGCGGTCTTACCACGGGTTACATGGTACCGCTCACATATCCATCCCTCCCTTTGACGATCCCATAGCATGGTCCACCTTTAGAGAACATCTTTCTCACATCCCCACATAGTTCCTCAGGTTTCTCCCATGCAGCAAAGTGCCCACCTGACTCATGCTCGACCTCCTGCACAACCGCCCCCACCATGCTGCCCCATGAATAAGGCATCGGCATCAGTTCCTTGGGAAAATGGGACAATCCAAATTTCGGCCCAGAGCTATAATCTCTAGCAGCCTGTATGAGGTGAATATCCCCGTTCTTTGGTTTGACATCCGTCGCCCTAGCCTCATGGTAGATACGGCTCGAGGCGGCCGGTCCGGCAGCCGAGAACCAATAGATGCTTACCCAGGTTAGGACCTCGTCATCCGTCCAGGGGTATGCATCTGTCCAGTCGTGCAGCTTCTCGTAAATCCAAGCAAGCAAGGCGACCGGGGAATCGGCTTGGGCGTAACCAATCGTCTGTGGCCTCGAGGTTTGGATTACATTATAGCCGCTCCCAGCTTGAAGGAAGGTGGAGGTTTTCGCAAGGCGCCTGCGACTTTCGGCGTAATTTGTTACGAAGTTAAACATTACCTGAAGGGTGGTGATGGGGTGGTAGATGGCATTGGTCAAGGACGGGACGGTAGGGAAAAAGTTGAGGTGAGAGGCTTTGACTGATTGGGGGTATAGAAGGCCCTGTGATCGAGTGATGAAGGCGCCCCAGTCGCCTCCCTGGGTCACTGGGCCTTGTTAACTAAGATACATGATACTCGCGTTGGACATACCGTATTCATCGTAGCCCAGAGAGAGCATAAGATTGTGAACCGTTTCAGCATGTTGTTTTAAGCCAAATCCTCTCTGTGGGTTGTGAGTGTGGGTTTTAGGTGGAATTTTGTAAGCATACGCACCTCCTTGGGGCCATCAGAGAACCCAAACCCTGGGAGAGACGGTGCAACAACGTGAAAAGCTGGCTGGGTCTCCGAACCTGCCGTCAGGATAGGGAGTAGCTTCGTCACTTCTATGAAGCTTCCAGGCCCTAGGAATCATTAGTTTCAAGTCGTTTATATAATTCCCAGCTGCCTCTCTAGTTACTCGGACCCATTTCCGACATATATCAAGCAGAAACTCGGCGTGTTAGGAAATTAAACTCACAGCCGTGAACAAATAACAACGGAATCGCTCCATCCACCTTGCTTTTCTGGTGCACAAAATGGACGTCCAGCTCCCCAAACTTCTCTGTGGCAATTTTGGTTTTGAATTGCGGCAGTTTGTTCAGTTTGGCTTCTTGCGCGCGCCAGTCGAAGCCATTATGCCAGTACTCAGACAGTCGCTTCACGTGCGAGAGAGGGGCCCCGAGTTCCCAATTTGCATCAATGAGCTCATCTGGGAATGTAGCCAGGCTTAGCTTGTCGTGGAGAGACTTTATGGAGGATTCCGAAACGTTGATTTGAAATGGAGTTGGGGTGGCCATCATGTCCGGTGGCGTACGATACGGGTTCAATCGCCAAATGGCCAATATGAGAAACGGCAAGAGTCGGTTATAGAATTGACACGGCTTGCGTTCAATTGGGTATAGTGAAGGTTGATGGGTAGGGTTGCGAGGATAGTTTGAAGGGGTTTGGAGTTGTAAATGGAGGAAGTTCAAAACAGGTGATACTCAGATGAGGGGTCTTTATGTCTTTGTATTTCTTGTTATCCCGGCCCCGGAGGCTGTTGGTTATCATGGTGTACCTGGCTCGTGATTGTGTCTCCAACAAATCCCCCCCAGGTAAATAATACGAGACTTCCACCTCCTTGTTTTAAGTTATTTCGACGGCTTCTGTTTTGGCAGAAAGAACAAACTCTATTGCGAAGAATAAACTATGCTACATACCAACTAATGTTGAGAATGTGCCTGTTCATTGTTGCCCTTGTTTTGTTTTGTTGATGCTACTTGACGATGGGCGGTAAACCGCGGCAGTATATTGGGCCTCGGCTGGGGCTATGGACAAGAACCTCCTTTCAAACCTTGGATCAAGTCGTCACATATAGGGGGAAATAGCTATACAAACACAATAATCATTTGAATACTGAAGTATTTTGCGGAATCTCTATTTCCACACTTTGTCGTTGCGTAAATATAAACTGGCCACATAAAACTTCAAAGGTTTATTTTAAAATTATTCTCAAAATTGTGGAACATTGATGAATATACGAGGAGAAAATCTTTAGTTGGATGCCTATACTATTGACGTTTTAAGAAGCCACGTAAAAATATAATATTTAAAGTTAGAAACAAGAAGAAAAGAGGAGAAAAATATTAGTGCATCAATAACTGATAAACTTTAGCCCCCCAAGTTTCCGTGCAAGGACAATTAAAAATAATCCACATGGGCAAGCATCAAAAGAAACTGCCATTCTAATTCTGAGTGTAAACCAAAGCTGCCAAAAATTCCCTGCATTCATCGCCCAGAATTCATCTCCTATTACGCTGCCATTGAATCTGCTTCCATGAAGTCTACCTCCTACCCCTCTCTCTGGGCGGTTCGTTGGCAATTCTTCTCACCACCGCATCCAAACTGAAAACACTCTCGTCGGTATTATCCCTCCCTGGCTCCCTCAATGACCGAGCCCTGCTTTCGCCCTCGGATTCATACATAATCGTTTCGTAATCTCTCTCATCGCTCATTGCTGACCCTTCGATGTGGTGGCGATTAAAGTCATCCCGAGTTTCTGTAACTTGGCTGTCACCTGTCGGATCCCGCGTGAAGTCAACAGGACGGCGTCGATGAATGCCCTCGAGTCTCTGCAACGCCTCTGCCCACACCCGCTCACGACTAGGCGAACTCGGAAAATGATAGTCTGGGTCTGGCTGGGAATGGTCTGGCTGGCACGGAGGTCTGTCGTCGTCCCTTTCATGCATTGGCACGGCTAATCTGGCCGAATCTGGAGAGTACACCGTCGGCAATAGAATATGCTCTTGAGATGGGCCATAAGAGAATTCTCCATTCTGCCCTCGTATAGCCTCTGTTGGCCGCAGAAATGCGCTGGTACCTCGTGACGTGTAACTCTCAGCTGTGGGAATTTGCGGCACAACTTCTGAGCGATGTCGAGAGTATGATGGATCGTAATTGGAAATGTATGGATGGCGACTTTGAGAAGGCCGCCGTGTAGAGACTCGGTTTGGCCTTCGGTACTGGCTATTGACGCCATGTACGCGCCCTGGTCGAAGGGCTATTGACGAAGGCCGAATTTTCGACCAATCCGTGTCAACGGCACTTTGAACATCCGAGGCAGGTCCGACAAGGTTCCTCTGAGAGACGGAGGGCATCAAGCCAACATAGTCTACCACCGTCGGGCTGGTGGAGGCTGTGTCATTTATCGTAGTGCCAAGGGAAAACTTCTTGTGCAAGCCTCGGCCAGGTGAGTATGAGGAGCTTTCTGCCTCCATGAGCTCATTGCGAGATGCAAGCTCCAACTTCTTCTTTCGGGTGCGGCGCCATATCCAGAAACCCAAAGCAGTTGCTAGGATGAGAATGACGCTGACACTAATAACCGTGGCTGTTATAAGCAGAGTTTTACGATTGCCAGGCTGCGGATCAGGCCTTGATTCGGGAGACGTTGTCGTCGTGGTAGGCGCTGCAACAACTGTGGGCTGAGTCGAAAGAGTCGCAGAAGCTGCAGAAGCTGTAGAAGCTATTAGAGCTGTATCTATGCATGCTGTATGTGTAACTGGCACAAATTTTGTCTCGGTAGGAATCGACGGGAGTCGTACGGTTATGAGGACATGTGTTGTATAAACCCCTGAGCCATTACTTTGTGTATCTGAGTATGTAAAGTCATTATAAAATGTGTTTGTAACTGTCGGTAGGGTTGTGAAGACAGTGCTAGTCGAAACCAGGGTCGTAAGAGTCCCCCTCCCTGCGCAGCTGGCTATCACTGCCGTCGATGCGGCCGTCTGCTCGGATGACATCAAAGTCAAGCTCACAGCCAAGGACCTCGGAAGATGTCGCCAAAAGAGCAACGGTTGTATGTAGCAAACTCTCTCACAGTGGGTAAAATAGGGCGAAGTTACCGGGGGGTAAATGTGTAAATCTTCAGCATCAAAAGCGTGGAATACCAATATCGAAATATAGGTATTTGCACAACATCTATTAACTTTGGCTTGGATGCTGTGAGAGATCACTGCTAGTGGTCGCAGATGAATATGACCGTGTTATAAGCCTGCCATTTAGACTAGATACGTTTGAACAAAATGACATACTCACCATAACTTCATTGCCAGATGTGTGAGAGTGACACCAGTAGGTGTCCAGTTAAATTAACTTCACTTTGATAGTTAGATGCTAAACTTGGACGTTGGTAAAACGAGCGAAGAGTAACCATCCCATTCCCGGGATTTGCAACTGGACGCCGAAATAAGACAACGTTAGTTATATTGGGCTATATGAATGTCTCTTGTGAACGTGAGTATTAAGACTTAGACTTCGTAATATATTGTACATAACACTTATCATACAGTAAATAGTGGCCCATCATGGTGATATCCCTCCGCCGAATCCAACAGGTGGGCGTTTTCCGCCCGTCTCTGGAACAACAGCCATTGCCTTATACACCTTCCCCATACCGCTTGGTCCCCGGTCGATAAGGCGTTTCCAAGCACCCTCAACTCGTTGCTTCTTTCCTTCATCAATGTTGTTACCTTTCAGCAGCATTTCAGCCCTTTCTTTAATGCCCATTCCGAGAAGAAAAAATCCCTGCTCAACGGGACCATGCACTTCAACCCCGAGAGATGCCTTTAGTGCTGTCTCAGCTAGGGCCATGAAATCAACATCCGCAGAGAGATCGACGAGGCCCGGTGAGCTCAGAGGAGATACGCGTTGGTGGCCCTTGATTCCGCGCAAAGAATTGACTGGTATGGTATCTGCTGGGCCATAATCCAAGATCAATGCCGCACCGGATGGTTCTGCTTTCGGCTCAGCAGCCGATCCACCTATCCGCTTAGCAATCTGTTCCATGTAGGCGTGAGACTCTGGCGAGATCTCAATCAGCGAGTCTGGAGACTTCCTGAGAGCCTTGTACCGATCTGATATCTCTGGGAGATACAAACTATGCGGTGTAGAAGCCTTAGAAAGAGTAAGCTCGAACTCTGGAGGCGGATAGAGGTCACGCTCAGATATGGGCGTGCCGAGGTCTTCATGAGTAGAATTTGGAGGTGCAGGAGAAACCACTAATTCACGCCATTGAGGCTCTTTTGCTGCCGAGCTTTTGGCAACTTGGGGTGCAAGGTCGTGAACACCTGTAGGAGTCTCAATCTTAGTTTGCGAAACTTCGGACGGGGCAACCGATTGAAACGCGTGGATCGGAAGAGCGTCGAAGAATTCATGAGCGATAATAAATGGTGATTTTGAGGGGGATGACGGAACAAAGCGAATATTCTCAGTCCATATTATAGGAATGTTAGCGTATTTGCTTATGCTCCTGAAGCCAATTTCGTGATCCTCCATCGGACAATCTCCACACAGGACCTGCCTCTGTGTTTCTCGCAATGCTGGGCTCGCCTCCACCATATATACGGCCTCAATAGCAGCAACCATCGGTTTGAAGTTCTGAATAGTCTACAGAAAGTTAGCTTTGCAACGTCAAGGTTCAACAATACTGACTCGAAGCATATCATCCATCAAGGTTCCTCTTCCTGGGCCAATTTCAACCAGCTCTATGCCAGCGCTCTTCTTTCCCTGTGCCATCCACTCTGCCACAAACCATATACCGATCAATTCGCCAAAGACTTGTGATATTTCTGGAGATGTAACAAAGTCGCCCTTCTGACCAAATGGATCGCGGCCCTCTTGTTTCTCCATGTAATAACCCCCAAGGTCCGCAGTCAAACACATTCGCATGAAGCTCGCCAATGGAACTGGTCCAGTAGCCTATAAAATGGTCAGTCTGTAATAGGTTTTGAATGGATTGCTCTTACTGTGATAGCTTCTGAGAGCTGTTTTGCCAGAGGCGTTGACCATTTCCGATCCTCACCAGACGACATCCATCGCCTCGAGGACAATGTCAATTGCGCCGGTAACGTCCTGCTCCTCTGGACCTGCCTCATGCAGGTCCTTGTAGCCAACATAACATTAGATCTCATGGTATTACTCTCCAACCTCACATCGTAGGAAACGGTTGTCGTCGGGGACTTGCCGCCGTTAAGTGCTTGGGCATTTTCGCGATAAGCTATCCCAAAGCTCCACCCAAAGTTTATCTCGCGACAGAGCCGGTCCGTACCAGTTTCCAACGACAGTCACCCACCGACATAGATGGCAGGACCAACGAAATCCCGCTGGGCGGACGATGAAGAGGATGCTGCTCTAGATACGCAGCGAAAGCGCGAAAAGGAAGAAAAGAAGCGCGCAAAGGCTGAGAAGCAGCGGAAGGCTGATGAAGCTGCTGCAGCTGCCGCTGAGCAACAGCGGCTAGAAGCATTGCGCCGCGCACAAGAGACACAACCAGAGCATGCTGAGCTAGCGAACCGGCCGGCGAAGAGGCGGAGGTTATCTCCAGAGTTGGCAGGGGAGACAAAGAGCGGACAGGCGAAATTGTTGAGGTTCCATGGCTCGCAATGGAAGAAATGTCGCAGCGTCGAGGATTTCGAGAAGTTGAACGACATTGAGGAGGGAGCATACGGATGGGTATCGCGGGCAAAAGACTCGATTACGGGTAAAGTTGTGGCGTTAAAGAGGCTTAAGATGGAGAATGCACAGGATGGTGTGCCAGTCACTGGGTTGCGAGAGATCCAAACTCTGATGGATTGCTCACATCCCAACATTGTGCGCCTACAGGAGATAGTAGTTGGTGAGGACACCAGCAAGATTGAGAAGTAAGTAGCCAGTTCTGCCACCTGCGTACTGTCACTAACAAGAAACAGCATCTTCCTTGTCCTTGACTTCCTAGAACACGACCTCAAAACCCTCCTCGAAGACCTCTCCGAGCCATTCCTCCCCTCTGAAACCAAGACCCTCTTCCACCAGCTGGTGTCGGGAGTTGCATACCTTCACTCGAACTGGATTCTCCACCGCGACCTCAAAACCTCCAACCTTCTCCTCAACAATCGAGGCATCCTCAAGATAGCAGACTTCGGCATGGCGCGGTACTTTGGAGACCCCAGCCCGAAACTTACCCAGCTTGTCGTCACCCTCTGGTACCGAGCCCCCGAGCTATTACTCGGTGCAGACAAATACGGTACAGATGTGGACATGTGGTCCGTCGGATGCATATTTGGCGAGCTGCTCACACGCGAGCCGCTGCTCCAGGGGAAAAACGAAGTGGACGAGCTCTCGAAGATCTTCGAGCTCTGCGGAATCCCGACGGAGGATTCATGGCCTGGCTTTCGTCGCCTACCGAACGCGCGCAGTTTGCGTTTGCCAAAGAACCCAGCTACGCACGGCTCTGTGATAAGGAGTAAATTTCCATTCCTCACTACGGCAGGTAGTAACTTATTATCGAGCCTGCTGAGCCTGAACCCAGGAGGCCGTCCGTCTGCACAGGAAGTGCTGGACTCGCCATATTTCAGGGAAGACCCCAAGATGAAGAGTACGGCCATGTTTCCGACCTTCCCTTCCAAAGCAGGAATGGAGAAGAGGAGGCGGCACACACCGAATGCACCTATTCGCGGCGATGCACCGGGTCTGCAGAGTATTGATTTCAGCGGTATATTTGCAGGGCGGGAAGAGGAAGAGAAAGGTGGTGGATTCAGCTTAAAGTTGATATAGCGTTTCCCTGAACGAGATGGAAAGTTGGGAGGTGGATATACCCTGGGAATGGACATCGTAGATAACCGGGATACAGTAGAATACAACGTCTGCTTTAATTAATTCATTAAATATCCGCTTGGTGTGCTATCTATGCTAGCCAAAATCATAACACGAAACTCCGCAAAGCGCCAGGTTCCGTTGCCTCATAAAACCTATGCTAAACAGATCAAACCAGTCCACCCCCTCCAACTGACTCTGCAATTAATACGCCAAATTATCCCCTTATTTTCCTCAACTGTACAAAATATATAAATGAATGCGTTACCAAATAACATTCAGCCCATTGACAAACCACGTGAATGTCATCACTGTGATGATGCTCATCCCGAACATAAAACCGAGTGCGTTGCGCTCTAATGAGCCGAATGCACCGCTGCACGATATACATGGTACAGGTCCCGAATCATCTGCGTAATTCTGACCGTTATACATTCCGAATGTGAAGCTTTTGAACGGGGAGAGATATCCAGCCACTGGAACATCGCTTTCGCTACCCTCAGAGTCGTATATAATCAGGGTGTATGTTGCCACCACCAAAGGTGCACTGCTGGTCTCATATCCGTTGGAATCCCACACAGCCTGTTGTGTGGGGGCGGTACCATTGATTGTCTGGTTCATGGCAATCGTATACATCGCTTGGTTGAGTGTGCATGTAGCCATGATGTTCAGCGCCGTGGGAGTTGCCAATAGATCGGTGAAGTTAAAGCCAAAGGTCGCCTTGTCACCAATCTTAAAGATGGGCATGCCGGCTGTCGCCGTGGGGCTGACAACAGTAATACCACCAACTGGCAATCGGGGGTCATAGGTCGTATGGACGGCAGGTTTGGTTGTTTTCGAGGCGGTCGAAGACCCCTTTGATTCAGAAACTGAGCTTGATTTATGTTGGCCAGAGCTGGGTGTCTCCGTTGGTTTGCTACTAGTTTGTGAGGTACTTTGCGTGTTCGATTCTGCAACTTGGTTAGTAGATCTCCTAGACCAATAAATGGGCGACGTACGGTCTTCATTGGCGCGCACGACAAGAGAATCAACCTCAGGAAAGAAGCTCGGCCACGGCCATGCTGCAGTAAACGTCGAGAGTAGTACAAAAAAGGTCGCGTAGATGAAAAACGACGTTGTTGACCTCATTTTGGCGGCTGGCCAGAAGCAAAGTAATGTGGCCTAAGTTAGGCAGGACCGTTGCCACTGATACTGATCTCGATATATCCCTCCAAGCAACGATTATAAGTGCAGTGGATATCTCTCGGTGAGATAGTGGTCGTCGGGTGTCGCGGTTCAAAATTCGTTGTCAGAACGAGACGTGTTTACCCCTGTCCTACACTGTGCGTTGTTGAGAGATAGTAGGATGAGAGTCGCCGAGCGAGTGAAGGCAAAACTGCGTAATAGATAATACAATGGAAATAACGAAGGAAGTCCGAGAAGGTAACTATCAGAATCAGAAAGCGCTCTCGCCGGTAGAAAATGGAATCTCGTATTGGACTGGAGAATCCGTATTTAGCTTTCGGCCAGATGCATGCGGATCCTGTTTATTTTTAGATCCCAGCCTCAATCCGATCACGTGATTACGTCAAATACTGACCTCTGTAGTGATAAATGAGTGCTTCTGTTAGCTCTACTCTATTGTACAGAATGTACTGCCTAAATTATGAAACTTTCTTTCGTGCAAAATTGTTATTGCATTGCAGACTGGTATTATTGCTTAGACGCTACGGCTAGATGGTAGCCCTGTGACTCTGCATAAAAGATGCTGATCCTGAACGACCTTACGCGCTCTGAAATATTCATGCTCTAGGCTGTTTCCTAGCCCTATTTGCCGAAGCGCTCAAGCCCATTAACGCCTCATAAGTATAGGCATTGTCAGCCGCAAGCTCCCGTCACTGATGCGTCAACGCAAAATACCCAGCCAGACCGTTGAGCGTTGACCGACTGCCCCGTTGTATTTCATGCAACAAGATGCATATAATGGCCTGGAACCCTCTGCTGACACTTTTCACAATCACTCTTGTATCCCATGCTTAATTTTTTAGCATTGCCCCCAAACCCATCGCCCATCCCTGTTGGGACATGCCCCATATTCCTGACACCAAGCTTGGTCGAACCATACCTCTTCAGGCTGTCTCTTGCAGGCGTTCGTGTTTCCACATCCATCTGCATATCTGCCATAAAGCTGGTCGGCATTTTGTGACTGAATTCATCCTCACTGATGGGGCTGGGAAGGCGACGGTCATATTTCAGCCTGCTGGTAGCTTCCTGAATTGGTAAACCGCGATTGCTCGTTCGAACATTGGACGAAAAGTGGCCAGTAATAGGCGTTGGGATGCGGCCGGCATGTTTAATGGAGGGGTCCATCTGAGAAGGTTGCGATAGTTGTGGGCTATCATCCATGTCCTCATCGATATCCATGGAATCGTTTCCTTGCAATCTTTGCGATGCCGCTTGTTGGCTGTTATGCCAGTCTGAAAGTGAACTTTCTTGGGGTAGGACCTGTCCGTAAAGATGCGGAATAGCTGGCGAAGTATGGTATGGGTTGTTCCATCCAATATTTGGGCGGTCTTCGCTATCCGAACCGTTTGGAGTGATCTCAGCCCCTCTTGGTTGAGACATTGCATTACTCCGAGGACGAGGAGGAGAGTTAGTTAGCGGTCGGATGGCAAGAGAAGACGTGATCTGGTTCTGGGAGATGAACTCCAACGCTATAGAGGATCGTTTAGTGTTGTCGCGCGCCTTGAGGATACGCCTGTGCTCGCTGAAGCCATGCAGCGTGGCATCATCATCTTCCTGCCGGTTTCGTTTTCTGGAATTCTGGATATTCATAGCAGAATGCATCGAGACGTCGAGTTACAACAACAATTAACCCCAAGTCTGTGAATTGTTTGATTGTTGGGGTGGATGTTCGTGTTGTGAGGGCGATGCAGGGAGGCTTAGACAGGATCATGGACGTGCTTGATGACGGAGCCTGGTGGGGGGATGGTCGCTACTCAATTCTTTATCCCTCCTGCGCCGGAGTCTCAAGCAGGTAATCCTTCTCGCGGTCGCTGGCACACTCGGGATAACGATTGGAAGCCGATAGACGGTCAGTTTCACTTTTGCCTCATCCACATATGGTTGGTGTTTTGGATTTCGGGAAGCCTTCATCCAGGCGGGTATGTCGCGGAGATAAGTCCCTCCGATTCAATGTTTAGCCTAGCGTTCCTGGCGCCTTCAGCCTTGCTTATGTAAACCAATTCGTGGACCCCGATATACGGCTAAGATCAAGGCGGTGAGACGAATGCGAAAAAGAATTTGCCCACACCGAGTTTGCTCCGAGCACATGTTGGTGGGGTTAATGTGGTGTGTGTACAATGTGCTAGAGTCATAGGTTGAGAACATTCCTGACTGGGCCTTGGACTGCAGAAAGAGAACTTTATATTTATCTGCATATATTATTTATATAATTCCCTCATAGAGCATTTTAGAGATTTTGCCATTTTGGAGCCAAAATTGTCATTGTGGTAATCAAAGGACAACAATTGGTCATTTGCCGACACATATCTCTTGGTTGGCTACTTCATCCTCGCCTTTTGAATATACACCTTTAAAAACTACACCAACACAACCCATTGCTTCACCCCTCCTATACTCGCCATGTCTTCTCCCGAACATGAGGTCAGCGATGACACTCGCGGCAAGTTTCCCATGAAAGTCTATGGCCAGCTTACTGGAGCTAATCTTCAACCTCAGTCCTCGGCCAAGATCCTCTGATCCAGCCGGAGTTGCTGATCTCGGAAATCCCCATCACAAAGGCTGCCCTCCAGACCGTTATTAAGGGTCGCAAGGAAGCCGTTGATATCATCATGGGTACAAACGACCGTCTTCTCGTAATCTGCGGCCCATGCTCCATCCACGACCCCGCCACAGCTGTCGAGTACTGCCAGCGCCTCAAGGCCCTCTCCGACAAGCTATCCGGTGATCTCTGCATTATCATGCGCGCTTACCTCGAGAAGCCGCGCACGACTGTTGGCTGGAAGGGGTTGATCAACGACCCAGATATCGACGAGAGCTTCAAGATCAACAAGGGCCTCCGTATATCGCGTCAACTCTTCTGCGACCTGACGTCGTCTGGCATGCCGATTGCCAGCGAAATGCTCGACACTATCTCCCCACAATTCCTCGCGGATCTGATCTCCCTCGGAGCTATCGGAGCGCGTACTACAGAGTCCCAACTTCATCGCGAACTTGCGTCTGGACTTTCCTTCCCAGTTGGCTTCAAGAACGGCACTGATGGCAGTTTGACTGTTGCCATCGACGCCATCGGATCGGCGGCCGCCAAGCACCATTTCATGGGTGTCACAAAGCAGGGTCTTGCGGCTATCACGAGAACAGCTGGAAACCAGCACGGCTTCATCATCCTCCGTGGCGGCACCAGAGGTACCAACTTCGATGCCGAGAACGTCAAGTTGACCAAGGAGGGCTTGGAGAAGAAGGGACAGAAGCAAGCTATCATGATTGATTGCTCGCACGGTATGCACATCCAAAATCAAAATCAATGACATATACTAATGAAGCAGGCAACTCCAACAAGGATCACCGTAACCAACCGGGCGTCGCAAAGGTCGTTGGCGACCAGCTTCGCACTGGTGAGAAGTCGATCATCGGCGTTATGATTGAGTCGAACATCAACGAGGGCAACCAAAAGGTCCCCGCTGAGGGCCCGGCTGGCTTGAAGAAGGGCGTCTCCATCACCGACGCTTGCATCGACTGGGACTCCACTGTCACGACACTTGAGGATCTGGCTGAGGCTGTCAGGGCGAGAAGGAAGCTCAACTCTGCTGCGCAATAAATGCAGCTTCAAAAAGTTTTGTTGTTAGCGTTACCACTGGTGCACAAAAAGCGGAAAACGATGCCATAGATTGTGGATATTTCTGTCGTGACATCTACTATGCGAAACTTGTTTGACCATTTTGATACACTTGATACAGGTTCTGATCCGACCACAATATGGATGTGACATATCCCTTCTGGCTTCCTAGGCCCCGGCACTTTCCAAGGTAGGCGGTAGACTTCATATGATCGAGCCAGCAATTCCCCTCGGTTCTTGGCCTACCATGAAGAGCTTTATACTTCGACCGACAGCCAAAGCCTTCCCATTCTCCGCTCGACATAGCCGTTTCTGTTTCTATTGGCTTGTGTATATTGGTGTGCATCGCGCCAACGCCTCGATTATCCACGCGCTTCCTTGACTAGCATCTCGGATCCAGATTATTCGCTATTTACAGGTGCATACACCCCTTGGTCGTCTTGCCGCGAGTCACTGCGCCTGAACAGGCCAGGGCCTAAAGCTCTCCTCTTTTCCACGATTTTCGATCCAGCGGCCCAGCCGAGAAGTCCTAATGTCGTGCAAATAAACGCTAGCACGATAATCTGGTCCTTCCTGCTATCCCTCTGGAAGCACGTTGTGAATATGTCCTTCTCTTCGGCATTCTTGCAGATCGGTAGGTTTTGCGCGATACAGAAAGCGCGATTACATTGGCTGCAATCGGCAGAGGAGGCAGCACGGCGCTCTAGGGATGAGGACGCATCGGGCGAGAATCGGTTGAGGAGGTTCGCCGACTTCTGAGCGGTGGTTTTCGGTGTAAGTTCGATGATGGTGCTGTTTGTGAAGCACGTGCATTTGCAGAAGGAGGGAGGGGCTAGAGGGTTAATCAGCGACTGCAATTAAATAACTAAAGAATTTCACGAGAAATTAGACTCACAGGCGCAAGAGACAGTGATGAAGAGGGCGAAGAACGCGGCGAGGAGAGCCTGGAACCGCATTCCGACGTGAAGCTCGCGTTATATGCTATGGAAGGCCGTCGGGTTCTGTGGATAACAAGCAGTGCCCAGTAATCGTTAGATGTAATATTATACCCCTCTCTAGAATCGGAACTTAATAGGATTCTTATTCTGCGATATTCGAGAGATGCATTGAATGATGAAGCGTATCATATGCTACCAAGGCTACGACCCGGGATAATCGCGATGTTCCGAAATGGACTAGCGCCATGAGCATTGGCCTCTAGCCGTTGTTGGCCAAAACTTCATGGGCGTTCGGGGTCGAAATAAAATAAGTCAGGTCAACACTGCCATTCTCGCCCAAACGCACACAACACACGATGCGACGAGTAGTACGAGCTGAACGAGCCATCGGGCGCATCCTGTCAACACCGTCTTCGACGCAGTTTACTTGCGCCGCCTGCCGCCAACATGCTGCTCCCTTCTCGACTCGCGCGAGCTTAAAAGCCGTCGACATGGAGAAATGGCGCAAGAAGATCTGGGGAACAGACAAGCCGCCCGGTGCTGCAGACCCTTACGGAGGGCCTGGTGCAGCAGAAATATACGAGGCTGAGAGAAAAGCAAAGAAAGGAGAAACTGCCGTCGAAGAGACTTCGACTACACCCGCTGCGGATTGGGATATGTCCGCATACGAACCGGCAGATAACTGGGCTGGGTTGGAAGAGGTTGGAGGAAGGGGAGTCTGGTGGAGTGGGAGGGAGGAACCCAATTACGCTGGATACATCCCGCAGCAGAAGGTTACGGATCCATACGAGCTGACTGCGGCCCTACATCGCGCTGTGATCGAAGTATTCGCACTTCGTGATGCGGAGCAACCATTGTCCAAACTCGCCAATTCCGATGTTGGACCTGATCTCACGACCGAAGTACAGATCGTCATGGCAGATGGAGGAGCCAAGCTGAGCCTCCCGCAAAACATCGGTTTACAGGAGATTGCAGATTCCCTGGCGCCGAGGGTCCAGGAGACTGTCGAGGAGGCAGTGGTTGAGGATGAGACAGCCGTTAAGACTGACCCAACAGAATCAGAGGAGGACGTCGCTGCAGACAGATCCGCTGTTGACCCTCTGCACCAAGCGCAAGTACAGAGTGCAGTTGAGAGTTGGGACCCAACCTGGCTCAGTGTCTCTCTCAATGACCCAGAAGTCAAGTTCACTGTGAGTCTTTTGTGCCATTTCTGTTCTCATTGACAAATATACTGACAAAAATAAGGTTGTCAAGCGCGTGTTGCAGCTGACCGGAATCCGCATGTCTGATTCAAACATCAATGCCTCCAAGAACGCATCGGATATTTTGGGATTCATGGCGACACCACCTAAGCCAAAGAAGGTTATCGAGGCCCTCGCACAAAGGCACACTCTCTTCGATTTGCCCAATGTTAAGGTTCACGCACGGAGAGTGACCCCGGTTGACAAGGAGAAGTCGGTGGGGAGATGGAAGGTCATTGAGAAGGAGCTGGAGGCGAGGGGGCTTCCTGTTCTGGGACATAGTAGGAACTAGATATTGGGGCTGTGGATGGTGTATATTATTGTAGGCTAGCGAAATGTAGATGTATAAGTACGTCCATTATCATCCTTTATATGCGATCAACTGTACTCACTCTCCGATATAATAATGCCACAAACCTGATATGGTCATGTGACTGCGGGTAACTCTTTTGCCGGTATACAGGGGGTACCGGCCGGTGGTCTTGCCGACGCTTCCCTCTACGGGCTACACTATTGAGACGAAAGAACGAGAGTGGCAGGCCAACCCCAATGGGGCTCCCTTCCTCGGGAATTGTATATACAGGGAAGTAATATTTTATTTGTGATCCTACATCCTTTCTATTATTCCCGTTTCAAACCCCCCATACCAACAAGATGTCGACAATCGCAAGGAGAGGCCTCAAGAACATCTTGGCCAAAAACGCAGACGACATCGTGATACTCTCCTCTCTACGAACATCCATCACTCGCTCTAACCGCGGTGCCTTCAAAGACGCATACCCCGAAGAGTTACTCTCCGCTGTACTACGTGCTACCCTGGCCGCGAACCCGAATCTTGACCCTGCACTCATCAATGATGTTGCTGTGGGCACTGTTCTCAGTGAACTCGGCGGCTCCAAAGCCGGCCGCATGGCCATGAACGCCTCTGGGTACCCTTCTTCGACCAGTTTCTACACAGTTAACCGCGCCTGCGCCTCGGGGCTGACGGCGATTACAACCGCTGCCAATGGTATCCAGAGTGGGATGACGGATGTGGCCATTGGAGGGGGAATGGAAAGCATGACGAGGAACTATGGTAGCCGTGCCATCCCGGAGGATCTCTGGCCACAATTGCGAGACACAGACCAAAAGGATGCAAAGGATTGCATCATGCCCATGGGCCTTACATCTGAGAACGTCGCTGAGCGATATGGTGTCAGCCGGGCTGACCAGGATGCGCTGGCAGTGGAATCCCATAGACGGGCACTGGCGGCGCAGGAAGCAGGGAAGTTTGACGGGCAGATCGTGCCTGTTACCACCCGCTTTCAAGAGGTGGATAAGCAGGGCAACAAGATTGGAGAGGAACAAACGATTACTGTCACGAAGGATGATGGTATCAGGGCGAATGCAAGCTTGGAGGGAATGGCGAAGCTGAAGCCAGCTTTCAAAACGGATGGCACGTCTACGGCTGGAAACTCGTCTCAAATCTCCGATGGTGCAGCTGCAACACTGATGATGCGTCGCTCTACGGCTACTGCCCTTGGGCTCTCTGGCTCCATCATTGGGAAGTGGGCTGGGAGCTCGATAGTCGGATGCAAACCCGACGAGATGGGCATTGGTCCAGCAATTGCTATTCCGAAGCTTCTTGCTCAAACAGGGCTGACTACCGACGATGTTGGGCTGTGGGAGATCAACGAGGCGTTTGCCAGCCAGGCAATTCATTGCGTGAGGGAGCTCGGTCTGGAGAAGAAATACGAGGAGGGCAAGGTGAACCCGAATGGCGGAGCTATTGCACTGGGACACCCGCTCGGTGCTACTGGGGCGAGGATGGTGGCAGATCTGCTGCCGGAGATGCAGCGCCAGGGCCTGCAGACGGGAGTTGTGAGCATGTGCATTGGGACCGGGATGGGGATGGCCGGATTGTTTGTTAGAGAGTAGGTATGTAGTGCTACGTAGATGAGGCATATATTGTATTTAGACCCAAATTATTCATCAAATATGAGGTTCACGATACCACTTGAGTACGTCGAGGAGGTATATGATGATTTAGGCTGTACTGTACAACTGCAGCTGTTCAGATGCTGCCCAGCGGTGTGAAAGCCAACTCACAAGCAAACAAGCTGAGCGAATGATAAAAATAAATAAGCTGGATGCGACCAATCTTCCCTGGAAGTCGTACCGATGACGGCAAAGTCGGTCCATCCGAATATTACGAGATACAGTATAGCATGCCCCTTCCCATGCATGAAAACAAATTGGTTCCTGTGAGAGCGGTCAAGCAGGGCATAATGTACAATATCATTGACTGACTTTGGAATGTGGTGCAGTAGAGACCGGCGGTGTGATAGTCAAAGGCGCATCAGGTAAACATGGCATCCCCATCACGAAGCTCAGCCATCGGCGCGGGTCTAGTACCGGCTTATGCGGTTTTCATTCTTAGCTGTGATATATGAAGCTAATGATAGCTTTTATTACCGTGCGACATTAACACCAGCGTCCCGTGTTTGTCTGCTGTGAAATGTTGTGCAGAGGGCTACAATGCAAGGCTGAGCACAAATGCAGGACACCGATGCGCCGTCGTCCCCTGCCTCGGATGATCTTTGTCGCTTATTTTTGGTGTTGACATGGATCCGTTCTGCCATCAATCTTAGCGGGGGGAGCTATGAAGCCACCCATGACAACCTTGACTTCACATCGTTCACTATCCCAAACCGCAGCATTCACCCTTCATCCTCCCAATTTTCGCCCAGGGCACATGCTGGCAAACGTGTCATAAAACCAATGGTCTGAGCTAATTCTTGCTCACCTCTGGAGCTGTTGGTGGCATTTTTGTTGGCGACGACTTTGGGCCGCCTGTCTCTATCGCGCTGTAAGTGATGGATCATATTTGATGGATGGCATTGGAAACAGCAATGGCGTAGCAAAACCGGGCAGTGGCACAGCATTGCGTTGTTTACCTGCCCTTCTGACTGACATCGGGCCTTCCGCTCGATGCTCTCCCCAGTGAACATTCCAGAACGGCAATGTCGCACAAAGTTGGTCAATGTGTGTCATTCACTGACGATTTGTATTGTTTAGATTCCCTCGCCTTTGCCGAGCAAATCAGCCAAAGATGGCCAGCAATTCGGAAGTATGTATTGTCTCAGCTGCCCCGTTCCTCCCTGATTTCCTGTTGTCGCTTTCCCAATGATCTTTGGTATTCCCTCTTAATTTCCTCTTTGGGCGCTTTGTGGCTTGATACTAGTGGTGTCAAGGGCCGGGCATGATGCATCGAACCAGGCGCGCAGCATCGCCAGGTACCAAGCTTGGGATGCGTCAACCTTAATTTCCGTCTCCGCGCGTACCGCTTCCCCCTCGTCGCGTTTTTGGGGCGGGATATGCGGCAGCTGGAGAGAGGTGGTAATCATGCCGTCTTTCGTTGCCGCCAATCTGACAAGTCTGGCGGCGGACCGAGTCACGCGAGTGCGACTTATGGTGTAGCCAATATGATCCTGTCCCGCCGGCCCTGACATCGTCTTTATTGGAAGTGTGTATCCTGTCACCGTGCGTGGGCGACGGCTGGTGAGGCAGACCGGTGAATGGTTTCTGGGTGGGTAACAGCGGTACGCCCATCATCTTTGCCTTGTTTGGAATGTCGATCCATCACTCTGCGCTGCTGTTTCTCGATCAAATTCCAATTGGAACGGAGACCTGCCTCTCTTCACTCTGCAGTTGTTCAGGCCGAGTCACATATACCCCACCTGCAAAAAAAAACCCAAAGCCGGCGATAAGACTGCCGCTATTGTAAACGCGAACAAGGAAATAGCTCGATAAGAGAGAGGTTGTGTGTTGTTCAATATCCCGTCTGGTATCGTCGCGTTTGGCACCACCTCGTTTGACATCGCGTGGTGTCGCTGGGAAGTGTTGTGCTGTGGGAGGTGTCGTGGTAAAGTTGCGCCCGCACCACCCTCAGGAATTAATTTCACAGCGCAAACTTCCCAGCAGCTTCCATGTCAACATTGCCCACAATGAACCTCCTTCAAAGTGGTCTGAGGAAGACCAGGGGTGATAAACAATATAATGGGCCTCCTCGCCGTAGCGGCGCAAGATTTGTTAGTAAAGCATCACTGACCTTGGAAACTATCCACGAACAGAATCGACTGAACCTCCAAAAACGCGATAATGGAAAAGGAAGCATCAAAATACCTGATCCGGCGCCTGGGCCTGCCGCGAAGGGGAAGCCAAGATTGTTGTTGATGGGCCAAAGGAGGTGGATATAATGATCTATAAAAAAGTTACAAGATGCTAATTCATCATAGGAGTGGGAAATCTTCCATATCAAGTGTCGTCTTTCACAAGATGCCGCCCAATGAGACACTCTTTCTCGAATCCACAGCCCGGATACACAAAGACTCCATGCAGTATGACAATCCTCCGAGACAAAGAATCCCCCCACTAACACTCCCCAGCTCCTTCATGGACTTCCAAGTCTGGGATTTCCCCGGGCAACTCGAGTTCATGGACCCCTCCTTCGACGCCGACGCCATCTTCGGCGAGATCGGCGCCCTAATCTGGGTCATCGACGCACAAGACGACTACCTCGAAGCCATCTCCCGTCTCAACATCACGATCATGAACCTCGCCCAATCCTACCCCGCCATCAACATCGAGGTCTTCATCCACAAAGTCGACGGCCTAAGCGACGACTACAAATTCGACCTCCAGCGCGACATCATCCAGCGGATCCAAGACGAGCTCTCCGACCACGGCTTCGACAACGCGCCCATCACCTTCCACCTAACCTCCATCTACAACCACAGCATCTTCGAAGCCTTCAGCAAGGTAATCCAGAAACTGATCCCCCACCTCCCCACCCTCGAAGCACTTCTAAACGACCTCTGTCGCTCCTGCCGCTTCGAGAAGGTATACCTCTTCGACGTCCTCTCCAAGATCTACGTCGCTACCGACTCCTCCCCGCTCGACATGAGCAGTTACGAGATCTGCTCCGATTACATCGACGTCATTGTCGACATATCCGAGATCTACGGGTGGGAGCGTCCAGCTGCTTATCTTGAGCAATTGGAGGGACCGCCGTGGAATCGGCCGCTGGAGGATCAGATGGGCTGCCGCGATGCGGAGAGCGCGATTGTACTCAAGGACATGAAGAGGCCGATTATGTTGAGGGAGGTGAATAAGTACCTTGCGCTCGTGGCGGTCATGAAGGAGGGGAGCTATGAGAGGATGCCGCTTGTGACTATGAATGTGGAGACGGTGGTGGCGGGGTTGTTGGAGGTGTTTGAGGTTACGGGGGCGAGGCGGTAGTGTGGGTCCAGTTTGGTCCTGTGGTGGGGGTTGGGGGGGAAAGGTGGTTTTCGAAATTCAAAAAGTTCGAGGGCGAAGAGGCGTCGGTGGGGGTGTGGATAGGATAGGAGGGAGGAAGGGTATATCATCACGACAGGCGTTCTGGGTCTGGGTCGTGTGCATTAGGTTTCTCTCAAATCGGATTTCAAGAATAAACACAGATAAATGTGATTTTATAACCACAATCACTTTCACACTACCATTTATCATGAGACGTGTAATACATGCAAACAAGTTCTATTCTCATTAAACACTCTCCACCACAGTAGTATAAAGATTACTTCCACGACGCCTGCCATTATCAACAACAGTGACGCCCCATATCCATTTCCATTTCCATATTCCCGGGCCCATTCTAAGAAATCCCTATACACCACATCCCACCGAGCAGCCCGTAAATCAAAACCACGCAATGCACCACACACAATACACAATCTAATCTTTCATCACATCTTGCCAACTCCGCATATTCATAACACATCCCACCAGAGGGAGACATCTAGAACGCAGCAACAACAGCCATAATAGCAGCACCGAACGCAAGTCCCGCACCCGCAGCAGCGGTAGGAGCAGCACCCGTAGCCACACCAGTGGTAGACCCAGCAGTAGGCGCAGGCGAGACAACAGTTCCGTTACCGGTGCTGCCCGATCCGCTACCGCTGCCGCTGCCAGATCCAGCGCCGGTCGAGGAGCCACCAGATGGGGACGCGCTACCAGCACCGCCAGAAGCTCCGCCAGATGGAGAGGCGCTACCGGCACCAGCACCGCCGGTTGGAGAGGCGCTTCCAGCACCACCGCCGACGGCAGTGCTAGCATTTCCAGCAGCGCTGGATGGGACGGCGATGAGAGTAGACGAAGCGTCTCCAGAGCCGGAACCAGCACCGACGCCGCCGGCGCCGGCGTCAGCGGCCTCGGTTGGAGTCAAGGTTCCGCCGCTCGCGACGATGGAGCTAGGCGCCGCCTCGGTGGCTGAGGCGACGTCCTTTGCGGAGGTAGCGGGGGTGGTGGTATCGACCGATGGGCAGGAGAGGTCGAACAGCGGTGTTGTGCTCAGGGTTGTGCCAACGACGCCGAAGCTGGGGCTGGGGGTGTTGGGGTAGGAGTCCTGGAGGGTGTACCAGTAGGTGTTGATCTTCCCCAGGGAAGGGCAGGCGACCTTGTCCCAGAAGAACTTGGCGTTCGCGAGACTGGCTTCGGCTTGTCCGGAGACGGGGCCGGAGACAGGCCATCCGGTCTCGGTGATCCAGACGTCCTTGCCGCCTGCGGCGCCGACGGTGGCGTCGTAGGCGTCGAAGAAGAGTTGAGGGCCGTTGTCGATGCCGTTCGCCATCGAGGTCTGGAAGTAGGGGTAGGCGTCTACGCCGAGCCAGTCGACGGCTTGGATGACGGCGCTGTTGGAGCCGTTCACCCAGTCGTTCCAGGTGTCGACGTGGCCGATGGGAGTGCCGGAGAGAGCGGTGCCAGCGATGGCCTGGCGGACTTGACCGATGTAGGAGACGAGGTCGGCGGGCTCAGCGCCGTAGCCAGACTTGGCGGCGATGCCGGTGGGGGAGAGACGGTAGAGGTCCTCGCTGCCGACGGAGAGACCAGTAACGCGGCTGGTGAAGTCGGAGCCGTATTGCTCGATGGCACGCTTGAGGGCTGCGATCTCGTTGTTGATGCCTTCTTGGCCGGCGGAGGCCCAGATGCCGAGGAGGAGGGTGGTGTCTGAGGCGATGGCGGCGGGGATGGCGGAGATGGGGTCGTTGGCTGTTCCACCTTGCTGTGTGCTGTTAGTGTGTGTTTCAATGGTGAGAATACTTTTTGTGTCGACTTACAATCATAGTGTAGAGACGGGCAGAGTTGAAGCCAGTGACACCCTTGAGGCTCTTGGCGGCGTTGAACTCGTCCTGGAATCTCTGCTGGTCCCTGATGGAGCCATCACTGTTGGTAGATCCGTAGTTGAATCCCTGATGGACGGCCGAAGCAGATGCCACGAGGGCGAGGATAGATGCAGTGGTACGCATCTTGGCTTGTCTGTCGAGGTAGTAACGACTGTGTAGGGTTTTGTTTATGAAAGTTGGAACGAACGATTGTCCAACAAGCTACGTAGGGGAGAGATGAAGGAAGGAAAAGAGAAAAGGGAAGGGCGAGACGCGGCAGGTCGGCCTTCTTAACCTACAACCTACTAGTTTCCGGAGTTTTCGTGGGGACAAAGAAAGACGAGTGGGAAAGAAGGAAAGAGTGGGAAAAGAATACTGGACCTCGTATCCCCACTGTTGTTGACGTTGGCTCAGCGGTGGTGGCCAGCGGTGGCCAGCGGTGGCCAGGCAAGGTCGGGAATAAGGATTGGGGATTGGGGGGAAGGGGTGTGGAAGTGGAGGAGGGGGAGATCGGAATGTGGATTGGTGGTGGGTTGTGGACTGGGAGAAGTGGGTTGGGAGGCGTTACTCTATCGTATCCATTTTTATCCCATTTTTGTCTATTCTTGTTCTTGTTTATCGGGAATCCGTATTTGGGCAGATAAGACCCCGATTCAGGCCGCGACAGGGGTTACCAAGGTACCCATTAGGAATAGTTTTGCATTAGTCAATAATCAACAACTAGCAAGTTTGGGTCGACAACCCTTCTTTCACCATCCTTCACCCTCCTTCACCCTCATTTTTCTGTTAGCTCTAGTTAGTTCTGTTGCTATTTTCAGGGTGATCATTTAGCTGGATTTAGCTGGTCGATTAGCTGTTAGTTTGCTTGTTTAGGTGCCTTTTTTGAATATTCTCCCATGTTTCCGCGGTGGGGTTTGCGCGTTCCCTACAAAATCGGCGGTGGCCGCGCGCCCTGGCCTCGCCGTGGCCCTGACTCGATTGGCTCATAGTGCTTGGTGTGTCCCGTGACGTCATATTCGTCCCTTCCTCGGTTCTTCCGTCGTCGTGTGCCCTCGTATGGCTATATGGGTATTATACGGGTATATGCTGAATGACAACGTTACCTACAGTTGCCATCAAATAATTAATGGCAATAAAATAATAAAATACTCAGTAAAATACATATCCAATATCTATCCGTCATATAAGACATTTCCCACCACAAAGCCCCCTTTTTGTTTCAACACACCCGAGCTGTCTCACTCCTCCCAACCCCCATAGGCATAGGTTGCCCAAACAACCAAACAAACGCACCAGAAAACCAAATCCAGAGAATCTAGACCCCCAAACATCCTCTCCTCTGGTACCATACGGGCTTAAACCCCCCGAGTGGGTCCCACACCCAGTCCAAAAACCGGCACACGCAAGGAACCCCAACCACCCGATTGGCGATCCCTGACCCTTCCACCCACAAAAAAAACACAAGTAACCCCAGTCACGTGTTAACCCACAAAGAACAAAAATAAACCACGTCACGTGCTAACCCCCCAAAATAAACGCGTGTTCTGACTCGTTGGGAAAATGCACTCGTTCCTGATGAAGAAGAGAATTTCTTTCTCTCACGATAAGCGCTTGTTTTGCGATATGACGGAATTGGGAGAATGTGGTGGAAAAAGATGGGACGGGTTGGGGTTGCTGCGCCTACTGGAGTGGAGTTGTGGTTGTGCTTGGATGGATGGATGGGTGAGTGGAGGGGGGTTACGCAAGCCAAGGGCGGTGACGCTGTGGTGGTGGGGAGGGAGATCGATTTGAGTCCCACGTTGTGTGCAGTAGACACTCGTTTTTTCGAGGGGATCAGCTATCGTAACCGCCGTCACTGCCGCATACATACCTTCAGAGCCATACAGTAAACGCGATGGGGTATGAACTGCACACACATACGCTCTATGTAGATCACCACCCACCGGCCTTCTCGCGGATGAAAACGAGCGGTTAAAACGGCGCCAAAAGAGTGCTGCTGATAATGGTTCATTTTTATATATCCCATGCCCCCCATTCCGGTAACACGACCGTAGATGTGTTTCAACAAAAAAGTTGTTCTCATTATGCCCCATCTCCTCCTCCCTCCATCCATCCATCCATTCATCTCGTAAAAATCGTTAAAAAGCGTTCCCCCACGCCCTGTGAACTCCGTGCCTGCGCGTTGTCCCTCATTCCCACCTCGCCCATCCCCGTCAACTGTGCGTGCTGTGCTGTCTTGTCCAACCTCTACCTACTTCTCGCCCCAGCCCCACACTGTGGCGAGGAAGTGGCCCATATTCACCCTCTTGCTCTTCATGTCGATCATCCACGGGTGCTCCAGCATGCGCCAAGGGCTCGCGCGGCGATTGGGATCCTTCTCAAGGCTACAGTTCTCATTAGTATCTCTTGTGATTCCGTGACAACAAAGGGGGTACATACCAGCACTCAATGAAATACTTCATATTATCACTCCACTCAATCCCCCTCGCCGGCTCATCCCTCAACTTCGGAATCGCCTGACTAACAATATACGTCAGCAAATCGATCGGCCCCGCCCTCGGCTGCATCTCCGCCCCCTCCGGCGCATCCGCCGGGAACGGGAACCTATGCTGCGCGACCTCCAACAGCGTCACGCCCGTACTCCACACATCGCTTGTGATCGTGTAGCTCTGCCCCGTGATGCGCTCGGGCGCCATGTAATACGACGTCCCGATGAATGTGTCCGCGACGCCCTTGGTGCCGAACTCGCCGCTGACGCCGAAGTCGCACAGCTTCACCATGCCGTTGCGGCAGAGGAGGATGTTGCTGGGCTTGATGTCGCGGTGGATGATCTTCTTGCCGTGGAGGTAGGTGAGCCCGTTCAGGACGCCCTCGGCGATCTTGCCGAGCACTTTTTCGCCGGTGCGGCCGCCCAGGCGCCGCATCTCGCGGTAGATGGAGTCGAGGGACCCGCCCTCGCAGAATTCCATGGCGATGCATATGGTGGCTGTGGAGGGCTCGACGAAGGCGCCGTAGTAGGCGCAGATGTGTTGGGAGGCACATTCTTTGTTGAATGAGAGCTCGCGGAGGATCTGCTTCTTGACATCGGGGTCGGGGTTGGTTGTGATGATCTGTTCGTGTTAGCTTAACTTCTGTGAAGATCTTATCAAAAAAACATACCTTCAATGCAAAGACCGTCTTGCCACCCTTCAGAATACATCGCGTTACAGCGCCACCAGCTCCCTCTCCCAAACTGCCCAGCTCAATAACCCTCTTCTCCATATGGGCAATACGCCACCCCTCATCCTCTAAACTCTCCACATCGAGTGTCCTTGCCCTCTCCAAAGTTGCCTGGTCATACTCAGGCAGCCCACCCATGCTCCCGTCCCTCTCCATCCCAACCCCGCCCTCACTAGCATTAGAATACGACGACCCTGCTGCTGACGCTGGGTCGGGCGTCCCCTTCGGCTGGTTGAGCATCCCATACTGGCTCGCGAAGCTCAGTGCAGAGTACTGGCTCCCAGCGCTCGTCGGTCCGCTCGCCTTGCCGTCAAGCGGCCCGAAGCTTCCAGACCTGGAATGTGCAGCACTGCTCTCTGACCCACCGCTCGCCGAAGCCCCTTGTATTGCGCTGGGCCGACCATTCTTTAATGAGACATCGTAGGACTGTGTCTGCAAGCTTCCCTTTGGGGTAGCGAGCTGCAATTTAGGGAGACCAGGGCGGCCAGTGGGTCGAGCAGTGGGCGGTTGTGGTGACGAGGTTTGGAGGGAAAGAGCTGGGGTTTTGAGAGAGAGCGAGGAGAGGTCGGGCATAGAGTTCACAGGGCGTGCATTGGGTGACGGAGGGATGGCGAGGCCTAGTCGAGGAGGTCGACCGGTGGTATTGCGGGAGCCGGGGATCGGAGGACGGAGAAGTGGAGCTGGAGCAGACATGTATGGAGCTTCCTGATGCGACTGTTGGGGACTGATAGAAGGATACTGCGACTGTCAGCGTGTGCCGAAATGGAAAAGGGGGAAAGACAAACATTTGGTCGAGATATTGATAGTGAGGCCGGCAACTGAGAAAGAGCTGGCTGGTAATGAGCAGGCGATGGGGATGAGACTTGGGGAGCCGTCCCTGCCGTTGGCATTTGGTCCTGCATGAGGTATGTATTGAAATGTTTGTAAGTCGCACAAATAAAGTATTGTTTGAGCTTCTGTTGGTCTTGGATATCGTCTAAGAAATGTGCTCAGTGCTGGAGATGTCGCTCAAAGCCGCAGTTGTTGTCTTAGCTAAGCTACCAAATATTTCGAGCTGGGACAAGTTTGTACAGGCTAAAGTGATTTAGTTTGCGGATATCGATATTGGTAACGATCGTGGGTAGTCGTGAGAAGCTGTTGTCGTCTCTTGTGTCGAGGTGTGGATTGGGCAGCGAGAGTGTAGGGATCGCCAGCACTTTGAGGATGGCGGCTTATGTGTTGGTTGGAGGGGCTCTGTGACAGGGTATCGACGTGGTATTGGTCCGCAAAAGGGGTATCGCAACGGGTATGAATCAGAGACTACCCCGAAGGACGCTTGTTGTCTTGAATAGCGTCAAATCGAGCCGCGCGTAGAGCTGAAGTAAGACTGGAGAACGAGCGGCGTCCGTGAGCGGGAGGGCTGCTGTCAGGGCCAATAAGGGCGCCTATCAATTGAGGGGTTACCGGCGCACGTGATTTTGGCTGATGTTGGATATTTGCTGAAACAGTCGACCAACGAAGTCCTAGGTTAATATTTGAAATTACAAAATTTAAGGGTTTGTTCGCAGGTATGAGGTCGTATCACAATAAATCGAGATTCGATCCCTTTTGCATCCGAAACTCGTTGCAGGACAAAATGCTGTGCGTGTACGATACCCCTGGCACACCAACCCACCACTAAACTAAAGCTTGTCCTATCGGCGTTATCATAGGCGCCGGCCTAAGCGCCGCATTCCAAATTTTGGACCCAGCTTTTCCACCAGCGAATAATCCGACGAATAAGACCATATATCTCTCAAACACCCCGAAACACACAAATATGGGGGCCAAAGCTGTCACGGACGTGCATGAAAGTGATGCCAGTGTTGAGGGGGACGTATTAGAAAGCTTGAGCGATCATTCTGAAGATTCGGATTCTTTGGATAGCACAAGCTCGAGGAAACGACGCCGTGTGGCTCCTGTAGACAGCGATGGAGAGGAAGAAGTTCTGTTGTCTACAGTCGCAGTGCCATCCCGCATAAAATCCGGCAAACCGGCTTCAGTTGCTAGCAAAGCTGCTCCTCTCCCAATTCTCGCTGCTCCCGTCGATCAAAATACTACGTTCGACTCTCTTGGACTTAAGCCATGGCTGGTCAACTCGTTAGGTTCAATGGCGATCCGCCGACCAACTGGGATTCAGAAAGGATGTATACCAGAGATTTTAAATGGCAGAGATTGCATCGGAGGGAGTAGAACCGGTTCAGGAAAAACTGTTGCATTTACTGCACCTATACTACAAAAATGGGCTGAAGACCCAATCGGGATTTACGCCTTAATTCTCACACCAACGAGGTTTGTCTCCCCCTTATTTGCTCTTGGCTTCAACTAACAAGACAGGGAACTTGCTCTCCAGATTTACGAACAGGTCAAGGCGATATCATCGCCCCAATCCCTAAAACCAATCCTCATAACCGGCGGCGTAGACATGCGCCCCCAAGCCCTCGCGCTCTCCGCCCGCCCGCACATCGTAATTGCTACTCCAGGCCGGCTCGCAGACCACATTCGAACTTCAGGAGAAGACACAATTATTGGTCTACGCCGCGTCAAGGTCGTCGTTCTCGATGAAGCGGATCGACTTCTCGCCTCGGGAAACGCTGGCTCCATGCTCCCCGCCGTGTCCGAGTGCCTCTCCGCCCTCCCCCCCGCAAGCGATCGCCAAACCCTCCTTTTCACCGCAACTGTCACCCCCGAAGTACGCGCGCTCAAGGACCTCCCGCGTGCACCCGGCAAGCTCCCCCTCTTCATCTGCGAGATCGACGCCGCGAACCCACTCGCGCTGCCTGCCAGCCTGCAGCAGACGCACCTAAGCGTCCCCGTCACGCACCGTGAGCACTACCTACACATGCTCCTCCTCACAGAGGCGAATGTCAATAAGTCCGTCATCATCTTCTGCAACCGCACCGTCACGGCGGATTACCTCACGCATTTACTGCGTCTGCTCGCGCACCGCGTCACGGCGCTACATTCGAAGCTGCCGCAGCGACAGCGCACGGACAACCTTGCAAGATTCCGTGCTAGCGCGGCGAGGATCCTGGTCGCGACGGATGTGGCGGCTAGAGGTCTTGATATCCCGGAGGTTGGACTAGTGGTTAATTACGATGTGCCGCGTGATGCGGATGATTATATTCACCGCGTTGGACGTACGGCGCGTGCGGGAAGGAAGGGTCAGGCTGTTACGTTGGTGGGACAGAGGGATGTGGGGCTGATCAAGGCGATTGAGGAGAGGGTTGGGAGGGATATGGAGGCATGGGAGGAAGAGGGGGTTAATCTCGAGACGAGGGTGCTGAAGGATGCATTGAAGATTGTGGGAGAGAAGAGGAGAGAGGCTTGGGTGGAGATTGAGGAGGGCAGGGAGGTTGGAGGGAAGAGGAAAACGGGAATGCGTAGGCTAGCGTGATAGGCTGGTTGATTTGAATTCTGGATATCCACACCGCATCACGCATCATCAGGTGGCAATCACTGTGTGTGGGTGCTGACAGTACATGACATGAAGCAAGGAAGCTTTTGTACATTTGTGTCCCCCATGAGGTCTGGGCGCTAAAAACGGGTTGCTCATTGAAGCAATGTTATAATATTCCTTTAGCACTCGTGCCACCCACATGGATATCTGGTCATGACATCACGAGACGCGTAGACAGGAGAGATTGGTAAACCCCAAATGATCGTTCTTTATTCACGGACTCGATTTATGTCATTGCCGGAATCGAAATAGTGGCGATAGTCCAAACTTTCCCCCCTTCAGAAGAAGCAAAGCCAGTATAGGTAGTGCCGCCAGACACGCCCAGAGTATTACCAAAGGTCGGATCAGCTTCCGCCAATGTGATGACTGTGTTTTTGTACGTCTGAGGGGCAATTGTCCCCGAGCAGCCATCATTGCATTCGGTTCCAGTTCCGTAGCTATTTAACTATTAGAAAGAGCTGTGGATTTGGGGAATGAAACGAACCCTCTCATAAATGGCCCAGAATCATAAGCGTAGGTGCTCAATAATGCACCAGTCACAGCATTTGTGACAGTTCTGTATAAGTTAGTTAAATACTGCACCTTCACCGATAGAAATACATACTGAGTCCAAGTTTGCTGGTTGGATTCAAGCTTATACTCAATCTTAACCTGATCCGACCCAGAAACTACTCCCGCGGTCCCATCCAGCTGACCAAACCACCCAAACACACTAGCACGTACGCACCACTGTCCTGTCTTTGCTCCACACCAGGAGTTATCCGGCCATGATTCAAGAGTGGTTTGTACCAGGTCGCCTGTGCCGTTGGACATTCCTGGCCAGAGGAATAGCACTCCGTTCTGAACTGGGGGTGCGGCACCAGGAGTTAGAGTTGTAACGGCATGGATAATAGTTGACTTTGATGGGCCTAGAGACAGAGCGCCGCCCCAGGTGTCACGTCTTATGAGAGAAGCGGCATTTGCAGTTGCAGCAAGCAATGCTACAAGAGTAGTTCCGATGTAGACCATGATGGTGATTGAGAAACTGAAGGGGCGTGGTGTAGATCGGCATTTCAGCGGAAGACGTCTCTATTTTATAATAAAAATAATAATTCAGTCAGATGAAACATGGAAATGATTTTCCCGGGACGGAAATTCTCAAGCTTTAGGATGTCAGACTTCCATCAGGTAAGATTGGTCGAACCCATGTTGAAACGGTTCCAACCCCGCAAAACACAATTTAGATCCCCGGGTCCGCTTAAATATGCTTAATCTACATGCCGCAAAGCTAGTGGTAGGATTCAACGGCAATTGCGATATACAAGAAGTGTGCGTTTTAATTCGCGGCGAAATTATGGTGTAGTGCTTGTTTTGGTCCGCGAAACAGATCTTTGGGATTTTTCGTTGTCGAATTAATTACATCGCAAATTTATTATAAAGCCGCTTGTTGACAATAAATCGCTCAGAGCGAAATTCGTTAACCACACAGACCTGAGACTAAATCCTAAAGAGATAAAATAATTAATTCATAATATCAAGGCCGACTAAACTATTTAGAGCTGTAAAACGAGAGCAACATAAGAAGCTGGCTTCCAAGCCTTTCAATAAGGCGTGTCATCATGCATCTGGGGCTACCCCGCATAATGCTTGGTATTGATACCGATAAGCAGGTACCGAGTCCACAACGACCCCTCATTTACCTTTGATGGCCAACTCCACTATCTATCAAATTGTATATGCCGTTGCAGCTCGCGCGAATCCTCATAAACAATACTCACGATGGCAAACGAGCCCTCAATCTCAATACGAAAGTCTATCCGGTGGGGAGTATGTCCTGGAAACTGCCCACGCGCGTGACCCTAGCTAAGACTTTATGTAGGACGATGCGGCCTTCGAGGATACTAGGTATGAGCCTCGTCTCCAATATTTGAGGTCCCATCTTGAAGACACCCTGCTCATCTCCGGGGTAGTACTCTCGTCTTGACGACTGGTCCCAGACGTTACGTCGACCTCAGGGTATACCTCCCCGAGAACCCTGAGGACGGATTACCCAACGCCGACGACGTACCTGCACTAGACAGACTAGAATGGGGATTCGCAGGGCAATCCAAAGGCACGCCCGCTAAATGGGATGGACCACGACTAGTGACGCCAGCGCACGGCACATGGACGCACTGGGTCGACAGCCAGAAGCCGGACGGGTATGAAGATGATGGGTTCATGTACGACCAGCATGACGGTCTGACGTGGGAGAAGGGGGTCATGGAGTACCCCAAGACTGGGGAACTGACGCCGTATGAGGAAGTTTGGGAGGATTTTGCGCCGGCGAAGGATGCGGCTGGGAATATGATAGCGGTGACGCTGGTTTATACTGAAACGGGGAATAGCGCGAAGGGGATGGTTATAAGGGTGGGAGACTGGATACAGGGTATATTGAGAGATGCTGCAGGTGGCATAACTGTCGAGAGGTGGCACTACGAGGTAAGTTTTCTGTTAGAATTGTCAGTTGATTTTCTGACTTGTTGTAGGAGGCATCGAAAGCCACAGAAGGGTGGAAACGGGTGGTCCGCATCGGGAGTGGGGAGCTACCTTGTCAGAGACTCTTTGCCTTGGACAACTCGACGGCTGTGGAGGGATCAGGCTGGACTATATTGAAAGATGATAATGTTTTATAATCATGATAGAATTAATTGCTGAATGCCCGTTTCATTGCTTGCAAGAGCCAGTTTTGAAACATACAATGCAAGCTCAGAGTGGCTAATAATATAAAGCAAGCCTCTAACATACACATCCTAGGCAATATTGATACTTGCAACCCAAACAACCAAAAAACAATAATCCATGCCTCCGTTCCCCTACCTTCATCCATAGATCGTAAACCATTCATTCAACCATTGAAGCCCATACTCCGCATAGCGATACATTTGCTCATAACAACCCGAGATTTATGCCCCATAAATCCCCAACCCGACTCCTTCTCCCGCCGCCATCCTTAACTTCTTAGCTCTCACCTCCTCATCATCGGGCAACCTCTTCCTCTTCGGCACACTCGCACCCTTCGTCACGCTTCCAAAAATCTTCGCCTGTAACAGTGCCCCCTTTTCTGTCGCCTCATTCAACCCTGGGCTCGCAGCAACCTCAAAGCTCTCCCTCGGGTCGCGGCGCAGCATAGCTGACGCAGCAGCACTTGCCTGGCTCTCCTGGACATCATCGCTCTCTTGTTCTTCCGTGTCATCGCTATGTCTAGTCTCCTGCGACGGATGCGGTTGTGGGTGGCCATAAGATGCTAGCTCTTCGGCATCCGAAGCTGAGATAGTTGAGTCGCGACTCTTTCGGCGCTTTTCAGTGCGGCCATGGGGGAGCGCCGTGCGTGGGGGCTGCGCAGGCGAGAAGAAATCTTGGTTTGTGCGGTAACGCGGCTCAGACTGGGGGACGAATTGGACCGAAGGAAGGAGGTGCTGCGATTGATTCAAGTTTCGCACGGGCGTTGAAGGGAGAGATGATAGGGATTGCACGTTTCTGCTATGCTTCACGTGGCTATTACCCTTGTGCGTAAAACGTGTGCTGGTCGGTGTTGAAGGTGCGGAGTTTTGGTCGTTAAGAACGCGGTCGGCAAGTAGGAGAGTCGCGAAGGAGTCTTGGCTGTCGTGCTGATGGATCGAGTGCGGGGTGTGTTTTGGCGTAGGCCGAGTGTATTGTGGGGTAGTTGGGAAGTTTTGCGATTGAGTCCGTGGTGTGGTGGCAGGCGCATAGAGACCCCCTGGTGACCTGAGAAGGCGCATATGCTCGCGGTTCTCGCGGATGCGTCCAACGTAGCGGTGATTTTCGGACAAAAGGTCGCTGATATCCTCTTCCTTCTCTGCGATGATTGCCTTGGCGCGGTTGAGTCGTCGGTTAATGAGCGCGTTCTCCTTTTCCATGGATTCACAGTATGCCTTCATCTCGGCAATATATCGAGCGTTGGCTGAAGGCTGCTCTGGGGGCTGAGATGATGCTTCTCGGCGAGCCAACTCAGTAGCCTGCAGAATCTCCACTTCGCGTCTAGTCATCTCGTGCTCTACCTCCATGCGCTTTGTTGCCTCCTCTGTCTCAATTACTAGAAGACTATGCTGCAATTTATAATGCGCAGCCGCCATACGGGCTTCGTGGACCTCCCCATCTAGCCTTGAGTTCTCATTGAGCGCCGCCTCAAGCGAATCACGCAGTTCGGTAACAGATGCATTGGCTACATGGCTCGCTGGGATAGGCAATGGCCTGCCGGCCCCTCGTTTACTGTCATACGAGACAGTTGGCGGTGGTGAAGAGAATATGGCATGAGTTGGAGTCGTATCGCGGTCAAAGGTAGAGCTTGGCGATCGACGCTTTGGAGGTTGTGATGACGGAGGAGGCGTAATGGAGGATTGAGGAGGCGGAGAGCTATACTTTGGTCGCTCAACGCTCGGGGCAGGCACCGGTACACTGCTTGCATTGAAAGAGGTCGGAGGTGAGCTTGGGTTGGCGACTAGCATAGAAGTCGTTGGTGATCCGGTGGTAGCTTTTGCGATATCTGAGTCCGATGGCAGCGTCGCATGGTGGGGTTGAGGGGTAGTCGGAACCTCAATTTTCGCCGCATCCTCGAATTGAATTGATTCATTCATGGTGAGGAGTGGCTAGTGCGAGGGTAGTATGAGTGGAATGCGTGTGAAGGTCGCCGTCGTAGTCGTAGACCAAGCTGATTGTGAAACGAAGACAGGCGACAGGATAACAGTTCGGTGGTCTAGCACGTAGCTGGTAGATAGGTGTATGTCGCCTCGCTGCTGCGACAACAATATGAGTGTTCTCAACTAGCAAGCGACTGTGAGGTATGTTATATAGAGTGGCGATTGCTTCACATCGATGGTTTGTGCCGTTTGCGACGGGAACAATCAGAATGGCTATGGTCGATAATCAAAGAGGTTGGACTATTACACTAGTGCCCCACGCTAAAATGCGGACCGTTGCTCTTGACAACCCAAATACACACAGACTACCGAAGTCACCTGACTGTCTCTCCCGAAGATCCCCAGACCCTTGGATTTTCAAAAAAGTGACATGGGTAGGGAGAGATTCACCTCCTATATGACCCCTATTGACCCTTCAGCCCTACTGGAAAAGCTGACAATTTTTGTTCTTTGTTTCATGGATATTATCCTTCGTTTCAAACAAGGCCCAACGCCGCAAACGATGCTTATGCTTTGAGCTTTAACGCAGACAAGAAGTATCATACGAAATGGGGGACGTAAACAATTCGCCAGTCGCGTCGACGCGCTCATCCATACCACGCCCGTCGAGGCTTCCACTCCCGTCACAATCGCTGCGTCAGTCGACATCGCGAAGCTCTTTAAGATCATCTACAAATACTATACCAGTTGCCAGGCTACGCCCCAAGCAATCGAGAGATGTGTTAGCTTCCACGCAGGCAACAAACGCCGCCAATGATCGAGATGTCGACGCAGGCGTTCGTACCCAGAAGGCGCCAGTTTTGCGGTCAAAACCTAGCAATAGTTCCTTCAAGGAACTGCAGTCGCGCTATGAACCAGCCCTGGCCTCCACCGCCCAAACCGAAATTTCCGAAGATCCTTCTCAAGCCGATCCAAGGAGTAGGAAACCACGACCTTCCTTGTCCGAGAGAGTTCAAGAGACGCTCGCGCAAATACCGCCATCTCCAGTCGTCAACAGGCGAAAGTCAAGTTTCTTTAATCCGGAAAGCCCAATGCGCTCACCTTCGCGATCCACCAATGGATCCAGACCAGGCTCGAGCTATGAGAATGATGGGAAGATGAGGCCGCCATCTCGACAGACGGCATCGAGGCCCGGTTCAAGCGCGGAGTATAGTAGCCAGGCAGTGCCGATCGACTTTCGTGCTTCGACGAATACATTCAAGCCTAGTTTGCATACTCCAGTTAAACGGCAATCAATTCAAACGCTAAAAACCCCCAAGAGTGTTTCCTCTCTTCGCCTTGCAGCATCATCGAAGACTCCTGGGTCACCCAATCCAATCACTCCATACAAGGCACCTACACCAGCCCTTGCGGTTAAATCAGGAAGCAAAACCGTTGGAAGGGCTGTACGCCCACGGGCGTCAGTGACTAGTCTCTTCGATGAACAGCCCTTTGAGCCTATCAGGGCGGCAGAGTCGAAGGCCCTAAGGACCGTACGCCCTCGAGCATCGATTGGATCGTTCAGTAAGCCTGCCCTATCGGAACTTCCTAACGTGGGGTCTCCCAGGGCAAGTTTTGGCATGAAGAAAGTATCGCCTACGTTTTCAAACGCTTCATCTACTAGTGCCTCCACAACGTCGCATGCGTCAAAAGAATCTGTAACTACTGTTGGAAGCACTCAAAACAAGGAGACGACCCCCAAGAAGTCATCTATAGCTCTTAGAGAGCAGATTGCGAAAGCGAAGGCAGCGAAGAGGGCAGTGATGACCAAGACTGCGCCTGTCGCACAGCCTGAAGGGTTTGCAGAAGAGGCCCCTGTGATCCCATCTGGCACGTTTGATTTTGGTCTTGAGGATCCTTTCAACCAGAATACTCAGGACCCAAGCAAAGGTCTCCTCCGCAAGCGCATTGATGGTGCTCGCACAGATGGCCGTCTTAACATCGCTGCTATGGGACTGAAGGAGATACCTGATGAGGTAATGAATATGTACAATCTTGAGAACATCAATGGCCATGCCAGTTCATGGGCTGAAAGCGTTGACCTGACTCGCTTTGTTGCTGCCGACAACGAGCTCGAGACTATTGGAGATGATATATTTCCTGATATAGATCCAAGGGACTCGGCAGACGATGACGATGCTCGCGGTAATCAGTTTGGAGGCCTCGAGACGTTGGATTTGCATGGCAATACTCTTATTTCAATTCCCAGAGGCCTTCGACGACTTGAGATGCTAACTACACTTAACCTTGTAAGTGATCCATGTGATTTAAGTGATAAATCTAACGTTATTAGTCAAATAACAAGTTGCAAAACGACTGCTTTGAAATCATCTCGCAAATTCCAAGCCTACGAGACTTGAAGATCGCCAACAATTTACTGTGTTCCGAGGCAAGCAGTGGCCTGCTTAGCCTCGTGAATCTTGAAGTTCTGGATCTACACAACAATCAACTGTCGTCTCTACCTGCGGGATTCGGCGACCTCGTCCGCCTTCGAGTCCTCAACCTTTCGGAGAACACCTTCACATCCCTGCCATTTAACGCCTTTCAACGCCTGCCCCTGACAGAACTTACTGCGGCAAACAACAAGCTTTGCGGCACCTTGATACAATCAAATGCTGCTGAATTTCCTAAGCTCCGCACCCTCGACATATCTGGAAACTCCATCAAGGCTATCTCCTCTGGCTCGCTGTCTCTCCCTTCGTTGCAGCTTCTAACTGTATCTGCCAATCGCTTGACTCATCTGCCGAACATGTCGACCTGGGTATCGCTTCTCACGCTGTCTGCTTCGGACAATTCGATTTCCGCACTCCCCGAAGGATTTGTCAGTCTTCCAATCTTGAAGACTGCTGATTTGCAGGGGAACGACTTGCGTATACTTGATGACAATATTGCACTGATGGATTCGTTGGATACGCTGTTGGTTAGTGGTAACCCTCTTCGGGAGAAGAAGTTCAGCGGCATGAATACCGCAGATTTGAAAAAGGTACTCAAGGGAAGGTTAGAACCAGAGCCCGAGCCAGAGCCGGAGACCATCATTGAAATTCAGAACAACGGATTTGGGGCTGCAATTGCTAGAGACGACGACTCGGACACTGGAACCGAATACCTGGATGCACCAAGCACACCTACACTTCCACGATCGCCCTCCGCAAGCGAGTGGTCGATAAACACATCCTTGGGAATTCTAGACCGCTCGTACTCTCAGTCATACTCGCTAAACCCGCTCGTCGCTGCACAGATTGCGAGCGAAAACAAAATCAAGACGATGGAGCTGCATCACAACAGTTTTACTGAGATCCCAACAAGCATTGCGTTCTTCGGTCTTACCCTGACTACACTAAACATGTCACACAATTCACTCACCAGTGACACCTTTATGAAAGACGAAATAGAGCTACCGGCGTTGAAGGAGTTGAATCTCAGCTCCAACACGTTCAGTTCGCTCTCTCCAATTCTGCGCTTGCTCTCTGCACCACGTCTTGAGAAGTTAGATGTCAGCTTCAACCGCCTTACAACGCTTCCGTTCCTTCGAGGGGCGTTCCCATTGCTGACGGCTGTGCTGGCGAGCAACAACACGATCCGTGAGGTGAGTGCACAGAACGTGACGGGATTACGGATATTGGACGTCGGAAGCAATGAATTAGAAAGGCTAGACGCACGGCTGGGCCTTGTTGAGTCGCTGCAGAGGTTGGAAGTGTCAGGGAATAGGTTCAGGGTGCCGAAGCATACTATTCTGGAGAAGGGGACGGAGGCGGTGCTCGCATGGCTGCGAGATAGGATTCCTGTCTCAGAGTTGGAAGAACTGAGCTGATGAGCGAGTAATGGGAGTTGTCTGAGTCCAGTAATGTGGAGTAATTTGGGGTGGAATGGGATAGAGGCGTCGGCGATTGGAAGGTTACTGGCAGAGAATACCAGGGATGAAAGACGGGTCTAACTAGTATATAATAATGTATTAACTATTCAATGAGGCTATTCGATAAAACTTTGGGAGAGTGGTTTGGACTTGGAAGTACACTGCCTTTGAAAAGTTTATGAGTGATTTAATAATCAGACAACACATGAATACCTAAGGCAATTTCGACAACCCCGCGAATCGCCCCCAGCACCACCGTCCTTCCGCAACTAGTCATACAAAAGTCAAAAACATAACAATAACATACAACAGTAGGAATTTGCTGCTGGCCACCCGCTCGACTACTAATCCGCCGATCTGATGTTTTCACTTGCTTGTTACTTCAGTCGGTGACACCAGGCAAAAGGGGCGAGTGTCTGTGTCTCAAGTATTTGAGGCAATTACGAGCCACCTCAATTATGTGGTGGGAATTATCTCGACAATGCAGATGCACGTCTCATACTGAGACACAATTGACTTGGTGCAGCACGACTTTGAATGGCCATGGGTGATCTAGGTGGTCCAGGTGACATAGGTGAGATTGACTGTGCAAAGGTTTCATATTCCTTCAATATGCAAGCATTCCTTCCATATGCGGTGCGAGGATTCCTTCGACTTTGAATCTGCTAATTCACTTGCTCAGACTTAGGTCAGGTTGAACAGTAACAACTTTTGGTGTAACAACTTTTGGTGTAACAACGGATTATGTTATTGTATTATAAACCGTTTTTTTGTTTTCAAATTACACTCTGTCAGATGAAGTATTTACCACACAGGCATGCTTTCAAGTAAATCTCACTCTGTTAGACGACAAAAGGTTTTACAGAATGTGTGTAAATATACGCATAAGGCTGGGCCTGCATTATCGAGGAGGATCACCTGTGTAACACTTGACAGCTTCTCCTTAGCTCGTAGTACCTTCGTGCTCGGCCAACTGTCCTGCTCGGCCTGCCGATATGCTCTCCCTGACGTACCTCTAAGCAAATGGGTATATATAGGTCTTTAAGTCCAAAGAAAAGTCAACCTCATCCATCATCATTCAAAAAGATCCTCAGATATAGTTTCTACAAAACAAAAGTTTCCGACCATTAAGATCTTATCAGCTACATCCCGCAATATCAGACAACTACTCCCAATAAACACCATGCATACCAGCTTCATTCTCACTGCCATCGTCGCTATCGGCGCCGCCACGGGGGCCTCTGCCTCAACAATGGCTCCTCGCGCTGCCCTCCCTAAAGCTAACGAGTTAACAAGTCCAAACTGGTAAGTCTTATACGCCTAAACCCATATATCCCCTTTCATCTATGACCTACCACTTATACAAACGAAACGCCTACTAACTCCTGCTTTCTCTCTCGTAATAGTGCCCCAGGAACCGGCAGTTATGAGCATCATTCAGCCTTTCTCGGCGACGTTACAATGAACGATGGTAGTCATTCCGTCTACTTTGCTGCTGGGCCATGGGACTTCTTCAGTGGCAAGACCAAAGAAGGTGGATATTGTACAGGCGATTGGATAGGAAGATGGGCAGATGATAGTCATCCATGTGTGAATTTGGACACAGCGGGTTCTAACGGTCGTCGTATTAAGTGTGTTAGGCTTGTGAGGATTAGACTTTAGAGGGAAATATTTAACCGCTCTTCGTCACCAGCCATAAGCAATCTTCAGAAAATGAGTGCAATTGGGCCACTTAGTACATTTGTTTGTGTTTGCACCCAGTTCGCAAGTGAGTATGAATGCGAGTACGACTACGACTACGAGTACCCTGACCATCTTAGCCAGACCCTCGTAGTAGTAGATTGTAACAACTGGTGGAATTTCCCTTTAAATTGGAAACTTAGTCCAAGCATATCCACAATATAAAGCACAAATAGGAGGCGTCTGCGCTATGGCTTTCACACGTCAAAGAGAGCCATCATTCCCCACATTCCCCACATGGACTTTCCATCGAACAGCGAAGCCACAATGGGTACCCCGCAATGTCCAAGCACGTACGTTCCCCGTTCGGTATCTTAAAGCTTTTTAGATACACACTGCCGGAGTGCGTCTCCCGATAGAGGCTCTCGTAGCTGTGATAGCTGTGATTACATCAATTTTAAAATTCTTGTAGACCTCTTCATCCAAACACCATTGCAGTCCAGTTTGTATTGTGGGGTGCCATCCTCATTGGGCGATGATGAGCATGTCGGGGTAATAACATGCGAGATGCACAGCGATGGTATAATAACGTGCAAATTATGTCAGCAATTAAGAAGGCTGATCTGATTTTAACTTAAATTTTATATGTAAAGTCTCCTCTTAGATGATTGATGGAGTTGGGAAACTTCTTTAACCATCCCTTTAGGAATCATGCGGGCTTCCATTTTAATCTGCGGTCTGTCGGCTTGCGCTACGGGGTTGGCTGGAATTGTGCCTAGAGTGTCAACTGGCCATGCAGATGGTTCATTTGCTTCCCCTGGAGTTGCAATTAAGCCAAAATTCAGATATTGGTAAATGATTATCTTTTCTCCTATTATTCTACGCAGTTCTGTATTCTGATGCATTGTTTTAGGCTTCCAGATGCGAGCATTGATCCGGCAGGCTTCTCAGACGACATTGCCCAACTTGCCAAGCGTGGCGCTGATGGGACGGAGCTGTTGAATTATTTTGGTCTACCCACAGTCAGTTGACAATAACACAATGGAAAGATGGAAGCGTATACCGTTCTTAGTCCGTCACTCCAAGCAACTGGGATATCTACGGATATGGTGCACCAGGTTATTCCAAAATTGTCAAGGTTGCCTTAGAAGCCCATCGCGACGCTGGCATCTTGTTCGACTATACACACAGTGCCAATGGCTGTGTGCCAGCGGAAAAGGGCAACCCGGGTTTGTCCTGGCAATTGGTGAGATGAGACGCTCCATTATATGCATACGTGCGCGAGTACTGATGTGTCCCAGAATTACTACGGCACTACCAATATTGGAAATTTCAATGGCACCGTACCCGGATGGGGCAAAGGGGAGTTCATCGGTACGGTCACATTTGCGGTGACCAATGTTGGGACTCACCCCGCCGATTTCCATGGCGCGTTCGGATGGGGAAAATCGTATCCTGCCTATACCATATCCAACGCCTCGTTAACAGATGTGACGAGTTTGGTTGACTCCAAAGGATTCATTGAGACAAACCCAATACAGACGCTTGACGCGCAGTACAAATCAAGTTGCAGTTTCCAAGGCCAAGACAACCTTTCAGGGCCTATTAAGCCGTACCAATGTACACCAGGTTCCGTTGGAAGGGCTCGCCGCCAGCATAAAATCCATTGGCATCGCCCCTAGAGTGCAGGTCTAATCGAATGGGTCTTGGTATCCAAGATGGCGAGAGACTTCGTCAGGTGATATTTATGTCTGGATCTACAATGACGGCGCAGACTCTACAGAAAGCCTCACTTTCGCGACCACTGGAACTCCATATTTTCTCAATGCATGGACAGGCGAAGAAGAGCTAATTTTCGAATATACCGCAACCAGTGGGTCTACGATGCTACCATCTGCACTGAAAAAACACACGAGACTCGCATTGTCAAATTTACCAAAAAGACGCAGCTGCTGAGGCATGCTACCACTAGCTCCGACTCTGTGTTAGGCTTCAATGTTCAGTTGCTAGGATCGCTGATACAAGCAAAAGTTGCATACTCTACGTCTTTGTCGACCGTTTCGACGTCCTTTGGATTACCCCAGACCTTCGGAACAACGGGCGTGCAGCCAGCATATACTCTTAACGACTGGAGTCTGGTAATTGAGCATTGGGGACCCCCCGACAACTTGTATAATCTGGACCTCGATGCCAGAAAGGAAAATCTGACTGTTCCCATCGATGGGCCTTCATTGAAGTCATGGAAGGATCTTGGGTTTCCAGATGTCTCTGGCATTGGATTTTATAGGACCACTTTCGAATGGAGCCCCTCATTACTTTACTCCACGGGAGGGGCGTATCTCATCCTTCCACCAGTCTCGGACGGAATTGTGGGAACACTGAATGGCAAGCGCCTACCTGCATTTGACATCACAAACCCAACCACTCATATCAAATCGTACCTTAAGAAAGGGGAGAACGTGCTGGAGTTCAAGGTTTCATCCACGTTGAAAACTTCACTGAAGCCAATATGGAATAACCTTCAAACGGCTGGTGGTGGTGTGGCATCAAGTTGGGATGCTACAGCGAAACTGGGATTTGGACTGCAACATTACGGTCTGATTGGCGAGGTTCAAATTATTCCATATGGGTTGGTGCCGATATTGTAGGAAATCTAGGGAGAGAATTATTAAACCAAGTTCCGATCTTTGCTGTGGTTGTGGAGAATACCGAAGACTGATATGGAGCAGCATTCTCCACAGCAGCTCACGCAGCCTTGGGGGCCTAATAATTTCCAAGTGATCCCTGTTCTTCACCTAATGAAGCGATTGTGACCAGAGTTGCTATTGGGACTAAAGTAATTGGTAATACCTAATCCTTAATCTCGGAATTTTAGACAAGTACGGCCCCGCTAAATTGAGTTTGGCGGCAGCTAAACCCGATAATATGCTTACAGAGCAATACCCTAAATAGCCAATACCGTCGGACTTCGGTGTAGTTTATTTTCCGAGCAACGACGCACGTCACTTCTAAACTTTTGTCTGACTGAGCAATATACACACCAATGCTCTCCTCGGCCTTGAGTAGATGTCCGAGGATCGGCATATTTGTAATACTCGATATAATTCTACTGAGACGCCACAGAGACCTCTAACTACCCAGTACCGTTTGGGTATTGGATTGCACAGAATTGGAAAATATGCAACGGATTGTTATTATTTATGTTGAAGTTGAACCAATGAGCGACGATGGAATTTATTAGTTTACCCCATTGCGTCATTGTTAATCATTTCTCTACGATTACCTATGCACTTACTCATCGACATAATAGTGCACCGCTATAAACATATCATATATATATATAAGAAAGTCCTCCTTGTAGCAGGTAATATATATTCATGAGCCTCTAATAGACATCAACTCAACAAGACTGATATACTTTCCAACCAACACATAACTACGTCATCCATCTCAGAGCAACAATGGCAGCTCGAAAGGTTCTCATTACTGGCGCAACGGGCAAGCAAGGCGGAGCTGTTATCGATGCCCTCTTGTCAAGCGGTTCATCTTTCCAAATCCTTGCCCTGACGCGCAATGCCTCGTCAAAGGGCGCTCAATCCCTGGCCTCAAAGCCCAACGTCACTGTTGTTGAAGGAGACTCTTCCTCCCCGGCCTCAATCTTCAAAGCTCACTCACCTATCCACTCTGTTTTCTCCCTGACCATCCCAGGCAAAGCTGGAGCTGAGGAACAACAAGCTAAGCCGCTAATTGACGAGTCTATCAAGAACGGAGTCGACCATTTCGTCTTCACCTCCGTGGATCGCGGTGGACCTGGGACGAGCGAGAAGAACCCTACCAACATCGAGCACTTCGCATCAAAACATCGAATCGAGGAATATTTGAAAGAAAAGAGTGGAAATGGGTCGAAGATGGCATTCACGATCCTAAGACCTGTGTGTTTTATGGACAACTTGACCCCGGATTTTATTGGAAGATCTTTTGCCAGTATGTGGAGAGGAGTTGGCGACAAACCCCTGCAACTGATCTCCGTTCACGACATCGGAATTTTTGCTGCGAAAGCTCTTTCGAATCCCGAATATAAGGGGAAAGCAATTTCCCTGGCAGGCGACGAATTGACAGTAGAGCAGGGGAAGAAGGTCTTCAAAGAGACGATGGGGTATGATATGCCAGAATCCTTTGGCTTCGTAGGCGCAGGCCTCAAATTCGCGATGAAAGAGTTGGGAACCATGTTTAAGTGGTTCAAGACGGATGGATATGGTGCAGATATTCCAGCATTGAGGAAAGAGGAACCGGCGTTGCAGAATTTTGGCACTTGGCTAAAGGAGAGCAGCAAGTTTTCAAAGCAGTAGGAGATGAGTGAGGGAGAATATTTGTAATATTAGTTTCATATCAACTCGAGTTAATATAAATAATACTTCAGCCCGTTCTGGGGTCCAGGCCTGCGCCTGCACAGGCACAACACAAAGTAGAGTAAGGCGGCGGAAACTTTCGCCGCCCATCTCCATATGTAGACCAAGACCCGTTCGCACCGAATACGCGGATCGGCGAAAATGAAACTAGCCCCAATTAAGCTATCAAAACGAGTACGTCGCCCTTTGACATCAACTCGCCGAGACGAACGTTACTGAACTGGTAAACAATCGGCGCTGTCTGCTTTAAGTTCTGCGGGAGTGCAAGTCCTTTCCGAATGTGGCTTTCAAGGTCGCCGTCGATGGCATCACTGCCCGTGGCGCAGCCGATCTCCTGGCTTCCCACAGCGACCGACAAGAGTCTATATAACGGTGAGTTGCTGTTCCTAAGACGCATGTCACACAGTAATTCTGTACCTGTTTGATACAATCCTTCAATATGTTTTTGACAAGGATTTTGGGCATTGTTGCCTCATTTATTTATTTTGCCAGGTCCTCAGTTGCAGATCACAGCTGTCCCCCTGATGGACCTCTACTTCCCCGCCCAATGACTCTCGCCAGCCAGGCGGAGTTCAAGGCCGCTGGGACACAATTATCTCATATTCTAGACTCTGTCATTAATGACAAAATTGAGGCTGGGTTCTCAGTTGAGAACACCTCCTTTTCGATTTCAATCACAACCCTTGATGATAGACATGGGAACCCAGCGTGGCAGTACCACCACAGAGGAGCAAACAACGTGAAAGGAACCAAGAACGTCGACGGGGACACCCAGTATCTGATTGGGTCCATCTCTAAGGTCTTCACCGATCTTCTTTTGCTGAAATCCGGCCTCAACCTCGACGATCCTATCACGAAATACCTGCCAGAATTGATCAGCAACGATTCTCTAATCAACTGGAAGGACATTAGCCTCCGGGCTTTGGGCGCACATCTTGGTGGCATCCAAGGGTTCTGTATGTTTCGCGTTATTCACCCTATACTGGCACAACTAATCCGACCAAGATGGATACCCTGAAATGTCATATACAGTGCCGGATTTCGAACAGCTGGGATTCCCGAAGCTCTCAGATGACGATTTTCCACAGTGTGGCGTATTGGGCATGAGCAAGGGATGCAACAAGAAGCGTTAGTTTTCAAGCCAGTTTTAAACGCCGAGCGCTAACCGTCGTTGTAGAACTTCTTGCTGGCCTGAGGGATACAGCTCCTGTCACAACACCCGGCCTTCGTCCTGCGTACTCATCAATATCCTTTGTTCTTTTATCATATGCCATGGAAGCTGCCACTGGAAAGAATTTCACCCAATACTTAGGCGAGCAGGTCATCAAACCATTGCATCTACCTGGCACGGGTGCATCTCCCGGAAATGATAAGAAAGCTGCGATACCCCCTATTGAAAACTCATGGGGAAGCGATTACGGAGACAACGTTCCGTGAGTATGCTCCTCAGATATGTAATTTATAGCTAATTATTTAAATAGTGGCGGCGGTCTCTACTCCACAACCAACGACATGTCTCAATTTATCAGGTCTATTCTGACGCATAAGATTCTCTCCCAGACAGAAGTTAACACATGGCTAAAGCCGCTGTCAACGACCCCGCAACTCAATACCCTAGTGGGCATGCCCTGGGAGATTTATCGAAGTAATATCCTTACCCCAGATCATCCACACACAGTCGATGTATATTCCAAGCGCGGCAGTGCAATGGGCTATGAAGCTTATATGGGCATCATCGACCAATATGGACTTGGCTTCACTATTCTCACCGCTGGTGGTTTCTCCGAGGCCGCAACAAACTTAGCAGACACTCTAATTGCCATCCTTCTGCCAGCCGCCGAAAAGGCTACACGTTCCGAAGCACAGGAATATGTAGGCAACTTCACCTCCAGCAAAGAGCACGAATCAGCCATTATAACCACAATGGACAATGGACCAGGTCTGATTCTCTCAAACCTCACAAGAAACGGCTCCAATATTGTAGGGGCAATCAAGAGTCTCTGGGCCTCACAACCAGTCCCCCTTGGCGGGCTTTCAGAGACTCTGCGCCTCTATCCCGCAGGCGTGTCTCGCAGCATCCGCGTGACTGAATGCGTTAATGGCAAGGAGCAGACAAAGACACAGGTAGAAGAGGAGTGGCGCCTGCAGTTCGACATAGTATCCGGAAATGAGGCTCCCGGAAAACTGCCCTCGACATATCTCGTCGCTGGTGCCTGTGGTACGTTCCAGACACCTGGGTTGCTAGTGTATGGTGGCGAGGCGCTTGATCGGATTGTATTTGTTAAAGAGCACGGTAAGGTTGTTGGTGTGAAAGTCCCATCACTTCGTGTCGAGTTTGATGTCCGCGAGTAGTGTCGTATGTCAAAGCTGCTGAATATTTCATCTGCCATTAGAGAGAGGTGGTTGTAAAGGGGTTGTAGTATCATTCTCGGCATTTTGGAATATAGGCTATACATTAAAGAGAGTGCAGTTTAATTTATATATATACAGAATTGGCACCTAGGGCGATGGCATGTGAGTGCATACTTGGCAGTTGTCTAGTTTGTCAAACCTCTGAGGTAGTTATCCTGTCTCTCAAACCTCTGAGCCAACCCAGGGTATGTACATCATGAAAAATAGCTCCTATAAAATGCAAGTGATAGTATCTGTAAACAGCACACAGCTTACTTACAGTTTTCTCTTTATTACTATGCCTATCATTTGCTACTTACAAACAAACAAATGTGAACCTGTACAGGAAGCATAGCACAAATGCAATCCTCTAGAAAAAACAACTGGAGAGAGTTGGGCAAAAACTTGTAACTCAACACAGAAGTGATTCGCTTATTTGGTCGCCTCGTAGCTGCGAGGAAGTGAGGTGAGGTGGTAGACCTCACCTCGTTTTCGGCCAAGTCGCGCTCTTTTACCTCGACCTTAACTCCTCCAACCTTCTCTTCTCCAACCTTCACTCCTCCAACCTCAATTCCTCAGCATTCACTCCCCCAGCATTTATTCCACAAAAGCCTTCAATCTCAGCAACCTCCATTTCATACCTGCATCACCTGCCGCAAAACTCTCTCGAGGGCACGACACCATGGGCAGTAAGTATTATCAATAATGATTAATGTGAATCTCTGAAATTAACACACAGATAGGATCTAAGAACCACAATAAGAACCCCCGTCACGTCCACCATGAGCCATCCCAACCCTCGTATGGCGGTGTCCAAAAGTCGAGATTGGAAGTCAAAATGCGAAGGAAAGACGGAGACAAGTATGTTGACGATATTAGGGCCGAAGTAAGTGTATAATTTTATATTCATACGACATATCTGACAAGGATATATAGGTCATAAAGGAGAGAAGGGCAGCAGAAGAAGCAGCAGCAGAGGGGCCATCTCCGGGCCAAAGACTTCGACGCGGGGAGCTTTTGGCTGAAAAAGAAAACTACTTGAAGCGATTCACCGCCGCCAATGCAAGGATCGCCGCGGCAAAGAAAGCCGTCGACACCGCAGCTGCACAGTATGAAGAAGCCAAGGAGGAGAAGCGAGTGATGGAGGCGGCATACCGCGATATTTTGACTGAGCTTGGTCGTATCCCAGCTGATCTCTCCAGCTCCAGAGGAGGGACGTTGAGGAGTGGGGTCGATATCGTGACGAAGGAGGAGGGGGAGAATGTTGCGAAGCAGGAAGTAGAACATGTTGTGAAGCAGGAAGGGGAATATGTTGTGAATCAGGAAAAAGAAAATGTTGTGAAGCAGGAGGGGGAGAATGTCATGAAGCAGGAAGAAGGAGGAGTCGTCGAAGAGGAATAGGAGAGGGGAGGGGGGGATATGTTTTGATGGATGTCGAGAGTAACGAACCACATATCCTGCTTATATTTTGCTGTATATAATAATCGGGGCATAACTGTTTAGCTAATCCCAATAATAATTGCGCGACAAGCAACGACATTTCACTCAACGATATAATCAGCATAGTATTTGTGACGTCGAAAAGTTTGGAGAGTGACTGTACAACAACAGCTGAGTTGGTATAATAACTGTAGCCTCGCACTCCCCTTCGACCCACTTAATCCCACCCATATCACGTGCATCTAATTCTCGCGTCTCCACCTACAAAAATCTCCAAACGTCGAAGCTCTCTCCCACTCCACAAACCTCACAATGGCAGATTCCCGGTTCTGATGTCCAACATGGAGATACCAAACCCATTCCACACGTAAGAATTGGACTTAAATACTGAAGCGCATGTCTCCCTTTCTCCCCTGTCCTTTCCTTGCCTCCCCGAACACTGTCTCCTGCCTCGCTCAGCTCCGCCTTCCTCTGGCAGAGTTTCGAGCTGGATGCGCGCCGGTCCGCAAGGACCGCCGTGTACGAGACCAGAACGAACCCAGCGACCTTTGAGTGCGTACCCTCTCGATCCATGTGGAGGATTGCGCAATTTGTTGTCTGGGACAGACAAGACGATAACGAACTGTTTGGAGACGAAGCAGGATTTCATTCTATAGTTGTAGGCAATAATTGGAAGAAGTTCATAGAAAACCAAATGGATATATACCCCCCCAAGACTCCTATCTATATCATCGCTCAATGCAGACCCAATGCAATGCAATGTTAATAATACGCCGCCAATCGCACAATTCAATCCCACTCTTTACTCCGCAAACCCAATGCTCTCCCTCGCATCATCCACTACCCTCCCATATTCAAGCAGCAGCCGAAAGAACCACACCTCGAGATCCGCATTCCTCAGCGCCCTCCCCGCCCACTCCGTACTCCTCATCGCAAGCGCCTTCCCCTCTTCTGTCGCAGCTCCCCCTCCCGCACCCCCATCCGTAATCCACCTCATCGCCTCAACCCAGTCCCTCCCATGCAAGCTCAGCGGCACATAATGCACCCACTCGCGCAGCCACTCCGCGTGCCACTCGCGCGAGATTCCCATCTTCAGCACCGCACTCCCACTCTGCAGGAAGCTGTAGAAGCGCCCGCTGAAAGCGTTGCCGTCCATGTCGAGCAGGTAACGGGAGCGCCATGCATCGTTCGGGTCTACCTTGGGGAGCACGTGGAAGGCCTCGCGCTGCGCGGTGCAGTCGCCTGTATCACATTGCCCGACTTCAGTGAACTTGATGTCGAAGAGGTCTTTGTGGTCCTGCACAGCAGTGCTTTTTTCAGTCCACTCCGTGGCGCTGTCTTCCTTGGCGAGGATCGGGGTTTGGTCGTTGGAATTTGCTTTAAGGACGAAACGCTGACGATGATGGCGGCGCCACGCTCCGAAGCGCGAGTAGCCGCCGGTAGTCCCGCCGCGCCAGTACAGAGTCTCTTGTTTCTCGGCCCATGGTATGTCTTTCGTGGCATTATAGGGCACCATGTCGTACCAGTACCAGGGGGAAGGGTATATGATGTCTTGGAAGCTGGATATCTTGCTCTGCGAGAATATAGGGATGAGATCCTGAGCAACGTTGAAGCTGTTTGCGCTCGCAAATAAGCCGTAGTTTTTGCTGAACGATGGGGAATTGCAGATATCGCTATACGCCGTCTGGTTTGTTATGAAACCTAGCGGAGTGGTAATCGACTTGTTGTTGACGTCTGGCACTTCTCCCACTTCCAGGAGAGAGCGCGATGGCGAATCAGGTGGACACGAAAGTTTCGAGTGCGCCCAGGTCGACTGGTGAGAAAAGTAGTTAAACCGTGACGTCGGCACTTCCTTGATCCCCTTAACTAAATCCGCATGCGAACTCCACGCGTTCCGTGGCTTCTCATTCAGCATCGCCGTCTCTATGCTCTCCTTACCATTCGCCACAAGTCTTTGTAGGTCATCATGTGGCACCGCCACGCGTGGCTCATCGTGCACATTGAATGCCAAATCCATATCTGGCAGGTACTGTGTGAATTCTTTCGTCATCCCCTTTAGTGCATCTCTCACCCAACTCTGGCCCCCCTCTGTATGCGTGACATTCCCCTGCCGAATCTGCAGCGCAATGAGCATGTTATCGTGGCCAAGAGCTTCGGTGACGCGCGCGCGCAGGACAGCGGGTGGGAGTCCCCGGAATGGGAGGAGGAGGTCGTGAATGGTGTCGAACTCATCGACGAGGACGACCTTGCGCGCTTTGGCGAAAGCGTACCACTTGTCAAAGTTTGGGGGCGGGGAGAGGCCATAGCGGCGCTTGTATTCGGCGATGACTTGGGAGAGACTGGTTGATTGCCGGGCCTTGAGGGCTTCGAAGTCGGCGTTGGCGTTGGCTATTAGAGTTCGTATGGGGTGGTCGCCAGAGCCAGTTGTAGGCGTTGGTGGCGTTGGAGTGGCTAACTTGTATTCCGTATCTCGCGAGGAGCTTTGGGGAGAAAATATCTTTGGGATAGAAGCTGGGGCTTTGCCATCTCGCAAGAAAACCAATGTCGTAGTAAGGAGAACAGAGGCAAGTATAAGACACACAATCCTTGTCGGGGTTCTTCGTCGCATCTTGCGAGACATCCACTCGCAACTGTCCCTTAATTATGACCCAAAATAAATGTTATAAAGGCAGACAGGTCTCTGGTGATAGTTCAAGCTGTTTAAGAACTATTGTTTCAGCCGGACAGCTCACTAGACGTTCCGCAAAGTGGACGATAGTAATTTTATGTCAGGATTTCGAAAAGTAAACAAAGGCATTCATGCCCTCCGTTATCTCTTATCTAAATACGGAATGTCATTGGCCGTTGTGGGCAACTGCCACGTGGTCACGTGCAAAGTCAAAGTCCTCTCAGCAATTATATGAACCACACCGCGAAAAATTAAATGGGGATCATGAGCTTTTAATTGTCTTTATATGCACGGCTATCTAGCTTTCGCCGCTTATCCCTCTACAGATTCATACATTGGAACCAACGCCCAAAGTCTTTCCATTCCCGGGATATATCCTTTTGATGTCCGATGCATTGCTCATGATACTCCAAGACGCCGTTTGCCAGTCCGATAATCTAGTAGAAGAAACCGATGATCTTGCCGGCAACGTGCTTGCGGCGGGCCTCCTCGTGGTCCATGATGCCAGCGGAGGTGGTCAGGACGATGTAACCGAACTGACGGGCGGGCAGCAGCTTGACAACCCACTTCTCGAGGTCACCGAGACCGACGTTGTAGCGGGGGGAGATGACACCGGTCTTGTTGAGACGTCCGTTCAACTGGATGACGATCTTGCCGGAGCGGTGGTCATCGACCTCCTCGAACTCTCCGATGTAGCCTAGGAGATATGTCAGTATATCGCGAAAATTTAAAAGTCGCATAGTTAATGGAAATAACATGAAACGTGTAAGATCCTCGCATGATAATATATCGGCAACTTAAAGGACTATGGTCGTAGGAATCGGAACCGTCATCTAGTTATCATGCCGAATGGCAAGGAAAGAAAGCAAGAAAACGAAAAGAGAAGTAAACGTACCGTGCTTCTGCATGACAGCAAGGAACTTGACGATGACCTTGGAGGAAGGTCTGATGAGGACCTGGCGCTTTCCGGCCTTCTCGGCGTTGTTGATGGCGTTAAGCGCATCGTTGAGGACGGAAGTCTTGACCATTTTGGCGGTGGGAGAAGGTTCTCAGATCGTAGATTTGAAAAGAGGTACCTGTCAGGAAAATAAAGTTAGCCTTCATGGGCCTGAAGCATAGAAGAGTGCCCTCGTGCTGAGCAGAGGGTTCTTCAGCTTTTGTCGCAAGGAGAGAAGCGTATCGGTGTCTTCAGACAGCGATGCAGTACGTCAAGCGCATGCAGGCCAGAATGAGTGGACAATCGATTGCTCCCTCCGCCCTTATGAAGGACTTTTGAAATATAGCAACAGCATTGTGGTGTACATACCTTGTGTTTTGGATTGATCCAGTTGTCGTTGAAGAGGAATGAAGAGAAAAGTTTCGCGATGCTTTGACATTAGCTCTGGTCTGGTGGTGTTGTGTGGGAGCTAGCCATGTTAGGACTAGGTTTCGCGGTTAAGCGATGAGGGCACGCACTTTAAGGCCCGCTGTTGAACATCGCAAGGTTCTTTTTCACATTCAAACAACCACTTCGAGGATCTTTCGACATTAACCTGAAAGCCATACAAGATGGTATGTACTTCCAATTCCTCAATCCAGAATCACCCTCTCGATAGTCTTTAGAGAATTCCAGACAACGCACGCACACAAGCCATTCATGTACTAACTGCGCTTAGTCGGACGTAGAAGAGGATACCCCCGCTGTTGAGGTGCAAGATGAGGTCGAAGTCTCCGGCGAGGCTCCCAAGGGACAAATGTCGGTTCTCGATGCGCTGAAGGGCGTTCTCAAGCTCGCGCTCATGCACGACGGTCTTGCACGCGGTCTCCGTGAGGCCTCCAAGGCTCTCGATCGTCGCCAGGCACACATGTGCGTCCTCAACGAGGCTTGCGAGGAGGAGGCCTACAAGAAGCTTGTTGTGGCCCTGTGCTCTGAGCACAAGATCCCTCTCATCAAGGTCCCAGACGGAAAGCAGCTCGGAGAATGGGCTGGTCTTTGTGCGTATACCCAGATACATATTTTTTGATTTGGTTTGAGAATTATACTAATTGGTCCACAGGCGTTTTGGATCGTGAGGGAAATGCCCGCAAGGTTGTCAACTGCTCGTGCGTTGTCGTCAAGGATTGGGGTGAGGAGTCGCAGGAGCGCTCCATCCTCCTCAACTACTTCCAGACTGAGCAGTAGAGGACTTTTGTTGGACCACAGGTGCAAGGCATGATGGATGGGGTTACACAGGGGGGAACATTGGCTATGTCATGACATGACGGTGGGATATCTTCTGATGTACTCTAGCTTCGGGCTTGCATAGCTGGACATCAATGAAACTTCAATTGTGCAATTTAGCTGTGTAATTTTTTTGTGTGCTGTGAGCCACGTGATATATCATGTGATGTGTCATGTGACCAAGCACTTAGCCTGTCCTATGTAATTTATGTGATAATGGATCACCACTGTCACAGGCTTGCCAGCGTCTCAATTTCATTGCTCCGCGCTTGTGGACACGAGTAATAACTTCGGCTCTCTCCGACACGGAATATTAAATCCATCAACCGGCTCAGAAGCAGCCCCAGTTCCGCTCATCACGTTGGGCTTCTTCAATCTTTTCGCCATCTCCAACAGCTGCACACAATCATTGCCAAGACGCTCCATCGCCGAATGAGGAAGGCCCTTAAGAAGTAGGAAGGAGGAGCACGTGCAGCGAGATTGTGTTTGACAGTCGGCATTCCAAGGGATAGCGTGATTGGGTAGGTGCTTGCGGTAGGTTGGCGCTTGTTGCTTGGCGCTGCCGAGGCGGTTGGGGAAAGTTGAACGCGGCGTCAAGGGGATTGGAACTAAGATGCCGACGTCCTTCCTATATCTGTTTTCAGCGCATCTGAACCGTACAAAGTAGAGCATGACTACTGGGACTACAATACGGCCAAGGGGCGGTTCATACGAATATATTGATTCTCCATGAGGTAGCCCAACCACAAGTACACCACTTATGTACTGTAGGAGAGTACGTACGTGGTATGAGACATGGCATGAGTGCCGTACCGAGGGTGAGCACGTCCCCTATATACAGTTTATAGTACAGCACTTCACCCTGCATGGCCGATATATAGCCAGGCGGTTGCCGACGCACCTGCTCCATACGAGCGGAGCACAGAGCACGGCAGAAAGCTTCGCGCATACGCCGGCCATATGTCGGCCGTTAGCAGCGGGTGTTTTCTTAAGCTATTGCGGGGAGCCACACCCATTGACTAGTGGCACAAGATGGGGGGAAAGGGACAGGTCGGTTTCAGCAGTGTCCTACTTTACAGTTCTGTACCAATAAACTGTTCTGTGCCTTCCTGTATGGGGCCCTTAGGGTGGCCTGTACTACCTCGTACACCGTGGAACACTAAGGTCCGTGACGGCGTCGAGGCGCGAGTCCGTCTTGCCACCAACAAGTGATAGGATGTCGTATCGGGCAGGCGGCCAAGGGTGCTGCCGCTGTCCTTCTTCACACCTGCCACATCTGGCCTGAGACCGTCCTTCAACCGATAGTACAACACTATAGCCATCCCATGGTGCCATGGTCTGGCGCTGGTCTCAGTCCCACAGGATACCCACAAGGAGCTCTATCTTCCATCCAACATCCCTCCTGCGATCTGCAGCCCGCCACTCATCCCTTCTATCTCCGTATCTAGCAAGGATAATCCTCCTGTCACTCCAATCCCCCCTGTCCTGCTAGCTATCTCGACTGCAATTCTGGGAATACGGTCTAGTCGTCTACCACTGTATCGCTCGTGGCCATGGGTGATGACAGACTGGGGTCGAGGTTAGGGTCGCACGACCGCCCTTAGCCGTGGCCAGGAGCTGTCTCAAATGCGCATATATTCTTGCCAGTCCCCCGCTCCCTTGATGCATAGAAGCTACAAGTTTCCAGACACGGTTGTTCCGCCCCAACCTACCTTGACCGAGAGACGACGATCATTATGGAGAAGGATAAGTCCATCGCCGGCGAGACTCCGGTCTACGTCGACATGTCGGGGTCCAACGAGGTCATCGATGAGAAGGCTGAACATGTTAGCCATCACGATGCGTTGGACTCGAAGGCTGCCAACGTCACCGCCTACCAGGTCGAGCCCATTCAGGGCGAGACTCACTCTTTGAAGGATGAGCTTTTGGCAGATGAGGAGATTGACTTGTTCAAGCCCTTCCCCATCGACCCTTCTCACCCTGTCGAGGAACATATCCTCACAATCCGCGCCTTGGTGACCGGCATCGCCCTCGGCGCCCTCGTCAATGCCTCCAACTTATATCTCGGTAGGCGCAAAACCCCTCTTCTCGGGGAATTCACTAACAATCGCAGGTCTTAAAACTGGTTTCACCTTCAGCGCAAGCATGTTCGGTGCCATTTTCGGGTACGGTTTTATCAAGTTCCTCTCACGAACCACAGGTAACATGCCTATCCTCGGCGGTTCCTTTGGACCACAGGAGAACACCATCGTCCAGGCCGCTGCTACTGGAGCGGGTGGTATCGCTGGTCTCTTCGTCGCGGCCCTGCCAGCCATGTACCAGCTTGACCTGATGAGCAGCCTGCCAATCGATGATATTGGAAGGATATTCACTATCACCCTGATCTGTTCTTTCTTCGGCCTCTTCTTCGTGACCCCACTTCGTCGATTTTTTATCATCCAGGTGGCTAAGGAGCTCAGACTGATCTTCCCTACCGGTAAGTTACACCAGCACACTATAATGGTGCATGACTAATTTTCTCAGCGACGGCAACCGCTCTCACCATTAGGTCTATGCACGCTGCAGGCTCTGGTGGTCTCGATGCCGTTAGGAAGCTGAAGGCTCTGGGTTATACATTCATTGCCGCTGTGATCCATCGTGTCGCATCATACTATGCCATTGGTATCCTCTACGACTGGCACGTGTTTACTTGGTAAGTCTCCTATCCAGGTAACCAAGTATTCTTGTCTAACATCCCAGGTTCTACATATGGTCTGGGCACACTAACTGGGCGCTCAACATTGAAAACTGGGGCTGGTACATCGAAATCACTCCTGCCTTCATCGGTTCGGGTATGCTCATCGGTCTCAACTCGGCCCTTTCTATGTTCGGTGGTGCAGTCCTCGCTTGGGGCATAATCGGGCCTCTCCTCGTCCACTACGGAGAGTGTATCGGCAAGGCCTACGATCCGGAAGACCCAATCTGGCACGATTACACGTCCTTCAGCTCTCTGAAGAACCTAGGCAAGGAGACTCCCTCACCACGTTACTGGCTCTTATGGCCGGGTGTCATGATCATGGTGTGCGCGTCGCTCGCTGAACTCTTCATCCAGTACAAGGTCATCTGGATCGCCTTCAAGTCCGTATTCCGCCAAGTCAACACTTCCATCGACGAGGCGGCGAGGAAGCGCGGCAAAGTTATCCCTTTCTGCGCTCGCCATGCCGGTACTATGGACTCATCCGACCTCGTCGAGGACCCATTCCCAGCGGAGCAGCAGGTTAAGGACTGGATGTGGATGCTTGGCCTTACCGTAACCCTCGTCATCTCTTTCATCATCTGCCACTTCCAGTGGCAGATGAACGTCGGCCTCACTATCTTGGCATGCGTCCTCGGTTTCATATTTGCCTTCCTCTGTATCCAGATCGGCGCCGTCACTGATACCACACCGCTCACCGCCGCCTCCAAAGCTTCTCAGCTCGTCTTTGGTGGTGCTACTTCCGGCCACGGTTACTCCATCAAGGATGCACAGCGCCTCAATCTCATTGCTGGAGGTATCGCCTCCGGCGCTGCCGATGTGGCCACCAACCTTACTGCGGATTTCCGTACTGGTTTCCTCCTCCGCACCCCGCCTCTGAAGCAATGGATCGCCCAGGCCATCGGCACCCTGGTCTCCGTTTTCCTTGCCCCTGGCATGTTCGTCCTCTTCACCTCCGCCTACCCCTGCATCATCCACCCCGACGACTATGACCACTGTCCCTTCCAGGCTCCGTCCGTGGCTGCTTGGGCCGCTGTCGCCCAGGCCGTCACCGACCCCAGCATCGGCATCCCCATCAAGGCCGGCATCTTTGCCTGCGTTATGGGCGCCGTGTCGGTCATCCAGGTCATCTTCCGTCACTACTACCTCGTCGGTGAGCGTGAGAAGTACCGCGCCTATCTTCCCAACTGGGGTGCCATCGCGCTCGCCTTCGTGTTGCCCGTTCCAGTCTTCACCAATGCGGCGCTCCTTGGTGCCATAATCGCTGCTGTCTGGCGCAAGTACCGCTATGCCAGCTGGGATATCTACGGATATGCTGTTGCGGCTGGTATGATTGCTGGAGAGGGTATGGGTGGTGTCGTTGGTGCCGCGCTGCAACTCGGAGGTGTTTCTGGGGATGTGTACGGAACGAACATCGGATGCCCTATGCTCTCGTGTTAGTTGGAGGGCGAGGATGTATGTTGGAGGTATGGGGCTATATACTAAGTTCAGTGAGCTATGTAGAACATTACTAGACTGACTGGTGCTGTTGAACGGCCGCTAATGACAATCGGTTGATGAAACTCCATGTATTTTCGTGATTCTTGTGAAATTGCTTCTACGATATCTCTATCCAAGCGTGATCCTTTCACCTTCCACGTCCTCAACTTCAACAGTATATCAGCTCTATATCCCTCACCAACTTCATAAAGTCGTCTCATAATTTGGCTGTAGATGAGGTCGTGTCAACCTTTTAAGGTTCTGAGAGGCGCTGAGTGACCCACCACGGGACTCGGGGTGTGGCGCTCTGTAATTCACTAGTGACCGAACGTATCACTGGAACTAACCTTTCGTTTCCCTCGAGTTCCAGGCAAACGAACAGTGTTCGCGGAACCCGACGGCGTTCACGACCAGCAAAATTAGCAGGCACATTTACTAGTAAATTATATGCGAACTGACATAGAATACTACGAAATTTGAAAATAATTCCGGCACGCTACCAGAGCCTGTTCTTAACAATTACAGAGAGCACAAATCAAATAATTATAAGCTATACTCTTAATATGAGTAGAAGAGTATATTTATTTATTATGAATCCTCTGAACTGAATATTATGAGGGCTTGTCATTGCAATATATTGGTTTAGATTTTACTTTTTAATTTTTATTATTGCTTTGTTATAAAAGCTGACCTTTACAAATTCTAGTTTTTTCTGCAACATCATCCATTTTCTCTCGAAATATATAGAATGGGACAGAAAGTCTTCAATTTCGAAGATCGAATTTCGATCGCTATAGCGTAGGGGCTAGGTTACCCATTGTAGCACAGCTCTATTGAGCTTGAGCGTGGCCGTCGTATTTCGAGATGGCCAAATCAAGAGTATCGCCGAGAGATTTGGCCTCGCTCTCAAAGTCCTTCGCTCGAGACTGAATGTGTTGGATAAGTATGTTTGATATCGACTGTCCAAGGTTAGCTAATATGCCAATCAAAATGGTAAATTTAAGGAAACCCATATTGACAACGTCTTTCACCTGGCCGAGAACGACAGCAACGGGCGGGCCGAGCAAGGGAACTTGTTCCACGATGCCCGCCTTGCCAATTACGACGCACCATTCTCCTACGAGTACATTAGGTAGGGTCAAATGTCTTGCTAAGTGAAAATCAACCTATGCTCTCATTCTCTTCTGCCTAGTTTCGAGGTGTATGAAAAAGGAGCAGGAATCCAATAGTCCAAATTTAGTGAGTTCGCCGTTGTGGCTAAGACTGAAGTGTTTGATAAGCATATGCAGCATCATGGATGGCCTATGGCGCTGGCGTACTGCCTTGCTGTGCCATAGAAACCCAATTAAGATTGAGTCTGTCTAATCCACAATATAGACTATTGACTTTCAATAAAAGAGGTTCGGGAAAGAGCCGAGGAGGCGGTGGTCTAGCCCACTAAGTTGCAGCATAGCCATACTCTGCCATCTGCCTCTGAGTATCTAACCTAAGACCCAGGATCCGTTGTGACCAGTCCGATCATGAATGATCAGCAATGGGTTAGCCTAAACTAGGCTAGCTTTGTATTTGTATTTGGGCTATTGGTCCCTCCCGAATTTCTTTTTGCCCTCCTCCAGAGTCGATTATAGGCTGATGCGGAAACGGAAACGGAAACGGAAAAGGTCTAACAAGCCCGGTGCAGGTCGTACAGTGACTCCCAATGAAGCTAGTGGCCGAGACGCATCAGAGGCGGCTGTGGCAGATTAATCTCGGTAACTATTCCAGGGACCAACCCTTCAGGCGGCAGGGGGCGGGATCGGGATCGGATGCGAAAGTGCCCAATTGTGCATAATAGGAATGATTACAGCAACTATAATTGAAATGTACGATCTCAGTCGCTCAAAGATAAAACTTTATTTTAGTGACTCAGAGTATAAACGCGAGAAATTCTGCGGATCACGTGGTATGTTGAGAGTATCATCGACGTAAGCAATCACACCATACCCCCGCTCTGACTCTATTAAAAAAGTGTCTCTGTGCCCGTAGAGAAACAAACATAACATAACATATCCGAAACATGGCTCAGATACCCATTGACGATGGAGCTCAGCGGCCCCTCCTCAGCGAATATGATGAGACGACTTATAGTGCTGTAGCTGTTGAGCACAGCGGCACTTTCAGGCGCAACCTTGGCGCCCTTGAAGCATTTGCTATTGTGATCAGCATTGTTATTGGCAGTGGTGTGTTTACATCCACGGGATCGATCGATGCGAATGTGTCGTCCCCCGGTGTGGCCCTAGCGGTCTGGCTGGTTGGTGGGGTGTTGGCTTGGACAGGTGCAAGCACGCTGGCGGAGCTGGGGACTGCGATTCCGGGAGAAGGTGCGTTATGTGGTTTCTGAGACCTGTGAGGACTGAGGACTGACTCTGTCCGAAAGGTGGCGTGCAACCATATCTGCAGCGTGTGTTCGGCGACGTGGCAGGCTTCCTGGCTGCATGGACCTGGGTTGTTGCCGTGATGCCGGCGACGCTGGCGATCTTAAGTATAGTATTTGTGGAGAGCATTTTCACGGCGGCGGGAGTGACAGACCAGGCAGGGCGGTGGGAGCATAAGCTCCTGTCTGTGCTGGTGCTTGTGGCCATTAACGGAGCGAACTCGATCAGCACGAGGGCAAGCACACGGCTGAACAACTTTTTCGTAGTGACGAAGTTTGTGAGTATAGCTGGGGTCGTACTGGCCGGCGCAGTGGTTGTTGTTCTAGGGGCCGCGGATCCGGAGAAGGACGTGGGGGGGAGGGATTGGGCTACGAAGCCGTGGTTCAGATTTCGTGATAGCATCGCCCCCGATGGGAGTACGATTCACTGGGGCGAGCTAAGCACCTGGGAGACGCTGGGCCACTATTCTACCGCACTTTATGGAGCGCTGTGGGCATATTCAGGGTGGGATAAGGCAAGTTGTAACTCCTCTAAGCCGAAAGAAAATAACACTCATATCCATAGGCAAATTATATCACGGCTGAACTCTCATCACCAGCCCGGCAGCTCCCTCTGGCAATCAATACCGCCATCCCAGTCATAATTGCCTGCTTCATTGCTACAAACACAGCATACTATATCCTCCTCCCATGGGATATCATTGCGACAACTGACAGCGTGGCTGTGGTATGTCTCATATCCCCCGAATTATTGAACTAGTAGTGGCTGACACTGAACCCCAAGACTGCCATCACCATACTCCTCGGACCCTGGTTCGGCATCGTAGCCGCAACCTTAATATGTCTAGTTGTGGCTGGCTCCTTGCTTGGAAACTCCTTCGTAGCTAGCCGCATGGCTGTTGCGGCTGCGAACAAGAACTGGCTACCCCAGCCTCTCGCTCTCGTTGGCCGCATAGGCGCTACGCACCTCAGAGGCACCCGGCCAGACTCTTCGAAGCCGTCTACATCCGACGCCCCGATCAATGCCTTGCTACTATCTACAGTACTATCTACGCTGCATATCCTTCTAGGCGACTTCCGCTCGCTCATCACACTCAACGGAATTGGCGAGTTCTCATTCTTCTTCCTTACGGTCGTGGCCGCGATAATTTTGAGATTTCGTGAGCCGGACCTACATAGACCGTATAAGACTTTCTTAATAGTGCCGGTGACGTTTGCGATGGTGAGCGGGCTGGTTGTTATCAGGGGGGCGGCGTTTGCTCCTGTGCAAGCAGCGGTCTTGATTGGGGTTTGGGTCGTAGGCGTGGTATTTTACTGGGCGAGGAAGGCATGGGCAAGGGCTGTAGAGGAGTAAGAAGGATTCATAAATATGAGCGAGAACAAGTAACAAAAGAGGAGCATCAGATTTGCATTTAAAGCTGGGAACGATAAGTGGCACAATCATCCGCGTCGTATTCTTGAATGGGTACTGGTGCTGCCCAAAGGTCCGAAGAGGGGCTGTACATAACAACAGCGATTGTAGAATCTAGAATTTAACTAAAGGCATTCAGTCACTGACGGTTGCAACCAGTAAGGAAGTTACTAACAAATGAAACTGAGATGATAATCTCTATGGGGTTAAATTGCTCAAAATCTATCTAGCCCCCTTTCAGACTTTTGGGCGACAGGAGTCGTCACATCATGCTCTACACATTCTCCCATCTGCAGCCACATTCCAATGATCGCTCCCCACACTTTTGATGGCATAGAACAAATAATCTCCGTCCCACTTATCCTTGATTTTTAACAACTTCGGGTAGTTGCTCCCAAAGAATGCTTCTTTGTAATCGGGCTGTCTGAAGTCTGCCTCGTTCATGTATGCTCCACTTCCGGGCGTCACGGCCTCGATTTGTGGCTGGATAGAGTCGGTCATCTTATCTTGTAATGCAATCATGCCTGCCCATGGAGCAGTGAAGTTCCACGGAGTGGTTATGGTAGCGTGGATGAGGGTATCCCTCCAGGCGGGGAGGACAGAATTTGAGACCATCTCCGCCGGAGCGGATACATCAGTGCCAACTCCAATGAAGAGGACGCCGTCTTGCGTAATGTTACGGGCCATTTTCATAAATGCGGCATTATTGTTTTGAATGGTTGCGCGTGGGATTAGTCGGCCCCCATATTGAGCGATGCCGACCTTAATATTTCCATACGGCAACGGGCCGAAGTAGGTATTGTAGTGATCGGTGTAAGTCGCTGATTGCGAATAGGAAACATTGTATGGAATCTGGAGTTCGTCTAGCGCTTCTACAAAGTCGCTCAGGACCGATTTAACTTCCGTGGAGGTTTTGTTGTATGCAGTAAGTGGCCCGATCTGAAAGAACGTGTCATCGAAGAAGTAGACTATCATCGAACCAGAGTCTACCATGGCTGGGAGTAGGGAGTGGAACTTTTCAACTCCAGCGTAGAAGTTATCCGCGGTCGTCGACGAGGATTGAAAAATGAGTGTCGCGCCACCGACGATAGCATCGGGGTATGCCTTCGCAGTCATAGACACCACAATTCCATAGGTTCCTCCGCCGCCTCCACTCAACGCCCAATAAAGATCGCTGTTCTGTGTGCGAGAGGCCGTTACAAGATGCCCTTTAGATGTGACCACCTCGAAAGACAGAGTTTGATCAGCACCAAGACCGAATGAGGTGCTCAATGCAGAATGGCCACCACCTTGTGTGTAGCCACCTGCGACTCCAACTGTCGGGCATTCACCCCCTATGGAAACTAGACCTTCAGCCTTTGCAGCTGCCATAGCTTCAAAGCCCTGGACGCCAGCGCCCATCTTGATCGCCTTGCCATCATAGTACGAATCCTTCCAATCTAGAACTTGGGTGGACTTGAGATGATGCGTCCAGACCGCTAACGCTCCAGCACCGATTGACTTTCCACTGTAACTGATTTGCGGAGTTAGTCGTAATTTCACATTAGGGGGCCGAGAAAAATTGAACATACTCGTGTCCTGTGTTTCGAATAACAAGGCGGATGTTGTGTTCTTGTGCGAAGTTCACAGCTTCTATGATATCGTCGGCGGATGTGGCATTGACGCTGTAGCTCACATAATTTCCAAGGGTACACGGTCGCAATGTCGGTGTCCATGGATCACAACTCTGGTTGGCAAAAAAAGGTGCCATAACAGAAGATGAGGACTCCATACTTGAAATCGAGTTTAGCATTATCTCGGCCCATGATGCAATATACTGTAACCTACTGTAGCTGTGCATCTGTCCACGCGGTTTGCAAGGATGCGCATTTTGCAGCGTCATAGGCAGGATCGTGGCACACAGAGCCTAATGGATAAGTCTTGATCAAACGGCCACCAACACTCGAATTGAGATTTTTCCATTGGGAAACAGTCGGCCAACTATCGTCACCTGGCAGGGAGCGACACCAAACCTTAAGAACAGTAGGGAAAGCAGGGAAATCGGCAATGGCGGGGAGTGGTGCCAATGTCAATACGAAGGCACCAGCGCCCACGAGATTGAAAACCTTCATTGTAACTCAGTCAGTTTCTAGTGTCAATCCATCCCAGAACCGGAGGGTTGCGATGGTATAATATATACTTATATAGCCATGCTGACTGTGTCATGTACTCCACTCTCGTGCGTGCTCCTTTGGCCGATCTTGTACGGCAATCCGCTCGGTAGAGACAAGTTATGCTCCACAGCTTAACACCCAACGTCGCCGAGATGTTACCACCCGTTATTAACTCTACCATCTCCACATGCTAAAATTACCCCAAAATAGGAAACAGACGAGAAAGAAAGATGAAAGAAGCAAAATTAACACTAGGCGTTACGTCGCCTCACCCAATCACCCCCGCTTTTCTTGCTCACCCCTTGCTGTTTTGCCTCAAGATCATCGTCAAATCGATAAGGGCCAAAATCCTACGTTAAATCTATTGGCACAATGGAGATAAAAAAAACAATTGAATACCGTGCTTGTGTATGGTTAACCTGGTGGGATGTCCAATTCTTTCGAGTCTATGGCATGTATTATCATTCTCACATAGCAGAATATATACACCATTGCACCCACCACATTTATAGCCATGAAAGATCTGGGCGGTCTAGTGGTTCAGAGATTGACAATTAACGCTGCATTGCCTCAGACATCATTAAACATCAGCATGGGCGGTATAGGCATATCGCAAACTGCCCAGGTCCACGCTGCACTGGGAAGGTATTGCAAGGCAACCATTACCTCCATACCATAGGCGGCTGCCCCGAATACCTTTGGATCACATTCTTTTGCCTTTTCAATCTCATCGGGTGTACAAAGAGCGAGGAAGTGTTCTCGTTTAGGGCCGATTGGGAATGCGCTACTTCCATAGTTATTTATTGAAACGAGAAGAATGGTGGCAATTCTGCGACTTACAATGCATTTCCAAGGATGCCGTGGCAGAGATTCGGTTCCTTCTTGAGGAGACCTCGACTCCATGTCGTTTCCCGTCCCCGTGCAATAGCCTGGTCGATGCGGCCATGAAGTTCTGGGTAGAAGGGGCGCAGCGTCTGCAAAGCACAAACAAACCCGGGGGCTCCATGACAGTATTGCACTCGCTCCCACCCTTTCTCGGTTTCCATCGTATCTCTACTGGACGGCCAATTACCATCTGGTCCCTGGAGACTCAACAGTTCCTCGACCTTCGCAGACAGCTTGGGTGCGAGTGACGGAAGAGTGAGTACTAGCTGAGTGATGATGCCGATATCGCCGTGAGGGGGACCGTAGCGCCTGTCTCCGTTCCACTCCCAGTTGCCCTTGCCATCGCTATCCGTGTCCATGATTTTCCCTGCGAGTTTGGCTATCGGCTCCTCAAGGCTCGACGCACTGGCGGGCACCCAGTGACGCAACATCCGTAGTAGATACAAAGCGCCTGTCCTACCATATAGAAGCTCGGTCTCGTAGGGGTCGCCTTGGTCCGTGGGGTAGGGCCCAAGCACCGCTGGCATGTCAGAAAGGAAAGCGAGTACATCGCCATGCTCTTTAGAGAGACAGGCCCACAGAGCCTGAAAGCAGAGTCTTTCGTTTAACAGGCCGCAACCCTGCTCCTTATTGACGATAAAACATTCGATCCCGGTCCTTTTGCCCTCCATATACCGCTTTGCCCAATAGATCAGATCATGGCCGAGAATCTCTAAGCCTGGGCGAAGAGCCGAGATCTGAAAGAAAAGAAAAGCAAGACCCGTATAGCCCATGAAGAAGCCACTGGCTTGCTCTTCGTTATAGCTCTCCTTTGGGGGAAGTGTCTGTAGAATCTGTTCTAAGCACGACTGTAGAAGCTCCGAAGGTGGTGATCGCAGAGCTTGCGTTGGGATATCGTTTGAGATATACAGTATCTCTTCCATGGCAAATAGCTATCGCAGATTTTGACCTGTATCTTTTTAATTAGCTAAATTACAATATGTAGATAATTAGTCCCTAATCCCCAAACTTGACATTGGAAAACCCCAAGCAAGTGCGACTACGAAACTGACACGAAATGTTGCTGCCTTCTCACCCCGCTTACCCCACCCTAGTCAGGAAGGTGCTTACCCCTCAGGCGCCTGGAGAGGGGGGATCCCAATTCCACGCTATACCTATTGGAACTATCGAGAGTAAAACCAAGTAATTACTCCCAGGCTTCTTGCTGAAAGGGTAGGACTCCCAGCCACCATAGTCTACGGTCGCATATGACAGTTGCTCTCATATCGGGGCACGCTGTTGACCATGAAGATAAAAGCAAGAATTGTCGTAAACTGTGAATCCTACTGAAGGAGTTGTTGTAGCCTTGCTAACAAAAGAGGTGGATTGTATTCGGTTCAGCAGCATTTGTCACAGTTGATAACGATCATACATCAAAAAAAAAAATAGTGCAGCTAAATAACCAAGCAGTTTTGGCATAGTATTATATTGTCGCTTTATTTACAACGCCTACCTTGACATATAACATGCCCAAATTTAACGCCGCATAACCCCCCATCAATCTGAAGACGATGATGGACCTGCCTTTTGCATCGTACAGCCAGCTAGGCTCAGAATGGCGGCTTGGGGTTTCAATTCATTTCCTATCGGGCGTGCCCTTCCTTGCTTTATTCAAGGAGTAATCGCAATCCAGACACTGAGGACTTAGATGTAAAGGCTCTTGATGTTCTTAACGATGAAGTCGTAGGTCTTGCTGCGGAAGTCATCCTTGATGAGCTGACTGTAGGTCGCGTAAGTGTTCAGGAGCTGGTTGCCGTCCTTCCACTGCGGCCACTTGCGGTACTTGGGGTCGGTGCCATTGTTCGGGTCCATGGTAGCCACGAAGGAGAGGTAGTAGGCGCGGAACGATGCGGCGGCGTAGTTGGGGTAGATGCCGAAGAAGACTTGGATCAGATCGCTGCCATGGAAGGTACCCATGACCGGGGTGCCGTAGTCGTAGCTGGATAGATAAGACCACGATGGCACATCAGGCGCGATAGTGCTAGTACCAAGGAGCATGACACGGCGGGAGAGTGTGAATGTAAGGTCACCGAGGATGGCGGCCAGGCGCTTAAATTCGGGGTACCAGTTGTTGAAGATACCGGTGCGGAAGGGGGAACCGTCTAGCAAGCCGATGGGGTATGTTTGGACGAGCTCTGACATCTGAGCTGCGGTGGAGTGGTGGAAGAAGACCGTCGTAAGGTGCTTAACCAAGTCCGCGGGGGTCTTAATGTAGCTGGTGAACAGGGCGAACAGAGTGCCTTCGTCTTCTTGATCGCCGACGATGAAGGGGACCTTCGCGTATTTGCCGTTCAGAACAAGGACATCAGGGGACTGGGTCAGGAAGACGCCGTCGGGGCGAGGAAGGTATGATAGCGCCACGGAAGTGTGTGACAGTAAGCCCGGCACAGAGTTCGCTGCATTGAGGTATGTTTGGTATGGAACACTGCGGAGGCAGGCGAGGGTATCCGCCTTGCCCTTGCAGCCAGCAGCTTCAACAACAGTGTCGTAGACGACCTGACCCTTGGGGCAGTCGACGGGATCGGCGGGGACGACTGAACCAGAGTTCATAATGCCAGCGCGGAAAAGGGGCTTTCCCTTGTAGGTGTGGTCACCATCATTGATGACCATCTGGTCGAAAACCGAGATGGCGCCGGCAGACTCACCCCAGATGGTCACCTTGTCGGGGTCACCTCCAAAGGAAGCAATGTTGTCGGCAACCCATTGGAGCCCCAAACGCTGGTCCTTCAGGCCGAGATTAGAGGATCCGTCTTTAAGAATCTCAGCACCTGGCAGGAATCCGAATCCTCCGATACGGTAGTTGACAGTGACGAAAATCATAGGCTTGCCCTGCTCAATAGAGGACTTGACCCATGGGGATCCATCGTACATGGTGTTCCAGCCAAGCTCGAAGCCGCCACCGAACATCCAAAAGAGCACCGGGAGTTTCGCATTGGCGGCGACGCCAGCTGGACGGTGCACGTTCAGATAGAGGCAGTCTTCGCTCTGTTGTGTAATCTTCTGGACGAAGGGCGAGTTGAGAATTTGGCCGATGACTGAGGTGGGGATGGAATCATCGAGGGCGTCTGAGAAGAAAAACTGTGGGCAGGCGGCCTGGTTCTTCGTTGCCTGGTAAGTTCCGAGGGGTTCGGTAAGAGGTTGCGGGGACTTCAAGCGCAAGTCGCCGACAGGAGGTTTGGCGAACGGGATTCCAGGGAATTGCTCAACATCTGCACCTCCGAGGCCAACGATTGTAGCCTGCGGAAATGGGATGACGACTGTTGGGGTTGCATATCTTGCCTGGAGCTCCGGTGCAGGTTCAACACGAGCACCCAGCATCGGAGGAGCGGGACCCTGAGGCATATCCTCGACGGGCAAGGCCAATGCCAAAGGCAATGCGAGAAGGGAGAGGAACTTCATATTGACGGTGACGATGAATTTAGTTGCAGCGAATTCTCGTTGTCCATGATTCCACCCGGATTGATGGGACTATATATGCTTCCCCATAATCAGACCCTCGGGTTTCCCCCGCTTCCCCGAAGATATTGTCAGCTGCCCCAACTCAAGTTCTCCATATCATGGCGATCCGGAAACTCGAGAGCTTCCTCTTTCCAATGTTCATGCTGCGATGTTAGCTTACGAGTGGGAACGAAAAACGCGGGGCGGTCAGCCGAACACACGCACACCATTGGCCGCGTGATCTCGAAGAATGGCACTTCATCGGTGGATACGGATTAGTGTCTCAGCATGCGTCGATGTAGTCAGGGCTGGTGTCGACGGAAAATTCGATCAGCATTGTTAAAATTCGGCTTAAAATGAAAATAAAATGCAGCTGTCTGACATGTGAAGGTTGGCAACATTGGCAATAAAGTTTTAGGCGGTACCGGCGCTCCATTGAGCCGCTCCCACGAAATACTAAGCATTTGCAGGCATTTGCAGGCATTTGCAGGCACTTGAAGGGATTTTGCAGGGTGGTATGGGACATGTGCGCGGCAATCGTTGATCGTGGTCATTGTGCAGCATAGTAGCATGGTGTTGTTATGGCATTATTGGTATTTGTTGAGGTATTGCTGGAGTATTACTGGTGTAGCTGGCACGTGTGGAGTATGAAGCTCACGTATTCAGCGTGGGAGTCGAATGATTAACCGGATCTGGAAATACGTGCGAGTCCAAAACCAGACCCCCCACGAAATATTCCCCGCAATTCGTGTAGTAACCCCTGTCATATAGCAAGGGTTCCCCTGTTCCCCCATGGGGAAAGAAGCGAACCAGCGAACCACAATGCCGGAATGCACGGCCATTGCTACTGTACACGGCATGGATCGGTTTGTTTATGCCAACCAATCCCAACATAACTCTACTAAACACTACTAGAGACCTTAGGCATCACTATACTCCCCGCTATATATATCGTTTTGTACGCTATACACGCTATCTAGTTCCCATGGGGTAACGAGACACCACACAGCAAAAAAACCTTAAGATTACTCAAGTGTAATGCGGGGAACACATGCCAATCAGCCAAACCTCGGTTATCCGGCTCAGGAACGGGGCGGAAGATCAGACACCACAGAATCTTCTACGTCCGACAAATAGAGCTTGCCTTATGAATGCGGGGAGGCTGAGGAAGGCTGACGGTACTGGGTAATGCCTGTCAAAGGTTGATCCACTCAAGGTTTCCCCACGATCCAGCGCGTGGAGGTGGAGAAAACCCTCAGACACCCCACGGAGAAGTACATATGTTCATCTGACAAGGAGAGCGGCAATGCTCCGCAGAATTATCAAGAAGTAATGTGATACTACGTGGTACTCTTGAAGCCCAAAAGTCTGAAGAGGGGCTGTGTTTAAGAGCAGTGATTATAGCAACTATAATTAACATATAGGCATTCAATCACTCGGAGCTGCAATAAATTAACAAGTCACTCATAAAATAGCAGTAAAAATATAAGTTAAATAGGCTTAAAGGGCTAGTATCAATCCTCAGTAAAAGCCAGCTCCTCCTCAAACTCTTTGGGGAGTACGAGTAGTCCCTTCAAATTACTAGGGTTTGGAGGTCGAGATATAGTAGTATTCTCGTCATTCATGTGATACTGAGACGGAACATCTAAGACCGCCTCAACATTACCTACAGAACTAGTCTAATGGTGCACCGCTATCAACACAGAGAGGGGTTCTTGACGTTGTAACCGACCCATTGTGCAACCGATGTCGCAACTAGCTTTACTTCCAACAGGAATCTGCATCCTGATGAGGCGGCACAGGGGGGATATCGTTCCTTGCGTGCCGTTTCTTCGTCGAGTCGATTCCGAAGCGCTCATCTCGATCCTTGACTTTATCCCATGGTACCTTGCACGACAATTAGCACATGTAATAGTCATACCTCTTAAGATGACGCTGCAAGGGGAATATGCCGCAGATTCGCATGTGCTTAATTAATATTGATGAGTTGCGACTCACCTGCTCGTCCTTCGTAAAGCTCATCATTAGCTCTGGCTTCCCAAGCGGCAACTCGTCCCCTCGATCTACCTGCCAGAAATGGAAATTCTTGCCGTATAAACCGACCACCTCGCGCATCTCAGCTGTCTCCGCGATCTCCCAGACCCCCTCGGGAACTAATGGATTGGGCATTATGACTATCCCTGAACGAACCTAGATCTGTAAGCCAACATTCTATCCGCTTCCATTTTTCGGTCTCGAACCTCATAGTCATGGCTGTGCCATAACTTCTTCTCTTCTTTTGTCAACGCATCATACAATTGCCTTGTGATCAGATATTCAACTCCAATCAACCTTGCGGGGTTCTTCGGAGAATCATAGATTAGGCACTGTCTGACGTTGGCACTGAGATGAGCGCAGTAGTGATTTGCTTCGACGTTACGGGAGGTATCGGAGGCGTAGACGTGGAAGGCGTTCAGGTGTGCGCAGATTGAGTTAACTGGGGCGAAGTTTTGGATTGTGGCAGCACCAGCATTGAGGACCTGGTCCTTCGTGGTGGGAACTCCACCTAGGGTAGTATCGTACGTGGAAGAAGATTCGGCTTTGATCATTGTAAATTATGAAGACTATGACATGTGGTTTGTTTGTTCAAGCCAGGCATGGAAGGAGTTTTCTTTTCAATATCATCTGGAAGCACTCTTGACGTCATGGATATCATCACCCCACCATCGACATGATTATAGGCATCATGTTCCTGACTATATCTTATCTGCCCGATATGCTAAATCGAAATGATCATCATCGGCCATGTTATAGTTTTATTTTTGGCGTATTGTTTCCGGGTGATCCTCGGTGCCAATCGCCCCGAATAATTGAGCCAGGATCCCCGCATCCCCACTTCATATGTAACCTTTCTATACCTCTGACCCCCACGTTCGTAGAAGCCAAGTATCCATAATTTTGAAGAGAGCTGTACTTTGGTAAGTTTTTGTAGGATCCCCCCAGATTCTACAGCTACATCGTCGGTATTGTCATCTTCAACTCAAATTCCCCATCATCGTTGTGTTGCGTGTTAAGTTCATTTTCTTACTATAGCTTCTCTAAGCTTCAAGTGATATCCTTGGTGCTGGCGACAGCATTGATGGCAAAGGTGGCCGCGCAATGCGAAACGGTATCCAAGCCATGGCGGAGAAGGGTATCGAGGGTCGCGGAGTGCTGCTCGACTACCACAGCTGGTAGCAACGCAACAGGTCTTCTGAAGCACCTATCGATGGATTCAAAACACGTTACATTCGACTCGAAGACCTCGTTACGGCGAAAGAGCAAGGCACCGAAATACACTGTGTAGATATACTACGTATACGCTCGGGCTACATAGCATCGGTTTATACGAAATCTGCTTCGGGGGCTATGGCGCAGCCGCAAAATAACGAGAATAAGAGAGCTATACGAATATTTGTGGGCAACCTCAGCGCGAAGAGATGAACATGGTTTCCATCGTCGCCTTCGTGGTTTGAGCTCGGCTTCGTCCTCCTCGTGTACGACGTCGTCATTCAATTGCCATTGCCGCCACCAACTACTTGCTGGACGCCCTTTCCTCCCTCCTGATACCAATCGTCAAGCTCGACTGGGTTTTCTTCGATCTCCTTCAGGATCGCTCCATATTTTGCTTTCCTTCCCTTTGTACTCCATCTCCTACTGGTACCACTTGATCGCGGCATCGAGATTTCTCTTTGCCCTCATAACCCCATCGTTGGTGGCCGGAAACCGTCTCTTGTATTCCGCCTTCTTCCTCATGAACTCTTTCTTCCTTGCGTATTGGGAATCCGAGGCTCGTTTCATCGCGGCTTCGCCCGCGGCCGCCTTCTTTCTTGTTTCCGCTTCGATATCTCTGCTTCTAATATGTCACTTTGACACGAACGATATACTTACCATTGCTTCCATTGCTGCCGCACATTCCTTCTTCTTGTGTGGGCCAGCGGGTCGGGGCGGTACGGGATGGTATCTTTTGTAATAGCGGGGATGGAGCAGTTGCCATGGTCCTATCAAGTGAGTTTTCGCATTAATAGACACTAGGAACTCTGTTTATAAAAAACAGGCCTGTCCGCACTATCTTGAAGAGAAAGAAGGTCCCTCACGTCAAGGCCGAATAGAGTCACCCTCAATAAATAACGGTTTCTAAACTTCAAACTTGAGCTACACAAGAATCAAGCTTCTGACAAATGGCATGGGCGAGCGGAGTTAAACTTCGTATCCTATAGTCATGGCGAAATACTCGTCACAAGACAAGGATATTCAAATGGCAAGAGAGAAGGCTGCAAAGGTAATTGTAGAACGCAAGCACTTGTCTAATAAACTATAAATAATAGTTGCGAATATTAACGTGTAATAACAAAAAAGTTGCCACAAACACTGCGGCTCTCCTGGATGAAGTGCTAACAAATGATGCTGCTAACCTCCGTGCCTCTCCTCCATACTTCATCTTGTCGTATTCTACAAACTCGTTCTTGAAATCCTCCATCCGGCGATGAAGTGGTTCCCAGCCACTAAGAAAAATGCGCCGCCGCACGTAGATTTGATCTTGATATCTTGACCTTGGCCTTTCATTACAATGTATGTGAAAGTGATATCATTGGAGGGCTCAAATTCCTTGATGTGCCACTGCCGGGCGGTGCATCACGACGTGCTTCGCAATGCCCATCCCCTTTCCCCTCTCATACTCCCACAATTTGAACTCCATCGCTTCGAAGTCGATATACCCGTGCCTCCGGTACAATCCAATCCCGTATGGCGACGCCCCGAGGATTGATTGCAAGCCTAGCTTATCCGCCTCCCGGAGTCCCTCTTCGAGCATCATGGCCCCCAACCCCATGCGCTGGTACTTAGGCAAGACGGCAAGCATCCTCAATTCTACTCGGAGCGTTAGCTAGTTCCAATTTAAATGGGCGAGCAATTCAATCATCATAGTAGCAACTCACTTGCATAGTCCTTCCCTTCTGTCGCCCTTGCCATATGCTCATCCGCGCGCACAAACACATCCACGCAGAACTTAACATCAGCGCCCGGCCCAAATGGCTCAGGTCCCGGATCCTGTTGAACCGCCCATGACTCTCTCGTTCCCAATTTCTTCTTCTCTTCCTCGCTGCCAGTCCTACCAATACATATCACCCACCCCGCATAACCGACAATCTCCTCGTCCCCGGCAGGCCCAACTCGCACTAGCTTCATATTCCGCACCGTTTCACCTAGCTTGGGAGGAGCCCCTAGAATTATGGCGCGCTGATCCATGGCTGCATCGCTGTTACGGTCTGGACCGAAGCCAACTTCACCAACGTCGGTCTCGCCAAAGACAGCTGCTTCCAGGCGGGCCAGGGCGGGGAAGTCACCCGGGAGAACAGGGACGAGCTTAATTGTTGGGTCGGAAGTTGCCATTATTTCAGAACTGTAATTAGGATATCGATGAAGATGGAAGATTATGAGAGATGGGGGTTTATATATTTTTTGGTTGGGCAATTTGAGCTGGATTCTCTTTTGGGCTCGCCGCTTATTTTCGAGTCAGCCCGCCCCGGTGTACCGAAGCGGGATAAGTTTAAGGTACAGCGTATGGTTGAAAAATACGAGCAAACAGGGGGGTGCGTTAGCACAATGAATAGGCCACCAGACCTGCCACTCGAGCTCAATTTTGGGGAGTGTTCAACGCCCCATGAGGTTTGTGCTATAGAGTACAGTAGAATAGGAGTACCATGAATAGTTAGAAATGAGATTTTGCGCAAAATCCATAATACGACTGAATATTTGGTACAAAAATGAGGGGTACCTGTAGCTACATATAATTTCACATATAAAAGAAGCCGATAAAAGAACTATTTTTAACAATAGGTAAAAACCTAAAATTGCGTAGATTGATTAAACAGCTCTATACTTGGAGAATAGTAGGTGAGCGAAGAGAACAAAGACTGAGATTTCAAAATTTGCGTTGAGAGCTATCGCATTCTGAACATCCGTCGCCATATCATTTGCAATAAATAATATACTCACGTTCGCAATTTCAAGGACTTTCTCATTTCTCGTTTACTCGACTCCTGGAGGTGCTGGCACATGTTGGATTGACAGGTGGTGAGTGGCGCCGGGTACGCACGACGGTACTGCTGGAGTGGGTGAGGTTTGTAGATGGCACCGCATTTTTCTAAATCCTCCATTTACGTACAGTACAGTCAGATACACATAATAAAGAGTCATTGACGTTCACCAGGCGCGATGCCGCGTGTTGGGGTGTTGGGTCGCGTACAGCGCCAGGCAACAGTGGTAGCGCCCGAAGCCCCGAGCCCGAGACCCCGAGCATGAGGGTCCGTAGAGCTTCGCTCGTGGAATATATAAAGGTCTATGGGACGGACAATAATATCGCGTCTACCTCCTAACCACGCCTAAATATCCACACACACAAATCATCATGCCCTACACAGCTCGTATAGCAATCATCGGTGCTGGCCCATCCGGCCTCGCACTCGCCGCCCTCCTGCAGGCGCAATCAATCCACCCCACTATTTATGACCTCCGCGCCGAGCCCACGCCCGCCTTCTTTGCCGCCCCCTGCGGTATGCTCGATCTCCACGAGGATTCCGGCCTGAAAATAATTCGCGCCGCCGGTCTCTGGGACGCATTCCAAGCCGAGCTTGGGGGTTGCTCAGAGGAATGCCGCGTCCTTTCCCCGGCCGCGGAAACCCTTCATACTGACCAGGGGCAATTGTCCTCGCGGCCTGAGATTGCGAGGAATGCGCTGACGAAATTACTTCTTGGTGCTGTGACGCCGGGGTCGGTGAAGTGGGGTCATAAAGTCTCATCCGTGCACAGCGCGAGGACAGAAACTGGCGCCACCGAGGTAACCCTCGATCTCGGCGCGGATGGGAAGGCGACGTACGACTTCGTAGTCGGTGCAGACGGCGCGTGGTCGCGCGTACGGGCAATGCTGACGGACATTGTGCCCGTCTACACTGGAGCACAGTACGTAAATGCCACCCTGCGGGATGCTACGGCGAAGTTCCCGCAGCTGGTGGATCTGGTGGGAAGCGGCACTACGATGGCCCTCGGGGGAGGAAGAGGGATTATGACGCACCGAGGCCCGCAGGACTCGATCCGACTATATATCGCCGTGAAGACGCCACTCGAGAACTGGGCTGAGGAGATTGGGATCGCGGGGAAGACTACCGCAGAGGCGAAGGAAGTCTTACTAGGTGAAGGAGGGGGGTTTGAGAAATGGGCGCCGGAGCTCCGAGAACTTCTTTCGACGGCGTGTGATGAAGAGACGAGCGATCACCCAGGCACAGTGGTGGATGTGCTGCCGTTGTACATGTTGCCTGCAGGTTCGCGGTGGGAGACGCAGGTAGGGGCCACATTGGTAGGAGATGCGGCGCATTTGATGACGCCTTGGGGAGGAGAGGGGGTCAATCAAGCGCTGCTTGATTCGCTGGAGCTGTCGAATGTGGTGGGAGGTGTGGGACAGGTAGAGAGTGTGGTAGAGTGGCAGGAGAAGCTGGAAGCGCCTATGAAGGGATTCGAGGAAGCGATGGTAGTGAGGGCGAAAGAAGTGGCAGAACAGTCGTCAAAGAATGGGGAGATGATGCTGGGCGAGCATGGAGGACAAGCGATTGCAGATATCTTCAAGATGTTTGCGGATATAGCGGCGAATGGAGGAGAGTTCCCTGAAGGGTTATTGTAAGAGGGTAGCAGAGGTGATACAGTACGATAGTGTATATATAGTTTGATCCCTTAGGGATTGCAGAAACGCCGCTAAAAATAGAAAAACCTCAACTCACTTACATGTCTTAATCAGCGCCGCTCCTGATTTTCATGCCTTCACGTTCTTCGACATGTCATATTCTGTTGGGGATAATGGTTGGAATTAACTCGACTGACTATTCTGCTGTGTGGGAAAGCCCCATTTGTACTGTAATAGTTGGGTAATTGCTTGGAAATCCCATGGCAGATTCAGCGGTGCGGCACAATTCTCATATTTCCCAACATATTCCACACACTCATTCCTGGAAACCTTCCGTCGGGCGATGAAATGATTCCCATTTACCCCTAGGGAGGAAAGAAAGGGAAAGAGGCTTTAGAGAACCTGTAAGTGGTCTCTAACTACTGCTAACCTAAAGCCTACGAAACTAATCTTCTAAACCTAAGGGCATAGTATGCTAAAACCATAGACCTTCTATATAAGTTTAACGCCTTTAACCTAGTCGCTAACGTAAACTCTAATCCCTAGCAGATGTCGACCAATTCCGGGAAGTCTCTACTAACGAGATGTAGCACGTCCTTAGTACAACCCTTTGGAATTTCTACCTTCTAGCTATAACAGACATCTTGTTCTTCATAGCCATATATATTCTTAAGCATGGGCATAAACGTACAGTCGTAGAGCATTGTCTAGGAGCAACAGTAACACTCCTATGCCAAATGATGACACTAGGTGGTAGAGAAAGAATCCACTGAGGACCTTCTTTAGGAGGGTTTTGCTGTTGATGTCTAGTTGCTTCGACATCATCGAGTGAAAGCGGCTTTTATCCGTGACTCCAACTGCTGGGCTAAACCCCTCCTTAGCCATGTATGCCATAAGGTCGGCATCTGGGCTGTCTCCCTGCAATAGTTGACAACATCCGTCGTATGCTTCGTAGAACTCCATGCATAGTTCCAGGGTTCTGAAGGCGCAAAGGCGAGACTTCTGTGGTATCCCAGTCATTGATTTAGCTTTGTGGATGACGTGTATCTTCTGGCGCACCACAATTAAGAAATGAATGTTTCTCGTACAGATATTTCAAAGGGGTGATCATATCCTGTACTATGCCAAACGTGATAAGGGCTTAGTAGAAATGCAATAGAACCTAAATTTCTCTACAGATGCTTGTCGTATTTGCCAAACACGACAGTAGCGCTTAGTAGTAATGATGTAGAGTTAAATTGCCGAATAGATGCTTGTTGTATTTGATAAACATGAGGCTAATGCTCAGGAGTAATGCTACGGCGTCTAAATTGCCCCACACATGTCACCCTCCACCTCGTGGATCCCAATAATATTAGAAGACTCTGCCGTGAAGTGAGAACCCTGCTATGTCTCAGAGACACGATGTGGAATGCAGGTGCTTTGGGCCATAACACAACAAAAGCCAGGCCACTCTGATATAACAATAGAGGGGTCTAGATTCGCGCGAAATCACGGCGATGCATGCATTTACACAGAAGGTAATTAATACCTTTTCCTATTGGATGGTAAGCTTACTGTCTTATCCAGGGCAAACGCCAAGGTCAATGACGATCATCGCTGATCACTCGATCCTGGGATATCACAACAGTTCGTACGCGCCAAGGCCACTTCCTTTTCCTTTTCAGGAGAGAGCATAGAGTAAGTTCGGTCTCCTTCTCTAGCAAGCAGGCTATCTAATCAACTATCGCAAAATTTCTTGACTCCTTCCCTCTTAAGATCGCCACAATCTACGGTTCTCGGCAATTCACTCACTGCCCGCGTCAAAAGAAGCGCCAAGCCCCCGCCACACCGAGCCGCCGTCCCTGCGCACGGGCGACGTACCCATTGCCCGTCAGCCCCGCTGTCGCCATCCTTGGAAAAGTCTTGGAAAGGCTTGGACCTTCTCAAAGCAGTGCTCTCGCCGAGCGGAACCTGCTATCGGCGCCACGGCATGGGCGCAATAGGCAGGACCATGTTAGACAGCGCGCACGCATGCCCTCGTGATCGGCGGGGTGCAAGCATGATCAGGGCTGCCGGATGCGGGGTTGGCAGGGTAATTGTTAGGTCTGACAGGTTGGAAGAAGGCGGGTTTCTGCAGCTCGTTATCTGCGGTGATTGCTTGCGCGACAGCGCACTGCAGGTTGGGGAGCTATATAAAGCTCATTGAAGCTGCACGAGATATATTTTTTCCGTAGGATACTTTAGCTGTGTTCCCCAATATTCGCTCAGTTCTCATCATGAAGGTCACTGCATCCCTTATCGCGCTTTTCGCGGTCCTGAACGCCGTAGCCGCTGCACCACCGAGCGGCGCAGGTAATAACGGTAACGGTAATGGAAATGGCAACGGGAATGGCAACGGAAATGGCAATGGCAATGGTAACGGGAATGGCCATGGTCACGGCAAAGGGCCAATGGTAAACTCGGTATGTGCTGTCTCATCCAATTGCGCTGCACAGTATCTAACAAGCACCTAGAAAGCCCTCCGCGGCTTAATCAAGGAGAAGGCCCTCATGGATAAAGCCCAGACGCTCCAAGAATTCGCTGCCCTGAGTGGTACCCCAATCACTCGTGTCATCGGATCGCCCGGTCACAATGCTACGGTCAATTGGTACTACGACACCATCAAGAAGCTAGACGATTACTACAGCGTCTACATCCAGCCCTTCCCCGTCGTTACTGCTAACGGTAATCTTACCGTCAACGACGCCCTGATCGAGTCGGCAACTATGTCATTCACCGGCGCCGGCCACCCAGTCGCAGAGCTCGTCCCTGTGGCAAACGTTGCATGCGAAGCTGTAAGTTCCCGCCTACCATCAATGACCCCCTTAATCCTAGCTAACGAAAAATAGTCCGACTTCCCAGCTGAAGTCTCTGGAAAAATTGCCCTCCTCTCCCGCGGCACTTGCACCTTCGGATCAAAGGCTCTCCTAGCTAAAGCCGCTGGTGCCGTCGGCGTGGTCGTCTACAATAACGTGGATGGTGTTGTGCAAGGCACCCTCGGCGAGGAGGGGGACTACCCCCCTACCGTCGGCATTTCCAAAGCCCAGGGCTTAGAGTTTCTTGCCGCCATTGCAGCAGGCAATGCCCAAACTGCCAATCTCGTTGTCGAGCAGCAAACTGTCATTACATACAACGTTATCGCCGAGACTCTCACTGGTGACCATAATAACGTGATCCACGTCGGCGGCCACTCCGACTCCGTCACCGCGGGTCCAGGAATCAACGACAATGGATCTGGCGGCATTGGTATCCTTGAAGTAGCCCTGCACTTGACTAAGTTCAAGATCAACAACGCCGTCCGCTTCTCGTGGTGGGCGGCAGAGGAGGAGGGTCTCCTCGGCGCCCATGCCTACGTCAACGCACAACCTCAATCCGAGCTCGACAAGATAAAAATATACGGAAACTTTGATATGATAGCTAGCCCTAACTACATCATTGGAATCTACGATGGCGATGGATCTGCTTTCAACGTTACGGGCCCAGCGGGGTCGGCGCAGGCCGAACATCTCTTCATCGACTATTTCCGGGATATCGAGAAGGTTGACTCCGTCCCCTCCGATTTCAACGGCCGCTCGGACTACGGACCGTTCTTAGATGCGGGAATCGCGTGTGCTGGTCTTTTCACTGGAGCTGAGGGACTGAAGACGGTCGAGGAGGCTGCGATGTTCGGCGGGGAGGCTGGGAAGGCTTACGACCCCAACTACCACGCTGCGGGCGATACCGTGGCTAACTGCGATGGCACGGCCTTCTTGATTAACACAAGGGCTATTGCGCATATGGTTGCGGTGTTGGCAAAGAGCACGGCTATCTTGGAGGAGCCGCTGGTGAGGAGAGGGGGGTACCGGGACTTTACCCGCGCGACTGGGGTGCCGAAGAAGCTGGTCGGTGGATGTGGAACTACAGTCATGTAGGAAGGTATACATACAAGGTTACACTTGATAAAAGGACAGGGCGTGGTCATTTCTGTATAGGGGGTATAGATTATAACGGCGAAATATGAGAAATGAAGATATGTCATGTGACTCACCTATCCATGACCACGCAATTTGCAAACTCGGGAGATGTGAAAGGGTGACCACCGAGACAAAGGATAGCACCATGGAGGGTAAGAGAGAGTATCATAAGAAGACGTTTTGCTCAGAATAGAGGTGGGTTATACTTTAAAATGGGGTGGGGGGACGATTTGCTAATTTGCGATATATGGTGGATATATTCAACACACATTTATTCCTGTCGTACCACCAACCCGCCAGTAGCAAATATACAACGCATTATAATAATTAATAACGAGTAATTAAAAACAAACAATGATTTTTAAGAAAGGTATCTAGATTTATCTATGGGTACACTAGGCTTTAGGAGCGAAGAATAACGGTGTGTGAACGCCCCATACAGACTCTGCGTCTCTCATCAGTTGTAACAGTGAAACATGCGATTAAAAATGCAAAGCACAGCTTGCTACTAGCAACTATCGGAAGTGCACTCATTAGAACATAGGTAAGTCCCATCACTTGCAATCTAGCGTCTCCGTCTTTCAATTAAACTCCATGGAAGGCCGTAGACTATTGCTTCCACCCGGTGTAACTTCTTTGGTAGTGTGTGTTGGGTACACCACGGAAACGTGGATACTGAATAGTCAGCAAATGAGCCTAACAATACCACGAGGGGGGCATACCTGTGCTGCCTTGTATGTACTTGTCCAAACAGAACCCGCTCTCGTCAATGAGTATGCTCTCATTGGAAACGGGCGCGAGTCCTTCGGGCTGGAAGTCTGTCGGGTACATTTGGTTGTACCTCAATCGGAGATTCATCGCTTTTATTTCTGCTAAGGAATTAAGGACTGTTAATGGGACAGATAGCAACTATAGCGTACCATAAGTGGATGTATCTGACTCTCCAGTCGTTTTGACTAGTCTGGCAAACAAGTGATGCATCTCATTAACATCTTCTGTCTGATCCCTTGTACAGTAACGGTGTACGATAACGCTGCTAATACGTCCAGCTTTATACATGGGTTATTATGCTTGAGCTTCCATTCTTGAGTTATCATGGTTAGGTTACTGCATCCAAGCTACACCATCAGTCACTGTGTTCAAGCTGCACCATCTGAATCACTGCGTCAAAGTTACTACGTCTAGGTTACTATATCTGAGTTATTATATCCTACTAAAATCTTCTACAACATCGCTGCCATCACAAACCCAGCCAGAACAGGCACCATAGTCGCAGCATTCACAGCCGCACCACCAGTCGACGTAGCTTTCGGCGCTCCCGCCGTGCCCGTGCTCTTCGCCGTACCATTAACCGACCCCCCCTGGGGCACCGCCTTGCCATTAACATTGTTTCCACTAACAGCATCATAGTTGTACACCGCGGTGTAGTTGTAAGTAGACTTGCTAGCACCCCATGTCTTCTTCACCGAGGCCAAAACACCGAGGCCGTTCGCGCACTTGGCATCGGTGTTTGGGACGGGCCAGGTTGGGTCGTAGAGGTCATCGGACATAGGGCCGGGGTAGGAGGAGTTGAAGTACAGCCCCTCGGTATCGACGACGACGTTCTGGTACCCGGTGATGTTTGCGACGGTCTGGAGGACGTTGGCGCCGCAGTCCCAGCGGCCGAGGGAGGGGAGGTCCCAGTTAGCGGACACGGAGGAGATGGTGGAGAAGTGGTTGTAGAAAGTGTTATCTGTGGTGCCGTGGAGGGACTTGGGAACGGCGCCACCAAGGAGGAGGGTGAAGACTTTGTTGGGGGTGGTGTAGGTGTCTACCTCGTCGAAGGAGAGGATGATGAGGGTGTTGTTCATGAAGTACTCGTTTGCGAGGAGGGGGGTGAGGAAGGTCTTGGACCAGGTGGAGGCGTAGGTGATGGTGGTGTCGTGTCCGTCGTTGGTCATGTTGGGGGTGATGAAAGACCACTGGGGGAGCTTCTTGTTCTTGAGCTCGGTCTCGAAGTCGACGAAGCTCTTGATCGTGCCGAGGCGGGTGGAGTTGGCGGTGACGGACTCGTAGAGCGCGAGGGGGTTGTGCTTGCGGACGTAGTCGTTGGCGAAGTTGGCTTGGTTGGAGTAGTTGAAGCCGAGGAAACCGGTGTAGGGGAGGTGCTCCTGGTAGGTGCCGAAGGAGATGCCCTTGGTGTCGAGGAGGTCGATGACGGTGGACACGTTCTTTGGGAACGTCAGGAAGTCGTCATTATCCATTCCGAAATGGTCTCCGCCGATGACAGCAGCGTAGTTGGGCTCGGAGGGGTGGGTCACGGCGTGGTAGTTGGTCAGGGTGATGGCCTGCTTGGCAAGCTCCTTCATGCTTGGGTCGTTGGCCGCGAGAGCATAGTCCTAGTGATGTCAGTGAGGTGCTGTTAAAGGAAGGCAGGATAACTCACAGTGTTCTCGAGCCAGATCTGAACGATACGGTCGAAGCCCTTACCCTTCACATCAGAGGTGAGGACAACAGGCGTTGCGGCCGCGGCGAGAGCAGAGATGGCAGTAGCCGCTGGCTCGATGGTGGACTCAGCAGGGCGACTGGCCGAAGAAGCAGCCAGAGCCACATTGGCGCCAGCAAGGGCGAGGGCAGCAGAGAAGAACATGGTCAATGGAAGTGAGGGGTCTTCGATTGAGGTTCGGGGAAGGGCTGGCTGTGAGGAGTGAAGGAAGAGGGACAGGCGACACAGAGGATGCTGGGCGCCGATCTTTATATGAGGAGAGGAGTAGGGCTTAGTAGCGCGTTGGAGCTCGTGGCACAAAAATCAGAAGGCAGGGGACCGGGGCGAAGTTTGGAAATGCAGCTGCAGGAAACGACAGTAGTGTACTGTGAAAGCGTGGGTAGGTGAGACTTAATCCTTGCATGTGATGCTAATGATAGTTTAGTATTGGAAAAGCATGGTGTTAGAGAAGAAGTAGGGAAGCCTTAGGGCAGAGTGAACGATGACGAAAAACGCATGGCGACGATCCCATTGGGGAATTTGGAGAAGAGAGAGAGACACCGAGACAGCAAACAATCCCCAAGGTTGACTTGTCCGAGGCTTCCCCGATGTTCCCCCACTTTTGCCCCTGTCACACTAAAGTCTCTAATGTCTAGGCTTAGCGCGGCCCGTTGATAGGAACGGGACAGTTATTCAGGCACATGTCCAATCCCCGACCAAGGATTGGTTATTGTCAGACACTGTGACCTGTTTGTTATAGCATGAGTAACTGGAGTAACTGTTCTCTCGGTGAGTACGAGGAGTGCTTACTCGTACGCCTTTTTTTTTTGTACAACTATATCAGAGTACGGTGTAAATAATGCGACCGTGATATACTGCACATTCTGTATTTTGGACAGTAATATCCGAAGTAATGTCCGAAACAAGACACTCTTCGCAAAACAAGCCTCGCCGAGCTCTGGGCGTCCTGGGCATTCTGGGCATTCTATCCAATCTTTGGTTTCCCGTCTTGTCTTGGTGCTTGTCTCTCCTTGGCGATCGTCGTGGCTTGCCCCCCATTTACAGCTGACTAATCACAACAACCTCCATCAACCTTGTCAACCTCGTCAACCCCCTGTGAGGTTTCTGCACGAAGGGGAAGGCGCAATGGACAAAACTGACCTTCATCGCTCCTGCCACGGACCGCCCCTTGCATCTTCTCCAAACCCTCAGCCGCTCCTTCCCGTTTGATCCGTTCCACGTGCGGCTGCCGCTCCCTCTCTTTCGTTTTCTATCCCTGCCATTCTCTTGACCTTCCCCCTCTTCTTCCAACGTTACATCCGTCCAGGGTATTCGCTTTACTTGCATGCTTCTGCGTTCTACGCTCTGACTGTCCCCTGGTATCAATAATACGAGTAGTGCTTCTTTGCATCTTTTCTTTTTTCCTTCTAGCTTCGACTCTAGTTTCTGCTGGAGCGTGTTATCTTATTACCCTCGTGCTCTGGCGCCGAGCCTTGGCCTTCCACTTGGATGGTCTAGCTGCGCCCCTTCGATTTCATGGTCGATCTCGTGGACATGATAGACAGAGCAGCCATAACAGCCGCCGAGCAAAACCAGCAAGCCAAGATGTCTCCAGCTCCGGCAACTATGGCGCCTCCCGAGATGACGGGTGCCGTTAATCCCAAGGATACCTTCTACAATGACCAGCTGCCGCCTCCGCCTCCACCTCCCGCGAGACGTTGCCATGTCTTCTTTTGGGCTGTTTTGAGCGTTGTCTTGTTTGTTGTTCTCGGTCTTGGACTCGGCTTGGGCCTCGGGTTGGGTCTGCACAAGCCGGCCCGGGGTTTCTCATCTCCGGTCACTGGCCCCGATTGCCCGTGTTCGGCTTGTCCCTGTGTGGTTGAAGGTCCCCGCCCGGACATCCCGACGGATTTGCCGCCATGGCGTCTTCCTGATGAAGAGTATCACCTGAGCATGGATTGGGATATCTATGCTCCTCCTACTACCCGTGTGTATAACTTCACTGTGGAAGAGATTCAGGCTGCTCCTGATGGTATGTCAATCTTCTCTGTGCTCACTCACCACATGAGTTACTAACATCTGCAGGTGTTCTCCGCAAGATGATCACCATCAATGGGAAGTTTCCTGGTCCAATGATCCGTGCGAACATGGGAGATCGGATCAAGGTGCACGTCACGAACGAGCTCAGTGAGCCCACCTCTATCCACTGGCACGGCATGTTCCAGTATGGCTCCAACTGGATGGATGGCACATCAGGCATATCACAGTGCCCTATCCCACCAGGACGTAGCTTCACGTATGATTTCTTGATTGACGGTCAATACGGCTCGTACTGGTATCATTCCCACTACTCAACTCAATATACTGATGGCATGGTTGGGCCACTCATCATCCATGCCCCAGAAGAGGCGGAAGTACGCAAGCTTTACGACCACGATGAGGTGATAATGCTCCAAGATTGGTATCATGACATGAGCAAAGATCTTCTGCCAGCATACCTCGCTTCAGGAAATGAGAACAAGGAGCCAACTCCAGATAATGCATTGATACAGGGAACGAATATGTGAGTTTGCCGCTTTAGTCCCTGAAAATGACGAAGACTTACACCAGCAGATTCGACTGCTCCAAATATGACGCATCCAGCAACCGCACGTGTGAGGGCAACTCGACGAGAGCAGTCTTCGGGGTCACCAAGGGCTCGAGTTACCGCTACCGACTCATCAACGTCGGGGCATTTGCTGGATTCTATTTCTCCGTGGATAACCACACCATAACCGTCATTGAGGCAGACGCCACATTAGTTGAGCCCGTTGAGACCCACCGCATATCGATCAACATCGCGCAGCGCTACTCAGTCATCGTACACGCCAACCAGCCTGAGGCGAACTACTTCATCCGTGCAGACATGATAACAACCTGCTTCGCCCAGCCCAACCCCGTCCTCGACTCCCTCGCCCTCGCCGTTCTCTCGTACACCGAGACGACTGATACCCCCACAAGCGTCGACTGGGACCCGAGCGAGGCTACTGTTTGTCAGGACTTCAACAGCACCCTCCTCATACCGACCGAGGTGGTTTCCGCGCCTCCTGCTGACGTCCTCTATTACTTCATGGCCTCCTTCCAGATTGGCGCGTACGCTCTTGACCGCGCCTTCTTCAACGATACCACCTGGACGACCGCTAACATCCCAACCATCAACCAAGCCGTCGACGGAATCAACAACGCTTCCACTGCTCACCTGTTTTCGGCAGATGGAGTCAGCTCAGGCTTCTCAGACAACCAACTCGTCGTCTCAGTCCCGAAGGGCCGGGTGGTCGATTTCCTCGTCCAGAGCTTAGATGATGGGGCGCACCCCTTCCATCTCCATGGTCATGAGTTCTGGGTCATGGCACAGAGCCCCGTGCCCGCCACTACGGGCTATTTCCCCTGGGAGACCTATGGCAGCCTCAACACAACGAATCCGCTCCGTAGGGATACGCTGACAATTGGCCCATTTGGATGGGCGTTGCTTAGGTTCGAGGCCGATCATGAGGGCTTGTGGCCGTTTCATTGCCATATTATTTGGCATATGGAGGCGGGGCTGCTGATGCAGTTCATGACTGGCGCGCATGAGTTGGCGAAGATCGGTATTCCAGACGATGTGAGGGACTTGTGCGATGTTTAATTCGTGATGCGTGCGTCCGTCGTCTAGGCGTGTGCCTAAGTTGGGGAGATTACTGGGAGTTTGTCGACGGGAATAATGATAATGACGGTCAAAACGGGGGAGTTTGTATTCGTTATGCGCGGAGTTTCGTTTTTTGGTTTTTGGTTTTGATTAGAATTGCCTGCGCTGGCGTATCGATACCAGGGATCAGTATTAGGAGTTTGTGTTTACAGCATCCGATTCATGGTAGCGATAGGAGTATACGGTAGATCAGGAAGCAGGGCTATTATTATTCTAGGCCCTTCCATTAATCAGAACCCTATTTTAGTTTCCAGCACAATGAATCCCTTCTATTCCACATAGGAATTTAACTGACTTGGTGTACTACAAACACTGTGAATACCAGTCATTTGAGTATTTGCAAGTAAACGGGCTCTGGCAAGCCGTCGCGCCTGTATAACCTATTCCCCCACATTGTCCATATTGCGCGACTGTTCCCCCAGGGATGGTCGTAGTAGTACCACCACCGCTGGATGTAGGCGTAGAAACAGGGTTGGTGTTTGTAGGAGGAGTACTCTGGGCAGGGCTCGAAGTGGTATACCCCGGCGAATCCATAGCAAACGAGTTGACCTTAACATAACCACCCAGCGCCTTCGTAGCATGGTTAAAGATAGCATATCGATACCCCATGAAGAACTGCCACGCATTATTCATTGTCAAGCTCCCCAGCTTCGTGAACGTCGTGCCATCCGTACTATAGTAAAACGACCCCTGTTGTGATGCCCCAGGATGGATGTCTGCGTAGATCCGTAACCAGATCTTACCCCCTGATACCGTGGCACCGGCGACTTCGGACCCGGTACTGGAGGTCGCCCAGGTGGACGTCATGGTTAGCCCGGAGTACATTGAGACGCGGAATGTGCCGCCGTTGTTGACCACCCCTATCCAGGCGCTGGTGTCGCGCAACAGGGCGAGGCCGGCGCGATCACCGTCTTTGGTGGTGCTGTAGTCGAGGAGAATTGTGCCGGAGGAGGTGGGGCCGAGGATGCGGTGGGTGAGGGTGTTGCGGGCAGCGTAGAGGTCGGATGTCACTGTTGTGGTGTAGAGAGTTAGACCGTTGTTAACGGTGAATTTGGTGGTGTCGGGGTTGTGGTTCCATTCCCATTCCGGGCCGAGTGACGTTCCAGAAAATGTGTCGGTGCCAGCGGGGGATTTGAGGGCGTGCGCGGGCAGGGGGAGGGGGTAGGATGCGCCCCAGCCGCCGTTGACTTTGGTTATGGCTGGGAAGCCGTCGGTGCCCCAGGTTATGGGGGCGAGGACGGGAGTACGGCCGCCGGGGTAGTTGTCAATAAAAGCCATGTAGTGCCAGGCGCCGCTGGGGGTCTGGATTAAACCACCCTGGTGAGGAACTCCTGATCCTGAGACGGGAGTGCCGATGTTTAAGAGCAGCTCCTTGACTGTGTAGGGTCCGAAGGGGCCGCTGGTGGAGCGCAAGACGTATTGTCCGTTTGCGGGCCTGGTGACGAAGATGTAATACGCTCCGTTGATCTTGTACATGCGTGAGCCTTCTAGAGTGCCGATGCTTGAGGGCGTGTTGTACACGACTTGTGTTTTAGCCTGGCTGAGTCCGTCGGCGGAGAGCTGGGCGACGCTGAGTTGGGTGTTGCCGTAGGCTACGTACATGGTGCCGTCGTCGTCGATGAGGAGACCCGCGTCGTAGTAGCATGTTGAGATTGAAGCTGCCTTTGTCCATGGGCCGGTGATGGAGGGGGATGTGTAGACGTAGGTTGCTGCGTACTCGATGCAGCCGATCCAGTAGTAGAGTTTTCTTGTTGGGTGGTATCGCATTGTTGAGGCGTAGATGCCCTTCACGTAGGCGCTTTGGCCGCTCACTAAGTTGTATTTGGTTCCCCAGTCGAGGGTGGGAACGGAGTGGCCGATGAACTCCCAGTTTACTAGGTCGTAGGAGCGCAGGATTGGGGCGCCGGGGGAGTAGTGCATCGTGGATGCGGAGTAGTAGTAGACATCGTCGACGCGGAAGATGTCGAGGTCGGCGAGGTCTTCCCAGAGTACGGGGTTGGAGTACTGCTGGCCGAAAATGGGCATGGCGTAAAGGAAGGCAACGAGAGCTGAAAGAATAATTTTCATTGTGGCAATAGTAAAATTGTGATAATAGGAAGATTAAGTTAAAACTGACCAAGTTTTAAACACGTTCGTATAAAATGGTGAACGCGATTCATTGAATTTTATATCAATCATCGGGAAAGTGTAAGTAGCAGCTACAACTTTGGATAAACTGGCTTAAAGTTGAGGAAATCGACGATTACCGGGACTTGCGCTGATTTTTTAGGTTAAAGTTAATATCCACGAAGCAAATGCTTTTGCATATCATGGGCTGTGGTGTTTCTCCGCATTTAATAAACGATTAGCAGGGGTTATTTGTTAAACATATAGTACGCCCACCGGGGAAGTCATAAAAAAGGCCAAGCCCTGTGGGTTAAGGTTTTAGGCTATATTCGACGATAAAGTTTCCTACCTTTGCATTGCCTTGGTTAAGAGATTTAACGCCACCTGCCACATTTAGGAGGAGCTAGAAGGAGCTGTGGACTAAATAGAAGTGCGGGGAAGTTAAATAAAACATCTCGTTATTCTTAGATATAGAAAACAGATTAACCTCGTCTAATAGTATAGTAGTCAGATGCGGCGTCTGACTACTATACTGGCCCTCCGTTCTTTCAAGCTTCTAATGGGAAACGTCGGCTGTTTGGAGTTTTCTAGTAGCCATTGTGTGTTGAAAATGTGCCATAGTCTCTGTAAGGCGAAGCTTATATTTATCATCCTTTTTATATTCTTTAACGTTAACGGATTTTTTATACAATAAAGTAACTTCCTGGGGTCGGAGCTGCTGAATTTGGCACGGCGCAGTTGCTGCTTTACGCATCCTTTACTCTTTTTTTATTCTTCCTTGCAAAATTTTACTTAAATAATGGCACAAGCTTCAGCTATGCTTCGTAGTTTGCATGAAAACAAGTCTGCTGTAACAATGTACAGTTGCGCTCGCGTTACACCTCATTGAGCCAAAAAAAGACTACATTATTCCGGCTCGCCCGGAATACGCGCCACACGCTATATATACTGTAACGGTTGGCCAGCATCACCCCGTTACAATGACAGAGCGGACGGGATGCCCAAGTCTCTGTGACCCTCCATCGCTTTAACTAGAAACGCGAACGGCCAATAATCCTCCCAATAGCCGTAACGGGAAGCTTCTACAAGCACATAGGATAGAATATCATGTCAATGTCAAGGGCAATGTAATACAGAGAGGTGCCGTTGTTATAAGGAAGCCAAGGAGCCTAGTATACACTGTTATAACGATGGCTATAACTGTAGCTATTTATCAGGTCTAGCTACTTATATAGAGATAGCTTTAGTTGAGAGGCCCTCATCGGAAACAAGCACGGGCAGACATGGTAGTCAATGCCATATAGATTGGTTTGTGGTCGGGCCGGCTAGTTCATGAGCCAGCTAAGTTCACGGTTGGGCCGGAACATGCAGCTAGATCAGCTTAGTTCTTTTTGGCCTCGATGGTGAAGGAGTAGGCGGGTTCCAAGTCGTTCTTGACAGGAAACAAGTTACCACCTTCATAGGTCATGTCGCGAGTGTAGTACTCAACGTTGACGGACTTCTTGCTGATGTCCATGGTGACAAATCCGTTAGCAGCTGCCTGCTCGTTGGCTCCAAGATACTTGACGAAAGGTCCTAGCTTGACACCATTGTTGCAGTCTCCTGCTTCAGGATAGCCAGCACCGCCAGTCAGAATGAAGTTCGTGTTGTTGGCATAGTAGTGGGCGAGGCAGTGGTCGTGGCCGTTAACAACGATGCCATTGTACTTGCTCACGATCTCAACGAAGGGAGCAAGCTCGGTGTAGTTTGAGCTAGACGAAACATAACCATGGTGAATTTGCAGGAACTTCCATTGGGCGTCAGACTTAGAGAACGCCTCCTCGACAAAGTCAACCTGTTCCTGCTTAGTTTCGTAGCAGGCCTTGGTATAGTCATTCTGGTAGACTGAATTGCTCTTCTGGTAGTTCTCAATGAAGCAGTCGGAGTCCACAACCGCGAATGTGGCTTTCCAGTCCTTGCCAGACAAATCGTAGGTGTAGTAGGGAAGGTTCTCAGTACCAAAATACCACCTGCTATCATACAGAGGAGCGATCTTGGTCTGGAATTCCACACCGCTTGTGCCCTTGACAACGTCGTGGTTGCCCAAGCACTGGTACCACGGGGTGTTGTTGAAGATTTTACCGGTGTACATGTTAGACCATGCCTCCTCAAAGCGAATGATGCCGTTGGTGGAAAAATCAATGGCGCTGGAGTAGAAGTTGTCGCCGACGGACACAAATGCGTCACAGTCCTTCTTGGCGCAAACCTTCTCAATGTAAGACGCAGTGGCCACTGTTGAAAAAATCGCATTCAATTAGCCTAGTCCATAGGGAAGACAGCAGGAATTATAACATACTCTGGTCCGCAGTGGCATTTTTGATGTTACCGCGGTCTCCAGCATCACAGTCATTCTGGATCTCGCGAGGAATGGTGATGTTGTTCGCGATCAGGCGCGGCATCACATTATTACAGAAGTTCACGGGGGCAGGCTCCCATCCAGTCCAGCCAAAATCTAAACTCGGATATTAGCGAGGTTGGTCTAGAATGCAAAGAATGACGAGATCCTACCACCAATGACACCTACAGTGAGCACATCTTCTTTAGGTACAGGCTTGGCCTGATAGCCTTCGGCGGAGATGAGGCATGCTGCTGTGGCTAAGGCCAAGGCAGTTAGCTTGACGATTGACATGATGAACGTTGACCAACACTTGACAGAAGTAACAGATAGGTGGTTGAAGATTCTCGTTAGAGGATTATGGGGGGGCGTATCGTGCTTTAAATCCTTACATTCTTGTCATACAGATCCCGTCAAGATAGATGGCAGATGCCACGTGCGTTGCCCTTTGCACTTGACTATAGATTTACTCTTCAAAGAACTTGACCATTATTTCCCAGTTTGCTTTTCGTCCTCGACGATGTTTCGTCTCGCCACTACAGCAAATAAGATTAGATGCTAAGACCACGTTTCTCGAATGTATCCTGCCCTAGTTCTCTGCGCAATCACAGCATTGTTAGGTCGTGGCGGGAGCTATGTTAACTAATGTAGATCTGCAGTACCCATCATACATATAAAGGCGCCAATTCCCAACCTTTTGAAGTCTATACCCCCGCCTAAAAGCTTACTTCGTGCTTTGGTGGAGATGACATTAACGCCAAGATCCACCCACGTGCCTGATTTCTTGGCGGCTGTAGGGTCCCCTGTCCCGTCCTCTTGGCGCTCTAGACAGTTTTGGCCTGGGGAATGATATTAACGACAAGACCCCCCTCGGCTCACCTTGCTCATCCTTGCTTCACCCATTCAGGCAGCAAGGGGCTCAGATTCCACGCCATGCCTATTGGCACGATTGATTATTAATCCATTAGATTACAAGCTTTTAGTAGATTAATACTCAGGACTAGGGTGCGTCATGGGGAACCACCGACCCAAGACCGGACCATGGTCTGTTCTAGTCCCAAATCTTCAGACTAGACCACGGTCCGATCTGAAGGTATGGGGCCATTGGGGGACCACAGCGGTCTAGGCGGTTCGCCCTGGATTTTCAACTCAGACCGGCGGTTTCGAATCGGCGGTCCCCCATGACGCACCCGACTCAGGACAATGCCATCCAGAATGGCGGGTAAGCGAAATTTTCATGCCCTGTAATGATCCGGTTGCCTCCCTCGGCTACATGATGGCGACCACGGCTTCTTTAGCCCATGCTGTATTAATTTAAACTGCTAGACTGCTAGACTAAATAGAGCGAACTTGGATGCTACTTTCGCGTAGGTCCTTCATAAGCTGGGTCTTCCCTGACATTAAACTTCGCGCATCAATCCACATGTAGCTGGTGTTCTCTGATTAAGTCAACAACACACCACCCTCTGACTCCGAGCCTTTCCCGCTGTCCCCTTACCCCTCCTGTAAGCAACTAATTTGGTCTGCCAACTCTTTTCCGTCCTTATCTGAAACGGAAAGTCGAGGACTTGACCTAGCAGAGATATGTGTTGTTGCGTGCCCAGGTTTAGGATGATTTGGGTATTCCCAGTCGTTGAATCTGGTCGCCACATACTTGGGCCTCACTGTCGTTCGATAGGTCGCAAAGTGTCAAGTCTGATCTGAGCAATGACATCTCGTTGAATTTTCTCTTTTGAGCCAAACCCCGCGCGGCATACCTCGCGACTGAGATTATAAGATACATAGACGCAGCCGTCGTTCTATAAAGGCTTCTCTACGTAAATGAACTCATAGAAGGAAGGCTATGCCGTAACACGAAAACTATTCAACATGACTTCCCAAAACTAGTTCTCAACATCAAGTTAGTGGTCTTGTCACTATTAATCTCGAAACACTCTTCGCTCGAGACTCCAGCGAGACGATTAAACTTTTCGAAGTAGCAAAAGAATACGGCTTATGTGTGGCAGACAGGCCCTACTCATTGAGTTTCATATATCAGATTCCATTATCATCATACTCTATAAGCTCCTCCTCTGGAAGACTAAACAATGCTTCGTGAAAAGCATATATTCCATCTATGAGACGTAGAAAAGCCCGCGTCTTGCTGTGTCCCCTACGCTTGCTAAAATACTATGCGCAACACTTTCACGAACCTGGTCCGCCCCAAACCGCACACACTAACCTAGGCAGCCTGACCGTCCTTTTCAGCAAGCACCCTGGGCTACAGGTTCTTCAGAAGGGAGCGGGGGAGTGGAGTTTGTAGAGCCGCGCTATAAATATAGACGATGGGATGGAAATGATGACAAATGGGCTGTTGCATTCGACTTTGCACCGGGTGGTGCTGCCGAGGGACAAGGCAGTGACGACGAGGCATTCGTTTGCTGCGCGGGCGGAGGAACATACGCCACGCCGTTAATTAGTATTCGGACCCCTTTAATTCCGCCGAGGGAACAGGCGTCGAGGATTCTCACGAGTGGGAAGTGGCTCGATAAAATGTTTGGCATGTTAAGAGCGAAGAGGCATGATAGTGACCAGGCGTGGGCGATGAGGGGTCCCCAGAGGGTTGCTGTGATGTTGAGATAGCGATGATATTCGATTTTTTCGAGTTTTTCGAGTTTTTTCGAGTCTTGGAAGAGTTGTTATATTTCTTTATCTAGCTATTGTTGAACTGTGAAAGAGGGAATTGAACTGTCAAAGTAGGTGGCTGTGGCATTAAAAAACATCAGGCTCCTTCTGCAAAACTTTTGGAAGTCTATAAGTCCACGAGTCACGTTGTCGGCAAGTTTAAGAAGCTTGTATCGCCAGATGCATTACTAATGCTAAGATAATCTACCTCAAAAGTTATGTCACATATTAAATTCATGAATAAGCACCCATAGACTTGATACAAATCAGAGTACGCTGAACAAAAGCTGATTTAGATTTACAACCAGGTACTGTTATTATTGTTCGCCGAAAGAGAGGAAGTAATGCCATTCCATGAAACAGTGACTATTGTGATGTCCACTTTACTAGAGAATATCAGCCGTAGAGCCCTATCACCTTTAGGCTGATATCCGTAAATAGCAGATGTCTGGGGGATTACGCCAATGTAGCGAGATTGCGCCATAGTGTTGTGTTGGTTTTGGTTGGAGAGGATTTGTAAGATCGGTAATATGTAGCACACGAGATTTATCAGAGTTTGTTACCATTTTGTCACCATCCTGTCACCATTACATTACTAAGATGTTGGTTCAGCGGGGCGACTTCATCGGGATGGGATGGAGTACTAGGTACGACAGGGTACGGGACAGGGAATGGGCCCGAGAGTGGGCAGTGGCCTTGTAGCCTTCACCTGTGTGGGCCGCGGATATCATCTCGCCAGTCGATCGGGGGATTTCAGAGATCCGTTAGAGATATGTTAGCTCCTTTCATTCTAATTGAATATTGAGTGGTGATAGCAATTAGCTAACAAACGTCAGAAAGAAGTGGCTTATAATGGCATTGCATTGTTATTATAACATTCCTGTCTCGACCATCGCGTCCATCTCTTCATCGCACTACTATCCTCGCATTTCTTCTCTGTCTACTACTTCTATATATTCTCTTGATCTCTCAACTATCATCCTTTATCTTCCTTCTTCTTCAAGGAGTCTGATTTTATGAACAATTAAGAGTCTACTTGTCCTACAGAAAGAATCTCAAAACCCCATCAACAAATATGGCGGACATCATCAAAAATGTTGTCATTATTGGCGTCAGTCCCCCCGGAGATATCCTCGCCTCCTACCCCCTCCACGCCATCTTTGCCTTACAACACCTAACTAACAGACAAAAAGGCCAGCGGCAATATCGGCGCCTCAATATTTAAAGCCCTCGTTGCGTCGAACAAGTTCACCGTCTCTGTCCTCACGCGTCCCGAATCCACGCACATCTATGCGGGTGATATCAAAATCCTTCAGTCCGACTACAGCGAAGTAAGCCTAGTCGAGGCGTTCCAGGGCCAAGACGCTGTCGTCTCTGCTCTTGGCGCAGCTGGACTAGCAGATGAGATCAAAATTATCGACGCGTGTGTCAAGGCTCGTGTAAAGCGCTTTATCCCCAGCGAGTATGGCAGCAATTCGAAAAACGCCAAGGCCACCGCCTTGATTCCCTTCTTCGGGCTCAAGGCGCAGATCAATGCGCGTTTAGAGGCGCAGGAGGCCAATGGGCTGACTTGGACTGGAATTGCCGCTGGACCAATGTTTGACTGGGTGAGTTCCCCATTTCCGTTCACGCGAGGATATCCCTTGCGGCTTTCGCCACACGATTGACCATATTCTGAGTTATTTTTTGACAGGGTATCAACATGGGGCTTGTTGGTTTCAACATTCACACTAAGGAAGCCCTAATCTTCGACGGCGGCGACCGACGCTTCTCCACGTCTAACCTCAGCCAACTCGGCAATGCCATCGTGGCCATCCTCTCTAAGCCCACGGCGACAGTCAACCAATACCTTTACATCGATTCCTTCACCGCGTCGCAAAATGAGATCCTTGCTGCACTAGAGTCGACGACGGGAGAGAAATGGACTGTCACCAAGTCCACCACTGAGGCTGCAGTAACTGAGGGTCAGGCGCTGTTCGCTAAGGGAGACTTCTCGGGATTGTTGCTACTCTTGAAGGCAAATTTCCTTGGCGAGGGTTATGGCTCGGACTTTACGAAGGATGCGAAGTTAAGCAATGAGATCTTGGGCCTGCCAAGCCAGGATTTGACCTCCACAGTCAGGGCGCTAGTTAAGGGCGAGACGATTTAGATCTGAAGTTCGCTATGGGGACAGTAAAGAAGCCACCGGGCCACGGCAACCCTACTAACTACTACTGTTATTCTTGCTCCCTAAGAAACAATATTCATGGACGTCGTAATTGAACCAGATTAAATTATATAATGAATTATACAATGATACGTCTTCACTCAGAACTGCTGCAGATCATCTTCAATCTGAAACTCACGCTCGTATGGGTCCAAAACATGAGCTACCAGTGTCTTCCACCATGTTTGGTATCTACTGCCAAACCGTGATTTAGTATACTCCCAATATGCAGGCCACCAACCAGCCATTTCCCAGTCAATGATCCCAGTGACCTTTCCAGTTGTTGGCTCGACAAATATATGATCCCCACACAGATCAGCGTGGGTAAAAACAACCCCCTGATCATCTGCAGGTTGTTGGCGATAGTGTTTAACAAGCTCTTTCCGAGGACATCTGGCCACAGGGACCACAAGAAAATCGTGAAAATCCGATACTGAAGCGAAGGGTCCACAAGGATGGCCATTGTTGAGGCGATGGTCGTATGCTGAACCACCGCTACAAGACCCGATGGAGGCTGGCGTCGGAGACGGCACGGTCCGTAGTTCGTCGAGGTAGCTGCGAAGATCTGCCTGGGTCGCTGTGCGTGCTTCCTCGTTCATGCTGGGCCAAGCATCCGTGAGAGGACTTCCAGGAATCACGCTCATAGAGAACCAGCTGCTTCGACTCTCATCGTTCTCGTCGACATATGTTTCGAAAACGGAGGGGATGGGAATAGATGTATGTTGGCGAACAAATTCCATAGCCTCAACCTCTCTGTGAACTTGGCGACCTGTTCCGTGCTTGACATAGGAGCCTTCAGCCTTATGGGCACGCTTTAGTGGCACCATCAGAGGATTGATAGAAACTGATATGTGTGCGTTCGACATTTTTATCGTAAGATAACCCAGGGAAGGTTAGTGGATTGGCTAGATCTGTTGCCGTTGTATCATCAATTCCCATGTGTAGACACATCCCGAGACTTTTCAGCCACACGAATGTCAGTGCCACAAAACCAAATCGAAGCCACAAAACCGGCCATCGGTGTCTGCATTACCTCACATTTACTCGATCCCGTAAGCCACCATAACCGACCAATCATGCACCCTGTCACCTAACCACCACCAATATAAAACCCCCAAGCGCCACCTGGCTTGCACTCCGCTGAGGCTGACTAAGCTCCCGATTTTACCGCGCGCCATAGGTCCAACCAGACCATGTACGTTGCTGACATCAGGCTCATCGGCGGTATTTGGAATAGACCCGCGTGCGATACTGTGTCGATGGCGAATCAGCGAAAGGGATTTTCAATATACTGTAATGGGTGGTGGGAATGCAAGCTTGTTCGCCAATGGAGAGGAGGCTGCTTACTCTGTGCCAGTTAATATAGTCGAGAAGGTGACGTGATATAGCTACCCTACTTCATCTGTCAACAGAAGACGGGATGAACTCGTCAGCGTGGGCGGGGTATATAATACCCCTCCTCAGCTCCCATAGCTCAAGCTGACTGTCTCAACCCTAATCCCCTCCTCGCCACTCAATTATCCCTCTATCATCTATTGTCAATATATTACCCGTGGACTACCAACGATCAAAGTGGAACAGAGCTGTCGCAATGCCTCTCCCATCCGACGAGCAAATCCTCGCGACCTCGCGCGGTCTGATCGACCAGCTTCAAGCGCTATTTGGGAAACATCCTGGGTTCCGCCCTGGTGCGCCTCTCCTTCCCATCTTTCAATTATTTCCACTATACAGGCCCCTCCATCCGAAATAAACCACAATCTAACATTTCTTAGCTCATGCAAAGGGCCACCTCTTAACTGGGACCTTCACCCCCACCGAAAACGCAGCCAAACTCAGTTCTGCCCCCCATTTCAATCTCCCATCCACACCCCTCCTCGCCCGTTTCTCCACCTCCACTGGCCTCCCCGCCATCCCCGATACCGCCCCCCCAGCCGTCCCCCACGGCCTTGCCGTCCGCTTCCAGCTCCCCCCTCGCGACGGGCGCCGCGTCCACACAGATTTAGTCACTCATTCCACACCTACCTTCCCCACTCGCACCGGCGAAGAGTTCCTCGAACTACTCACCGCAATTGGCGCCTCCTCGTCCTCTACCGAGTCTCCGAACCCCGTCGAGAAGTTCCTCAGCTCGCACCCTGCAGCACACTATCATGTCACGAATCCGCCCCCTGAGACTGGGAGTTACGCTACAGATACATTCTACGGCGTTAATGCCTTCCACCTCGTCGCTGAGGATGGGAAATCAACAGCAATCCGCTACCGCATCATCCCTTCGTCTTCCCCCACCACGTTATCAGCCGAGGAATTAAAGGCGAAGCCAGATAATTTCCTACGCACCGAGCTCGAGTCGCGCATCGGCGCCGGCCCGCTTGTCTTTTCCCTCGTTGCGCAGATTGCCGCCTCGGGCGACCCAACTGATGATGCGACGTCCCTGTGGCCCGAGGACAGGGATATTGTGGAGCTGGGCAAGATCGAGCTGGATACGCTGCTCGATGAGGAAGAAGGAGGGAAGGAGCAGAAGCGTGTTATTTTCGATCCGATCCCGAGAATTGAGGGGGTAGAGGCGAGTGACGATCCGTTGTTGGAGATGCGGGCAGCCGTTTACTTGATTAGTGGACGGGAGAGGAGAGAGGCGTGAAGGGAGGCGTGAAGGTGATATTCCGGCCTGCCGTTTTATGTTGTCCGTTGGCCTATGGCCTAGGCTAGTCACTAATACGATTATTGATATTGCTAGTTGGACTGTACTACCACCCGTCAATACTGGTGGTATATCGTAATTGATGGAGAGTATATTTCTTACTATCTGCTCATACCCGCTGCCTATTTAGCATCTCAACTAAAGCTATCTCTATACGTGGCTATGCTTAATAAGTGCAAATAATGGTGATCTATATAAGCATGTACGCTGCACTACGTATCTCCATGATAACAGTAATGCCTCCTGATACAACACTACCATTGACATCGACATGATTCGCCTCATAGGTAAGCTTACAAAAGCATATATATCCCCCAGTACTTGTGTGTGGCTACTGGGTAAGCAACATTTCCAAGGGAGATGATACGCAACCAGAATAGCGTGTGAGAGAAAGACCGACGTTATTCCGTTGCTGGAGCCAACAAGGTTTTATGCACTACAATATGCGATACATATGGCAGGAATAATGGTGCCAATAGCTTCCTAATACATATAGGGTAAACCGTACAATAGGCGCATCGTGGGATAATCATCGACAACTCAAAGTGGTAATCTACGGACAACATCGAACCATAGTCTCTCCCCAGAGTCTGATTATAATCTGCAGTCTGTAGGATTTGTTGTGTCGCTATTCGTCTGTGTGTTTACATGGATCGGCAATCTAACGTTACAAGGCAAGGACTCGGACCACAAATGCAGGGATGTCGTTTTTGGTGGCTTTTATTCGCTCCGGCAGACCGCGGGTGTGGCTGCCTCGGGAGTTCGGATGGGGGAGAGGCATCAGTGCCACATGAACTTCTTAATACACCTGGGAAACCCACTCGCCGAGAAAGCTTGTAATAAACTGCTGTCCATATCAGTGTGGTAGTACTCTGTGCCGACTGCTCGTACGATCACCTACAGGTTCCAGTTAGCAGTGAAAAGCTAAAACACGGCTCCGAAGCCGTTATCTTGTTTTACCTTGCACGAGCGAGCACACAAGTAAGCAATGACGATATTGTGCCAGGGGTTGACGGCACAAAGGATTCCGCTAGTGGTCGTACCCCAGACCACAACAGCAGCAACGGCAACTTTGTGTGGGGATATCTCCACAATATGTCAACACGCGCTCGTACCAGCGCCAATCTTCTCCATTCTTAAACCTAGAAGACGGTGAGATTGGAGAATGAAATGAGGGGTAAAAACTAGGAAATGAGGGTGGAGTCACCGTTTATATGGGCCAAGCTGCCCCCCAAGATGTGAAATGTTCTTTGATTTCACCTTTCACGTTTCTCGAATAGCGCAATCATGGCTGAACCGAAAGCAGTTGCACCTCTCGTCGAGGCTATCGACAAGTATGAGCTTCACGGTTCTTGATAATATTATACTCAAGCTAACCATTTCCTAGTAATGAAGCTGGCTACAACCCAGACCGCGTTAACCTGAACTCAAACATTTCGGGGAGGTAAGCTTTACGAAGCATTCGCTAAAAGGCTTGTGTTGAAAAAAACTAGAATAGAGAATCCACTCGCTGGTATTCCTCGCGACACCCTCCTCTTAGAAGTTGAGAAGTTTGCAGAGGAAAAGGCCCTCACTGAGCATGTCGATATCCTCAAAAAGGGTGCACTCGTCGCCCAAGATCCTCTCAATTATGAGGATATTACGGGCGAGCACAGCTTAACCGACGCAGAGGTTGAGGATCTTCGTAACGAGATTCTACACAAGTGGCGCCACCCAATGACTCTTTATCTAACCATCCTTCTTTGTTCCGTCGGGGCAGCTGTGCAAGGCTGGGATCAAACCGGTTCCAATGGAGCCAATTTGTCCTTCCCCAAATTTTTTAATATCGGGACTGAAAGCACCCGCGACCAGCTGCTTGTCGGTCTTGTAAACTCTGCGACATATCTCGGCTCGTCTCTCTTCGGATGCTGGATTTCGGATCCTTTGAACTTTTATTTTGGACGCCGTGGCACAATCTTCTTTTCCGCCGTCTTCTGCTTCCTCCCGGTTATTGGCTCTGCATTCACACAGACTTGGCAACAGCTCTTCGCCTGCCGTATCCTGCTCGGATTTGGTATGGGCGCAAAAGGCTCAACTATCCCAATCTTTGCTGCTGAAAACGCGCCTGCCAGTATCCGAGGTGCCTTGGTCATGAGCTGGCAGTTATGGACAGCCTTTGGAATCTTCCTGGGGTACTCTGCTAATCTTGCCGTTGCTCATGTGGGAAAGAATGCATGGAGACTCCAACTTGGGTCCGCTATGCTCCCTGCCATTCCTCTACTAATCGGTGTCTACTTCTGCCCTGAGTCACCACGTTGGTGCATGAGTACGTACCTCCAACTGTTCTCAAATTTGAAATTAATGCTGACGCCGAAATATCAGAGAAGAATAGATACCCTCAGGCAATGGGGTCTCTATTGCGACTTCGCAACAGCCCGCTCCAAGCAGCTCGCGATCTCTATTACATCCATAAACAGCTCGAAGTTGAGGCGTCCATCATCGGCAAGAGCAACTACATAACTCGCTTTATCGAGCTCTTCACCATTCCTCGAGTTCGCCGCGCGACCCTTGCCTCTTTCACTGTCATGATTGCGCAGCAAATGTGCGGTATCAACATCATCGCATTCTACTCTTCCACAATCTTCGTGTCGTCTGGCTTTGATCAGTATCAAGCACTGTGGGCTTCGTGGGGCTTCGGTCTTATCAACTTCCTTTTTGCGTTCCCTGCACTCTGGACCATTGACACGTTTGGGCGACGAGCACTGCTCCTCTTCACGTTTCCCAACATGGCGTGGACGCTCTTGACTGCCGGACTCTGCGCGCTGATTCCCGTACACTTTAAAATCCACTTGGGGTTGGTGGCATTGTTCATCTATCTCTTTGCCATGTTCTACTCCCCAGGTGAAGGGCCTGTCCCATTCGCATACTCGGCTGAAGTCTTCCCATTGTCCCACCGTGAAGTTGGAATGGGCTGGGCTGTGGCAACATGCTTTTTCTGGGCTGCTATTCTTTCGATCTTCTTGCCACTCATGTTGGTAGCAATGTCTCCCACCGTAAGTTTGCACCGAATTCTATTCTAATTTCTCCAACTTGCCGCTAACTTATATGAAAAGGGTGTGTTCTGCTTCTATGCAGGAACTAACCTTATTGCCTTGGTCATGATATTCCTCTGGGTTCCCGAGACCAAACAGCGCACACTCGAGGAGCTAGACTACATCTTCGCCGTCCCTACTCGCACCCACATGCACTATCAGATCAACAAGGCCCTTCCGTACTTTATCCAGAGATGGGTCTTCTTTAATAAAAACGCTGTCCTCGAGCCTCTTTATAAATTCGACACTGCCGGGGCGACTGACAAGTCTAGAATCGCGGATATGCATGCAAATGACCTCCGACGTGCCGAGCTGCGCAATGATAACAGTGCCTCCGATGAGAACGTGGAAAAGACTGAGAAACAAAATGAAGCTTCAGACGAGATTGTCGAGAAGGTTCGAGAATAGACTTTCTATTAGAAATTGATAAGTTACGCACGAGGTCTAGTGAGGCGAGAGACAGATTGGGGGGGTTATTGTCTTGGAACTGCTAGTGGATAGTTTGGTAGACATCGCAGCAGTTATGAATTTAACTCCATAATTCGAGATTGGTTGCTGGTGCAGCTACAAATTGTAGAAGGTCTTCTATGGCTGAGGATTGTGAAGAAATGAAAGCCCCAGTTATGACTATAGCCCACACAAATCGCCCAGTTATGAGAAGGAAGCCAATGAATTTTATTTCTTCCATTCATTGCCGCCCTAAAGCATGACTTCTAATTGGGCCGTATTCGCCTTGCCGTTTGGTGAGAAGGAGAGTGGTGCATGTTAATGATCTCAATATATGGGAAGATATTTGAGTCACGGTCTAGGTGAGATTTCAAGGGCATGATTATTAGTGCACATGAGAACCATGCTCATGGTAAGTCTTGTGTATTTATTGAAATCTAGTCTTTACCTATATATAATTCAAATTTGTACAGTACAGCTCAGCATGCTCCCAATAGGCGATTACTTTCGCTATAATCCGATCACGGTGGGACGACCACATCTAGCGGGACGCAGGGATAGTTCTCATGGGAACCAAATCTCTCTTCATCGATCCAGTTCTGTAATGCTGTGTTGGTATCGCACACTGGGATTCCCACAACACCTGGTGAGCGAATGCCCATGTCATACAGGCTGCTTGCCGTCTTGCTGTCATTTGGGTCGGCTAATTTGCAGCCATTCTTATCCCCATTAGCATGGTATCCGTTGACGCCGCTAGAAATCACTATGTTAGATATTGTACTGTAAAAATCCAGTCCACGAAGAAAAGATACAACTCACCCTACTACGAAATCATCGAGCTTCACGCCACCCCAAAGTTTGCCATCTAGTTTATCAATGCCAGCGGGTGCCGAATAATAATTATGCTTGCAAAATCCCTCGCGGCCAGTGGTGCATGTGGCAACAGTTCCCTTCAGAACGACGAGGTAGTAAAGCTTGTTGCCAGCGCATGCCCAAGTCCAGATACTCAATGGTGAGATCGAAGGTGCCGCAAGGAACACCAGCGTCAAGAATGAATGGCTTCTGGCTCGACAGCTGCCATGCGCTAGGGATAAGATGAGCAAATAGAGCTCTCTAGGTAAACGAGGATTTGCTATTGCCAAGGTGCCAGGCTGCTGTCGTCGTTGTTGCAGCTGTTGCAGTTTTGCTGGCTATATTTCAGACGTGAGTCAGTCTCTCTAGAGATCGACAAGGGTTAGAATCCTCCACAGCCACGGTAACTCAGCATTCCTTCAGATAGTAGACTAACGCCTAAAATGGTATTCCCCGTAACGGTTTCATAGCGCTATGTCCGAAATGGTTTCCCGCGAAACGGTTTCACGGGAGCCATGAAGGACAAATGCTCTTCAAACTTTGGTCTTGGAAAAAGCTTGACAGGATCGATTTCAATTCCAAACAATACCATTGAACTTCTCAACAGTTGCAGGGCATTTCGGTCTAAGCACCATTTGTGCTCACAAGGCAGACTACTACGTATACGCCTCGCGTGATTAAGCAGGCCAGACTCCATGATCTGAATTATAAAAAACTAATAAAGTACTCTTCCATCGCCCATCATGGACCTTACATCACGTGCCTCCACAGTCAAAAATAACGTGACTTTCCCAAATATATTGTGTGAGTTACGAGCGTAAACCAAACTTGTAGATTATTACTGGGCTACGGCCTTTACTTATGCCGTAGCCTTCGGAGCTATTCTCCGTACGAAACATACTAATTTTTCACTAAGTCCAGCTATGTAAACCCGTGATCTCTGCCTGATTCTTCAGGCCAGAATCACAATTGCGAGGTCATCGTTACCATTGACATCAATGATATCACCACCCGAGTCACTCCGTCACCGCCATAATATCGCATTCACGTGCTAAATCTCCAATGCCTCATCCGCGAAGATGTCCCTCTCCCTCCGTCGTGCCTTAACATACAGCCTCAATCGCAATCCCAGTCCGTCCTTGAACGCTAGAAGAACACTGCATTCCTCGCGCGCCATGGCTGAGGTGAAGAAGACCACGCCGAAAATGAGGCAGCGGGATATTGTGTCAAGTTTCTTGTGCGCGCCGCCGGTGGAGGAGGGCGGGCAGCATCGGTTCGTGCTGTTCAAGAGGAGCCAAGAAGTGTCTTCTTATCGGTAGGATATATTTTTAATTACAGCTATCATTTTAATCATACGTCATGATATATCCACCCTATTTTTTATTATACAGATAAACCTACCCGTTTACCTTACCCACTACTCCCCAAAATAATACCCAATGCACAGCCATCTCTAACACACACCAGCGGCAAATGGGCCGTCTGCTCCGGCACAATCGAGGCCACAGACGCCAGCCCCCTCGCAGCCGCCTACCGCGAAATCGCCGAAGAAACCCAACTCACCCCCCCCTCTATCAGCCTCCTCCGGCGCGGCCGCCCCTTCACCCTCCGCGACGAAACCATCAGCACAGACTGGACCATCCACCCCTTCGCCTTCCTTCTCGCCTCTCCTGACACCCCCTTAACCATAGACTTCGAACACACCGAGTACACCTTCGTGACGCCCTCCCAGCTCTCTGAGTACGACACCGTCCCAGCCCTAGCAGACACGACACTCCGCGTCCTTCCCGGCGCGGAAGTCGAAGACGCACTCCGCACACTCCGCTCGGACCACACCTCCGGCGCCACTGCCCTGGCCACCCTCGCGCTACTCACCCTCCGTCGCGCCCTCCTCCCTCCTCTCTCCACGGCCCCAACCACGGCTGTCCAATGGCGCGCAACCCGCCTCCTCGCCTGGACGCTCGCGAAGTCCGCGCGTCCCGCCATGGCGCCCGCGATCGAGGCCTCAGTCTTCGGGGCGCTGGAACGTATTTCGCTTTCTATTGGCGGTGTGGGAAAAAACGATGACCTCAAAGTAGCGATGGAGGCGTTGCCGATAGAGGAGTTTAGGCAGGTGGCTACGAAGGCGATTGAGGATGTGATGGAAGCGAGGGAAGAAGCGGTGTTGAAGCTCGCTTCGAACTTTACGGCGTGCGTGCAGCATAGTGCAGGGTACCAGGCTGCGTTTACGGAGCAGAGGCCAGTGACGTTGGTTATCCTGTCTGCGTCGGCGAGTGTAGCGGCCTGCGTAGCGGATCTAGCTCGCGCGGCGGCGGCGACGAAGATGGGTGTTAGGGTTTTAGTATTGGAGTCGCGGCCGGGGTTTGAGGGTGTTGATATCGCGAGGGCGGTACTGGATTTGGTGGGCTCGGATGCGGAGGTTGAGATGCAGATCTTGACTGATGCGGGGGTGGGGTGGGCGGTGGGGGAGGCGGATTTTGTGATGCTTGGGGCGGATAGGGTGACGGGGGAGGGGGATGTGAGTAATAAGACAGGATCGCTTGCTGCGGCTGGGTTGGCACCCACGGTGGGGAATGGATGTAAGGTTGTGGTTGTCTGCTGTGAAGAGAAGATTATGGGTGATGATGGGGGTGGGGAGGGGTTGGCGGAGGCGGAGGCGGATGGGGGAGAGGAGAATGAGTCGTCAGAGGTGACGGCGGCCTGGCCGGCGAGGGCGAAGGAGGTCGGGGAGCTGGAGGGTGTTAAGGTGCGGAATCCGTATTTTGAATGGGTGCCGAGTCGGTTTGTGGATGTGTATGTGACGGAGGCAGGGGAGGTGGGAGTTGAAGGGTTAAAGAAAGTGGCACGGGAGAGGAGGGAGTTGGAGGAGCGCTTATTTGATGGTTTGTAGAGTGATATATGGGTGTTATTTATATTAAGTGGGAAGGTGTATGATATTTATAATATCAAATAGTTATTTATATAAAGTGCAAAGGCATAGGCTAATTATAACATTGAAGATTAGCACACGATAGCAACAACTTTCTCTACTTATTAAAAAATATCCAAGCAACATATTCGATACAAAGACCCTATCGTATGCATTAGAGGGCCCCATGTGCAGTGCGCAAAGGAATCTAAAGTTGCATAGATATTCATTTTAGAACTAGCTACAGGTTCAACATCTGTTCTATGCATCTAAGATCTATACCAATGGTTCAAGCGAGGTCTGCATATTTATATAGGGTAGGTAAGCTAAAATGGCAAACCCCGGCACTATTACGATAATAACGCGAAACTTACACGAAAATGTTGCTTCGCCTCACTCACCCCGCTCACCCCACTCACCTTGCTCACCCCCCGGCTCACCTGCCTCGCCCTGCTCACCCCTTGCCTCACCCTTCAGGTGGCAAGGGCCCGCGATTCCACGCTATGCCTATTGGCACGATTGAGACTATTAGCCAGAGGATACGCAAGCAATCCTCTGGATAATACTTGAATTGGTGCCATCGGGCCAAGTGGGTGAGCTTCGCTGCCGTTACTCTTATTTTGTGATCACGACCGCCTTGACTACCTCGACCACCCAAAAGTGAATCCGTTTTTTACAACATGATAGGACGGCCTATACATGAACAACACATGAATAACATATGAAAATAGATCATAATACACAGCACAGTTCAAAATAAAGTTCTAATTTTAACAAGAAGCCCTCTTTCAGTGATCATAATTTGCGACTGAATCCTAATCAAGCTCTTATAGCATTCTCTACAATCTTCAACGACACGACCAACTCCTCATCCCTTCCAGGGCGGCCCAAGATTTGAAATCCAGACGGCGCACCTTCCACATCCTTGGGCAGATATGCTGGAACATATGAGACATCGCGGCGAAAGGGAACATCAAGTTCGGCATTAGCGTTGCCATGTGGAATGGAAACTGAAGGGTAATCGACCAGATTCGCAAGAAGAGTATAGAACGCAGGACCGTAGGTATCGTGTCCAACAGCAGTTCCTTGGTACACAGGCATAATAAGAACATCAAGCCCCTCCTTTACCCATGCATTTTTGAACTGGTTACATACCTCGCGCCGCTCGAGGTTCACACGGAAGGCATCGTCGACGGTTGGCTGGTAGTGTTTGAGTTCTGGCAGAGAAGTGTTGGATATGGACGGAATGGGTGGTTCGCCGGATACCTTTAGCTGAGAGAGGATATAATTGGTGGGATCCATGCTAAATAGGTAATAAGCAGTAGTAACGGCCTTGTCAAGGAATTGCGATGGTAAATGCTGCTCCATGTTCACAACAATGTGCCCTGCTATCTCCAATTTCGAAATGGCGTCTTTGAAAGTCCGCAACACAGATGGGTGGAGAGGGAATTTATTGCTTTCCGTGACAAAACCGATTCGAAGTTTCTTCCCGGCTACCTCAGAGATGCTTGGAGACACTGACCGCCATGGTGCATACATCGCAGTTTCGTCCAGAGACCAAATATCATTTTCGGCACTTAGAAAATTCTTGAGGAAGTATTCGACATCCCGAACAGAGCGTGTGAGTGGACCACCTGTTGAAAGGATGCCCCACCCGCCTGGGCGAGCGGCAGATTCCTGGCCAGCAACGGGAAAGCGACGGGCAGTAGGTCGGAACCCAATTGTGCCGTTCACATAAGCTGGAATGCGAATGGAACCTCCAATATCAGTCCCGACTCCAATGATGGAGCCCTTCATGGCGAGAAGAGCTCCTTCGCCACCAGATGAGCCGCCAGCAGTTAAAAGGAGGCTGTGGGGATTAAGAACCCGCCCGAAAAGGTTGTTATCAGATTCTGCAGTCATCATAGTTTGTGGGATGTTGGTCTTGACATAAAGAACCGCACCTTGACCTATGAGGATCTGCGCCACAGCTGAATGGGACTCTTCAACAGGACGTTCAACAAACGAGATAAACCCAAGGGTAGTTCTAACGCCTTCTACCGCAAAGCATTCCTTAATAGAAATCGGGAGGCCATGAAAGGGTCCTAATGTCTTCTTCTCTCTCGCTAGGTAATCGTCGCAGAATTTTGCGCGCTTGAGAGCAATGTCAAAAAATGTTTCGGTAAGGCAGTTTGTCTGTATTTGTTAGCTTAGTTGAGATAATTTGTTAACAATGGTAATATACTAATTGTTGGGCAATCGCAGCACGCTTGCAGAAGGCTGTAGTGACGGCAACAGATGTGAACTTCCCCTGTGCTAACAATTCGGCCATCGCCACCGCATCATAATTTTCAGTGATGTCTAATTCTTCCTTTGTCAAAATGTCGCATGTTCTTGGAATATCCAAAACGTTCTGCTCTGAAGTCTGAGAAATATTATCCGTAATCGAGGCTGGTAGTCGCCATTCCTTTGGGATTTTCTCGGCCATAATTGAGCGGTATCTCGCAGCCGATTCTTGCCATGTTGCCATCATGAAAACCAGTGTTTGGTTAAAAGACTAATTTTGAAACTGTGTTGTCAGGTAGTAAATTGTGAACGGATTGGAAATGTAGGAAAGAAAGAAGGAGGGGGATAATAGGAGCAGCTTTATATATTTAGCAAATATATACATTCTAAACCCCGCAAACACCCCATGTTCCACTACCAGCTCCACAATGTCCAAGGCACCCAAGTCGACGTCTAAATTCATTTACCAGGCCTTAGTCGAACCTTGGGGGCCGTTCAGGTTAGTAACTATTGGGATATCCGATTTCATGCCATTGGCGTTAGCCAATCAGGTGTAATTGCGCGCTACTAACAATATCCACAATTAGTCACATCCACTAATCGTGGGTGGAAGCAAGTCCGGGCACTGGAAGCAAGTGCGCGCAACCAGGGCCAAATTTGCAGGTATCTTTACATAGTAAATTATATGTAAAAGTACAAATGGTCAATAAATTGTAATAATTACTATGCTATTTCTAACACAAAAGTACATATAAATAATAATAAACATTCTAAATGACTTCATTAAAAGAGAAATAATAATACATTAATATACTCTATTACCTATACTAGAATATCTAAAACTTAATAGTTATATAAAAGTGTTAATTAATAAAAAGGTAATAGAATTACCCTCGTTTTACAGCGCGTTTTTTGGTAAGGAAAGCAAAATTACTATGTAATTTGCAAACTCTATGTCACTTTACACCTAATTTACTATGTAAAGATACCTGTAAATTTGGCCCTGGTTGCACGCACTTGCTTCCACCCACGATTATTCGTTTATCCTCAAACCACGAATTGAGGGAATAAGAATTTCAGGGAATAAGGATTTCAATAAATTTAGTAGGGATAGAGGGTGCGGAAGAAGTGACCGTAGTGATTCTCTTTCTCCTCTTTACGCGCTCGTCGTATATGGCCGGCCACAATTAGCAAACTCCCAAAGTCTCCCAAGCGCATCTAAGTTTGAAGAGGTTTTATATCGTAACTAGAGAGAGCGTTATTTTATTTGTAGCATTATTTATGGAGTAATTTAAGTAATGCTTTTATATGAATAGCTATATGACTATAAGTAAATATAAAGGTTTAAATCTTTGCTTTCCATATCCATTTATAGTCAAGGCATGCCCATCTCGCTATTAAAATGGAGAGAAGTGCCAGGACCAGAATTCCGCCTGAGAAAGCAACGTATGCAGTCGTTCCTGCAGCTGACTGCAGTTCTGCTGCAATAGGAATAGAAATTAAAGTGCTAGGCGTAGTGTTAGAATTTTCTCGATTGTTTTGCGATTTAGCACTTACGCAAAAGCCACTGCACTATAGCTTGTGCCATACCACTGACCATACTCGCTCACTTTGCAAAGGTCTCCAATACACACCGGAGCCAAACTAATTACACTGCCAGAACCAAACCCAAAAATGGAAACCATGACGTAGAACAGAGCTACGTTATGTCCAACTGGTAACCAGAGCGCGAATGTTGCAAATATGGAGATTAGAACAAACAGTGCCATGCAGTTGAACCGACCATAATAATCAGCGACTAGCCCAGCGGTATAGCGTCCCAGTCCGGAGCCACTTTTGATAATTAGTTTCCAACTTCAGATGCAAGAGACATTCTTACGCATTAAAGACTGCAATCGCGTTAAAGCTCGCCTGATGACCGAAGCCCTGTTCGAGGGCAAAAGTTGGAAGAAGACCAATAGCAGTGTAGAGAACAAACTCGAAGCCTACCAAACTCTTGTCAGTAGATTTAAATTTGAAGAGGCATCCTTTGGGTTAACTTACACGCAATTCCAACAGTTGCCCAGGCAAATCTCAAGTCCCGAAAGCATTTCAAGCTGATGACGCCTCCTTGTTTTCCTGTTGGTAGGCGACCTTTAATGAAAATATTTCCAAACACCACAAACACAAACACAATTAGACTTAACAACCTCATTGCCCAAGCCCAGGACAAGCGCTCCAAGATTGGATTCAGTGCTAGCGGGAACATTATTCCTCCTAAACTCGTCCCCATGAAGGCAACCCCAGTGGCCAGTCCCCTCCTGGCCTCAAACCAATGTGATACCACTGAAAGGGCTACAGTTGTAAGTATCGCGCAACTAATCCCACCTAAAACACCAAAACAGAGAAAAAAATGCCAATATTTCGTGCATTCACCCAAAATCAGCAAATAAGCAACACACCCGACAGAGCCTGCGAACGTCAACCATCTTGGTCCATATCTATCGAAAAGCGGACCAATCTGCACACCGAGAAAAAGAGTTAGGAAGATTTGGGTTGATGATATCCATCCTATATCTCGAGAGCTGTAGGTTGACAGTTGGTGCGACTGCCAGTAGGACTGGAAGAGCCCGATGCAGCTGCCGAGTCCAAATGTGGCAGCGATTAGGCAGAAGCCGGAGAAGACGACGAGCCACGCACTGAGACCTCCCTCAGGAAACGACAAGGCAATGGAACGGGGTTGTGATTGCTGGAGTTCTAGTTGAAACTCCTCTTCGTCATTCAGTGCTGCTGTAAATTCTGACAATATTGCTGGTCGGGTTTGGGGAATTGTAGCGTTTTGTGCCTGCGGCAATTCTCGTTGAATTTTCTCTTCATCTGATGGTGGGGCGGATGTTGCTAAAGTTATCATGCTTGTTTCGATTTTTGAAGTGGTATATGCCGCTGTCTCTGCCATTTACGGAACAAATGATCAGGGTAGTTATGCCTTAACGGAAAGTCAAGTCAGAGCAACTCAGAGCGAGAAGTTATAATAAGGTCGGAAGATTAGGGAGGCTTCCCAATTTTTGGCCCCCTTACATCAATTTAACTTTTTCACGTTTCTGAAAAGATAACTGAGTTCAATCGGAAACAAATAGAGCCTCTAGTGTAGATGTCTCCTATTGGAAGAATCTTATTTTTTTCAGGTAACATCTCTTAAGCTTCCTCGTTGTCCACCTTCCCAGATTGAATACAAGCTAACGGAATCTCTCTCTGAAAACGTGGAGGCCCCAGCGCAAATGCCTCCTATTGGAAGAACCTTGCTATTCTTAATCAGGGATATTTAATCCTTCCCGCTGTTCAGCACCCCAGATTCAATAAAAGCCAACGGAATTTCTCTATGAAAACGTTGGAAGCCCCAGCGCAAATCTATCCTATTGGAAGATCCTTGTTCATTGTTCTCTTCAATTGAGAGGGAGATCCACATCTCTAAAGCTTCCCCGCCGTCCACCTCCCCGGATTTAATAAAAGTTATTAGAATCTCCCATAACGTGGAGGTCCGGCGGAAATAGCTCCTATTGGAAGAGTCTTGTTCTTTTAGTCGTGGGGATTGTCCACCCACTAGCTTCCCCGCTGTCCACCTTCAAAACAAACTAACGATTTCGTAAGCGAAAACATGGAGGCCAGGCGCAATTACATATGACTGGTCTTGATTTTACACTGCCTTGATCCAGCGTTACTTAAGCTTGCCTAGATTGTTGTGGGGAACCCCGCAAATGATAAAGTGGCAACGAATTAGGGTCCACGATACAAAGCACTAAAAGCTGGACTCCGATTGATCGTCATTTTATCATTTGCGGGGTTCCCCACTTCAATTTGGAGAAACAAGATGTCAAGTGAAATGTACCGAAATATAAAGCTCTTCGCATATCTAATATATCATGGATGTCGGATAGTCAACTTCTACAACATTTGCCAACCGTGGTATCCAGACACTAAACTTTGATATCGAAATCATGGCAGAGAAGAATACAGAGGCTGATTTGCCTGGTTTCCGTCATCTTGAGATGTCCTCTGCAGATTTGAGGAGAGACTCGACATCTGATAACTTGGCTACTCTCAAGACTGACATTAGAGACATTGCAATCATTGAAGTGACGGATGAACAGAATCGCAGAGTCTTGCGCAAGATTGATCGATGGTGAGAAACTCTAAAGCCAACCCAAGCTTCCAAAAACTGTTAGCCGCCCATTAACAATGAGCTTAGTCTCCTCCCCATTATGGGTATCGCCTTCATGCTTCAATTCCTTGATAAGGCTGCTCTAGCAGCATCGACTTTGCTTGGCCTGCTCGATCCGACAACAGGCGGGATCGTGAGTTTATTTCCCCGTTTAAAAGGACATCTCTATGAGGAACATATCAACGAGTCTAATTCTATAAACAGGCTTTGGTAGGATCCCAATTTGCATGGTGCTCTTCGATTTTCTACTTCGGGTATCTTGTTTTCAGTTTCCCAAGCGCCTACCTTATCGTCCGCTTGCCAATCGGAAAGTACCTAGCTTCCGTTGTTATACTCTGGGGCGGGATATTAATGTGCACCTCTGCTTGCAAGACATTTAGTGCCTTGATGGCTCAAAGATTCTTTCTCGGTGTCGCGGAAGCAGCCATCACACCAGGGTTTTCTCTCGTCACTGGGATGTTCTACACGCGTAAGGAGCAGCCTCTACGCCAGGGTGCATGGTTTATTGGAAACTGTCTTGCTCTCATACTAGGTGGACTGATTACGTATGGAGTCAAGAACATTCCTAACCCTCCTCTTCCACATTGGAAATTATTGTTTCTGTTTGAAGGAGCTGCTACTTGTGCATATGGAGTCTTCATGATCTTCGTCTTACCAGACTCTGTTATGACAGCCTGGTTTTTAAATCATGAAGAGCGCACCATTGCCTTAGCCCGTACATTGAAGAACAAGACTGGCGTTCTCGACAGCGGCGTCTTTAAATGGGAACAATTCAATGAGGCATTTCGAGATCCACAAACGTGGCTCATTGCGCTCTATAATGTTGCCATCAATCTCCCAAACGGTGCTTTAAACACGGTATGTCACTCGTTGGAGTACATTGCGGTATTATAACTAAAACCTGCGACTTTAGTTCCAACCTCTTATTGTTAATGGCTTAGGCTTCAACACTCTCACCTCAATCTTGCTCCAGATGCCAACTGGTGGAAATGAAATCGTCTTCCTCCTCATCACCTCTAGCCTCGCCTCATTACTTCCGCACGCGCGTGTTCTGATTATGATTTTTAATTGTGTTGTCGCCATGGTTGGCATGGTCCTAGTGTACAGTCTCAAGTCCCAAGCTGGGCAAATGACCGGTGTCGTCTTCGCCGCCACATACGCCATCAACATCCCTATATTTCTCAGTCTAATCACATCTAACGTTTCGGGCTTCACCAAGAGAAGCACAGTTAGTGCGATTGTGTTCGTGATGTATTGTGTTGGTAACATCGCTGGTCCGCAGTTTTATCTCGAGCGTCAAAAACCACGATACCAGGTGCATTGCGACCCCTTCCATATTCCTTACTGCTTGCTAACAACAGAATAGATGGGTCTAATATCCTCGCTCGTCGGATATGCCGTTGGCATCACCTCTCTCATTTGCCTGTACGCTTATTACCGGTATGAGAATCGTCGGAGAGACAGGGTGTATGGTTCTGAATCAGAAGTCAACACTAACCAAGAACTCACCGATGAGTTGTCTAACGAAACCGACCGTACGATTACTAGCTTTCGCTATATGATGTGAAGTTTGGTTGAGTCCTGGTCAAACGTTTGTATGCTATATACTTCAGGCGCGCACTGTTGTCTTCTAGAGAGCAAACAGAGCTTAACAATAGTAAAAACTTTCTAAGAATACTCCCATCTACAAATATATGTTGAGTTTAAAACTTACAAGTAATATTGCGGTCAACTATGCTTCAGGATGAGATCAATACAGCGCATACTATAGCTTCCGGTTTGTGCTGTCGAGTTTCAGAAGCTATATCAAATGAGTCTGTATTTCATTTCACTCTCACAACCTCGCTAGTTAGTACACTGAGGGGGCCTTCTTGAAGATCGGGCCATCAAGCCAATTTACAATGGGTGAACTGATAGATACAAAAGTCTTTAATAGCTAAAGCACTCTGAAAACACACTAGGCTGGGTACAAAAATGGTTATTGGATGTTAGTACTTAACTAGCACGAAGGCCACCAGCCAGTTGATATTGAGGTCGACAACATGATCCTAGATATCTCTCTCCTCACTTCTTTCACATTACTCATACACCTACAAGTCCCCCTATTTCCGAAATCATTTCCCAAACGCCACACGATTCGATTAAAACCCTTCCGCAGACTAACTTTGTGAAATCTCAGATTCGTGATTACCAAGAAGCTCTCTGAGTCCTATTCTTAATCTGTTAAGAATAGGGAAGGGAACGTAATCAATGTCCTACAAGATGACTGTTATGGCTAATACTGACCATTCTACTCAGGAAATCTTGATTCAAATCACATCTTCTGAAACTTCTATAGTTTACTGTAGCCCAGGCATACCCACAAATCGATCGAGCCGTTCTTGCGAGACTTCCATGACTCCACAGCCATCGATGACCCGCAGCGTCTCCGCTATCCTGTCCTTGATTATCCTCTTAGCACCCACATCCGTCGCAATATGTTGAATTATACTTAGCGGCCACAAGTTGTACTTGCTAAACAATGGCGTAACCGCGACTGCAGTTATTTCATTAACGAAACGGTTTATATCCGCCTGGGCCGAATCTTTCAAGCTTATTCCCTCTGGCTGCTGCGACAAAACATCCTCTAGCAAGACTTTCGCAGCTAGAATATACAGTCTCCCTGGTGAAGACGCGTTCGACGCTAGAAAATTTACCCATTGATGCAGTTCTGTTATTGCAAACGCTGCAATAGCGAGATCCTCTTCGCCTAAGGGTCTGCGCCGCCGCGCAAGATTTGAAATGATGACGATAAGGCGAAACAACTTATATGGTACACCTAACACCGGCCAGCTCTCCCAGTTCTCATCACTAGGGAGCAGAGAAAACTGAAAATATTCATCGATCATCTGCCATGCCTCACTGCTAACTAGGACATCGAAGTCAGGGTCGTAAGTCATCATGATTGTGCCATGGTAGAGCAGCGATTCGTAGCATTTGCGCTCAAAAATTACATGTAGTGCCTCTGGGTCGCATTCGGCTTCTGTCATTCGGGTCGCCTGTCGACACTTGAGCAGCTGCATAATCGCGCGAATATGTGTCCCTCTCGACCAGGTGGGACAGCTCAGATCCCGATTAGCTAGTATCGTGAGCAGGATGACGGCGCCTAGCAGCCAGTCTTCGGTGCCGTTCACACTTCCGAGCTCAATGCATCCTCGAATGGAACGTATGGCGGCAGTTTGGTGGGTTAAAGCTCGTTGACGCATCCTCATAACGGTTCGCCGATCCGAAGAGACCATATAGGAGATGGACGTGGCAGCGCAGGCTAAAGCCGCTTCCATCACGGGAATATTTCCCAGCGCCAAATTAATCCAGTAGGCGCCATTGTGAAACCGTGGATGAGAATGTTCATGGATTAAACAGGGGAGAAAATGTTTCACGTAATATCTGAACAGGTCGTCGTCACCATTCCCATGGAATGACACTACTGCGTGATTTGACCACAAGTCGACGATGCAGTTGCTTAATTGATTATTGCCGACTATCCCATGGGGTTTTGTTGGACCTCCAGTCGCAATTGTAGGCGAAGGCGAAGATGATCTGTCCTCGTTCGAAGTCGAGGTCTTTGATTCCGATCTCGATGATCGTATCGACCGCGTTCGTCTCCGGCCATCCTCAAGCAGGTGCTGAGAGCTAGGCCACACGCATTTCATAAGGACGTGACGACAGCCTCCGCATCTTGGACGCACTTCATCACATTTCTTCTTACGTTGTCTGCCTATAGCGAACGTGAGCCGAGAAACTTAATAGGAAAAGGAGAACCGAATAAGTTACGCACAAGAAATGCAGCCGGTCTTTGTCCGTAGACGCGCATTGTTTGTAATTGCCGGCATTTCGATCATCACATCAAGATCGATATAATATATTATCTATCACGATTCATGATCTACGGTTGTTGATTTCCATTGGAATGCGGGGTAAAGGTTACAGAGAGTTGCGGGGTAGCATCTCCATTTTGTGGTATCTAATAACCGAACCGCTTTCACGCTAGAATGTATTCAACAATTCATATTGATTCCGATTTCCTATAGGATAATTAGAGATCACATATGGTGGGAAATGACAACCTCCAAACTTATAAATCTTTGACTCCAGCCGGCAGCCAGATTCTGGTCGGCGGCAAGAACCTAGCTGGCTCATAATAGTTGCGAACCCACACCATAACCCCGCGTCCGATTTTGACTTATTAACAACTACATGTTCGCCACAGCACCAGACCTTCGCCAAAACTAAGTCGCTCCAAACCGTTAGAGCTTGGAGCAACAGCCTTGCGGGAACCATAATTTTTGACAAGAGAAGAAACATTGAATATTTGAGTGCCACTCGACAAACTGCGTGAGATGGGACGGGGAGATAAGAGAGCGGTGTAAGTTGAGAATACAGACAGAATCGGACAAAGTATAATGGTTACGAAACTTTCATGATATTGAACTACGTACGTACAAAATCTGACTATCAAATTCGGAGCCTCAACAGTCACACAATTGGGTCCGTTGTGTATCAGGCGGCAGACTTCACATCAATGGATCATAAATCGGATCCAGACAGTGAATTTGTTACGAGTCAGCTGGCCTGATTGAGACTATTACCCAGAGGATACCCAAGCTTGTGTATGGCAGAGCGGACGGGATGCCCAATTCTCTTGAGTCTATGGTCGTATGTGATTGTTTTTAGAGTATGACACTCTATAAGGGGGTGGGGAGAAGAAGCCCAAGTCAGAAAAACGCTGCCTAGGTTGTGGTGCATTATTAGAAGCCCGGCCCTGCGGTTGCTAGTGCTTTCCCAGCAATACTTAGAATTGAATATCATGGGGTTATCGCCAGAGGCGGCATATAGCCCCACACGCGTGTATAATAGGTAGTCGAATTGACCTGTTACCTTCCCATGAACGGAATCCCAATATTTCGCCCTCACATCTTTATCACATGATACACTGCCAATCAGGTCTTCCCTTTCCTCCTAAATCATCACATAATGTGTGGTCCATCAATCAGCCCTTGACTTCCTAATCACTTCCTCCCCTCGACCATCATTACATGATACCCAAAACCCGTCTTTGCCTCCCCCCACTTCGGGTTCCCCACTGTGCTGGCCTCGAGCTCAAAAGCCACAGCCTCAAAGATTGGGTCGAGGTCGCCTCGTCGTTTCCAGCCTAGTGCACCGCCTGTGAGGCGTTAGTATAAGTACTGCCACCTGTCCATGATGCTTCTCCTGGTGTCACATCACGCCCGTGATTTTCACCGCTCATCTGCACAGCACGTGCATTTCTTCACGTGCTAGGAGACACGATACGCACGCATGAAGAGAGAGAAAGGGGGAAAGAATGACAGAGAGAAAAAGGTACACACCAGCCCTCGCCTTGTCCTCACTCATCTCCCTCGCTACCTCGTCGAACTTGCCTCCATCGCGTAGTTTAGCGACGACCTCTTCCTTCCGCGCGTGCTTCTCGCACAGGATATGGCGGACGTTGATCTGCTGCGCGCCCTTGACCTTCGCTCCTCCTTTGTCGTCGTCGGCCTTGCTAGCATCCTTCCCCTTGCCCTTTCCCTTTCCTGCACCACCCGCAGCAGCTTTGTCTTTCCCCTTTGGCGCCATGCTGCTTGTTGTGTCGTTTGATCACCTCGCAGCAGCCACCTTCCTCGCTCTGATCACCTTCCCGTTCTCTCCTTGACCACCTTCCCGTTGTCTCTCAGGTCACGTTCTTGGTTTCTCGTCACACTTCCTATCTTTGACCGCACTTCCTTCACGCTTGTTCCTTCTATTCTCGTACAGAGTATGTAAGTATTACCCTATAAACTTGCTCTAACCCGCTAATAAGCCACTGCTCCTTCCCTCATTCGCACGTCGACAGCGGGGTACTAGCCAATCCAATCAACCCCACTTACGTACAGTTTCTCGATAAGAATCACGTGAATCTACGGTGTACAGAGTACAAAAATAGTCATCACGGCCGTTTATTCCGCTCTGTTTGTCCGGATCACGGAAGAACGGAAAAACATGGGAAAGGCCGGGAATCGTCGGGTGTGACGTCGTATGGAGTGTGGATGACTGGATGAGATTTCTGTGGATTTGGATCAGATTGGATCAGATTTGTATGGATATGGCTATGGATGGCGTCGATTTATGTGTGGATGGTCACATATGGCCACATATGGTCACATATGGTCACACTTACTACATGAAACTGTGGTTGAGATCTGTGGACTTCGGCTCCCGTCGTTGATCCGTGCCGATGTCGCCAGTACTGCTGACTTTGTCCCTATAGCCAATCAAAGACTCCAATTCTGTTCAATTGTGCTGTGGCAATCGAGGCGGTGGAGAATGTTTGACCTGGCCGGGAATTGCTGGGATAGGATAACGGAAGGGACGATGCACACACTAGGTATGAGGCTACGACGGGCTAGACGGGGACGGGGCGAAGAGCGAGGAGGAGGTGCTTCGATGCTTCAGCATGCCGGTCTTCCTTTATACCTATAAAGGGATATATCTTCGAGCCTTGGTACTGGCATTCTTCATACTACTGACGACTATTAACGACTCTATCGACGACTACATGATATAGGCGGCCGGCATTTACTCAACAGCTCCACAGACCGAGGTGGCAAACCAGGATCTGAACAAATCAACAATATACCTCGATACTCCAGGAACACTCCCACGACCATACACGATGGCTCCCGGCCTCACCCTCCACGATAGCCCTCCCCTCTCCAGCACAACCTCCAAGCTCGCCTCTCCTCCCACCACATCCCTCTCCCCGACCCCTTCACCGGCTTCCTCGCCGAACACAACTTCCTCCACCACCTCCGCGGCAGACACGACCAAGCCGGCTCCACGCCCTTCCAATGCCTTTGAGGACCTCGTTGACTCGCTGACGGCCATCCTAGGCCCGACGTCCGGCTTGACGAGCGAGGGCGTTGATGTCGATGCTCTGACGAGGCTGATGAGGGAGTATGAGAGTAAGGAGGAGGACTGGGGAAGGTACGCGCTAGGAGACGCGTCGAGGGGATATACAAGGAATCTGGTAGATGTAGGGAATGGAAAGAGTAACCTGGTATGTGTTTCCGAATTTTTATGTTTGTTCCGTTGGTTTGGCGGGGTTGGGAAACACCACAGCTAGGTCGGAGATAATGAAGTCTCGCTAACGCTTCAACAACAGCTCATCCTCGTCTGGTCCCCTAACAAGGGAAGCCTCATCCACGACCACGCTGATGCCCACTGCCTCATGCGTATCCTCTCTGGTACCCTGCGCGAAACCCGCTACGCTACCCCTCCTTCACCCGCCGCCGCCGCCCCCCCCACTGTCCTCAAAGAAACCACATACTCCGCTGGCCAGGTCACCTACATGTCTGACTCCCTCGGCGTACACAAGATATCCAACCCAGACCCGGAACGGATGGCTGTTAGTCTGCATCTGTATACCCCGCCGAATGCCGCGAAGGAGGGTTGCCATGTTTGGGACGAACGCCATGGAGGCAGGAGCCACGTGAAGCAGAATAATTATTTCTCGGTGATGGGGGTGAGGGGAGGTAGGGTGGAGGACCTGATGTGAGGGGGGTTTTGTGTGTTAATGTTTTATGAGTCTTTAGGGTTTCATGGGGGTTTATGACTGGCTTTAAGGGTTTGGTTGAGGGTAGATGGGGTGCGGGAGCGGGATAAGTTGTATAATAGACAGCTGTTAATGACATCATCCACACGCGACAGCTGTCTTTTGCTGCTTCAACCACAATCGTCAGTTTCTAGCTTGTAGGATTATAACATCAACTTCATTTAATGAAGGGTGCTGTGCAATTTCAAAGTGTTCTTTCAATTCTGTAATTGACAGGCTGGACGTTAACTGTTGAGCTCTCAACTCCTTCTTATGACGTTCCGGATTCGACACAAGGTCTCACATCTGCATTTAGCTATATGCCAACAAGACAAGCACTACCGCCACCGACAATAATATAATACACGCTCAAGAGCCACGTCAAAATGTGGCCTTTATCCAAGAACCACTCCTCCAGAACAAACGGATCCTCCAAAGCAAACGGCTCCTTCAAAAATTCCATCGCCCAGCCGTCCTCGAAACAAACTGCCCCCTCCCAGAACCCTATGCCACCATACCAACCATCTGCAAGACCAGGGTCCTCCTCAGGGATCCCAATCCCCCAAACAACCACAACTCCTACACAACTCACCCCCGGCAGCACACCCCCCCCATCAACGCCCCCCCACTTCTCGCAGCGCCACCAATACCCACCCCAACTACCACCTCTCCAACAGCAACAGCAAGACGAACAACTGCTCCTCCAACAACAACAACAACAACAGCAGCAGCAACAGCAACAGCTCCTCCTCCTCCAAAAGCAGCAGCAGCAGCAGCAGCAACAACAACAACAACTGCCAGCCCAGCCCCATACTCCCCCCAAAAAACGAAGCAGCGGCGGCGCCTCTACCCTCTCCAGGCGCACCTCCGGCGCCAAAACCCCCACCACTCCAGGAAGAGGACACTCCTACACTAGCAGCGTCGGCAGCGCAGGCAGCGCAGGCAGCACCGCCGGCTTCGGGCGATGGAGCCACCGTAGCTTACCCTCCCCGCCTGACTCGCTCGCTGGGAACGGCGAACCTAGCACTGTAACGCAGCTGGGAGAGCGCAGGAGCTGGGGTACAGCGGAGCCTAGGGAGCGCAGGAGCTGGGGCACAGCAGCGGAGCGGAAGAGCTGGGGCGCGGCGGGGACGGGGGGGTTGGGGGCGGCGGGTGATGCAGGGCAGCCGAGCGAGCAGAGAAGGAGTTGGGGGGCGGGGAATGGGGAGAGGGGGATTGGGAGGGTGGCGGCGAAGATTAAAGCTGCTGTGCTTGGGAGGGAGGAGGAGGAGGGTGGGGGGAGGTGGAGTAAGGAGGGGAGTTTAGGGGGGAGTTTGGGGGGGAGTTTGGGGGGGAGTTTGGGGGCGAGCGCGTCGGGGAGTAAGGTCGCGAGTCAGGTGGGGAGTAAGGTCGGGAGTCAAGTTGGGAGTGTGAATGGGGGCCTTGGGGGGGAGGTGGAGGGGAAGAGGAAGAGTGGTGTTAGTAGTGCGGCCGTGTCGCCAACGCGTTCGCCTAGCGATAGTGATGGTGAGGCCCCAGAGCCAAAGCGCGGGTGGGCCGACAGGGTGAAGGCGAGGAGGAAGAGGAGTTCAAGGTGGCGGGCGAAGAAGGTGGATGAGAATGTCATGCCTCCGGGGATGGTGCCGGGGACGGGGGGGTTGGCAAATAGGCCGTGGGGGCGGAGGGCGATCTGGGGGCGGCGGACGGGCGACAAGGGGGAGGAGGGGGAGGAGAAGAAGAAGAAGGTTGGGGGGTTCGTTACGATGCTGGATGCTAGTCCGGCGCCGATTAGGTTACCCGGTTATGAGAAGGTATCGAGGAAGTCGGATGAATTGGGGGAGGTGAAGGAGGAGGTGAAAGAGGAGGCGAAGGGGAAAGAGGTGGAGGAGGAGGAACTGGAGGAGGGTGAAGAGGAAGACGAGTGGGATGAGGAAAGCTTGGTGCAACTGTCCGACTGGTGGAGACAGATGCTTGGGAAGGGGAAGGATCCAACCTGGCAGGAACTGGACATGATATCCGCCTTCCTGACCGATTTGTACGACGAGGAGACACCCTCTTTAGAGATGATCCTAACAACGCGGCTACACAAGCTGCTCGAGGCGCTGATTAAGGCAGCCGGCGAGCAAGGGCTGCGCTACGAGGGGAAGAGGTATCGCAAGATCGCGCGCAAGGCGACTGAGATAAGGGACAAGTGGATGGATGATATGGACGGCCATCTGTACGATATGCGAACCGAGCGGCGGAAGATGCTGAAAGGCGAGAAGGGGAGGCTTACCAGGGTGCATATGCGCCCAGTGGGCGAGCATAGCTCGCGGTGGGTGGTTGAAGGGCACCTCGTGGAGGAGGGAATAGAGTTCGAGCCTGGGATGTGAGTCTCAACCCAACCCTCCAACGATTAGACAACAGGAGCTAACGACAACATAGGTGGTGGCTTAATGACGCGTGCGCCGAACGCGACGGTATGCTAACGGACACTCGTGGCAACGTATCCGTGTCGCCGCAATCGGTCCCTGTGGTGACGCTAGCATTCGGCGAGGAGATGCCGACGCAAAAGCCGACAATCACGCGGTTCACCCACAGCGGTCGTATCGAGACGATGATGCTGCCGCTACTGCGGGCGCTGGATAAGCGCGTGCAGGTGCTTCGGCGGTATACTCTCAAGTCTCGGCTGGCTCCTGAGGCGGGGCTGCGGTATGACGGGTTCTATGATATTGTGCTGTATAGTTTCCAGCGGTTATCATGGGACGAGAGCGTCTTCAGGGTGGTGGTTGAGTTTGAGAGGTGTATGGGACAAAGGCCGATGGATACAGTATTGGCGGTGCCGACGCCTAGTATGCTGGATGATTGGGATATTTACCAGGAGATCAAGGATGATAGCGTGAGGCGGAGCGTGGGGGAGGCGTGGTATCGCGAGAGCTTGAGTAAGGAGAGGGAGGAGGAGAGAGATCGCGTGAGCTGGCATCAGGTGCGCGCTGATGAGGATAGGAGGAGGGCGGAGGAGGATGCGAGGAGGGAGAAGGAGGAGGAGAGGCGGGCGGAGGAGGATGCGAGGAGGGCGGTGGAGGACGGGAAGAGGGAGGCGCAGATGAAGAAGGCGGAGAGGGAGTTGCAGTATTTGGAGGAGCAGGAGAGGATAGAGGCTGAGGGGGGTGAGGAGGAGGAGAGTGAGTAGCGATAAGCGCCATGGGTGGAAAGAAGGTGGTTGCGGGGGATAGCAAAGCAACCTATAAATGTAATATATACTGTACAAAAAGAAATCTGGAAACTGGACTCCTCATCGTCTGTGTCAACGACGTACATAAACCCAACTCAGATTTCACCATCCTTCAACTTGTCAGTGACTTCACACATTGGATCCGGATCTAAGTAAGAGTTTGCTTATTAATATTAAATTCGTAAGCATGCAGCCAGCCACCAACGTTCTGATTGTAGAAATGCTGCTTCGGAGACAAAGTATTGCGGTAACAAATTATTCCGACAACAAGAGAGCCCGCGACAGGAATGTTCTAGCGACAGGGGTATTCTGATGACAGGAGTATTCCATCCATCGACGGGTGTAAAGTAAACAGGTGATGACACTACCCCGCCGATACCGCAGCAGGATAGGTTCCTCAAGGCTTTCCCCAACGGGTATTATGCTCTTCTTAGTTGAAGTATTCTTGTATCGCAACTGGCTGCAAACAGGATTCCATTTTATTTTAATGATTCATTTCAGTTGTTGTTAGAGGACGAAGTGGTAAGTAAGGTCGCCGATCTCCCGTAGTGTTTACCCCACATTTCGGCTGCCGCAGAGAAAAATCATAAATCGGCGCTAGTACCAAACGGTGCTCCAACCACCATCAAGCTGAGTCTATGCGGCTCATCAGGGAAGCTCAATCACTCACGAACGCACCTTCCCGCACAGTCACTGGCATTCTTAACTTCTTAACTGGGACACTGACACGTGGGGTAATTAGCCGACGCAAGATGGATCACGGGGCAGGCGCGGCTAATGGGGGAGGCGAAGAGCATGCGCGCAAACGGGTGAGGCGCGAGGAGGGAGTATCAACAACACCAACACCAACCATTGACTCTTCTGCGGCTTATCTGAACGGCAAAGAAGACATGGAGAAGAGCAAGATTGCGGAGTTGACTTCGAATGCTAGTCACAGCAGGGAGAGGGAGGTCGGTATTCTGCGATGGGTGAACGAGGAGAACGTCGGATTTGAGGGCGTGCTGAAGCAGAGGTATGTGGGGAAGTTTTCTTTGGGTTGATTCATGATTTGGAAGGGTTCGATTTCAACTTGGAGGGGTTTCTATTATTCTTTGGGTGATGCAACCATTTCAATCACGTGGGCCTGAGCTCAGATGTTCATGATCAGACGTTGATACCAGTGGCATCGTTATTCATGTTGATATATCTTTGTTGTTGCTCGTATCGATTGCCATTTCACCTACTTACTATGAACAAGATACACCGATTTCCTTGTGAACGAGATCACACCTGACGGAAAGGTCATCCATCTCACCAACCTCTACCCTTCAAAGCCAAGCAAACAGCAGCAAGCCAAACCTGCTCAGTCACCAGCACCACAAGAGCCAGTAAAGGCAGCTGAACCTGTGGAGTCTGTGCCAGCCCCAACTACAACTGTGGCTACTGAAGTAGCTCAAGCCCCAGCACCTACAGCAGTTGAGCCGCCCAAGACGTCAACTGCTCCAGCAGCTCCCGGCGATGCAGCAGCTGCTGCGGAATCGTTTGCTCTGGCACCAGAAGACGAGGTGTCGCTTGATAATTACTTCGGCGCCGATATCAGGGAGCAAATTGTCAAGATGTACAAGAAAATTTTGGCAAAGCCGAACGAAAAGGCCGCCACATACGGATCAGTTACATCGGAGCCAATTTTGGACCGTGAACTACGCACAAAGCTACACCATGTACGTGACTACCTAGATAACTATGGTTTATATATAGACTAATCGTGTTATAGGATATGAGACGCATTTTCGATTCGCGGCTCGAGACCAACACTGACAAGGATGGGTTCATCAGGATTTCCGCAGCACCAAAAGCCGGACCCAACAGAGGCCCACGTGGTGCTCCAAACCAGCAAACCCCACGCAATCAGCAGAAGGGCAAGCTCGGTTGGGCAGAACTCGGCGGCGAGCATCTTCATTTCTCCCTATTGAAGGAGAACAAGGACACCATGGAGGTCATCTCCTTCATATCTAGCCGCTTGGGTATGAAGCCGAGATCTTTCGCGTTTGCTGGCACCAAGGATAGGCGTGGAGTTACTGTTCAGCGAGTCAGCGTTTTCCGCAAGAATGCTGAACAAATCTGTCATTTGAACAGAGATATGTGGGGCTCCAAGATTGGCGACTTCACATACGAGAAGCACGCACTTGAGCTTGGCGATCTGACTGGAAATGAGTTCCATATTACCCTCAGGGACTGTCAGTTTCCAGGCGCTGATAACCTAGATGACGAGGGCAAGCTTGCCCTTGCCAACAAGGTTGTGGGTGGTGCTGTCCAATCTATCCAATCTCATGGGTTCCTTAACTACTATGGGCTCCAGCGATTTGGTACATACCTCATTGGCACAGACGAAATCGGCAAACTCATCCTCAAGAATGATTATAAGGGAGCTGTTGATGCTATCCTGAGTTACAGCCCGGAGTGCCTCTCTGCTGGCCAGGATCCAGACTTTGTCACCTCAGATGGGAAGCCGCTGTCCAGAGACGACATTGCCAGAGCCAAGGCAATCGACATCTTTAAGGCTACTGGTCGCGCCAAGGAGGCTTTGGACAAGCTGCCAAGAAAATTCAGCGCCGAGTCGACGATTATTCGCCATCTCGAACGCGGAGACAGAAAGACCGACTACATGGGAGCGATTCTGCAGATTAACAGAAATCTCCGACTCATGTACGTCCACGCATATCAATCGCTGGTGTGGAACCACGCGGTCAGCGAACGCTGGGCCCAATCTGGGGACAAGGTCGTCGAGGGTGATTTGGTCCTTGTGGAAGCCAATGCCGACAAGCCTGAAGTCGAGGAACTCGACCAAAACGGTGAAGTCGTCGTTCTCCCAGCAGCGGATGACACGGCCGTAAGCACAGACGATATGTTCCAGCGCGCTCGTCCGCTGTCTGCCGAGGAAGCCGCTTCGGGGAAGTTCTCAATCTTCGATATCGTCTTGCCTACTCCTGGCTATGACATCGAGTATCCGTTGAACGCTATTGGTGACTTCTATAAGACTTTCATGGGCTCGGAGCGTGGTGGTGGCCTTGACCCGGCGAACATGCGACGTGCGCAGAAGGATTTCTCGCTGAGTGGGAGTTACAGGAAGATCATGGGCACGGTTGGCAACGATGTCACATATGAAGTGAAGGCTTACACCGAGGATAATGAGCAGATGGTTGAGACAGATCTGGATCGCATCAATAAGAGTCGTGGACAGCCTAACCGCAACTCCGAGCCAAAGCATAGATACGCGGGCAAGGAAGTGTTTGGCAATGTGGATGCTGCGGCTGGACAGAATGCCTGGGCTGATTCAGCCAAGACCATTACCGAGGGTGATAAAGCCCTTGAGGCAACCGCAGCTAGTGTCGATAAATCCAGCGTTCCTGCTGTGCGTGAGACGTTCATTCAGAAGGATGGTGGAAATGGCGAGCAAACTGGAGTCAAAGAAACCGTTTTACTGCCCGGGTCCGCGGCATCTGGCGAAGCTGCAACCACTATTCCAGAAGCCGCCACAGAGGACAAAAAGCGTGCAGCTGATGATATAACTGGAGATGACGACGAGGCTGTGGAAAAGCGACGCAAGATTGCTGTTGTTGTCAAATTCCAGCTTGGATCGAGCCAGTATGCGACTATGGCGTTGAGGGAGCTCATGAAGGAGGGAGGCGTAGTGACATATAAGCCAGACTTCAGCAGCGGGCGTTAGGGTTGGATGTACAATACAAAAAGTCGAGATGTTACAGGGGATCAGTGGCTACCAATAGAGTAGGGCTAGGCATATACAAAATGAATCGAGGAATCTGACACAATTTTAATGATCTGAGCATTTAATAAACATATAAATCCGGGCGGAGATCAGTAACTATATTCAACTATCTGTATCTAAATCAAACGGGGAGACTTACATGCAAAAGCACTGGGTGGTAGGTTTGACCCTGACCTTCTTTCTGAACTTCTGCTTCTGCTCTGCGGCGTATGTCCGGCATCTCTCGCACCTAGCAAACTCCTCGAGATTCCGCACGCCGCCTTTGCACCAGATGCTGTGTCCGGCCTCGAATGTCTGCTGCTTGGCAATGGCGCATTTCCGGCGATTAACTATGACACAATTGCACCCCTTATAGCGGATAGCTACCTGTTTGCACATTGTGAGAGATTGGGGTGGGAATAGCCGGCTTGCGGATTGTGTATACTTACTGTGGGTGTGTTTTGTTGCGGTTGGTGCATCAGATCGAGTTCTGCGTGTCTGGAGAAGATGAGATAATTGGGATAATGGCCCTCTTATATAGGCAAATCATGGATGATAAATGGTATTGTCTATGATAAAACAACAACAAAGGAGAGTACCGCTATGAATAGGACCATCCGAGGTAGATAATTCATTGTGCAGGGAGTAAAGCAACCAAGAAACCAGGGGATCCTGTTTTGGATCTCGCTTTCAAAGCGGGACAAAGACATGTAAGTTTGTTTTAAGAGAGTTCTCCAGGCGTTCAATCTACAAGGAGGGTATTTGTGAGGCATCCTTTGACTCGTGGCTTCTCGTCCACGTTCTCACTGCTCCTCCTTTCTTACCACCCCAGTTACAAAAGTAAATACTCACATAACATATCATAACAAGAGAATCCACAACGCAATCAGCACCTACTTGCAGTTCCAGCCGCGTCGACTGTGTCTATAAACACCGAAACCAGTGGGGAAGGTCAAAATAAGGTTATGGCGCCTGCCAACCCTGCCAAGGTTTAGCAGCTCCATTATTCAGCCTCAGTTTAAATCACTACTACCATTCGAGTGAAAGAATATCATGGTCTCAGCTCTCCTACCCTTGTGGCTAGATTGGCCTTCGATCAGAACAATGGCGCCCTTCCCATTTCTGTAACCATGCAATTGTCGGCGCTAAGTATCGACAGGGCAGTGCGACTGTGTCTGGTCCCTGATTCGACGACTCGGGCCTTCTTTTCACAGCCCAAACCAACAAATGATTTCAAAAACTATTGGGTGTATGAAGTTAGAATGAGGCCGGGGTTCCAGTGATTGCCAACGATAACAGTATCGCCTGGTTCTCCGAAAGCTGGGGGCCAAGAAAAACAAATTCTGGCGATCGCGGAGCGTCACCTCCCGCGATAGAAACAGGCAAGAACACCCACAGGATGATTTTCGCACTATTCCATTGCAGCAACCATCACCGATCTTTGCCTCTCAAATGACCTTCGGATGGCAGGCATTCTTGCATAGCAGTTACAGGGAAGGGAGGTCTGACTGCGAATGCCGAGAGGCAACCCCGCATTGGACGATATTATGAGCATCTCCAACATGCACTCCAAGCTACCCCGCATAGTTTTTTGGGGTGCCAGATGCGACCGTATAGCACTACCGGTATGGATAATAGGGATATTGCCTGTAGGTATGCTGTAAGTCCATGGATCATCTTGCTAGAGCATCCTCCGGATGGTCGAATTTTCCTTCCAGTACCATGCCAATGCGGAGAACAAGTGCTCTTATAAGTGCTCCTCCCCATAGCCCTGAGGAAAAACACTTCGCGGGATCTTTCAGTCTATTCTATAACTGTGAGTATTTCGTTGCAGTATGCCGTCTTCAATCTCACTCGTGGCGGTATCTGCTCTCTGTGCCAGCTTCGGCTTCGCACAAGGCGCAAAAGTACCAACGCCAACTACACCAGGCGCTTTGAAATTCCACGACCACCCAGGACAATCGACCAAGGTATACAATGTTTCTGCAGCAAAGACAACTCTCTCATATAAGTACACCAATGAAGAGCTAGCTATGTTATGGAACCAAGTCGGCAAGATCGAAGTAGGCCCGATTACAACGACAGTCTCGCCAACTCCAGAGCCTACCTCCTATGCCAGACCGGGACTGTTTCACCCACAGGTTTGTTTTGTGCCCAACTGCTCAGTTATGGGCTAAAATTGATAGGTCCCAACCTACGAACCAGCCCTCAATGGCTCTAAACTGCCGAACGATTTCATGTGGGGCGTATCGGCCAGCTCCTATCAAATCGAAGGCGCTGCACGAGATGAGGGTAAAGGACCTTCGATTTGGGATCTTATATCTCACCGCGCGTACGGCAGTGTCGCAGATAATACCACCGGGGATATTGTAGCACAGCATTACTACCTGTACAAGCAGGACTTGGCACGCATCGCCAATCTCGGAATCCCATACTTTTCACCATCGTTTTCATGGCCACGGTTTTTTCCATTCGGCGCAGCCGGGTCCCCTGTCAATCAGGAGGGCGTCGCTCATTACGACGATGTGATCGCGACCATGGTCGACTTGGGTATCACGCCTGCTGTCACGTTGTTTCATTGGGATACTCCCCTGGCGCTTTTCAATGCCTACGGCGCCTGGACAAGCCCTGAGATTGTGGACGACTTCTTCAATTATGCCAAATTTGTGATTTCGCGCTATGACGATTATGTTCCGGTCTGGTTTACCTTTAATGAACGTCAGTACTATTTCCATTACCCGAGTAACTCAGTAACTGACAAATTGTATAGCCCAATATTGTAACTGGCAATACGCGTCCTATCCCGCTGGAAACGAGAAGGGAAATTACCCTGCATACCATGGTATTGAAGGTGGTCTCAAGGCCCGTATCGCCTGCAGCCACTACACAATCCTCGCCCACGCCAAGGTTGCGAAGTGGTATCACGAAGAGTTCAAAGGCAAGGGACGCATCACCTTCAAGAACTCTGGAAACTATTACGCACCGCTAGACGAAGCTTCGGAAGGTGATATTGACGCCGTAGCCAGGCAGTATGCCTTCAGCTTGGGTTGGTTTGGCGGCCCTTGGTCGGATGGCGATTATCCGGATATGTTGAAGAAGACTCTTGGGTCCCTACTACCAACTTTCACAAAGAAAGAGAAGGATATGGTAAAAGGAAGTTGTGACTTCTATGCCATCGATGGATACACTGCATTCTTTGGTACGGAACTCAAGGGTGGCTCGGCTGCCTGCGCGGCAAATAACTCTGATCCGTCGTTCCCCGAATGCGCAGGCAGTACACAATTGGACCCAAGCGGTTTTCCAATTGGGCCGATGGCAGATGCCGGCGTTAGCTGGTTAACTTCGACGCCAAAGGCCATGCGAGCCTTCCTGAATGTGCTGACCAAAGAACTATTCCCTAGCGCCCCTGACATTGTTGTCTCTGAGTTTGGCTTCGCAGAGCCTGACGAAGGATTGTCATCGAACCTCGGGTCTATACTATGGGATTTGAGACGTGCAGATTATATGCAGTCTACGTTGGATAATATTCTGGCGGCTAAGGTTCAAGACGGTAAGATATTTCAGTAACTAGCCCATCCAGTCGTGGCAGAAACTGACTGTTCTATAGGAGTGAATGTGACAGGAGCCTTTGGGTGGTCCATTATTGACAACTATGAATGGTTTGCTGGGTCAAGTGTCAAGTTCGGTTTGCAGTATCTGAACTACGAGACTTTGGAGAGGGTCCCCAAGGCATCTGCATTCCAGTTTGTAGATTGGTTCAAGAAATATGGAGGAGCGAGGCTGCCAGATAAAGCGTAAATGATATACACATGGCCAGAAGTGACAAGAAGTTGTGGCGGACAACCGTCGTTAATTGGGCTATGTATAGCACAGTGAATAATGGACGATCATGAATATAGAAGCCGTTTATTCCAACAACGTACAGAGCTGTGGGTTGCCAACCCAACCGTTTGACATGCTGGTGCCTGGGGCCTGATAGTTGGCCTGGGGCGAATCTCAACATAAGAAAGGGCTCCGGACCGGAAATGACTCGTAAGAGTTAGGCATTCCTCTGTGGAGAACATTCACGGCCTGAACAAAAACCGCGAGACCCGGAATCATATTTTGAAGGTCGGGTATTGTTTAAAAAAGCATTTCTTATGTGAAAGCCCTGCTGTACCACCAATGATACGACAAATGCGGCCATGGAAGCGTCGATGAGGTGAAATCTAACGGAACTGTGCATTTGGCGATCGGCATAGGGGCCCTGCACGGCGTTGGTGCCGGGGAAGATCATTTGTGTCCCGACACCCAAAGAACAGGGGTTCTTGGTCCGGGGAGCAGTTCCGGTCGCCCCGTAAACCCTTAGACCCCGGATGATCGTTGGCCCTGTATGCAGTCCTACCATCCCTACAGCCTCGAATTGTGACAGGAAGGCTCGAGACGGTGAAGGCTCCGGTCATATATCACCTTCGTTATTCTCCCTGTATTTTACAACTGTAAAGATCTCCGATGCCGCGCAGAGTTCACTCATCTTTTCGGACGTCTAAACGGCACTGTACCAACGCGCGTCTCCGTGCTGCCATTTGACATAAAAGCCCTTTCAGAGCGCTTTAGGAATCCGCATTTGGAATCATATCCTGACTCTTCATGAACTTTTAAGGCTGGCACCAACAAAGATTATTTTATTCACATTAACCCTTGCCATAATAATCCTAGCAAAGATTCGCCTTTATTCACTTCCTCGCACTCGATATATATTTAACCCTCTTCATTGCAATGGCTGCCTCCTCACCAAAGTTCGATTCCGACGAAGAATTCCAAAACGCGATCATGGAAAGCGCAGGTATCAAAGGAACTTCAAGCTCCCCGGGCCCCGCCTCATCCAAGAATGACTGTCACATCGCCCTCATCAAGACCAGCGACAGCCCTGTGCCATGGTGCGACGAATTTGAGAATATGATATCAGGCATGGAGTATGTCGAGTCCCTCGCTCTGTACCCCGCGCACACAGCTGACGAGAACTAGTTTCGACGCCCGCAATGCCCCAGCAATGATGGAGCACAAATTCAGAATCATGCAACTCCTGCGCAAGTTCAACGATCCCGCGCGCCTCGACGAGCCCGGCATCAGTCTCGCGAAGCTCCGAAGCAACGGCGCTGAGATACTCAAGCAAGCACTTGGGAAAATCGGGGTAAACTCTGTCGTCGAGACGCCCCTGTACGCCATCTTCGGCTGCAACACGTTCATCGGCTCAACCGTCTATGCAAACCATGGGTATGTTCCTTCCCGTCCCCCTCCTCAACACAAACCCCGGCCCGGCCTCTCGCGCGGCCACCACCAACAAGGCCGAGACATCCAACACGACAAAGCTAACACAGCCCAGCCTCGCCATCCACGACTCAGCGCCCGTCACAATTGGTGACCGCTGCCACATCGCCCCCAACGTGACCATCATTACAGAAAGCCACGGCGTTGACGTCGCGCCACGGCGTGCGGGGCTCCTCTACGCGCGTCCCGTCTCTATTGGCGACGACTGTTGGATCGGCACCAACGTTGTCATCCTGCCTGGTGTAACGATTGGGAAGGGCTGCACGATCGGGTCATGTGCTGTGGTGTCGAAGAATATCCCCGATTTCAGTGTTGCGGCTGGGGTGCCCGCGAGGGTCATCAAGAAGTTGGAGGATCCGGATGCGCTGGTGAATGGGTTCGAGGAGTAGGGGTGTGAGTAGATCCTGTGGCAAGGCTGGTGTTTATGTTGGATTTTTTTAAGACGTTTCTTTCGTGATTGAGGCGCTGTTGGACAGGTTGTGTGGATTTTCCACTTGGTTGGAGCAAGGGTGGGAGAACTGGAATGCGGGGTGGGAATATAGACAGTATCGCTCGGGCGGAATTTTGCAGTTAATTTAATATATCGATGATTTATTCAAATTGGGTGCACGTACACCACTTGTGTATGTCTATTCTCCAATACTATTCATCCCCTTCGCTGCGTATCATTATATCATAGCTCCATCTCAGCCGCCTGCGCTGTGTCGTAATATTTCCCCATCTCTGATAATATATTTTATAGTAGTCACCTTGTGACATACAACCCTATAGTTACCACTCTGTCTTTAAATCCTAGCGACAATTCCAGTGTCTCTTTCTTTCTTGCGTAATTCTTCCTCTACTCAGCCAACTCCTTACTGCTTCTTCTTCTCCACCTTCGTTGCCTGCGACTTGTACGTCCCGTGGAAGCGGTCCAACCACCCCACCGTTCCGAAGTTGACCAAAAACTTCTCGTGGTGCAGATCATGCATCGAAGCCATATTTCCACCAAAGTCGTAACCGCTGTGCACCGTCACCGTCTCGAGAAGCACATACGCGATGAACAGCCACGCCGTGATGATATGCGCGTTGATTAGCTGCGGCGGCAGCGACACGGGCAGCATGTTAGACACAAGGTGCTCAAAAGGGTGAGCAAATTCGGCAGCCATTGCGACTGGCGCAACGAAGCGGTGGTGGAACTTGTGGATCGGCACGTAGAAGCGCGGCTGGTGCAGCAGACGGTGGGAGTAGTAAAACATGACCTCGCGAATGGCAATGCAGACGACGAGATCGCGGATGATTTCAATGACCCCTGGCAGCGAGGTGTCGATGCGATAGGACGAAGTCTCTCCGAGGTAGGAGACTCCGAAGAGCAGAGCGACGTGCAGGACTGTGGACATGACCTGGTTGCGCACGACGATATAGAAGCAGTACCATAGCTCTGGCGGGGTGGCCTTGGGGGCGGGTTGGATCTTATGACGGTGCGAGAAGGCGGGAAAGAAGAGATCGATGGATTGGTAGAAGGCGCAGGGGATCCAGAAAAAGGCGAGCTGGACGATGAGCGTGCCGCATATCTCGAGGAACTGCGGGGAGTAGGCTTCCACGGTGGCTTGCCACGCTGGCTGGATGTTGCTGGTGGGAAATTTAGGCATTGTCGTTGAATTCGACATGTTGGCCGGTAGTCGAGTTGAATGGTATCAAATACGTAGGAGCAATGAGCTTCAAAACGTAGGGTTACCTATTGCCGCCTTCCTCGTCCTGATATACCGTGATCGGAGCAATAAGTGAAATGGGGCTTTGGAGATACCCCAAGAAACTTAAATACTTAAGCTCCCCTTCCCCCGCGCTGCCGACCAACTGAACGCCGAAATCATTAGTGGCAATACCCCACCATCGGCGTCCCTTTCTTCATCTTCACATGCATTTCCGATCCATCACAAGCGAAAGCGAGTAACGCTACTTTCTAGCGCCACGCCACGCCGCCCCGGATCCCAACAAAATGGGGAACGGGAGGAGACTTGGAGTATGAAGCTCGCTTGCAATTCTGATACATACTCGCCAGTTATTACTTTGTATTGTGTGCGCTTAGCTGAATGATTTTTTATGCCGAAGGCGTGAGACTGTGAATGGCTGTGACATTTCAACCGCGGGATCTGCTGCAGGGGTGTCAGCAGAGTATTAGCTAGAGTCCAAGACTTACAGGAAGTTCACACCGTGCGCAAGGCGCATGAGCATCAGAAACCCCGCACGCATCTCCAAAATCCCTAACAGAATAACAAATACAGCCCTAGTCGTTGTCCTGACACTGGGGTATGGCGATGCTGGCGCGCGGTTGGTTCGTTCGCTCTTGGATCTCCGATTTCCCCAAGTCCACATGCTGGTTCTAGGGCCCAAACAGAGATTGTCGTCACGAAATACCCCACAACCGAGGCATCGCAGTTAGTTTATTATCTAGTAGCTAGAATAGAGTGTATTGCTTCGGATCTTGGCATCAGCCTTGTCAAACAGGGGAGGTGAAGGTTCGTCTCCATCGTTGTCTCCCCTGAAGGTTGCCCCAAAAGCCGGTCGGTATTTCTTCAAATCATGTGACTTCGCCGAGATGCAGGCGACGAACTCTGGTTGCCAACAAAGTAAAACCGACCAATGCTAGTTTACCAAGCTAGAGTTCCGGTATTATTATATCGAGTCTCTGTTATAATTTCTAGTGTAATCTAACTATGAACTAACCGTAAACTATGCTAATTGACCATTCATTCGTAACAATAGTGTCATGTCCTCCTCATCATATAACTCCAGCACCCCCGATCTCTCTATGGTATACGACCCCGCCATTTCGCTAATAACATGATTCTTCTCGTCGTTAACTCTCTATAAAATCAAATCTCGCCCACTCACTGCTATTAAAACACCAACGGGCTCCTCTTCTTCTTCGCAAGCTCCCAGACAGCTTCCGTCAATTTAGACTGTGCCAACCCTCCCATCGCGTCCGCACCTGGGAGTGGCTGGAAAGGGACAGTGTCTGGCTTGCAGATAGTCCCATTAACCGGTACGGCGCCTGTTTGGAAGTATTCCCTAATATGATTGGCAATGCACGTCGAGGGCGTCGAGAGAGTGGTATGCTGCGAGGGGTGTGAGCACACGTCCTTGTTCACAGTTTGAGGGCATACTTACCCCGAATGAATCAGAAACCAATACCGACGCATTTGTAAAGCCCTCTGCATCAAGGTAGGCGCTGCGAAGGGGTGTTGTATTATCGGCTATGTTGCCAATGAAGAGGATGGGATGACTGGTGTTCCCCTGGAAAGGGCCTGCGCAACTATGTCAGAGACCTATTTTGTACGTATCTTTGAATCTCGTACCAGCAAACCTCCATTTCGCTCGAACTCTCCAGCCAACGCAACTCATTCTCGTCACGACGTCGACGGGACCTGCTGCTTTGCTAATGTCCAGCAGTATTTTACTATAGGCTTCTACGGCTTCTATTGAATCGTCTGTCTCGCCGCCATCCGCACACAGGACAGCTCCGAATGCATCAGGCGTGCTCTCTTTGAACACTGGGCTGACTATTGGGCTGCTCAGTGGGCAGTCACAAGATAGCGGTTTCTGCGATGAGCTGTAATAATTAATGAACTCGGCGCCGTCGCCCTTGTCAAGGGACTCAAGGATGCGAGCCAGAGTCGGGAACATTAAGACAGGCTGGTATAATGAAGCAGATATGAGCTGTCTCACACTGGAGTAGTAGATTACTTCTGGCAGGTCCGCTATATGAAGCGTCAGAGGTGCAACAATAGGCTGGCGTTTGAGGCGTTCTAGAAGTTCGTCTAGGCGATCTTCGATAGCTTCAGGTGTTGACCTATAAAAGGCGCATCCGCTTGGTCCGGCCAAATGGCAATATTTGTAAAAGCCAGCCATCACCTTGTCCGAGTCCCTGGAAAATGTCGTGCTGTTATTAGCCATCCACTCCTGATAGTTGACATTCCCATCATTCACCATCCGTTCCACCTTGTCAGGCCACAGGGCGGCAAACATCCCACCGAGCATCGTGCCGTAGCTGAAGCCCCAGTACTTCAGCTTCTCCTCTCCCATTTGCGTCAGGATCTCCAGCATGTCTCTCGCAACAGATGTGGTGCCGACGTAGCTCAAGACCCCATGCTCTGCACCTGTTGGGTCAAGAGTCCCACCCATACTACGCGCACAAGCGCCCGAACGCGCCGTAGCCCTCGCATAGGCATCATAGAGCACTCCAGGATGCGCGTCTACAGCACCAATGTCCAAGAGCTGCCACATCTTCGCGCTTTGCTCAGTCGGCCAGCACTGGATCTCTGGGGTTGAGACCCCGACTCCGCGCGGATCGAAGCTGATGAGATCGTGGTTCGTCCCGATAATCTCTTGGAGATGCTTTCCTCGATCCCTCATGGCGGCGACCCCAGAGCCGCCAGGTCCTCCGGGGTTGAAAAACACGGGGCCGCGGTAGTCATTGAGGCCTGTTGCTCTCAGGCGGATGACTGCTATAATAGCCCGAGTGCTTTCTGACGGGTCAAGCCAGTCAAGTGGTACATCGAGTTTGGCACAGTCGAAGTCGCCGAAGCATTTACGCCACGTGATGTTTCTGGAAGGAGGAATATCGTCCCAGTTATCATCCAGCCCCGTGGCCGATGGAAGGATTCGGCAGCCATTCAAGCTGAATTTCAACTCGGGGGTTTGCCTCTGGCCCAGAAATGGTGAAAAGCGTGAAAATGTAAATACACTAACTGCTACCAGCAGCAGCGCCCCGATTCTGGCCGAAGTCCATGGAGGTGGTAACGTTAGTTTCGCCCTTTCAAGAGTTTTTACTTCAGTCGTGGCCCCCATATTCCCAGTTTTGCCGCCAGTCTTGAATAGTCGTAGTCGTCGCCTATCGCAAAGTATACCCGAGCCTTCAGACAGAGCTGTATACCTGAGCTTCACACGATGAACTCGCAGGCAGCCCAGGTCGGTACCTGCATTTGTAGCAAATCCATAGAGTAGTTCTGAGCATCATATTGAAATGGAAGGCGACGACGTTTTGTTGACCCTGTTTACGCTGTTAACTCGGTTCGGATTGGGAAGGTATGAAGGGAGATCGGGGTGTTGTTCGAGTGTGGGGGTTCTGGTCTTAGACTGCTATGCGATTAAGTATTGATAGGCGCTCAAGGAATAAAATAGGCAAATAAGAAGCAAGCGATTAGAGATCACGAGTGGGTTGAGGACTCTAGTGTCCAGCTGAGTGCAAGCACGACCATTGTTGTGATACCGACGCAGTCAGCATCGGCGCGGAAAGTGCAGTGGGTCAGAATAAATATGTGCTGTGCTATACTGTACAGTGCACTATTCGAACAGTGTAAATATTCAGAGAATTCTGGGAAGACAAACGGGCAGAAAATCATAAACAGCAAACCTTAGCATCATCTGTCTTTGCACTTACAGTACGCAGTGTCCATGAACAATCGCTATGTCGAGTGAGGTGAGGTGCTGGACCCCAACCTTCTAACGGCTGCTCTCGAGCCCGAAACTTTATCGCCCAAGTCACAGCATCACGAGACACAACTAAACCTGCAGTGTAATGTTGCACATTACCAGTCATACGTCTCATTCCCAAACCCGACATTTTCAAAGTTTGCTTCAAAAATTTGCTCACCGCACAATACCACTCCGAGTGTCTCTGTTTGCTTTGACTTTGTCTGTGATTGTGAATATTTTATGTGTTTTTAGGGTCCAACCCACGCATGTTTCACAAGGGTCCCTATACCAGAATCTCCCGGGTGGGGTCACTGGATCCCGTGCGGAATCTCGCCGCCGGGTCCCGCCAGGGCCCTCCATCTTTGGCGCAAGCCCCCCGCTTTCATCCCCATTATCGGGATTTGGGGCGAGATGTAGTGTTCGGCGTGTCGTGTGCCTGGCCCATGAGACTAGATTTCCTTCATCTTTAATTTTTGGAACGGATGGATGTAATTATAGGGGATCGGGCATGATACTTTTCCATCGCAATTCTAACTGCAAATTTAACTAGATTGGGGCCCAATGTGAAAGAACGAGCCAACATGCCAAGGGAAGGAGCGGCCGGCTTTCACATAGGAAGGAAGGAGCGACTAACTTGCCAAAGGAAGGAACAATCGGCTTGCCCTCCTAAGAAAAGAGTGGCCGACTATAGTTACCAAGGGAAGGAGCGACAGCCTGATGCTAAAGGAAGGAACGACTGACTTTCCGAATGAAGGAACGACTGACCCGCAAAAGGGAGGAATGACTGGCATCGGCTTGCATTCCTTAGGAAAGGGCGACCGAGCATAGTTACCAAAGGAAGGAGCGACAGACTGATATATTAAAGGAAGGAACGATCGAGTTTCTTTGGAATCGGCAATTTTAGTTGGAGTATACTACAAATACTATACTCTGCGTTGTGGTTGGGCCTCGACCAAATCTTACTTACAGCCAATACTACGTCAACTCCTTGGAGCCAGTATTCACACTTAGCTGCTATTTGACGGCCACGCATAAAGGGCTCAGTATGTTAAATATCAAATTCATTCAATTCTATTGTAATCTTCTTTCGCAGATGCGACTGTAGCTTACTCTATCAACAGGCCCATGGCCTTCCCATCAACATAAAAAATCTGGGGAGATTTTATCACCACAACGAGCCTCCCGATCTTCCGTTGCCGAAAATGGGCTCCCGCCGCATTTTCCTCCATCATTATATCCGGAGGCGCTCCTGATCGGGTAAGAATCGTCGTTGTGCAATGCTCGCATGTGCTCTTGGAAATTCTTTATGATTATGCTACCACATATCGATAGATGCAGCTATCAGTCAGTGTTAGACGGTTGACTGAGGGGTTTACGGAGAAATTAACTGTAATCGTCGGATTCGACTATTCGCTCCACGGACGGTATGAGCAGTCTGGTCGGACGATTACATCCCGATGCGAAAACTATCATTTTGACGATGCAGCGGTTTCAGACACACAAACGGAAACGGACGCGTGCATGCAGCAACAGGAAATAAATACTGTGTATGGATATAGCAAGAGGACGAACCATACCCAATTAATGGAAAACTATCTATTGGCCTGCGGAATATCATATAGCCTGGTGGCTGAGCTGAAGCTTTCAGCTTCAAGCCAAGAAGCGGGGTAAGCTAGGCAAATAAAGTCTGGCCTGTCATCCAAAACATGGGTAGGACAGCTCGGCCTATTTGCAACTATCATCAGCGGCGCCCAGCGCCAAGGTCTTTCCCCACCAAGTTCCCCGCTTATCTCAGGCGTTTTGGCTGTGCTGTATGACAAGCTCATTCCCGTTTTTAGCGGGTAAACCCTAAACTTATTTGCGTATTTTTCGAGTCTGGGTCTGTACTGCCATTAACTGCAGCTTTACTACTATTGAGTAGCTATTCTCCACATGAACCAACACCAGCGTTTAACAGACAGCTGTATTCAACGCTCCCGCCCCCACGCTCGTTCCATTCAGATCTTGCCGATTGAGTAACGCCGCAATCACACCGTTTGGTCTGTATGGCACCGCGGGTGTAACCCAAACATTTGTCTTGGTATATACGGGAGGCTTTGCCATTTCTTGGCGCGGTATAGATCCGCCCACTGAAATAGCAATGAAATATCCGTCTGTACGAGATCGGGCTAATATTTAGGGTGATTATGTTTCGTCGGTCCAACATTTCTATTGATTACGCAGGAGCAAAACTTAGGCTATACGAGGCAATGCGCAGGATACTGCCTCTTTAAGCATAATTTGAGATAGCATTAGCCAGTGAAGGGTGAGTCGGCCTAATGTCTCTAGTGATTACGCAGGAGCTGGTGTTCGGATCTGCAAGACATAACAGGGTAGGGTGAGAATACAATATTATACATGCGGCCGATATTAGCTAACATCAAAAGTGGCATGCCACTGGCTGCCGTGATAAGGACTGTTGAGGCTCGCCAATGCTTTCTTCGTATTCTCATAGTGACATGTATATTGAGGTTGCCATCAGTCCATGGATTTACGTAATTTATAAAGCAAAGTGATAATTTCACATACCACCAGGTAGCTTAAGAGTAAGAAAGCAAGAGTTGAATGCGGGGTTTAGGAAATCGACGGGTTGTTGCAGCAGCCCCTCGAGGATTCGCTCCGTTGTCAATGGGCAGTAGAATATAAATATGAGGTTGGAATCATCTCCAGAGCTTTGATTCCGAGAATTTCAGACGACCAAGACAAGTTCAACGCCCAAAAACAAAGCACTTTCGAACCTGATATTATATCTTCCATTGACAATGAAGCTCATCAATCTCGCCTTTTTCATCCTTCCATTCTTCACCGCAGTATCTGCTGTTGCGGTTGCGGAACCTGGTAAGTCCACCTCTTAATAATCCACCTATAACCCATCTTGCTAATAAGCATCCAGCTGCCCCTGCCTTCGAATTCAAAGTCAAGAAAGATGCAGATGTTGCCAGCACTGTAGAAGTCCGCCGCGAATTCGCGGAGGAAGGCAATCTCCAAAAGCGAGCTTGCACAAACAACGGCTGCACTTGCGCCAAGGGCTCTGCACAGGGGCAGTACTGCGGATACTGTAATGCCGTCACCGGCAAGGGGAGTGCTTCCTTGTGGGGTGAGAACTCATTTGAGTGTAACTCTTCGGGGGGCTGCTGCTTCTATGGGTACACTGCGCACTGTGCTGGCAGCAGTTGGTCTACTTGGTGCCCAAGATAGGCAGATAGGAAGTCGCTGAGCAAATATTGAGGGGGCAGCACTTATGTTTTCTCATGTCAAGCAAGCACGCTCACAGATCTTGACCAAGGTTCTCATATTTTGTATTTAAGCTTGCAGTCTTATTGCAAGGGCCACTCTTTTAAACAAAACCATTCTGCGGAAGTCTCTATTTTCTACTAACATTTTGCATATGTGAGAGTTTCGTGGTTAGTTAAGGGCAAGTGTTATGGCTCTCGGCTTGTGATTCGCCCGAGCAGGGATCTCGGTGTGTTATAATTCGACTATTCCTCGTTGATGCTTCATAAGCGTGGCGGTCTGGTACCCCCTACCCCGCAATACACAGTGCACACGTTTCGTGTCATATATACTCAGAATTCCCAGGATAAAGATTGCTCTATTCGAACTACTAAGACGGCATGTTTACAGTTTCAACGTAGGTATTTGATTCAAAGCTCGATCTCTGTATTTTTGGTACATTCGTAAGTTTGGCTTCCCCAAAGTTGTCTTTTTGTTGATTGGAATAAACCAAGGCCTGTTAGGTACCAGAGTTCATACCTTTATTACTGGGTAAAATTTCCAGCTACAGTTCTCACAGTAATCAAGTCGGAAGTGTAGCACCTCAAGATAATAATGCCCCTTGTTTCGAGTATGAGAGTGGTTGCTTGACTGACCATGTTGAGATGCCGGTGTAGTCAAAACTGAGAGGCGGTTTACTCAACAATAAAGACTTTCCTAAACTGTAAATAATAGATATAGTCTTCGGATTACAGATACATGCAATCCCTAATTGGGTCGGTTATTACGCTTGCGGTTTCATTGTTGCCTTTATGCTCCAGTTGGCCGATAGATAGTCAAGAATAAGGTTTGATAGCATCACGTATGAAACGCAATTCCATTGTCAGTTTCTTTCCTGAACGCCACATACATTCCAAACGCAAATAAATATAATAATATCCCTTGTTCTTTTGAACAGTCGGCGTTGTTTAGGCTTTAAGCCAATGAGAAACTTTCCATGGTCGAATGAATGAACTACCATTGTCGAAACCAACAAGGAGACAACATGTGAAAGAAACCAATGGACACTGGACATTTCGCTCCCCTCTGAAACGGATACAATGGGTTTATGTTCTCTTTATTACAAAGTTGCATATATAGTCCTGAAAAATCGAGGACTTCTCTCAGAATAACAAGCAACACCTCCACCACACAAGAGCCAAATCACCTAACGCAAAAGCAAGCCGGACTTGCAACTAACACAACGAGCAAAAGTACTTTTGTTCTATCCCGAGAATGACGACTCCACTAACTTTCGGCGTAGAGCTGGAGTTCGCAGTCGCCAGCACCCATCTTAACAACAACGACCCCCATCCCGACCACCCAGGCCGCATCCACTTTGCCCGGTCGGATCAGTGCCGTCTCACTCCAGACTCGGAACAGCGTGCCAGAGTCCATGAAGCCATTTATGTCGCTTTGCACTCTGCCGGTCTTCCGATGGGACCCCAGCCAATCTGCGATTACATGTCCTGGTTCGTAACCGATGATCTTACCATCGATCCTCCACACAGAAATGCGCCGTGCAACAGCCCAGTCTACCGCTGGCACTCCGCTGAAGTTATCTTGCCGGCACTGTACTTTCGTCCCGAGTCACTGACCCAAATCCGCGTAGCCTGCGCAACTATCTCCACTGAGTTCCGTGTGGCAGCCACAAGAACTACAGGATTACATGTCCACGTCGGAGATGGCGCCGATGGATTCAGTCACAGTACGGTCCGAAACCTCATAACTCTACTCTGGGGGTTTGAGCCACAGCTGCAGACGCTATTTCCTCCTCACCGCCACAGCCAAACTTGGTGTATGCCCTTGCGTGTCGACTCGATGTACGCATGGCGTCATCCTGACTGGACCATTGCCACCTTTCTTGAGGACATGTTCAGTTCTAAGTTTGGGACCGTTGGAGCGCTCGTGCGCGCATTTGAAGTGTTCGGTGGAGATCGGTGTGCTGTTGAATTCTCTAACCTAGATGACCCTATGGTCGCCATCAAGCAGACGATCGAGTTCAGGGCTCATCCTGGGACGCTAGATGGGGACGATGTGATCATGTGGGTGAAAACTGTGGTAGGGCTTGTACAGTGGGCTCGAGAAGCTGATTCGAGCCAGCTTATGTCCCTAATGGCGTACGCTGAGGCAGGAAATGGTGAGTTTAGTATTACAAGCTTGCTGAAGATGCTGGGTTTACCTGAGCAGGTGGAGTTTTACAAGGGAAAATTGCATCCGCTTATAGTGGCGGCAGAGAATGCTGGGAGAGAATACGAGATTCAAGATCTCGCAAGGCCAAGAACGGACGTCTTGGAAGAGTTTGGAATTGGTGCAGATGGGGTAGCGACAAGGGATAATTGGACGGAGGATCTGATTTTCGATCCATACTGCTGAGGCCTTGTGGCTTGCAGGAGGTAAGTGGGCAGGCTAGAGATAGAGATATGTCAGCAGGTAAGTGAACAGGTAAGTGGACAAATAAGTGAGCAGGTAAGCTATGTTACAATTTTTTTTTTTTTTATAGGAAGTCCATTTTTCACTCCAAAGCCATTGCCTATAAAGTGATACACGTCAAGATACTCACATTATCACATTATAACAACTACTACTACGCAATTTTTGGATGTAGTTTGGCATAAACAATGATCAAATGCTTTATGGACGCATATTTCAAGCTATTTTTTTCACGAGTATCCTGCTGTACGTAGTTATAACTTCCCACCTATCTCCGTATCTTCCCTAGAGGAGCGTTGTTGAAAGTATGTCCTCTATTTCCTTCCAGAATGCGCCATTTCATTAAAGATCCGCTGTCAACCCAAACTGACGCGATATAGCAGCATTACTTACGATTTCTTTGCAACAGGTCCAATGGCCTTCGCTAATTTGTTTAGGATACTATAAATAAGTTAGAAATGATTGCACTCTATCCTAGAAAGGGGGCAGTACATATTCCTTTGGGCACTCTATCTCTACAGGCGAGAAAACCCTCGAACAAAATTCATCAAATATAGAAGAAGCAGACGTGCCTGAAGTTGCGTCGCTAATTTGGATCTTGACTTCGATTTCTTCTCCGTTGGTGGTAGACGATATAGACGGGGAGGAGGTATCTTTGCAGCAAGTCCAGCAGCTGCCAAGCTTCTTGGGATGCTATGGATAAGTTAGAAACAATTACACTCTGCGCTAGAAAAGGAGCAGTACCCATTTATCTAGGCATTTAAAGATAGCTTCAGAAAAGCAAAGTTTCCAACATTCATCTTCAAATAGAGAAGAAGACGCGGCTGAAGTTGTGTCGCTAATTTGGATCTTGATATCAATTTCTTTGTTGGGGGTAGAAGGTATGGACGGGGGGGTTGAAGCATCATCTGCCGTTGTACCACTAATTTTGATCTGGTGGTATTGAGGGGCAGCAATGGTTATGGCTGCTAAGGCAGAGAGGACTGCGAATATTTTGATCTTCATCTTGAGAGATGGAAATGTTGAAATATAGTGTTTTGGCGGTTTGTTGGGCTTGTATCCTGCTTGTTTTAGAAGCTCAGATAGTAGATTGTGGGGGGGAAGATAGGTAATTATAGTTCTGAAAACCCAATATATGGGATAATCGGATGTTGATTACCGTAATCCCTCATCGGCTCCATTACAGACCTCAATAATTGGGTGAAACCGGTTCAATGTGTATTGGTAGGATAGGATAGCAGGATAGGAGTTCCGTGCCAATAACAGACTGCGTCTTCGTGCAGCTGGAACAGCAATTGTCGAACTGAGTAGCTTCAGCTACTGATGAAAGGCGATCTTCCGCTGAACTGACTGCGAGGCAGACCTCTATGACCTAATGAGGGGGCTTGTTTCGTCCTGTTTGCCTTCTTGTTGGTCATTGTTTCTTGTGCATGTAACCACTCGTCCAACATTTACATGATATTTATCCTTGTTGGAGGCTATGGTTGCTGTTGCTCAAAACATGAGACGTAAAGCTACAGAGCACAGTGATAAACTGTAGGCCGTATTGGAGGGGTGAAGTGAAGGCTACCCTTTCCAGTGCCATACCTGTGGCCTAGGTGAAACTGAATATGCATACCCATGAAAAGATCTCGGGATAAAACAGGCTTGTATCCAAACGAGTTGGTGTTATGGTGACGACTTTCAAACATGGCGCTTTGGACTAGGCCATGTATTACAACTATCTAAACCTACGAGAAATATCCGAGTCACAATGCTTGCGATACCTGAAGCTACGAGAAACTGCACGCATAGCGCTAAGACCGAAAGACCGAATCATGGGGGGTCTTTCATTTTCGTGTTGCACGGGGATTCAAGCTATCGACGTAGTTGTCGCTAGCTCGAGACTCGTTCTATCTTTCAGCACTCGTTATTCAGTGTGCTGCATATGCAGTCGTAGTTGTTCATCTCGAGGTCGGCACAAGTGTATCTTATATCGATTGAAGTCATGGTCAGGGTCTCGGGGTTGGCCATTTATGGCGTCGTTTGACGTTCAGGGTATTGGCACAGGGACAGACTTAGCTGGGACAGAACAGCCTCAAGGCAGCCGCAGGGTAAGATAGCGGGGAATGGATTGGTTCGGGATCCTCCTCTCGCACCTGAATGTCAGTCGCCCTGAGACAAAAATAAATCGACCAAGTAAAGTACAGCTAGTAGAGACGCTTTTGTGGAGAAGCCAGGGCAGTATCGCCTTGCCACTGGTTCTTTCCACAGAGGAATATTGTTCTTGTTATATGTTTCAGTATTTTTAAGAGTTCACAATGTCCGATGACATAATTCATCAATTTAGTATCAATTCTTCGCTTTTTTACTTCTTTCCGGGCTTTCATGTGTACACGTTGCACATTCCCGTTTCATGACTCAAGAGGTAAACGTTTTCGGATTCGTTGTCACATTCCTGCCATTTGCTTGTGTGGGTGCATCCACTGGTAGTGGTATCAGCAGTGCAATATATACAGATCTGATCAGATCGAATATTTCACGCAAACATCTGCCGCCAGCCAATGCAAGTTACTTTGGCATTATATTACTTCAGCACCAGCATAGACTCCTCCCGTCGGGGTCATTGTCTCTATCTCGTGGATAGATTCTATATTCCATAGGCATTTCCTTCAACCGGTGGAGATGGTCCCTGATCTGCAACCTGTCTCAAACAGCAGGCAGCCTCCTCCACTCGCGCCGACTACAGATGGCTGGACGGGGGTGTCCATAAATCACTTGACTACTGTCTGAGCTCAGCTAGTGCGTTGGTGCGCAGGTGCATATTCGATCGCACAGGATCATGTACAACGGCCCGAATGTTGCACATACCCGCATCCGCAATCCCGCTTCCCAATCTCTGATACCAACCCCAATGTCGGCGGATAAACTGGGGTATCCTTTCGATGTTGTGACCTGTTCTGTATGCCGTGGAGCTTGGGGTTGCCGCACAGGCATAGTTAAGGAGCGATGGTTGGGCAAGATCGGCAAGTTCGAAGTGATGGGATAAGGATAAGGTCCAGTGAGGACAGAAGGCTTTTTCCGTATCGATTATGCAGCAACAGAATTTAAAAAGATCTTCACGATGAGGCTTCGTGCATACTCCAGGAGACTTCTCTATTTGAAGCGAGAGTCGCTGATGTGTACAGAAAGCAACGAATAAAAAGCATTCGTGCCAAGAGAAACGGTGTAAAACCAAGACAGTTGCGGACAAAATGGAACCAGTTATAGTGTATGGGTTTTTCAACTGGATCAAACTTACCGTAGTTCTCAAGCCATATCGCATCACATAGTCCACATGGTTTCGCATCATAACTGAAATTGTGAAGCCCTTTGCATTCATGAAAGTACACCTAAGCAATCCTTGAATGCAATAATCTGATGCAGATCCACAACCAGACTTGCAAAAACACCATGCCCATACCCTCACATTTATTTCTTAGACGCAGCAGCCTCGTCAGCCTTGTCCTTCGCCCGCTTCTCACGCGCACCGGCGTATCTTTGCTCGCTCCTCGAGTCTCTGAGCTTTCTGTAAGCACCACCCTCAACGGCAGCTGGGACGTCGCTCTTCTTGATCTCGGTAACGGCAACGGCGGCAGCGTGGGGGAATGCGGCCTTAGTGCTCTTGGTGTACTCCTTCTGGGCGGCGGAGACCTCCTCCTTGGAGGCGTCTCCGGCCTTGGCCTGGCCAGCCTTTCTTGGGAAAAGGATGAGGCGGGCCTTGTAAGCCTTGAGGCGCTCGACGTTCAGGGTGAGGGACTCGACGGAAAGGTTCTGGCGGCGGGTGTCGACGGAGATACCGATGGTGCGAGCAAGCTTGCGTGGGATGGCGGCCTCCTAAAAATACAAGTCAGATATCCGGTCTTCTTTCACCTCGCGGTTCCGCTGTAAATTACCTTCAGCTCCTCAAGGGAGAAACCACGTCCGGCACGGACACGGCGGTTGTACTTGACAGTTGGGCAGCGGACAATTGGTCTCAGCTTGTCCACTGGGCGAGGGGCAACAGCGGCGGCCTTGGAGAGACGTGCATTGCGGCGTCTAAGCTTGCGACCTGGCTATTGTGGGTGTTAGAATTTTTCCTGATCTCGTCTTCCTTCCCCCGATCTTGTTTCGGGCATCGCAGAGGGTGTGAATGTACCTGGTCGAAGTGAACGCGAACCCGACGCTGCCAATCCTTGCGGAAATCTATCCATCAACAGTCAGTACCTGGGCCATTCGAAGCGCGCAATATTGCTGATGGTGTTCTTACGGTTGTGCGGGATCTGCTGGTTGTGCTTGATGGCCATTTTGGTATCAAGTCGTTGCCGTTGTCGTTGGTCGTTGTCTTCGTGGGAGTTCCAAGTCGGAGGAAGAGGGAGCCACAAATTCGTGAAATCTCGATTGTGTGCGCCCTAAGCGAGAAATTGCCCAAGCACAATTGGAATTATGTGGGTAGTGGGCAAGAATTCACGTGCTGCTTTTAGAGCACGGGCCACCGAACTTTTTTTGAATTTATTATGGCAGATCACGTGCACAGCAATTGAAACGGTAGATTAGATAGATGGAACTGTTTGTTGGGTCCTCAGGCTGCAAAACATCAATTCACGCGCTAGCCAAAGTTTGCAGTGTTTGCACTTGTCACATTTCCCGATTCAGACTCGCTTAGTTCCTGCCAGTTCAGTATAAATATCTCGCCTCCCCCCTTCGATAACCTCTTCTTTTCTTCTTCATACTTACCTTGTGATGGCCAGGATGCTCATGAATATCCTCGGCCCTAATGCGAGAGCTCCATTGCACATCGGGGACTCAAGCATCGGCCAATATCCTTCGGGGTCTTGGATCGCGGAATTTTTGATTGCACTCCCTTTGGGAACCCTTTTCATTGAGATCATGGCCTGGTGCCTTGGCTTGAAGAAGAACATCACAATATTTTTCTGCGACGCGTAAATAAGAGAACTGAAACTACCTGTGCTTTTATTCTTGCAAAATGTAGATATATGGCTTTGTAATATCAGGCTGGTGCGATTTGTATGATCATGATAAGCTGGATATGTGAGGCTGGCACGTACTCTCGAGTGAGGAATATACAACGGTATTTATTGTTTTTAGTCAGCAACGGACTGCAACGCTCGTCGCTTTTGGGAACCCTTCCTTCCGAATCATATCCAGACATGTCAGGCTCTCTCAGCTGTATAAATTTGGGTTGTTCCTGGCCCAATAAACAAGGTTCCGTTGTCGTTGGATACGCGGCAAGGGCCAAGCGGCATCCGAAGTATCCTCGTTGGCAAACCATGACGTTACCATGCTACCCCGCATCGCGATTCCCCTCTGGAGATCGCACGACCAGATGTCTAATTCCAAGTCCAAAGCCTTTGTAAACCTATTGTTGTTTTGTATACAGATTTAATATAATACCATCTATCAAGCAACTTCGGCTTTCTACATTTCGAGATTAAATTCGGGTATTATAGCTCAGTCTTTGACGTTTCGTGATCTCTGTTCTGCGAGGCTGAAAAGAGGGGTATTGCATACACAAACAACAGATCCCGATTACATGCTGTAGAAAGAAATACTACAGGGTACAGAATATCATAGCTATTGTATATTCGTGCTCGAGGTAATAATGGATGAAGCTACGTTTAAGTAATCTAGAATTCTCTCTTCTGGAATATAAAATATATACATAAAAAATTAATATTATTTGTAGGAATTTAAACCTCGTTTTTTTCGGACGTAAACCCCACCGCAAGATTCACTTAATTGTAGGTGCCAAACCACTCGAGTATGAATAGATACATAATCAGAAACAAATAAAGCCCATAATTCAGGCTGTAACTAGTGCTATTGAATGGGTGCAAGCTCCGAATATGAAGCCCCATGCGTTGTCATGATTCCCCACACGTGATGGGATATATATCGTCACCCCGCACACCGCCGCACTTAACACAACCCCTCCATATCCCAACATCAAACACCCTCAGACCCAAATAGCTCCTGGATTACCGCAAAAATGCCCGTCGGAATCAAGACCGTGAGTTCCGCTGTCCCTGCTGCACATGTGGACACTGCCTAACTGTTTCCAGCCGTCGAACCAAATCAAACTGACAAACGTTTCGTTGGTGCGACTCAAGAAGGGCAAGAAGCGCTTCGAAATCGCCTGCTACAAGAACAAAGTGCTCGAATGGCGCAACGGCATCGAGAAGAACCTCGATGAGGTCCTACAAATCCCCAACGTCTTCGTGAACGTGTCGAAGGGCGAGACGGCGAAGAAGGAAGACCTGGCAAAGGCGTTCGGGAAAGACGTGAAGCAGGATGACATTATCTTGGAGATTCTGAACAAGGGCGAGCTGCAGGTTGGCGAGAAGGAGCGTGCGGCGCAGCTGGAGCGTGTACACAACGAGATTGTTGATATTGTGGCGGGGAAGCTGGTCGACCCGAAGACAAAGAAGGTGTATACTACTGGGATGATCGAGAAGGCACTGGATATGGTCAGCGCTGCTGGATCGCAGGAGAGGCAAGAGAAGAATGCTGCCGGAGCAGAGGCCCCTGCTGAGGGAGAGGAGAAGAAGCACCTGCCGACGTGGACTGGAGTCAATGCTACGAAGAGCGCAAAGAGTCAGGCCCTGGAGGCTATTAAGGCACTGGTGGCGAGGCAGCCCATACCTGTTGAGAGGGCCAGGATGAGCCTACGGATTACATGCCCGATGAAGGAGCTTAAGAATACGTTGAAGGGCCAGAAGGTTGGTGGAGAGGACGGAGAGAGGAAGATGACCGTTAAGGATAAGATTCTGGAACTGGTCGAGCAGATCGAGAGACAAGAAGTCACCGGGAGTGAGTGGGAGCTTGTCGGTTTCGTAGAGCCAGGAGCATACAAGCTCCTGGGTGATCTCATTGGAAGCGAGACGAAGGGTGCTGGCAGGATCGAGGTTTTGGATATGGCAGTTAAACATGAAGATTGAAGTGCTGCTGGAGCGAGTAGTCGAGAGGAAGGTGCGGGATACGGTTCAACCGTCCCATGGCTTCGATGCGATGTATTCACGGAGGCTGAGCGACTGTCGTATTCTGAAAGTGGCCACGGATGGGAGACCCAGGCAGGAGAGTCTGGGCAAGCCCCAGGAATCCCTCCCGAAACAACTCGTATGGAGGGAGAGGTCTATATAGTTAAGCGGAAGACAGAATCCGAACAAGATATCCCCCGTACTGTATTTCGTTCGCATGGCTGCAAACATCATTGTCCTCATGCCCGCTAACAAGTCTGAGGAGCGACTAGGGGTGACATCAGTGATTACAGCAACTGTAGTTAAAATAAAGGCTTGCAATTACTTAGGGCTATGATTATCATATTAGTTACTCAGAGATACAGACAAAGAGATAGATACTATCAGCTTAAATTGCTGGCATCGATCCTCAGCAATGTACTGTACATACAGGACTCCCTCCGAGATGTCCGTATATAGGCACGTGACATACTTCCTAGGCACACAGACAGCTTACGTCATTTCCCGGATAAGGCCTCTGAGGTGGTGCAACCTGGCGGATCCGAGTGAACAGTCCCCGGATATAACCTGCAGCAACTGTAATGGAAATAAATGGAAATAAAGACTTTTAATTACTGTCTATAATTGATATATCAGTTCCTTAAATAATAGAGCACAAAAGACATATCCTATTAACTCAAATTGGTGGTATTAATACTTCGCTACATAGATACGGTTCAATCGGTACCAGACCTGGCAGGGCCACCAAGGTGTTAGCGTAGCGATAGCAACGACGCTAGCCGTCACACAGTCATTCAGGCACCGCCCACCGCCTACCGCCCACTTGTCCGACCATCGTCGCCACTACCGACCTTCCGCATCATCTCCCCTCACCATTCCCAACAACATCAATCGTCAACCAAATATTGATACAGACGATGAAATTCCTTGCCACTACCGCCCTCATCGGCGCTGCGACCGCTGCTGTTGCTCCTCAACAGCATGTCTTCAAGAACCCGTTCCACCAAGAGCCGATCGTTGGTGACTCCAAGGCATCGCCTTCCTGGAGCTCATTGCTCGGTCCGCTGGCGGAGAGCATGAATAACATGGGCGCTGAGGCGAAGGCCGTCTGGGACGAGGTGACGATGATGTTCCCCGAGCAGATGAGCAAGGCAAACTTCCTGTCGTCTCCGAAGCCAAGCAAGAAGAGACCGGATAGCACATGGGACTACATCGTGAAGGGTGCTGATGTACAAGGTATTAAGATTATGAATGAGAATGGCGAGGAAGAGAGGGCTATTGATGGCCACCTTGACTCGTACAATCTGAGAGCTAAGCACGTTGACCCAAAGAAACTGGGCGTTGATACTGTGAAACAGTACAGCGGCTATTTGGATGACGAGGAGAACGATAAGCATCTCTTCTACTGTAAGCACCTGACAACCCAAAGTACACGAATCTTGACTAACATTATTAGGGTTCTTTGAGTCTCGCAATGATCCGGTCAACGATCCCGTCGTTCTCTGGCTCAACGGCGGCCCAGGCTGCTCATCCCTCACTGGTCTCTTCCTTGAGCTTGGCCCATCATCCATCGATAAGGACCTTAAGCTTCACAACAACCCATACTCTTGGAATGCCAATGCATCTGTCATCTTCCTCGACCAGCCCGTCAACGTCGGTTATTCCTACAGCGGTGGCTCTGTCAGCAACACCGTTGCTGCAGGAAAGGACGTATATGCACTCCTCACCCTCTTCTTCCAGCAATTCCCCCAGTATGCGAAGCAGGACTTCCACATTGCTGGAGAGTCATATGCCGGCCACTACATCCCAGTTTTCACCTCCGAGATTCTCTCGCACAAGAAGCGCAACATCAACTTGAAGTCGATTCTCATCGGCAATGGCTTGACTGATGGTTTGACTCAGTACGAGTACTACAGGCCTATGGCCTGCGGTGATGGTGGCTGGCCAGCTGTTCTCGGGGAAAGCGACTGCAAAGCTATGGACAACTCCCTTGCACGCTGCCAGTCTCTGATTGAAAGCTGCTACCAAAGTGAGAGCGTCTGGTCCTGCGTCCCTGCCAGCATCTACTGTAACAACGCCATGATGGGCCCATACCAGCGCACTGGACAGAACGTGTACGACGTGCGCAGCAAGTGCGAAGACAGCTCTAATTTGTGCTACTCTGCGCTCGGCTGGATCTCTGAGTTCCTCAACAAGAAGGAGGTACAGGCCGAGCTTGGTGTCGAGGTCTCTTCGTACGATTCGTGCAACTTTGACATCAACCGCAACTTCCTGTTCCAGGGTGACTGGATGAAGCCCTTCCACCGCCTGGTCCCAAGCATCCTTGAGCAGATCCCAGTGCTTATATACGCTGGTGACACCGACTTCATCTGCAACTGGCTCGGTAACCGTGCCTGGACTGATAAGCTCGAGTGGAACGGACGCAAGGACTACAAGTCTGCCGAGACAAAGGATCTTACGATGGGCGAGGAGAAGACCGGCACTGTCAAGTCGAGCGGGAACCTCACATTCATGAGGATCTTCGCCGCTGGACATATGGTGCCAATGAACCAACCCGAGCCCAGCTTGGATTTCTTCAACAGGTGGATCGGTGGCGAGTGGTTCAACAACTAAATTGTTGTGGACCATATATAGTCGATTTATTTGGTTTTGGAAGGTGTTGGTGATTTAGGGTACTTTGAACATAACATGATTTGCATTATTTTTTAAATTACATCGTCTGCTGCCATTATTTGAGTATAGTTGAACTTTATCGTGACTGGTACCTTCGTCAATATTTAGCCCTTGTAGACATATAACCACGTGATACACAATATACTGTCAAAAATATTTATAGCATACTATAATACCATAGTATAAACACTGTAGTTAATCTGGATATCGATTTTAAGTAGACTTTTGGTTTCTTACCTCACCAGAACTGGTCTGCTTGTCATCCCCAATGTCATCTCGTCAAGATATTGCCAATAGTCGGCGCTTACCTCTCCTCGGTGGCAAATACTGATCCTTTTTCATAGTGTTAGAAGAATAGAGAATGCAAGAAAAGGTACTACGAGCGATTGAAGGTGCAGAAAGCGTTACGGAAGAAACTGAGCGGTGTTGCACACACGACGACAGGTCAGCTAATCTAGCGGAGTTTTTACCATTGATTCGAAGCCCACAAACTCCGTCTGGCAAACAGAACCACAATCACATAGAACACAAGGGAACCAGTTGTTTTTGAATTGTTTTCAGATTGACACAGCGAGGTAGAGGACACCCATATCCCAGCGTCTGCTGAGGAGCGATACACCAGCATAAAAACGCGTGCAAGCCCTTGCAATGCTATACTCCGCCCTCCCAATCCATCCCAAACCCAGAACGATGCGCTTAACCTCCCTTCTTCTTGGAGACACCGACGGTGCGGCCCCTGCGTCCGGTGGTCTTGGAGTGCTGTCCGCGGACACGCAGGCCCCAGTAGTGACGGAGACCACGGTGAGCGCGGATCTTCTTCAGGCGCTCGAGATCGTCACGGAGCTTGGAGTCGACGTTGTTGGCCAGGACCTGGTAGTCCTTGCCATCCACGATATCGCGTTGTCTGTTGAGGAACCAGGCGGGGATCTTGTATTGCGTGGGGTTCTGGATGATGGTGACGATGCGCTCGAGCTCTTCCGAGGTGAGTTCTCCGGCACTGTTGATTCAATTAGTTTCTGTGTGTTGTTTGATCGGTCTAGTCCATTGCGCTCTTCAGGCAGTGGACTGCATTGGGGAATGCATACCGCTTGTTGAGGTCAACATCAGCCTTCTTGCAGACCAAGTTGGAGTAACGGCGTCCGACACCCTTGATCTTGGTCAAGGCGTACATGACCTTTTGCTTTCCCTCGACATTGGTGTTTAGAAGTCGCAGGATGAACTGGAAGTTCGACTTCTCGGCCGATACGAGAGACATGATGGCGACTGTTGTGGTGAAGTCGCTGTCGCTATCGAATCTTGCCAGAGGAAATGTCGTAAAAGCTCTCGACGCGAAGAAGTGTGCGGACTAACCCTTAGCGTGGAATTTACAAGCGAGGTCATGTGACCACCACCTCGAGATATTCAATCATCACCGAGGCGGATCGCCAAGTGGGAGAACATCGACGACCAGGCATCAAGATCACGATTTAAAATAATAAAATATTTCCGGGCTTATCCGGTTCTTGGCTTTTGGTTTGATTCGATTCGTGCCACGAAGATTATATGACCAATTTTTGGTCCTGATACACCCGGACCTGCCTGTTATATCCACGGGTATCAACCCTGCCAGCCTTTCATCTGGAGTCTGGAACGACGTTTTGGGTTCTTGCTTCCGGATCCGAATGAATCCAGCATGAGTTACTATGGCGATTGCCATATACCGGATCGCATCATTGGCCTATGGGCTTACCTTGGTGGTGCCATTGACGTGACCAGCCGGAACAGTGTCCATTGACATGACCAACCGCAACAGCCGTCGCGCTGCGCCCCAAACGGTGTAAATCAGGGGAGCATTGTTCTGGCTTCGGATCAAAGAACATCGTGTTGATAGTATGTAATATTTCATTTTTTCACGGGGTTGCATTGCAGTTTCAAGGGCAATCATACCTTTACCGTCGCGGATTTGCCGTGAGGCTCATCCAAACAGCTCCTGTCGCAAACACGGTCTCAGGCTGGGTCCAGGGTGTTTGCTTGAAAACTGTCAAAGTTCCACCCACATAATTCAGGATTACTGCCATTATGGCCTTGAATGATTTGAGTTTTTGCCAATCATGTCTGTTTTTTGGGCAGACGTCAACTGGGTCAAGCTTTTTGGCGCCAAGGCATCGCGATGGCCACCGCATCGACCACGATGATGACCCTCTCTTTTTAAGCCTGCAATTCATTTTTTATTATCGTACCAGCAGGCAATTGCTTTGCGAGCAGACAAGTGAATGCCCCAAAGGAATTATATTTAAATCAATTTATTAAAATCGTCTACAATGAGAAATGTCAGCGTGAGAAACAGAACGAAAATTCTGTGAGGTGTTAAATCGGTATGATCGACCCCACCTACACCAACGGGCGCTTAGACGTCACCAACACCATGCCATCCGACCCCTTGACTGTCATATTCCCCTTGATATTTTCTTCATTATGAACACCTTACTAAATCCCCAACCCCACGCAATAAGCTTAATCACAATACTAGAAAATCTTGGCGCGTGCTTCATAATCCTTGCAAGGAGATGGCGTCTGCCGTTGTCAGGCTGGGACGGAAGACAACCCATCCGTCTAGGCATCGTCGATTCCGAGGGCGTTCCGGGAAAATATCATATATGAAGTCAGAGCCTGCCTCGACTTTTAGAAATGCCACAGCAGGACCTCAATCTTTGACAGAAGCCTACTTCCTGCACGCACACACTCCTTCCATTTTTCAGCGCGCTGGTAGCCATCTTATAATTTTACTTAATTGGTCATTCTCATTCTATTCCGGTCGCTATAATACTTTAGTGTCTTTGCCGCCATCCATCAATATGCTTTTCAACTCCGCCGCAGCTTTGTTGAGCCTCGCTGCTCTTGTTTCCGGTGGTAAGGCTCACCCACTGTACAAAGCTGGGTCCATGTTAACTAACACCTTGCAGCACCCCGTCCTGAGTCTGGACTCAGCGCGCGTAGCCCTGGACAGCACTTACACTCGCGCCACGTTCAGTCGCTTGATGCCCGAGCTGTGGTCGTGGTTGCTGGCAACGGCAATAACAACAACAACAACGGCAATGGCAGGAATAATGATAACAACCGGAACAACCAGAACAACCGCAACAACAACGACATCAACAACGTCATAATCTCCACGACCGTCATCCAGCTCTCGGACACCCAGCGCCAACAAGAGGTTGCCCTCATCGTAGTCGTCCAAGACCAAGTGCGTCAGCGCAGTGGCAGGGACTTTGAGCTCCGCCAGCAGAAGGATCGCATCCGCCAGAACCACTACAGGAACAAGAACCGCAATGCCGTGAGTCCTACCTATCCTCCCCCAATGCCACCCCGCGCGAGACAGTAGCTAACAACAAACCAGAACACCGTCATCGTCATCGTCACCGAAGTCGTCGACAGCCGCACCGCCAACCGCCAATCCCGCTTCATGTCCCGCCAGATCCGCGCCAACAACAACCAACCCAGCGACGTAACCGTCATCGTCGCCGACTCCGCCATCACTCTTCTCCCCGTCGGCGTCAACCAGAACCAAGCCCAAGGCGGCGCGCGCCCCACTGCCGTGCTGGAAGGCCAGGCAGCGGCATCGGCAGCGGCGCTGGCGGCTATCCAGACCGTTGACCCGAATGCTCCGTTCTTGCAGACGAACCGCACGGTGATGGCGCCGGCTGGGCAGGCGTTCCCGAGTTTTGCGGGGGTGGAGCTCGATCCGGCGAGGATTGTGGAGGAGGGCGCTCAAGGGGTGGCGGTTAGTGTTGTTTAGGGCCGGTGCTCTGCGAGTATTGGTTTCTCTCGCCTTGGAAGCACGGCGCTTTCCTTACCCTGCGCTGGTTTGCAGTGCCGCGTGGTGGGGAGCTGGGTTGTGTGCGGGGGCGGAGATTAGAGGGAAATGAGGAGATTGGGGGCGGCGTCGGCGTTGGATTGGGTTGGATGTGCAATGTGTGCTTGGTTACCGCTTTTGGTAGATTTAGGTCGGGGGGAGGCAATGGCCATGGTGGTTGATCCATCTGGTCTAGATGCCGGGTGGGATAGGAAGCTCATCTAGAATGTCATCTGCATATCTCACTCATCTCATAAACCCAACCCATCGCAATTCCCCCTTGCTTGCGCCATGAATTCATTATTGCTCCTCGTCCTACCTCCCCCCCATGCATGCCGCTCTCCCCTTCTAGCGTCTCACCTCTCACAAATAACCTCTCATATCTCACATACCCCATACTACCCTCCTCACATACTCGTCTGCCCCCTCCCCCGCACCCCCGTCCCGGAACCACAGCGACCCGGCGCGCCGCTCCGCGCGACATGGCACACACTACCCACTCCTACACTACTGCACTGTTGTAGCCGGCATGATGGGATGGACGACGCAGCTCGTATGGGCGTTCATGCGATGCAACGCTGTGTTTGGCATCTGGTGTGGGATCAGACGGGGGACCGTGCGGTGGGGGCGTGCGCCGCGCGGGGAAGGGAGGTGGTCATGTGATTGGGGTGGTCTGGGGTTTGAGGGAGGAGGGAGGGTAGAGCTGGGGACTGGGGATCAATACCGGCTAGTTGGGGTGGTGGGGATTATCGATTTAGTTGGGTTTGTTGGTGGCGGTTTGCTAGTTGGAGGTGTGAGTTATTAAACGCCTCTAGTTGGGGGTGAGTGATTGAGCGTCTCCGGTCGAGGTAATAGGTGCTGTGATTACTGTTGTTTGGGATAGCTCCTGTTCCGAGTTCTAGGCGGTACAGGTGCTGGGGAAGGTAGGGTCGTATTAGGGGGTCTGTGCAGTGATGGGATGTGTGGTCGGTCTGGATTATACTGTAGATATATCAGAATAGCGGCAGCAGCTCTTTGTTACAGTATGGATTTGGGCTGTGGGTAGGGGAGCATTTTACGCTATATTAGAGATCTGAGAGCGAGCTCCGTTGACGGCCTCATCAAGCCTATTCAACGTCCACGCCGCAGTGTCATTATCGGACATAGCGTCGCATCACATTAGGTGGGATTGGAGAGTATGTATGATATCTTCGTCCTCCTAGGAGCTTCGCGCTTCGTCTCTGTAGGATAATATATTTTACGGCCGTATATTTTATTCCCACGTTTTTATTATTATCAGGACCTCTTTCTGTTAATTAGTGGGAAGGAGAGCTGGGAATTTGGGATAGGGCAGGGTAGGGTATATGATTCAGTCGCCCGTGCCGCTCTCGAGGCCATTTTCATTCAAGATCGCCATCGCCAGCATCATCACCATTGATATCACAGCCACCACCACAATCACGACCACCCTCCACCCCGTCGATCCTCCCTCCCGTCTCCACTTAACCCTCAACCCGCCGCCCGCCGTCACCGTATTAATCACGTGATCACAATACCTCTCTCCTCGCAACTCCCACGTTCACCATCCACCAAGATCTCCTCTCCCTCTCAGCTGCTCCTCCTCACCCATCCTCCAGGGTCCATTCAGCTCATCCCATCCACCCCATCCACCCCATCCCATCCCTCCCCAGTGGCTCGCCCGTACCTGCGCTCAGGCCGTCCCGTCTCTCCTCTCTCCCCAGCACCACGCATCCGCCACCAACACATCCACCAACACACATACACCCACGGGCAACACCGGGTAAATATCCAGAGCGGGGTCATGTGACCAGGATCAGGGATAGGTGGCGTGTGGTGGTGTGTTTTAGAAGTTGGGAAGGTGTACAGTATAGCACTAGTACGGTACAGTGCAGTATGGTACGTATGTCCTCCCATGTACCTGTGGAAAGGGGAGATGTGCTCCGGGGATAGGACCAATTAGATGGGGAAGGTGCGACGGGGGGTGGGGGGTGATTGGGTAAGGAGCGGCGGGGGGGCTTCTGGAATGGAAGGTTTTTGGGGAGTTCTGGAAGGTACCGGGGGGGGGTACGGGTGGTAAGGGTGGTACTTTTGGGGATGGGGGGTACTTGGGGGAGGGATGGTGGTGGTGGTGAGGTGTTCTGGGTTTAGGGATTAGGAGGCTGTGAGTGGTTGGGTTAAGGGGATGGGTGAGTACACGTGTGTGGTGATGCTGGCCGGCCGGTGTTTTTCCATATTGCGGCGAGGATGGTAAGGGATGGTAAGCTGGCGATTTGACACGCGAGGGAGGCGTGGTGAGGGGGTATTCGGGAGAGGGATTGGATATTGGGAGGGTATATAGATTGCTGGTGCGTCGTGGTTGTTTGTTGGGTGAGGTTGTGGATGGAATAATGTCTGGATAATAGGTGGAATTGGGATGGTTGGCGGTGGTGGTGTTGTGAGAACGCTACTGTTCTGTATAGTACTGTACCTGCGGTGCGACGTGCTTACTTACTTTACTGTGTGGGTATATATCGATATCGTGCATTTATTGTTCTGTTCTGCTCCTTCCATTGTTCCCTTCTAGAGTATTGATATTGTCCCTTGCAGCAACTGTGGCGCTGGATAACAGCAGCTGAGCATGCTAGGATGGTATGAGTGAAGTGAGTCGTCTCTTGTCAGCCTTTTCTTTTCGTCTCGTCTCGTCTCGTGTCTTCTCTTCTTTTTCTGCCCTCTCCTGTCAGCTCCCTCTCTCAGCTCGTCAGGGCCAATTTCGGCAGTTGATGGTGATCTCGGGTTCTGGTTTCAGCGTGCGTGCGTGGGTTGGGTGTGGTAGTGGTAGTGGTAGTGGTGTTCGCTTTCTTTTTCTCAGCGCTGATCGCGGGAGTGTGGGATTTGGTTAGGGGGGACAAGCTGACGACGGGGGGGTGATAATGATGCTAGGAGGAACACGTTTTGAGGTGGTATTGGTAGTGGGAATGTGGTAGTGTGAGCGTGCTGTAGTGGTTGATCATCGTCGTCGTTCGCAGATGGGAGCTTGGTAGGAGTGCTAGGAGTGCTAGGACTGCTGGGACTGCTGGGAGTGATGCTAGGAGTGATGCTAGCAGTGATGTTAGGACATGAGCATGCATCCAAGGGTACTTCTACCAACCACACCAATACCATACTATACTCTATGTACCCCCCATGCAGGCGACATGTACCTTCCAATGCGGAGACACACCCTCCTGCTTTCTTTCCCTATACCACGCCGTATTTGCAATAGCGTCTTCTCTCCTATTGGCTGAAATCGTGGCTTGCATCGGTCACAGAGGACAAGACAAGAAGGAAACAAAAAGGACAAAGGAAAAAAAAAGGGTCAGACCATCCTAATGAAGTCTAGTATATGCTGTTTCTAGTCTAGTGTCTCTCATTCTTCCATTCTTCCCTTATTCATCCACCCCCTACTAGTTCTTCCTTCCCCCTCTATTCTTCCCCTGTCCCTGCTCATTTCTTCCACTTCTTCCACTTCTTCCATTTCTTCTCCTCCTTCAAATCACTTTATATCACTTTCTTTCGTTAATTAAATCCAGTTAGTCCGTTATTAGTTTATTAGCCTCGCTATTAGTCGCTTCTTAGTGGTTGGTTAGTTTGGTTAGTTCGTTCTTCCGTCCTTCTTGTCCTTCTTAGCCCTCTTCCTCCCTAGCCCTCTGTCATCCACTATCCATCCCCTCTAACCCCCTCTAACCCTCCTACTCTCTAACCCCCCTTCCTTCCCTCGTCCTTCCTCGTCCCTTAGTTCCCCATTTCTATCGTAAATCTAACAAGGATGATGCTGTTACTTCCACTTCGAAGGGCTGCTAGTCTGCTAGTCTGCTACTTCAAATACTTCTCTACTTGTCTCTACTTATCACTGTCTTAAACATCTTGTACCACCTACTGCATCATTCGTACTGTAATATACCCCGAACGCCTGTTAAACTCTCTCTGATTCCCGTACCACCTCTGTACCACTCTATTACACCCCGGTATACTCTGACCTACTCTAGACTCGGTACTGTGGCCCGCACACGGTTGCGGGTGCGCTGCTATGTTTCGTTTTGTAACCCCCAATTCGCAAATTCGCCATTCACAGGAGGGAGAAGACAGACTAGAACAGTACTACACGGACTAGAAACTGCGGTACGGCGGATACAGTAGTAGAAACAGAGAAACAGAGAAATAGACATCTCACTCTGACCTCTCTACCAAACTCTCTCTACCTAACCTCTTGCTCACCCAAGCCAGAGTGGGAAGGAACGAATCGTCCGCCCTCGCCGCCGCCTTCCCGCCCTTCCTGCCGCGCGCACTTTCCTACTTTGTTCCACACTCCCACCCTCGCACTTGCCGCCTGTATCACTCTTTCCCTCTCTCTTCCCAATCTCCCGGCTTGCGGTCCTGCTGTCTTCCTGTCTGTCTGTCTTGCCGTCACCCATTACGCAACTTTCTACCAACTTCCCTCCACATACACACCCTTACTCTACCCACCATCACATCTCTTCTCGCGCCCATTGACAGACCAGACGTTGAAGAAGACACACTGAGGGATTGTCACGCACTCCAAACACTATCAACCACCCACTACACCTCTCTCCCCGCGCGGAATCCTCACCAATCCCACCGCGCGCGCCCAACCCACCGACAGGCTCATCGCCACTCACCCTCCGAGACACAATCACCACCACTCCTCCACAACCCCACGCCCTCCCGAACAATCCCCACAGCGCATCAACGCACCCTCACCCACCCGCCACGTCGGCCAGCACCACCACCCCCCGGCGCGGCCCTCTCTGCGACCCGCGCGCGCGCGCGAGACTGAGGATCGAGGAGCCGAGCCGCCACGGCGACGGACGGGACGGCTGAGATGGCCCCCTTGGACGCCGCGTGCAATGTGGTGTATATGGATCGGTCTGCGCGACGGGAGCGGATGGTGAGGAGGGGCGAGGCGATCGCGGAGGAAGCGAGGACGGGGGATGATGAGGAGGCGAATGAGGGCGCGAGGAGGCTGCAGGTTAATGTGCAGACGCTGTTGGAGACGTTTAGTACAGGTATGTGGGTGCTGGGAGATGTGGAGAGGCCCCTGGTTCTGTGTGATTCGTGATGTGTGATGAGATAGAGTTGTTGGCTGACTTTTGGGGGCGTGTAGTTTATGTGTGTCCGACTGGATTGAGTTGTTTGGCGCGCATCGCGAGACTGAATAATGTGCCGACGGCGGGATTGGTGCCTACGGTGGTGCTGATTGATATACCTGAAGACGATGACGAGAACGAGCTGAGGATGTCACTGCCACAACACGATGCTGGTATACTTCCGGAGGCTGATGGTCCTCCGAACATATATGGTTCGCAGCTACTACGGCAAATAGTTGCGGACGTGACGGAGATAGGGGTGGCCAGCATGGTGCTCCCAGTTGCTCTGATACGGAGGCGCATAGAAGCACCCACCAGTACGCCCAGGCCCATCACACCTATACGAACTATAGAAAATACACAAGCAAGCCATCCTCAGCCGCTTTCGGAGGATGTTGCATTGATGGAACTACAGCGAGATCAAGTATCCTACATGAAGTACATCGACCTTGGGGCTGTAGATGTTCTGGAAAACCCGATTCGCCGGGAGACACTTCCCAGCCTCGCCATCCACATCTACCGCGTGCACAAGGAGTTCCTACAGCGTGGGGAGCATCTCACGGCTCCTACCCAAAAGCACCAGAGCCCTTGGCCTGGCGTCGCGACACCAGAGCCATTCGCCTACATGCGCGAGGTGATGGTTTGTGATCTCGCGGGTCAGATCTGTGGCACGATTGTGGATCATCCCATCGATCCGGTGAAAATTGAAATTAGCAATTCGCGGAAACAAGCTATAGTCAAAGCTATATCGGAATGGGGTTTCTCAGCCCACGACCTTACAGAGGATGAATTGCTGCTAGCCACCGTGACGATGCTGGAACATGCGTTGTCGATAGACGGAATGGAGGAGTTGCGGTTACCCAAAGGTATGTTTAGATGCTTCGCCTCGGCTGAGGCGGCCTCCGGGCCGATGATGCTCCCTCCCGTGCAACCCGCATGCTGACTGACATTCGTTTGTAGATAAGCTGCTCAGGTTCGTCATCGCCAGCCGTAACGGATACAATGACTTTGTGCCATATCATAACTTCAAGCATGTTGTCGATGTTCTCCAGGCCGTCTTCCATTTTCTTGTGCGCATCGGTACTTTGCCGCCCTTCCCCCAGGGGACGAGGGTAGAGACGGAGCCCACGACGAGGTTGGTAGGTATGCTAAGGCCGTTTGAGGCGCTAACGCTCCTAATTGCTGCAATTGGCCACGATATTGGGCATCCAGGCGTGAACAATATGTTCCTTACCCGGATCAACTCCCCTCTCGCGCGTTTGTACAATGACAAATCGATCCTTGAATCATACCATGCGGCGTTTTACTGCAACATGCTGTCGAAGCTCTGGCCGGCTGTTGTCGAAAATGAGGAAATGAGGGAGTTGCTTACCAGCTGCATCCTGTCAACGGATATGGGGATCCATAAGGAGTATATGGAGAAGTTGACGTTTCTGAAAAAGACAATGGACGAGCTGCCCGATAATAAGGAAGTGGGCGAGATGGAACTCAAAACATACCGCGAAATAGCGTGTAATATGCTGATCAAATGTGCTGACATCTCGAATGTGGTAAGTCATAATCTGCCTACCGTCTCTTTACAGCGACTGACAAGCATAGGCCCGACCCTACGCCTGCGCTGCCGTGTGGACCGACATCCTGACCAGCGAGTTCTCGCGCCAATCCGACATGGAGACCCATCTCAATATCCCCTCGGCCCTCTTCTCCCCGCCTGCCCGTGACATGGTGGCCCTCGCCAAAAGTCAGACCGGCTTCATGTCATTCTTTGCGCTCCCGCTCTTCAGGGGCGTCGAGGAGCTCATGCCCACGCTGGACTTTTGCGCCTTGGAGATAGACCGCAACTTCGCGCACTGGACAGCGAAGTCGGAGGCGGCGAGGCATGAGCTTGCCCGAGCGTCGTTGGGAGCTAGGGACAGGCAGAGTGGGAACGATAGACCCGACAGCAGGAGCCCACCGGCCGCAGAGAGCAGCGCTGCGGGGGAGGCGAGGCGTCCGCGTCGTTGGGGTGGCCTACGGGGAGGTAGTGGAGCTGCCTTGGGTGATCTGTCGACGGGGAGCAGCGCGAGTACCGACCCTAGCGACGTAGACGGCATCGATATGCCGCCGCCGCTATCTCGAGGCCAGCAACCACAATCCAACAACAGCAGACCCAACTCGCGCCCCGTGACCTGGGACGAAGCCAGCGCCAGCTCGCGCCCGGCGACGAGCTCGAGCGCGCCCCGCGCCACCGCCCTCGGGATGCCCGACGCTGCGGGCGGGCAGGTGATGACGCACCGCCGCAGCGAGACGACGGACGGGAGCGCCGCCAGCGTGCCGGATAGTGGGGGGTGGGAGGGCAGCGCGCGGACGGCCGATAGCGGGAAGTCGGAGGAGAAGGCGGAGTGTATGAGCACGGCGCGGACGAGCGTTGAGAGTTCCTCTGGGATGAGGGGGGTTAATGGGGTGGTGAATGGCGGCGGCGCGAAGAGGAAGAGCCTCGTGGGGAGCGTGTCGACGCCGGATTTGCGCTCGGACTCGAAGGGAAGGATGAGGCGTGGCGATGAGGCGGGGAGGAGGGAGCGCGATCAGCAACAGCGCAGGAAGGGGGAGAAGAGCGGCGGTGATAACAATAACGGCGTGTTTGCGTCTATGCGCGAGCTGACGAGGCGGCCGAGTCTGGGGAAGTTTAAGTTCTGGAAGAAGAGGGAGGCGGGTGGGGGTGGTGGGTTTGGGGGTGGGGGGATGCACCAGGTGCAGCCGCCGCCGATGCCGAATGTTATGGGGAGGAGGGGCAGGGAGGGGGGTGTGTCGGTTGGTTGATGACTTTGAGGTGGATGTCCAAATGGTGGGGGGGTTGTTTATATGGTGTGTGGTCCGGAGTGACTGTAATATGTCTGGATGCCGGGCGTTTTCATGGCGCGCGAAGAACACACAGACGGCGTTTTTATTTTTTTGAACGTTGTGTTTGTGTTTGTTGAGCCCACAACCACGACGACGAACTCCCCCCGCCTGCCGACTTCGACATTATTCTTTTATACCTTTTTTGTTTTTTTGGGGTGGGGGGAGAAAGAGATGGGAGATGGGCGGACAAAAGGAGAAATGAGCGAAAAGGGTGGGAAGGGTATATATGGTTAACGGACGGACGGATGTGGATATGGCTTTTATGGCGAAAAACCCCGAACTCTTACTTACTCGATTGATGATGATGGGGACGGTTTTTTTTATACACAAAACACAACGAGATGAGGGGGTTTTACAAAGGGAATGGTGTGGATTATGGTATAGGACATGACCTGACCGGAAGGGGGGGAAGGGGAAATCGACAGTTGGCGGCTATAAGGGGGGGAGAGGGTTGTACATAGGTTTTTTTCTACGCCCTGCCTGCTGTGGTTTTTCTCCTTCCCTCGACGTTCTGTTGTATTCCGGGTCGGGTGGCTTTAACTTCTAGTTTTTCTTTTTGTTTTTTTCTTCTGTCGATATTCTTTTTTAGAGGGGGGCTGGGGGGATAGGATGGGGGAACGGTATTCATAATTGCTGTTATGGATTTTGGGTTGGGGTTTGAAGGATTGGGAGGGGGCCATGGATTAGGGGGGTTGGGGGAGTAGGGATCGGGGAAGGGGATAAAGGATAAGAGGGGGTAGGGGCGGAAGGGGTATTGATACCAGACAGACTATGAATGAATAGCAATTACATTACATCACATCAAGTTGATAGGCGTGCGTGCGTGCGTGTGTTGTGTTGTGAAGATACGAGACCACCTAACCTTCGCAGAATAGCAACGGCCGTCTTGGTCCTAGGATGATGCCTGTCTATCTATGTTCCATACACACACACATACCTCCTTCCTGAAGACGTTAATGGCATACGCACGGGTTTCGGTGTTGATGCGCGACATATCTCTCGCTCTCATCCCTGTGATGGGAGGGAGTTGCGCAGGGGGGATCCGTTCGTGGATGTCGGGGTCGCCGGCTTTTTTTTTCGAGAAGGCGGGGGGATGTGTATGCGGATGCGGATGCAGGGTGGCGGGTTATTGGGGGGGTTAATTTCCTGTGCCTGGGTTTTTGGGATGGAGGTTTGTGGGGGGGGGGGCGCGGGGGTGGGGGGGGGGGGGGGGGGGGGGGGGGAGACGTGGGGGGGGGGTGGGGGGGGGGGGGGGGGGGGGGGTGGGGGGGGGGAGGGGGGGGGGGGGGGTGGTGGGGGGGGGGGGGTTGGGGAATTTTGGGGGGGGGGGGGGGGTATTTGGGGTGGCGGTGGTGGTGTGTGTGAAGGTAGTGTTTGTGTGGTGTGGTGTTTTCAGATGTGGTGATGTTGCTCCCCGATGGCTTTGGGGTGGGTGAGGACGGATCTATCGACATAGTAGGTGGTTTCTTCGTGGTGTCCTCATCTGTGGTGATGTGTCTGTGGTGATGTGGCTCTTTGATGTTTGTCTTTTCTTCTTCTTCTTCTTCTTCTTCGTCTTCAAATTGTAAGAACGGGTCAAACGGCATTGATCAAACGGCACTGATTCACCTTTCTACGTGTCTCTTTCTGTCCCTATGTGTCTGTAACGACACAGGCAGCTCACACCGAGTATCGGGATCGTCGAAGGGGGGGGGGGGGGGTTTAGGGCATGCTGTGGGGTATGGTGAGGGATATGAAAGTTTTCCATTTGTTCTAGCGCGCACGTAGATGTTGATCTCTGCTCGGAGTGTGGCCGAGCGGATTGGGTCCGAGCACGGCGGTGCGGGTGTGGAGGGTGATGTTGCCACTGGGGACGAGGTTGTGGATGGGGGGTTGGAGTGGTGCGTGGGATTTGAAGATTGCTTTGGATTTAATAGTCACGCGGGCTTTGGTTATTCTGGTATGAGGACTCATACTTCATACTGGAACAGTGGAATAGTGCGGTCTGAGACGAATATATGGTGGTGGTGGGACAGCGCGAATACTCTGTTCTCATATGTTGCACAAAGCTGCAACCTTCACCATTCCACGAGACCACACCGACAGACGCGGCCAGAGAAGTGACTCGGAACCTTCCGTCAAACTATCGATGTATGGGGAAGGTGATTGGGAAGGTGACGAGGAGGCGGCGGTAGTGGCGCCGATGGCGGCGAGATATGATAATGCTAGCCGCTTGGACCTGTCCGAAATGGCTGTAGTTGATCCCTCGCTCGTTTTCTACCCCGGATTTTTGTTAGTAACGCTGCAGTCTTGCTTGTCTTTGATGGTTACTTGGTTTTAGTTGGAAAACGTGATCATTTTTGTCGGCTGGGATGGTGTGTGCTGTAGCTAGACGCGCGTTGCCCCTCTTATCCCCAATGTCATCCATCTTGCAACACGTTAGCCCAGTTTGTTTTAAATTACTTATTCGTAAGTTGAGAAACATTTTCATTTTTGTTGCTGGGATTCTGCTGCTGCTAGCTCGTTCGCGGTGGAGGCTATCTACATAGCAAGTAAACATCATGTCGTAACGTAGCTGAAGGCATATGTTTGAAAGACCTCCTAAAATAAACCTGGGAGTGAGTGAGGCTTTGCGGCCCCCATCTCGAAGGATTCATATCCTACAATTATCACCAAGTTTTTGCTCGCGAATGGGGTAAACCAGCACCGAGACGTCATAAGAACAAGGTTGTTTATCCTGGTATTTAAGCTTTACCAAAGGAAAGTCTGGCGGAACCCGCTACTGTTGCACGTGTTGGAATAAATGGAGGCAGCAACGCATGGATGATGTTCCAGCATTGGGATTGAGTTTATGTAATTGCTTATGGCTGTGAATGGTAATCGCATGACAATATCTAAATCCTACGCTACCTACGAGCGGGCATGATCCCCATTACCAAGAGCAGCGTATCTCTTCTTTGATGCTTGTCATGTCAAGCCCCCTGATCCCAAAGGTCTTGGCTTGATTCTTGCCATGGAAATGTTGCGTGTAGTGCCAATAGTTCCTCCTTTCTGGCCCTAGAATCCCTGCAACTCAATTGGGCCGCTGCATGCCATCGAATCCTCAACGGCACCATCCACCATCCCGCGCCTTAACGCTAAATCCTATGCCCACTAAACGCCTTGACACTAGAGTAGCATACCGCTGAATCAATCTCCACCGTTCCTCCTTCCTTGTTCCTGCTGCTGAATTGTCCTCAGCCCCGTACTAAGACAGGGCCCTTCGCTCTCCACACCCTCACTCACCCTCTCCCCGCACAAGGCTATTAGGATCGTCCACGCTGACAACCTTGCATGGCCCAAACGGGTATTCTCAGAGGCATCTCATGCGAGCAAGCCTGACCCTTGCGACTTGCTGAAGTCCAAACAAAAGGACAGGGTGGCGCCTACAAGCTCTCTCACTGGCGCTACTTAGGTAACAATACGACGCCCCAGTTGGCAAGGGGGCGTGAATCAACCAATCGCATAAAGTTCTCGTTTCTGATTCGGTTAAATTCAATGCTAGGCGCGATAGCGTGTTGCCAATCTATTCTTAATTTAGCCTCGCGGGACTCGCGGCTTACGATCTGCAAGCCCGCTAAATGCTCCTGAATCCTTCGAGATCCTATTTCATGCGAAAGCTGGCAATAACAGCACCACTATGGCACGTCACTAATGGCTGTTTCCGTTGCTGGTCGCCCTCATTTCAGCCACTTACTGCATTTTTATTTTGGTCATTCCACTGCCATTATGCTTAAGCGTTAGGGTCCCTTGTTATTCGGGCTACTGCTCCACCCACGAACCTTATAACTAACATCCTATAAGGAATGGATTTGCACACCACTGAAACTTGAGGATACAGGCTTCATATCGTCATGACGTTTTGGCTCACTTTGTGTTGTCTGTCATCCTGGCCGTCTCCCTGGCCGTCGCCTATCACCTGAGAATAGCTAATTTCGACAGCTCAACGACACTAGACGGGAATGGTAGGAGCAGCAATGGAGAATGCGAAGACAGAAGGAAGGGAAATGGGAGAGCAATATTCAGCTACGACTGGAGCATAAATAGAACCCTCATCGCCCGAATTATTCTCATTATCCATCAGCCAATTCACCTTTCAAAACTCCAACGCCTCTACTTGCAATCATGAAATCTTTTGTGGCTATCGCCGCCTTCGCGGCATCCATGCCAGCTGTCCTGGCTGCTCCATCTGGCCAGGACCTCAAGGAAGTCAACGTCGTTATCCAGCGCCTCAAGGGGACCGCTGAGACTGACGTGGCTATTGTCGACAAAGAATCGTCTGAGGTTCTCGGATACGCCTGCTCCGACAAGCTCGACTCTGGTGCCTTTGCCAAGTTCCCAGTCTCTGCGGATATCAACGAATACGGAGCTGGTACTATCACTCTCGGCACTACAAAGTACACAGTGCATGAAGACCCCAACGTCTCCGGTGGTGTGAGCTGCATGAAGATGTACGATGAACAGGAGATCTTTGTGACCTGCGCGGCCACTATCCCTGCCTCTCTCCAGTTGGCTCCATTGAGCGCCAGGGATAAGACGGACTGCTTTGCTAGCGGTAGTTCACCCATTTTGCAGAGCCTAGCGAACTCCATGTCTGCTCAAATCGCGACACCGAGCACCAAGCCGCGCTCTGTCGAGGATGCCCCACGCTCCCTCGAAGAACGCCAGGGAGCTTGCGGCACTTGGTCCAGCTACACTGCACTTGAAGGAGACGGAGACCCTCACCAGAACTACTACTTGAACCAACTCAGTGTGAGTCTTGATATAAGTAGTGCTTCTCGATGCAAAGGTTAACAATGAATTAGGAAAACATTGAGTGCGGATCATCACCTAGCTGTGCTGTCGGGCACGAGGAGAGCAAGAGCTACACTATCGGATTCTCCGTTTCTGGAAGCATCGACTCGTGGATCGGCGGCGGTTTCGATGTTAGCGAGTCCTGGACAACCGGCAACGAGTACACCTGTTACGGTGCTGCAGGCGATACCGTCTGTGTCTGGTACAAGACCGCGCTCACGGCTTACACAGTCAGAAACTACGACTATAACCAGTGCACGGGTGCATCCCCAAGAGGCACGGCAGTAATCAAGGTATGCCATCCCTCCCCGACCAACCCCCCCCCCAACTCCCCCCTTCACACGACAGCCTCACTGACCCTTCGAAGTCGCCAAACAATAATAATAAAGGTGGAAACTACTACTGTGTTATGGGATCTGCGTGCCGAAGCCAGGGAGAGGGATACTTCGACCTGAACGGCCGGGCTGGTGGCCCATGATTGACTCAAATTATGAGAGGTTTCTTGTAGGATGTTTACTATAGATATATTTGTTAGCTTATTGCTTAGTTATGTGCTCAGAGAATATCACTTGAAATTATATTTGTATGCCTTAGATTGTCTGCATCATGTGCTCTTATCCTGTAATCCCACAAAATGTCCATCCTAATTACCCCTAAGCAGTGCACAGTCGATGGACTAACAAAAATCTTTCTGTGTCCAAGGGTCCATTACCGGATGTATTGAAAGGATTAGCTACTTTATCGATACATGAAGAATAATCATAGGCGCAGTATTTATTTTCTAGGGGAAACCGTGAGGCGCAAGATCACGTAAAAATCGATTATAGGTAGCAGAGTTGCTCCACAGAGATCTTAAGAAGCCCCATAACTGCGTAACTGCGGGGGTTTGATCCCTTGCCAGGTCACTGATTGCACATCGAAGATGGGACAGCCCCATTGCCCGGGCCCTGCCGTGGCGGCCTTTCCCCCAATCGACTTCGTTACATAGTGATATACGATAATGTAAGAATACTATGCAAGTGGATAGTGAGAAATGAAAAGATGGCAAGAATGAGAAGGGACAGCGAGAAAGAAACGCGGAGGGTGAGAAAGGGGGGATGTTGAGACAGGGGGGGTGGTGAGAATAGTAAGGGGCGGTGAGAAGGGGGCACTGAGAAAGGGAAGGGGAGCTCAGAAATGGGTAATCGGCTGAAGATGATATAACATATAGTAGCCTAGGAATTAGATGGCAGTGTAAGTTTTACCTAGACCCATTCCGTCTACAAGCATACCGCCTCCGGCTGTCAACTTCACAAGCGTCGAAGTAGCCTCTTTTATATCGTCCAAAACATCATCTAGAAGAATAATGCAAATAAAAATCCCAATTTCCGAGCTTTGTTGTACTTTCTGACAAAGATGTGCTTGCTAGGTATGTACACCTATTATAGTAAGAATTGTAAAGGAGGGGGATTCCCATACATTACGTTTTATATAATGCGAACAAGTCTCAATAGTGATGGGGCAAAGGATATGTCACTGTGAATATATTGGGCGCAGCGGCCTAGCAATCTATGAAAATGTTTTGCCGTTCTCGTCCACACACAAACGCTCGCATAGGCCCTAGCGACTAAAGATCTTTGCATACCTCAACTCATCTCAATAGACTTGACGTTGCCCTTGGGGAAGGTTGGTATAACCGGCCATGCAATGGATATGAGGAGGCTATGGGAAAGTGGCTTCAATGCCTTTGATTTTGCGGACCTAGTCTGTCACGATGGGAACCCCGGGTATTTCGCCACTAACCAGCCGTGCTTGGAATTCTTATTGTACGGTTTGCCAAAGGTTAAGTACAGTGGTGAGAAAAGGAATTGAGAAAGTAGTGAGAAAATTGGGTGGGGGGTGAGAACAGAAAAGGGCGGTGAGAAAGAAGCGGGGTGGTGAGAGAAGGGTAGTGAGAACGGAAGTACGCGCAACGAAAAAGGGGTAAAGTTCGCAGCAATCCGTGTTGCGAGCAGGGAACTGGGTTTGCAAACACACGCCTGTGACCTTCATCGAGAATTGCTACTTTGGAGAAACCCTAGCACGAAGACGTGCATACCTCTTCGTGAATTTTTATAGGATGAGCACAACAAGATTCCCCGCAGCTGTAAAACTATGGGGCCTTGGCCCTATATTAGATGCTCTCATTAACCAAAGGTGATGGGACAGCCCAGCCATCGAGACAGTGGCACGTTGCCATTGGATGGGACTGCGGACAAGAAAGGAGTCGATGGATGGATTATGCTATAAAGGAAACGATCAATGAACTACTGTATGGAGGCCTTCTAAAAATTTCAAAAATTCAAGATCGAATTTATGGCTATAAATTCTTCTTTGCCAACCTGGGCTCTGAAGAACGGCCGAACATGGATCACGGGGAGGTTCTATCCGAGGCGTTCTTTGATGGTATTATATATCATGCTGTAGGTTTGTGCAGCAACAGTGAGAAAGAGGACGACAAAGGAGGTCGTGGGTATGTAGTAAAGAATAACATGTAGCATGAGTAGTGGTGAGAAAGGAGAGGGGTGG